AAATGCGATGAAGCTGAGGTCAGCGTACGACTCAGATTCATCTGTGACAGATTTTTCTCAGAGGGTTTTGCAAATCCAAGACTCTCTGCTAGATTTCTTGACGCGATGTTGGAAGAGGAGCTCAACGACTCTGAAAACAAAGCCCATCGCGACTCATTGGCTGAAGTCGCTGAACCAGAGTGCGGCGTGGTTCACGTGCCAGTTGACGAGATTCTTGTCTTTGAGCAAGAGTTTATTCAGACCCCATCGGGTTTGGATAATGCTGGCTTCGTGGTTCCAAAGCCAAAGTTTGGGACAGTGGAAGGCCTCAATGAGGCGTTCGCTCTATCGTCTTGGCAATCGGCCAATGGATTTTTTGGTGAATGTCTCTCCACAGGACTTCCCACACCGATGGAAATTGACGACGACCTGGCTTGGAGTGAAGTCATGGAAGTTGAAATTCCCATGGAGATTGATGATGTTGCTGAGGTGATGGTGCTTGATGCTAATTGTGGCGAAAAGCTCATGGCCCACACCTACAATCCAACGGTTACCGATTTGCAGTACGTCTCCCAGTCTGCAAACATGGATTGTGATACGAACGATCTCCCAGCCTGCGTACCGCAACAGGCTGCAGACGACAAGATGGAAGACGACACAGAAAAAATAGTGCTATCTGGACCATCCTCTCTGAAGAAGTACGATGCACCAAAGCCGAGACAAAAGGTAGGTGCCGACGAGGTCAAAGGTAGCAAAGAGCCTTCAATGGCGGTCCCCCGACCAAAAGAGAAGAGCTCGAAGCTTCCTCGACCTGCCAGTCAAAAGGCCATTGAGGAAGCAAAGGCCGCAATCGAAGGGCCAGAAAGCAAGGTGGCTTCGGCCTCTTGTGATCTCCCTTCACAGCTGCCCAAGTCACTTTTTGGCCTTCGCACCGAGCGGGCAAAGCTTGTGTCAAGCCTTGCTTCCAAAGTGCCTGAACCAGTTACAACAGCCAGTTGTGACAAGGGAAAGGCCCCAAAGAAAAAGGCCAAGACACAGGGGTCAACTGCTACCCCAGCTGCCCAGGTCTCTGTTCCTGTTGCTGCACCCAGCAGCAAAAAGGAGGAGAGTATCAAGGAATTCAAGTCAGATCTTCCTTCTGCATCTCGCGGCAAGAAAGTGAAGACTTCCGGCGGTGATGAGAAGGCCAATCTAGTTATCGAACCCATCGGTAAAGAGATTGGAGAACCTCAGATCCAGCCATTCCCAGCTCGCAATCCTGCGTCAAAGCCGGCAAAGTCTTCGAGCAAGGGAGGAAAAGAGGATCCAAAGAGCCTATTGAAGTATGCGCTCCGATTCAAAGGCGATCCAACTGTCAACAAGGAGTAAGATTGTTTGTTAGCGGTGCCCGAGCTCACCTTGACCCATTGGGTCTGAGGTGTAGTGAAAGAATCTGCGAAGCTGATGATTCCGAAAACTTGGACAAATTTTTGCTGCCCTGTACACTTCACCAAGCGGACATCTTGTCGGTCGGTTGGCCCTGGAGCCAAGCCGACGCGGTCGGAACGAAAGGTTGATCCTGAAGCTTCTGGTAAGCTTTATGGTGATACTGGAATTCCCGGACCTTTCACAGTACTTTTCCTTGGGACTATCTGCGTGGTGATTCACGTTGGGTCTCTTGGTTAAGCTGTAAGGGTAGCCTCTTTTACGTTCGGTTCCTACAGCTTTCAAATTCAAAGGACTGGATTATCGTTTCCCTCTGGGATCGACACCATGCTCCGCCTGTTAGCTTGGTTCTGAGTCTTGGCTTGGCATAGACAGTATAAAGAGAAGGTAGATTGTGGAGGTCTACAAATGAGTGTAACCTGTGGTGGTACTAGACTGGTTTTCAATCCTGTTTGCCTCTGGTATTTGCCGTTTGTATACATTCGAGGGTGGTGCTTGCACTGCTGTAGGGTTGGCTTGAACCTTTTGTTCGTAGGGTTCTTGTTGACTTCCTCTCAGGTCTGAGGCCGAGATCTGTGAGTGGTGGTTTCTGTACGAGTAGGGCTTCCGGAGTCCTTGATTCTGGGTCGTTTTTGGGGCCACGGTGGTCCTGTTGGCTTGTCTGGTCTGGTTGGCTAGATTTCCGGTATCATTCTGGTATCATTCTGGGGATCGTTGTTGGCTAGGTTGCCGGCTTGTTCTGTACCTGGGTTCTGGGTCTTTGCAGCTTGAGTTTTGTGCTTAAGCCAGGGAGAATGAATACTGTGGGGCACGGTGTTCATTATGTAGTCATGTCTGGCCGAATGGGTTTTGCTTCCTTGCCGGATTCTTTCTTGGGGTCCTTGGAAGGCTATCGTCAGTCCCCTCCTTTTTTTTCTGGTGAGTTCTCGAAGACTCACTGGTAGGCTCGGATAAGTCTTTTTGGACTTTGAGTTTGCTGAAATATAGATTGTGGAAAATCTATTGCCGGGGGGTAGATAGTCCCAAGAGGTTTTGGGAAAACGAGCCAAGAACATCGGGTTCCTACCAAGATTTGCGAGGTTTTCCCTTACAGACATGACGGTATATCAGTCATTATGATTGCTACTAGTCCTTGTGTCTGGACTCAAATGATGCGTACAAATGCATGTCCAGACAGTCGCAGCTATTTTGAGATGGCAAAACCAAAAATTAATCTGCGCAAAAGGATATGCTTTTAAGACTGGTCGATTAGGTATCAGTGACGTTGTCAGTCGAATCAAGATAAACTGACCATACAAAAAAATGTCACTGAAGAGATAGCGTGGAATTCGCCGATGATCTCAAGCATCACGCAAAACCTGTGGTCAGAGTCCTAGCCACCCTCATTTGAGGAGGACTCTGATTAATATGGTCTGGTAAATGAACCAGACCAAGCAGGGTGAGCTAGAAATTATCACCAAAAAAAAAAGCAGATTACAGTTAGCAACTGGAAATGCGTACACTCAAGAAAATAAGACCCGAGTCGAAGGGCATTTACGCACACTTTCAGTTGTGAAGGAGAATCAAGGTTACATTCGACAAACCTATCCAAACCAAGTCGAGACAAGTGCTTACAAGCCGTATTCATGGAAACTCATAGAGAGTTCAGTCCAGTACCAAAACAATATTCTCGAAACAAAATCAGAAAAGCAAAGCTGAACATGGAAGTCAAAACAAACAGCACAGAGAAACATTAAAAGAATGGAATCAAGTCTTCAAGTCTTCAAGCCTTCAAGTACAAAAGGTTAAAATCAAGTAGGCTAACCTAGAGTCTCGCCATCTCGCTGGGTTGGCCGAAAAGCACACAAAGAGTCTCGACTAGGATATGGGCACAACAAGAATAAATTCATCATCATCATTCAAGACTATTGGCTCAGGACTGCAAAAAGGTATTTGGGATGACCGGGTTTATATTATGGACCGAGAACACCAGCAGGAACAAGTAGAGGCCGTCAGTAGTAAACAACAGAGCTCAAGGCAGAAGCAATGTGAACCACAAAGCAAGCAATAAGGCAATTTTTCGAGGGTTGTTTTTGTCTCTGGATTTCTTTGTCAGAGATAATATCAACCATTAGTCCGTTTATCCAGAAGATAAGTACTATTTATACACAATATGTCTCGGTACTAATTATATGATATTTTTTCATCTTCTCAGGGCCGCCCTGTGACAGGGCTCGCAATACTACAACCCTTTAGAGGATACCAGAGATAGCTTGTGAGCGTTGGACTTTACCAAAAGGTAAAGCTGCTCGGTACGCTAGTAGTACCTTTTCTCCCCTCAAAATATTGTACATTGCATTGTATGCCTGTATATATTTAGGGTTCTTGGTGTGGTAAGCCAGGATCTGGTAGCTCCTCTGCCATTCGGTGGTCAAACCCTTTTGCGGTTGACCCCATCGCTGCAAGTTGGCACATTGTTTCTGCTAGAAGCTTGGTTGTTTACTGTCGGTGGTCTCGCATACCTCCTACTGGTGATCAAGGTCCATTCCGCCCGGTCATCAAAGAACATTTTGCAGTCCCGAGCCCGTCTCTTCAGATGATGTTACCTATTCCAAGACAAGTTCCTTTACTTACAAAACAAATTCTATCAATTAAGGTATGTTATTTTGGTCATTCAAACCTGCCTCATATGTAAATACGTTTTTCGCTTTCTCACTCATTTTTTTCTTTATCTTTTTAAGCCATATTCAACCTTATCAACTCCAATAATGCGGCCAATTCCGAAGCCTGAATCCTGTGCAAGAATGACAGCAGCAAGAACCAAGTCAAGCAAGAGGAATACAAAAAAAAAAAGATACAAAAAAAAGATACAAAAAAGAATACAAAAAAAAAGAAAAAAATATATTCACAATTATCTCTCTATCTCAAGTAAAAACTCATAGACTAGCAGAATCCCTGAAATGGTCAAGCCACGGTTTGCTTATATGTTCAAGTCCAATTCCAAGTCTTGTCCAAGTCCAAGTCCAAGTCCAAATGTCCAAGCACTGTCCAAGCACTGTCCAAGTACTGTTCTAGTACTAGTCCTAGCACATAAATATATATAAACAAGTAGAGAAGTACACAAGTAGAGAAGTATACATACATATATACACACACACACAAACACACGCAATTTCTATTTTTGCTATTTATTTCTTACACACACACACACACACATACACACACACACACACACAAATACACACACACATACACACACACATACACATAGTCATAGTCATAGGCATACAAACATACATATACACACTTATATACATACATATATACATACAAAAGTAGAGGCGCATTTCTATCAAAGTCCAAAATCTGGGCTGTACCTCCAAGTCTCAAGGCCAAGTCGATTTCCAAGAAGGGGTCCAATGCAAAATTCCAAAAGCAAGTTCCAAAAGAAAAACCAAAAACCAAAAACCAAATCCGAGGCCTATACTAAGTCCTGCAATAAAACGGGCATATACTAAGTCCTCCACTCCAAAAGGATCAAATCCAAAAACCGAGGCGTAGACCAAACCCTATCAGAAATGATCAGGCACATATTAAGTCCTCCACTCCAAAAGGATCAAAAGAAATCCGACCCTGAGGCCTATACTAAGTCCTGTCCAAAAATTACACAGGCATATACTAAGCCCTCCTCTCTCTCTCAAAAAAAAAAAAAAAAGCAAAAAAAAAGCAAAAAAAAAAGCAAAAAAAAAAAGCAAAAAAAAGAGCAAAAAAAAAAGCAAAAAAAAAAGCAAAAAAAAAAACAAAAAAAAAAGCAAAAAAAAAAAACAAGAAAAAAGATGAACAAACCGGAAGAACTCTGCATTGGAACCTGGACCTGGATTGAAGCAAAGCTGCGAACTGGAACAAGACTCTGGATTAGGACAAGGTATGAAATCCCTTTTTACACATATACATACAAAGCAAATGAAGTCTTTGATCAAAAACAAAAAACAAAAAAAAATGCTCAAAAAAAGAAGCTCAAAAAAACAGAAAGAGCAAAAAGAGCAATACCAAAACCCCCTTCTCTTATACTTTTCAATATCAAAACCCATCCTTTTATTACTATTCCATGAAATTGACTGGACAAAAAAAAAGAAGTAAAAAAAAAATCAAAAAAAAAAATCAAAATCAAAAATCAAAATCAAAATCAAAAAGTCCAAATTATCCCCTTTACTATGTGTGCTGTGTTCGGACAAAAAAAATTAAAAAAAAAATCAAAAAAAAAAATCAAAAAGTCCAAATTATCCCCCTTTATTATGTGTGCTGTGTTTGGACAAAAAAAAAAGCAAAAAAAAAAAAAAAAAAAAAAGTCCAAATTATCTTTTTTATTCTTTTCAATATCAAAATCATCCTCTTATTACTATTCCGTGAAATTGACTGGACAAAAAAAAAAATCAAAAAAAGAATCAAAAAAACAAGAAAAAAACAAAAAGTCCAAATTATCCCCTTTATTATTTTTCAATACCAAAATCCTCCTCCTCCTATCACTCTTAGATTATATTGACTGGACAAAAAGAAGAAGAAAAAAAACGGACAAAAAAAAAAAGATCAAAAGAAATATCAAATGGACCAAAAAAAAAAACCGACTGGACTTGACTGGAACCGACTGGACTGGACTGAAGTAGCATGAACTTGACCATCTTATATTATATTATATTTAATTTAACTTATATTTCCTTTATACAAACCTTTGAATAATAAAATTCCCCTCATATGTCTTTGATATCATATTTATATTTCTGTCTCTTTTTCTTTGGTGTCCTATATGGAGTTTACTGTTAGAAAGCCCAAGGAAAGAGGGACTTTGTAAACAATTTAAGCATGGAAAAATGTAAAATCTTAGTGTGGCTCGTTTCTCTTGATAGAACTCATAGCAGAAAAGGTAACTTTATGTACAATTGATGGCAAACTTCATATAAAAACATGATTAATTTATGTAAGAGTAGCTACCTTACTTGTGGGGAATTTGACCAGGGATAATATAGTTATGGGTACTTTAATCGAGCATATTGTACGTATGAATTTTGATGTTATGAAAGAAACCATCTCAACCAAGAGACATTAATGGTATTCAATAGTTTTTTACGATATTGGCTAATTATATGGTGCTTAAACTACCACTACATCTAACAGTCAAGCATCCAGAACTGGTAAATACTCCCTATTATGAATATGGAAAGGATTTTTGGACAAGTTAATATTTATTCTGCCTTGCACTACATTGTCTTGAATTAGACAATCTTTATCACTTATATTGTAGCCAATAAATATGTTTAAATATAAGCTTTCTTGAACAATTCAACCACCAGAATTTCGTACTGCAAACAACAACTGTGAATTAAGTTTTTATTAAATCTCGAAGTCTGGAATATTACAGTGTTAGTTTTTTTTTGGACGAATGAAACTTAATTTTTGGACAAACAAAAAAAAAGAGAATTGAGACACAAAAGAAAATTTGGTATAGAGAGGGAATTTAGTTGAGACAAGGTAAAAATGACTAGAATGTTCTTTACCTGTAAGCATCTTTAAGTTCGCCCACCGGAGTGAGGAACAACCACATTCATTGTGGCGCTTTGTGTTGTTGTTGTTGTTCTTGGTCGAGGACTGAACATTTCTGGCCTACTATTGCCACTCCAAATTTCATGCACAATATAGAACATGTTTCTTGCCGCCATGACATCCCTATTCCAAAAAAAAAAGAAAAAGTAACACCGTCTCAATCTCAAGTAGAAACACTGTAATAAAACCTTTGCAATTATCTTGATAGGCCTTTTGACCACAAGTATGAAATGCCAGATATATCTGCCCGTGTATATTATGATCAAAGACAAATATGTGCACTTGGTATGTTGCTGCATAATATTGAGCATATCTCTTTATAGGGATATTCAGTCAATCCTTATACCAAGGCTTTACTTTTAATATCTTTATCAACCAATTGTTCTTTTGATCTTGTAAGAAAAGAAAAAAGTGTACCTTTTTGCAGAGTCTCCTGTGACGTCAGTTTGGTTCCACCGTTTTTTTTTTGTAGTTGCGCGAATGGGTGCTTAATGAAATGGGAAGAGACAGGCAAAGTGTGAAAAGAAAGGCACATACAGAGATATATCTATATTTATATCTATATATCTTTTGTTCATTTATAAATTTACACACCAATGACAATTTATAATCTTTACATCTTTGATCGCCATTGTCAATGCATCTATTTTCAGAAATGGGCTCATCAACCCAAGTCAGTCGTTAATAATGGAAGTGTGAATGGACAGAGTCAGACAGGCTCTAGCCGTCTCGGTCTGGCAACCTCGCGTTTCTCAATGTCCAGTCCAGGATCTTCCAGTGCGGACCACAGTAGTACCCCAAACTCCTCATCAATCATCCGTAGCGAAGAGCGCATTCCTTCTCACACAGCAGGTACCCAGCGTGGGACCCAACAGAGTGGACTAGCAGCTGGAAGTATGATTTCGATTGAAGAAGAAGCCAAGCTTGTATATGGTGTGGTTCTATCTCTACGCAACTTTGTCCGTAAGCTGTCAACCAGGTAAATGTTGTATAAATACAACTATAGACAACAACAACAACAACAACAACAACAACAACAACAACAATAAAAAGGTGTGAGTTATTTAGCGACATGTATGTATGTATGTGTGCGTGTGTGCCTGTGTTTATTTTCATTTAGTCAGGATGGATTTATTTCTTACAAAACCTCGACGTATCGCTTGCATTATTACGAGACACCTACTGGACTGAAGTTTGTGATGAACTCGGATCCAAACACAGAATCTCTTCGGGCAGTGTTGAAGCAGATATATGTACAATTGTATGTTGAGTTTGTTGTCAAGAATGGACTTATGCGGTTTGACGATACTCGTTGGGAAGTGACCCAGGGATTTACACAGCTTCAGCAGCAACAGCATCAGCAAGCCTTGGGATCCAATAGAGAAGCTAGTGAAGATAGCACTATTTCACTCAATACAACCCAGACTGGTAGCGTTCCTGTAGTAAATAACCAGCCTCTTCCTAATGCTCCTGGAACTATTTCAAACGAATTGTTCAGAACGGCAGTTGATCGCTTTATCCGTAGTCTGGCTGTATTCGAATAAGAAGACATCTTTACATATCTTTATATACATACATATATTCTTGTATACAATACTTCAGTCTAAAAGGATACAACTGAAATTCTTTAATTCCCCATTACTTTCTTTCTTTCTCTTTTCCATTAATTATCCCAATATTGTGTTTATTTAAAATGATATCTTAAACAAAGAATATAGTATACAGAGCTTTGGAAAGCTTCGTAGATGAAAGAAAACCAAAGTGAGTATAACGATTAAAGTTACAAGGCTTAGCTAACCACCGAGTTTTATTTTTTATTTTTCAACAAATTATTTTGGGTATTTAATATTAGATTTGGTGTTTATACAGTTTTAATTAAGGAAGTTTATATTCCTGATATTTTTACTCTAAAGTTCTATTATTTAAATCGTTAGAAAAGGTACTAAGCTTAGATGAAATATAGTTAGTTCCTACTATATAATTTATTTATTTATTCTGTTTGCTTTGACTTTATCTTATGAATACCATTTAACTATGTTTCCACAAACACATCATTATAGAGATACTGAATCTAATGTAACGAAACCCTTTGAAGGTGTCGGTATCTGCTTCGAAAAGAAATGCATCAAAACCTGGTATGCAGTCAAGTGTTCCAATTGATTCTGAAAAATTTAAGATATAAAAGATGTAATGTCACTATGGTGTAAATCTTGTAGGCAAGATACAATATTGTATTATAAGCCTAAATTAATTATCTCTCTCTCTCTTTCTTTGCAGGGATGTGCAACACCATACTTTCTGATGTATTAAAATATTAGTGCTGGTTTTGATAATACAGCATTCATTCGATGTCTATTACATATTAGATGACCTCTTCTTTAAGCCGAATGTCATCTATACTCAGGTTTGTATTCATCCTTTATTCGTCCAATAGTAAGCTGTTTCGAGTTTATGGTACACACACAGAAAAAAAAACTGAATACATAGACACTATTTAGAAACCGAGACCAGAGAGATGAAGATTTTAAGAATGAAGAAAGAAAAAACAATCTAATACTTCCTCAAGAAATGTAATTTCTGCACAAGATTTTATTTTTTGAACAACATTTCATTTACATTAAATCAGTCACAAAAACGGATTATAATATAACCACTGAATATGCTTTTGCACGACCCCTTCTCTTTACTTCTCTCTTTCCCCACTTCATAAAACCTTTCTCGTCCTTATTGTAAGCAAAGCTCAATATAGTCTCCCTCTTCTTTGTATTATTACGGTTATTATTATCCATTATTGTTTATCCGCTTGATATTATTTACATGGCTAAAGTTCCTTTTTTTGTGTTGGAAGGCCAAATCTTTTCAAGATCAAAGGAATCAACCGAATTCTGAGCCAAAGGAGCTTGTCTTTCCTTATCAATCGATTCAGTTGACTGAGAATAAACTGCCAGGGCGTGAGCAAGTCCTCGGGCGTGGAGCAAAAAGGCGTGATGGTTGAGGTTGTTGATGTCATCGCATGATTCATGATAACACGAATCGTATGCTACACCAGCCTCACCTCCATACTTCTTTGCTTGCTCTTCTGTCTTGGGTACTTCTGCACCTGTAAATAGACCACCAGAAGGAATACCAGCAGCCTAAATAAAATAAAAACTTGTGTATGAGTCATTCTGATTTTGTGTGTCTGTGTCTGTGTGTATATTTGTTACAAAAAAGTAAATACTTGCCACAAAAGGCCCATAGTCACTTCGGCCATCAAACTCGGAGGGATCGTGCGCTTCATCTTTGCTTTCAAAAAAGTCCTGGAATAGTTTCTCAATTGCAGCAGAACCAGGTGGACCAGCCATGGGACTGTCGGAACCATCACCTAATCAATAACAGTATCACACAGATCAGAACAAGAAAAAAAGAATAAAAGAGAGAGAGAGAGGATAGGGGTTTTATAGTAGAAGCTCAAAAGAATTCTTACCATCGTAAATGCCATTGTAGTAGTTGGGGCTACCGATCATATCAAAGTTGAGATAGAGAGCAATGTCCTTTTGTTCCTCTTTGGTTAGATTGTCTACGTGATGCTTTGCACCCAGCAGACCGTATTCTTCGGCAGTCCACCAGCAGAATCTGACAGCATTGACAGGTTTCTCGTTGCGGAAAAGGTATGCTAATTCGAGCAAGGCTGCTGTACCACTTCCATTGTCATTGATGCCTGGACCGGCAGCCACACTATCCGAATGGGCTCCTATCACGATGATATTGGACTTGTCACCGCCTTTGGTTTCAGCAATCACATTGTAGGTCAGCCGTGCCTCACGCTTCTCGACCAGTCGGACGGTGAGTACAACATCGGGGTGCCAGGGCTCGTCGAGCAGACGGATCAGGCGCTCGCCATCTTCGCGTGAAATACCACCCGTGGGAGCACCGGATTCGTAATCTTGTCCCAGCGTACCTGAGAGGGATCCTGGCTCGGTGTTGTAGATCAACAGAGCAGAAGCACCTGCCTGTCCGGCCCAGTATGCCTTTGCTCCAAATGTACACTCGCCACGCTGCACAAGTGCAATCTTACCCCCCAGATCCTGGTCAATCTCATCGCACGCCAGGCCCCCGATGCGCACAAGTGAGCCGGTTGCACCGCTCACAGGGGTGCTTGTTGTGAAGGTCATCAGACGCACATTCAAAATAGGTTCAGGTGTAGGAGGGAAGATGACTGAGGCCGATTGATGTAGAGTCTGAGTAAAATTCAGTACCATGGCTAAAATATACATACAAATATTTTAGTCTGGGTTTTGTTTGTTTGTTTATTTATTATGTTTTTTTTTAAAGAAAGAAAAACAAAGATCTGTAGAGCTGGGTATATATATATTTTTTCAACTTACGTTCTAACCAGGTGTGGTAACCTTGCTCCAGTACGGATGAAGCAATATAGCTCAATGTGTCATTATGCCCACCAGAACCAAATACTCTAGTGTGGTGGTTCTTGTCAGCAATCTTTTGAAGCTTGTGGGAATGGCGCAGGAGACCTTCGATGGTTAGATTTTGCTGCAACTGACGCGAGAGAGATGAAACAAGGAGGGGGTTGGGATTCGAGCCGGTCAGGTCTTGAAAGGCCACCTGTGCAGGTAATGCTTGGGTAAGCACAATCAGACCAGTTGTTATGGAAACCACAGTAAACAACCGCATAAAGGATAATATATTATTTTATATGTATATATATATATGTATGTATGTATGTATCAGATAAAATGATAAAGAAGAATCAAAAGATGTATATGTGTAAGTAAGAGTATGTGAGAAATAAAAGAGAAAAAGAAGAAAGAGATAAAAGAGAAAAAGAGATATTAAAATAATGAAAAATAAAATAAAAATGATATTGGATTTTTTTCCCTTTTCTATGGTGAATAATAATATATTATTATTATTTATATACGTGTAATATGCGTCACAAAGGAGCGTGTGAGAATGGACGATAAGATGTCTCTGTGCGCTGATAGATTTCCAAGATACGCTCCATTTCATGAATTCTTTGCTGATACTGTCGGAGAGTATCTTGCATTAAATGAATATAGTCTACCGATCGTCTCAGGACAGCCCCCTTGTTAGTCTTGTTTGATTCCTTGTCCGGCAAAAGGGTTGACAATCGATAGATTTGATCGTTTATTACATCTCTTCTTCGTCGCTCGACTGCATTATGGGATTCCCTTCTCCGCTTCCTCTTTTCATACAAATGGTCGCTATGGAAATATATTCAAGTAAGTCAAATGAAACGTTTTCTAGCCCTTTGGTTTGAACAACAAGAATGTTGTCTATAGGAGTTACTTTGGGTTGTCATGAGTTTGATAAGATGTTTGAGGTTCTGAGCTACTATTGTAACTTTCAGCACAAGTCTCTCTAGTAGTCTTTAGATGAGACCCCAGACTAGTACCATCCAAGGCATGAGAACGATTGACCGCGAGAGAATTAAGTTTAGTGTACATTGGAAGAGAGAAAGAAAGAAAGAGACAGAGACAGAGAGTAAAAAGATCTTGTTTGTTATTAATTTAATAAATGACGTCGAGTACAGTGTTTCTATAATCTAAAGGATGTCTAATATCTCTATTTATCTATGTATTATATTATTTATATAAGTAAATAAATAAATATAGTGTCTATTATGCGCGAATATAGGAATAGAACCGATAACGCACCCAACCTTCATCCTCTTCCACCTCTTGATCCGAGGTCTGGTCCAAGTAGAGCCCGATCTCCTCCATCCTTCTCTCAAACAGTGCGACCTCTTTAGTGTGAGTGGCACGCAGCGGGATCATAAAGTAAAAGACATCGGTCATCAGCAGCTCTATTGCGACCGGAAGATATTCGGCATGCTCCATTTCATACAGTAGATCACTTGCAATCACCACATCAAATTTTCTGTTCCTCCAGACGGAGTCCGGATTAGTTGCAAGTTCGATAAAGTCCAGCTTAGATACATTGGCCTGAACCTCGTTGAGTTTCACATTAATAGCTACATTTTCCAACACACTCGGGTGATAATCAGTCAGGTCTGTTGAGGCAGCTCCCAACTTTGCACAGATTAGACCGACCATTCCAGTCCCAGTGCCCAGCTCAATAACTGTCTGGTTTTCAAGATTTGGCAAAAATCGTTCCTGAACAAGACGTCTTTGTACATATATATATATATATATATATACATATACACACATATAATATAATTATAATTAATTTTGAAACGGATTAGATAGATCACACGAACAATTATATATATATATAGGTACACAAAATTAAAGCGGAAAAAAATAGAATTAAAGTCTTACTTTGCCATTAAAGGGGCAGCACCCCACGTCTTGAATCCAATGTCATTTCCAATAAAACTTGGTTCATGAATCTTGAGAGAAACAGACTCTCGGACACCATTGCTGTCAAGATAAGGTATATACCAGGTACCAACCATTGCTCCTGCTGCACCTCGCCCTGACAAATGAGCCATGGCCTTGGCTGCTCTGTCGATCTGCTCATCGGCAATTGACATTTCACCCGACACAATCCGAACAAGGATCGTTTGTGTTAATTGCCTCGCTTTTTGTATATCTTGTGACTTGACAGGTCGAATTTCTTCTTCATCGTCTAATGTCGCAAACCGATCGTAAGATCGATCTATCAGATCTTCCAGAAGACTGAGCATTGAATCGATTTGAGTTTCCATGTCTGAGTCTCGACCTTGTTTACGATAAGCCCATGCCTGGCTAACATGGTTTTGAATAGTGTCTAGGATCTGCATAGGATCCATGATAAATAATATATATATATGTATGTATGTATGTATGTATGTATGTAGAGATGGTAAGAAAGAAAAACAATAATTAATAAGAGATAAGGGATATATAATAAGGAGCAAACAAAACAAAACAAAAAGAAAGGATTGGTTACTATAGCAATAGATTGTTCCTTTTTTTTTTCTGTTCAAGGTAAAAAGATTTGGTGTGATTGGTTATAAGACACACGTTCGATTTACTGGGAACCAATCAATGGCGGTCTGTACCTGGAGTTATAAGGTATTTCGAGCTACAGACTTTTTTATGTAGTATTATAATTTTTGTGGGTGTGATTATTGCAAAGTTTATTGAGGCTACCAAACTAAAATAAAATAAAATAAAATAAAATAAAGCAATTTAAGCTGTGTGCGTGTAGGTGTGCGCGCGCGCGTATAGAATGGATTGCATGTGTGTCTGTGTGTGCACTTGAATTCTATTTCTTCTCCTTGACCCTCTCTCTTTTTCTTCCTCTTCCTCTTTCTCTCTTTTTCTCTTTCTTTATATAACTATTAATTCCAACACAACATACGAAATGTCAACTCCTGATTCAATGCCAACTACACGTAATTACGGTTCAGTATCTGCACCTGCTCAGGTCGATGAAGAGAATCCAACCCAAGATCCATTCACTTCTCCAGCCGAATCATCCAGCACAAACTACATGTGCTGTGGGATATTCATATTACCCTTGGCTGCTATGGGTGGTTTATTGGATCAACTTAGTCGCAAATTCTCTCGCCATACACTTCCAAAATCATAAGACTTCCTTGATTTATTCTTCACTTTTCTTTTCTCTGCGTATAATCAAAACACGCCCCTCACAAATCCATATATCATCTAGACAACACATACACAGTTTATATAAACATAATATGGTTGTTATTTTTTCTTTATTTTATTTTATTTTAAAGAAAGAAAAAACCAGAAGCAATGCTTCTTTAAAAAAAAGTTGTATACGCGTGTGATGTGGTTTGGTGTGGTACGGTGTAGTGTTGTGTTGTGTGGTGTGATCTTCTTTTTATAATTATATATATAATCAAAAGAGTAAAAGTAAGAGAGAGAGAGAGATGTATATATAAGCATTATACAGGGATAAAACTTGATTTTTTAGGGATTAAGATGGTTGATGGTTGATGGTTGATGGTTGGTGGTTGGTGATTGATGGTAGGGTTTGGTGGGGTCTTTGACTTGATTTTTTTTTTGTTCGTTCGTTCGTTCGTTCGTTTGTTCGTTTAATCTTACTTTGACTTTTTGTCCTTCTTCTTCTTCTCAATAGGTTTAATAGAGATCATTCTGGGCATTATCTACGCAGAATCCATGGTTGTGCAAGGCTTTGCTTCGAACCTTGTCAAGTCTTTGTTTTGCTTCCATCTCTTCTCTTTGTGCAACAAGAATTTCTTCGACAGGAACTTCCCGGAGGTTGGCGCACTCTTCTTTCTCAGTATCCTTTATATTTATTTATTGCATTTTATTTTGTTTAATAAGCACATGCTATTTACCAAGTATAATATATATATATATATATATAATAGACTTACAAGTTCACCAAGAAGTACAACATTTTCACCTCGAATAATAAAAATGCCTCTAGGTATATCGCCAAAGCAGTTTCCAACATAGATCCTCTCAATCGTGTCTTGCAAGACAAGATTAGCTAAAAGATTAAATGTAAGTACAAATTTAAAGCAGAACAACCTTTCAAGAAAGAAAAATAAAATTAATGTACCAAACTGGTCGAATGACCGAAGTGTACCGATCAATTTACGTCCATCTCTCAAGACAACCATGAGTTTCTCTATAATTTACGTATATGTAATATTATTAAAGAAAACAAAAAATAAAAATAAAATTAAGAGTTTTGTATATATGTACATGTGTAATTATTTTTGTCACTTGTGCTTGTTAGTAATTATAATTTGGAAACGTACTGTCGACACTGTCAATGAGCCCAGTCGATGTAGTGAAGAGGGGTCCCGATGTTATTTCCATGATAAGAATTTAAGAAAGAATAAACAGTATATACGTAGTAGTAATATTTAATATTAAATATATTTTTTTAAAAAAAACAAATAAGCTTGCTTGGGTTGTTGTTATTAGAAGTAATAGTGGTGGTAATAGTGGTAGGTTGGTGGACGTGCAAAATAATCGTGTATTGTGTATGATGAGGTCTGAGGTTTGGCAAGCGGGTCTGTGACTTGAGCCGAGGATTCTGTGCATCCAAAAACTCCTATAAGCATTTTATTCTACGCTCATTGATCGATTCATCTGATTGGACTTCAATTTTTATTTTATTTTATATACAAATAGAAAAAAAAAAGGCCTCACTTTCAACTTTGTCAATCTGATCTTTCTCTTCTTCAACTTCATCTATACAAAACAACAACCGTCTCTATATATATTTGATTTTAATTTTATAATAACGAGTATCCTGCACCCTGGCTTGTATTGACTATTATAATAAGAATGGATCTTTATGGTCCAGATACGATTGGTACAATCAAAATGTCGTCTAGCTAGGATTAGCGGTTCCTGAGCTTTCAAATCCGTAAGACACTATTCCCAATGGTACCAAAGCGAATTCAGAGTAAGTCGACAGAAGTCTGTTGCACTTGATAATCATCTTTTTTTGTTAGATTCTTGCCGGTATCCATTGAACCAGATCAAGATGATCGTCTGTGCCTCGATAACCTGGATGTTTCCTCCAAGTTTTTTGAATTCCAAACCCATGTGCACAATAGTACTGATAATAATGGTAAAATACTGACAGTAGAGAATAGTGGGCAACATCTCTTGGTCAGTTTTAGCAAAAACAATAAAAAAGGCTTGTTGATCTTATTTCCTTCTTTAATTTCAAGGCGCTTTCATCTATCCCGTTGTTAAAGCCCAGCCTTGCTCATGCAGATCTCTTTCAGTTCGTTAAGAATGATGTGAGCGACCTCATTGTCATGCTGAAAAGACTCAGGGCGTGGGTGTATCAAAGTCCAGCACCCTTATTAAACTTGCGACTTACCAGGTACTAAAAGGCACGAAGCACAAGCAGCTGTAGCGTACCGCCACGTTCAACATTCTGTCAACAATGACTAATGATGGATCTTTGCAGGATGAAATTATTTTATCTTACTTCTAGTTTGTCTACCTTTACTTAACGCCATATGCCTGAAATCATACATGTGCCAGTATTTAGCTCTTAAAAAACAGACAGTAAATTTATTTAAAGGAGTCAATAGTGTGTTGACTCTCTACGAGCCTTCTTCATCTCATGTATGCCATTACACTGGTAAAATAACTTTAACAAATTATCTAGCCTTTTTAAACTACGCAATATTTTTTGACCTTTTAGGGGGGGGTTTTTTTTTTTAAAAAAAAAGTAGTTGTAGACAGATGAAACGGAAAATGATTGGCTAGATTAGATTTTTTTTTTTAAAAAAAAAAATTCCATCTGTACCGCTAATATAGAGACAGAAATGTAAATTATGCGCAGATACAGAGTTTCGCATTAACAAATAAGAATATGAGATCAATTATTTGAGGTAGTCACAGGTTAAATTCAAAGAAGTCGACCATTCAAAAAATATGGTCCGTGATTCCGAAACAACGACATAACGATGATGTTTATGTTTTATGTACACACCGTAAATGCCATATAAGTTATCTTATGGTTATAACTACTTATTGAATTATGTATATATAAAGCTCAGAGAAGAATATGATTTTATCCAAGATGCTTTATATGGAGAATACAAGGCAACGATTGGGATCGTCAAAGACGAGTTGTTAGAGCAGCTTCTTGCTCTTAAGAGTGCAAACCTCTTTATCTCGACATATTAAAAAAAACGCCCACATATATATATGCAAAAGTTGAATTCACACTAAAAAAACAAAGCCTGTCAAAGAAAAAGAAAAACACGGCAGATTTGATCCAAAGTATATTAAAATTTGTTAGCCTACTCCAGTAACATTGCATATCTTACAAAACATGCTTTATTTCGTTGATGCAGCTGGATACAATACCGGTTTGATTAGTGGGAGAGGGTGATAAAAAAAACCCCCCAAACAAGCATTGAATCTTTCACTTATGCTAGTCATATTATATCAAAGTGTCAAAGACGTTGGGCGAAAATGGCTGCAGGTGATACAGACGCACAACTATTCCTTCAGTTTGTCAAGAAAGCCGCAGCGAGCTTAGATAGAGACAATGTCGTTTCCCATTAATTTATTATGGACAATAATGACACACATACAGCTAAACTTTTAAGATATTACTTACACAGCCACACGAGGCACAGGTGTCATATCCTTCCCTTATATCACTCATTCTTGAACCCCCTAGAGGAATGTTTTTCAAAGTTAAATAGTTTGGCTAAAAGAAACCCTGGTCTCTCTGCTGATGAAGCTGTAAAACGTATTATGCTTTGTAGTAAGCAAATCTGTAAAGAAAAGTATGAATGTTAGGCTGATAACAGTATTATTATTTTTTAAATAATTGAAATGTAGACTTTTTTTTCAAATTAAACCTGTGTCTACTTCAAAAGATTGATTCGAGTTTCTCATTTTTGTATGCAAAACCCTGTATCTCCCTTTCTTTTTAATGATTTGAAAGATTGAAACTACGAATGTAGGTCATGTGACCCATTTTCTTCCAAGCTTTTTAAATATAAAGAAGAAAGATACAGCAACCTGGCTTGAAAGTCATGAGTCTAGCTTGTCATCATTACCTATTAAAATGTCAAAAAGATTACCATACGATGTTTTATCGTACATTGCAAAATACATCGAAAGGGACACTCAGTTGACGTGTGCAGTAGTTTGTAAACAATGGACAGAACCATTTCTAGATGCGTATTGGCATTACCCATTTATCAACAGTAAAGCATTAAAGTCCCTTTGCAAAAAATCCAACCGTAACAACGTCCATCTAAGGAACTTACATCGCACGCGGGGATTAACTACTTACTACCTAACAGAGAAAGAAATGAAGCTTTTCCCAACACTACAGCAAATTTACCAGAACATAAACCACGTTGAATACATTGAAGCCACTGATTACGAGCCAATTTTGAATACTACCGATTGGTCTCCCTGGAAGTCATTGAGACGCCTGAAAATCGATTATGACTATACTTGGACAGAACTAGTTCGAGATATCTTGTTTACTCTATCACCATTGACTTCCCTGGTTCATTTTATATTCAAGACAACTTCTTCGCACGATGATGATATTAAAGGGTTGCATTTAGAGTGGGAAGACATGGAGCTGCTTCACGACTACTTACCACGACTGGAGTATTAGAGTCAGTAAAAGAAATTGCTCCGGCAAAGACCATCAAAGAGGTGTGCTTTGACAACGATTCCCTTTCTACACCCTGGATGTTTTACTTTGCTTGCAAGTACCCAAATCTACAAACCATCAGATTCAAAGATGGTTATAGATCTCCAGAATCTATTGAGGAAGATTACGAGCCAAAATACTACAAAGATGACCTCCAAATACTATCATGCCTTGACCAATTCTTTCCTTGTTTGAAGTCAGCACATATATTTACAGAATCCTGGAACGGTTGGCCATTTTCTTTATTCACCTCGTCTCTTAAACATTTCGGTGTAAAGCTAGAGTTTCTTAACTACGGTACAAACTCGTTCGGTCCAGACTGGCTGGTTCATTCAAACAGATGCTTGCAACCTGTGGCAGACTCAGTACAGACTATGAAACTAGATATTGCGTATGCCGATGACAATAAACTACGTACGAACGATTTTAATTTATATCCATCACTGGTTAAATTACGCATTACCCTCCGGTCTCGACCCAGAATAAACATTATCCTGGATAAATGTCCAAAATTACGGATATTAGATTTGAGCCAGGGTGAAGCGTTAAGTCTCTCAAATTATGCAAAGCACAGCCAAAACCAAAGCCTCAGTATACATCCATTGCGAAGATTGAATGCCCAATCTACATCTATCCACCCAGAAATTTTTAAATACCTATCCTTCCGATGTCAACAACTTTTGGACCTGAAATTATGCAAAATTAATTTAATTGAAGGTGATTGGCTCAAAACTGGACAGCTACACATGGACATGCTGTTCTCACAATTGAACACATTCGAGCTTGCCCAAATACATTTCTCCAAACAAAAAACCTTTAAATTATTTGCCATTGCGCAAACCGAGAATACCAATACCAATTCCACTTCCAATACCAATACCAATACCAATCCCGATACCGATATCAATCTGCCGGAGCAGAGCAACCAGCCACAATTGACCCAGTTAAAGTGGTATCACGTATGTTTGGATAACTCCAGTGGAAAACAAAAAGCTGCCATATGGGAACTTGGGAGTCAGGACATCGACTTTGCTCAGAGATATTACGAAAACTTTCCGGAAAACCAAGCACGCGATCAAGCCCACGACCAAGAGCAGGAGAACTTACCGCAACCTTCGGCTACAGGGCTGATACCAAGAAGCGATTGGCAAAAGGATCTTCAGTATGGTGTTATTATTATTCGAGTCAAATCTGTCAAATACTTTATTTTCGATAGCATCTTACTAAAGACATAGTGATACTGACACGATGGAAAACGAGCCACAAAAATAAAATAAAATAAAAAGTAAATCACCAAGTAAAATTGAGATGACACCACTAAAAAAAGACGGGGCGATTCAGAGAGTAGTTTTGAAAAATGCTTGTGTTTTTTTTTCTCTCTCATAACGTGAGGTAGAAAAAATTACCATTCATTATGTGAATATTATATATATATTTGTAGGAAAACTAATTTTAATCGATTTAATTATCCTGGTCTGGTTCACGAATGGTTCAAAAGATGATTGTATTTTTGGGAGGCCTTTCCAGCATGGTCACAAAGGTATATTGTCGCTTGTAATTTTAAAGACGCTTGCAAGGACTGGTCAACCAAAGCTTTGGTTTCGCTTATATCATTCTTTTTTTGAATATAGGCTCAATTTACATGTCTTTTTTTTGCTACCTCATTAAACCATATCGTAAATTCAGCCTCAAAGGCCATGATAATAATTGATAACATCTTACAGGCCCGACATAGACAGGAAGAACATGACTTTAGTAGCTAAAAGAAAAATCCTTTGAAAAGAAGTGTCTATATTGACGAAAGTGACACATTTTTGGCTGGGACTTACTTTTGATTGTGGCAGTTTAATGGCATCGGTGTTTTTCTAAAAAAAAAAAGAAAAAAAAGAAGAAGAAGAAGCGTACATACTATGAAAAAGCTGGTTTTCTTGGTAGCTTTTTTATAGTCACCATTAGACTTGTTAGAATGTTGGTAAAAAAAGAGCCAGACCTTCATACCTTCACACCCCACCTCATCTTACTTCCCTTTCATATTTCTCTCAAATATTTAAAATAACTTTACACACACTGATATACATTTATATATATATATATATATATTAATCAGTTCTCAAAGATATTTTTTGAAATGTCTAGATTTGAAGAAATATTCCCGCAATCAATGTCTTTCCTTCTTCTTCCTAGTGACCTGTAATTCTGTTCTTTTAAATACATCCCATTTTTAGATTTTTGGCTTTTTATTGCTAATATTTACTAGAACCAATATATATATATATTCTTTCTTTCTATTCTCATTAATACAGCATGATAGGTTTATGGAGAAGGAAGGAAGGAAAGAATGATTTAAATTTCGGGTCCGTCCGGTCATCTACTGCACCAAGTGTTACAAGGTCCAAAATGAAGATTTTAGCCAATTAAACCTGTTTCTCAAAGAGCCAAGAATCTAAAGGCTATAATATAAGTTAAAATAAATAAGAATCATAGATAAAGAAGAAGAAAGTACTACTATTACTACTATACATTCTTCAGTCCAGATGGTCTGAGTGTGGTGGTGTGTGACTGTAACATACAATCAACACACCTGGTCAATCTCCTGCTCATGGCTTCTTTGACTCCGCTGTTCATACAACACTTAATAAATTCAAGATAGAGAACATATGACATTTGAATTAAAGAAGTGTAAATTCGAGTATCTGTAGAGTGATTGATATCAAGAGATCTCAACAAAAGACACACCCAAAGATATATATATATCTGGTAGTACAAAGAGAAAGATGGATTCTGGTAATGAAACTTCACAGAGTACTGATGGTTCATTAATATACTTTGTACAAGAGATAAATGCTGTTTATTTTAAGCCATACAGGAAATCTTGAACAAAAAGAGAAATAATAATAATAGAAACTTTATTTATTTATGTATTTATTTTCCTGCTTAATAATACACTTGTAGAGAATTATTCTCGTCTACAAAGAGGCTTTGATATAATTGAATATTCAATGTGAATAATATGCTGACTGTATAAAGCAGTAAAAGGAACATATACGAGTGCAGAAGATGGGGCAGTTAAACAAGCACTATACATTTATATATATATATATATATATAAGAGAAAGAGAGAGAGAGTTTATTGCTAGGCCAAAGATTGATCTTAGGTTCCAGATTTTGATCTTCGGCTCCGGATTTTTTTTATTTATTTTTTTAAAAAAAAAGAAACTGTATTTGGAATATTGTGTAAAGTAGATTTGAAACCTCCTCCTTCTTCTTTTTCCACGTCAATGATTAATTTCAATCGTTTGATGAACTTGAGCTGAATACTGTTCAGTACAAGGAAGTATTACTTTAAAGGGTTTGCAAGAGGACCCTTATCTGAGTTAAGTATAACTTTGTTTTTTGTAGTATGTCATACGTTTCGATTGTTATTTGCTAATATATTTAAAGGAGAATTATATTAAAAAAGAGTAATTTATCGGTATGATTTCATTAAATGGAGTGATTGGATATGAATATGCATTGACTAGAAAGATATACTAATAAGCAACCTGTCAATTTGATCCAAGATACTCTAATGTCTTATATGAACAACTTCTTCTATTAAAAAAAAAGTATTTAAAATAGAATATGACTCGGTGCTGGTGCATTAGAGTCATTAAGTGCGACAGGTGGAATGTGTAGGTGTGTTGTGAATAGATCTATCCATATAAAATTTGTAGTTCTAGAGCCTAATCCATATCTGTTTGTATTCCAATTTATCTTGGTTTTCTTTTTTTTTGGGATTATTTCCAAAGTTGCCTTCTAGTGCAATTTGTACCTCTATTGATCTGTGCACTTTGTCAGCTAACAATTTTTATTATTATTATTTTATTTCGTTTTCTTCTCTTCATTTACAACCACCATTCGAATCTCCAGATACTTCCATATCCAATATTAAACCTGGCTCAATTGGAACAAATTTCCTATATATATATATATATATACATAATATATGTAGAAACAGAAATACCCTTTTGACAATTAAGGTCTGCTTTTTATTTATAAATATTCAACCAAATGTATTTAGATTTTAGATCTCCGGTGATTGCATTTTGTTTTAAGATCCGCAGTTTTGGGACCGTATGCACTGTATTTTGCCTCTTCTTCTCCTTTTTTATTTATTTATTTATTTAAATAAATAAATAGTAATAAAAAGAAAAGTATATTTGCGCGCGCGTAACCATGTTGCAACCAATCAGTCAACTTTAAAGACCATTTTTGTCATTCTCTTCCAGTCTAGGATTTCTTTATTTGGTGATACTTTATTTTTGCTTTATTTATTTATTTATTTATTTACTTTTGCTTTCTCCGAGCCTTGACGATCTCTTCTGTTTTCTCCTGGTTTTTTTTTGCTTGCTAATATATACCAAATAAAGACTAAACGCATCTTGAGCGTATGATGATAATAGCATATATATATGCATATTCTTTTATCAAGGGAAAAGGGTTATTATCACAAGGAAAGATGCGTTTAAATTCACGATCAAATGTGCGTTCCCATGGCTACATCATCAGTCTGTTCAGTTCAATTTAGGTTGGGTTGATTTACCTTAAAAATAAAAATATTAACAGGAAAGAAAGAGGCGTCAAGAGTTTCAAGTTTTCCTTTTTTGGAGAGTGAGGGGATGGTCCATTCTCTTTGGTTTGTGGTCTGTCACACCTTTCTTTTTGCTTTCACTTGTCCGGAAAAGAGAAAGATCCATAGATCAAACTCCGGTCCATTGCTTCTAATGCGGGGAATCTCAAACTGTGCCCTCCTTTTTCTTCTTCTTCTTCTCTTTATATTTCTTTCTTCACTTCTCCTCTTCTACTTACACTTCTTTATTTCATTTTCTTGCTCCAAAAAAAAAAGATGTCTACATCGCCACCTGAAAAAGACCGCACCAAAAAGCGCAAAAAAGTTTCTCTTGGTACAGAAATATTTAAGATTAATGATAGATTTTTGTTAATATGTGGATCCACCCATTAATATGCATATATATATATATATATTCATATTCATATACACATACACATACGCACACACTAAATGACTTGCTAATATATATATATATATATATATGTATATATATATATAATCAATGCCATATACAAACTTCTTTATTCTAAAAACAGCATGTGTATTCTGTAGAAGATCACATATGACTTGCGACGATGGTAATAAATAAAAACAAGAAATAAAAACAAGAAATAAAAATGTTTACTTTCTGTACTTTTTTCTTGTTTTGTTTTTGTTGTTGTTTTTTTTTTGGAAATTATTACTGTTATTATTTGGTAGGTCGACCTTGCCAACGATGCACCAAACGTAATATTGGTCACAAATGTTATGACACTCCCCGTCCAAGTGCCAAGAAGCGTGCGTCTGCTACTCTAGATATTATCTCACCAGTTTCAGCAGACGACAAACTAGTTATCTGGGGCAAGTATAAAATAGCTATAAATTATAAATTATACTCTTATTTTTATTTTATTTTTTACAAGAGAGAGAGAGAAATATATATATGGATATATAGAAATACACACATTTAGATTTATATATAGTGGCTTGTGCACCATTTGAATGGCGTGGGAAAACAAAATAGGAAAGGTGGGGTAAAAAGAAAAAGAAAGAAAACAAGATTTACTAAAATAATAAAAATAAAATTTTGTACACACTTCTTTATATATACAAAATAATAATTACAATAACAGATACTCCTTTAACGAAATCAAAAAGTCTTCTTGAATTCAATCCCAACAGCGACTCTCCTTTTGAAGAAAAGTATGTAAAGAAAAGAAAGCAAACCAAAGGAAAACATGAACCATACATTTTTTATAATCTTTTTTTTTTTAACCTGATTGAATTAACTATATAAATCATATAAATCGTATTATATTCAGTGTCAATGAGTCCGTGTCCAGAGAGAGGCGCGAAAGTATGCGAGAAAATTTCTTTCTGATCGCTGCCGATCCTACTGACGGAAATATCGAAGACCGTCTCAACCAAATAATCAATGCAAAGTATGAAGCAGGCTTTCTTAAACCATACAACTACGTCAATGGATATGCTCGTCTTCAAAGATACATGGATCAACAGTAATTATATATAGATACACTCTACATTTAATTCACTAGCAGTAATGAACCATTTGATTTATTCTATTCTTTTAAAAAAAAATTAGTATGTCTTCTAATACCCGTCGACGAATCCTTAATGTAATGGGTACCTTTCGACCAGCATTTCGAGAAATCGCTCAGTCCCTGACAGATATTGACCTTATTCTTGTCGAAGAAGCATTTGAAAGACTATTACTTGTAAGAATTTAAACATGAATATAAACACAATTTATAGTATCCTTTTGACAAGATCAAAAACAAATATGAAACACTCTCTCCCTTTTTTTTTTAACAATTTTCTTTCAAAAAAAAAACACACATATAGGATTACGATCGTGTCTTTAGTGCAATGGCAGTACCAGCCTGTCTCTGGCGAAGAACAGGCGAAATTTACAAGGGAAACAAGGAATTTGCTTCTCTAATTGATGTTCCAGTTGATCAACTAAGTGATGTAAGTCAATTATAAGATATACTGTGTATATGTATGTGAATATTAATTAACTAATTAATTCATAAATAAATAGGGAAAACTATGTATTTATGAAATTATGGCTGAAGAATCAATTGTTAATTACTGGGAGGTAAAGAAATAGTAATAACGATGACTATAGACTTCAACTAACCAAAGGTCCTGTTAATAAACACACGATTTAATATTGTAGAAATATGGTAATATTGCATTTGATCCTCGGCAAAAGGCTGTCCTGACTTCCTGTCTCTTGCGAACAAAGAAAAAATCAGTCGTTTTATCTTGCTGTTTTTCATTCACGATTCGAAGAGACCGATATGACATGTAAGCAAACTGTCTATTAATTACTATTGTTGTTTAACTTCTTTCTTTCTTTAAAAACTAAAAAATACGATATAGACCCGTAAGTTAATGTTTCAATATTGAAACGACTTTTCTTTCTTTTCTTAAAAAAACAATTACACAATATTAACCTAAAATAATAATGATGATAATCAGCAATTGTTATCATTATCATTATCATTATCATTACTGTTGATAAATGATAAATGATAAACTATAATAACCTTTTGTTCTTACTCTTATTATTTCTATTATTATCTGTAGACCATAATAGTAGGCAATTTCCTACCCATTGAAATCCAATCATAGCACACGCTCTTCCCCTCTCCAAAACCCAAAATCCTCCAACCTCTTTTTGTATTCTGTATTACACCATCCCTTCACCCTTCTCATTTTTTTTTTTAAAAAAAAACCTTTTTTCTTATATATTCTTCTTTCTTTATTTTTGCTTTTTTAAATAACAAAATAACTCTTCGCACAATTCACAATTCACAATTCACATATTAAATTACATATAAGGAAAGACAGGAATTACACATAATTATATGTGTAATGTAGATGTGTGTGCATAAAAGGAAGTAGCTGAATTATTACAAGTATTTTATTGATTTATTATTATTTGTTTGTTTGTTTGGTTGGTTGGTTGTTTCATGATTGGGAATCTATGGCTTGCCCCAATCCTTTCAAGATGGCTGCCAAGCCCCATGCACCAGCATCGGGAAGTCCAGATGTCAAAACATCTTCTGTGGCCAGATAGGAGGCTCTTCCCATCTTGGCTGTCAGTCTACGTGTAGACTCTGCTCCCTTTAATCCCGCCTTGACTGCATCATCAACCGACATTTCCTTGGACCCAAGTGCATTGACAAATGGTGTCAGTACATCCATCAGAGTACGGTCTCCAACTCGTGCCATTGTGTACTGCTGAAGAATCAACAGAGCATGGCGGGCAGCTAAAGTTATATATATATATATATATATACATAAGTATAAGTAATAATCCATGACTGTGTTTTGGTTTACCTGTTGCCCACAATACACGATTATCTTTTGGAACAGGTGATTGTTGAAGACCGGCTGCAAGTGCATTGAGAAAGATACAGTAGATTGCAGATGAAGTGCCTCCAACGGTACGTTCTATTGTGTCTGCCAAGCCAATAATGGTGTCAGATGCCGAACTAAGATCCAGACTAGGAAGAATCTTGAGAATGGCTACATAATTGATTATTGGTTATTGTTACTATAATGCATATGCGCATATATATATATATATATCCATTACCTGTCGCGGCTGCTTTGAGAGTGTGTCCACAATCACCATCACCAAGAATTGTGTCAAGTGATGTGATCTCTGGCTCTACTTCAATCACAGCATGGGCAGCAGACTCAATAACAGCCTTGATAACCTCAGGATCTAAAATAATAAATACGTATATAAGCTATATAAGCTATATAAGCTATATACTAACTTTGGGGTATTTGAAGTGTTGCTGGTTTATTGGTCAGACTAGGCTGCACAGACGACAATGATTCTTTTGTGGTCACAAATTCATGGGCTGGTGCAAGTGGCCAACCTGCAACCTTGACAGGATAATCCAGCAACTCCAACATCTTGGGGTCCACTATTTTTAGCAGCGTCAGTGAAAATCCAGGCATGTTCAGACTGGTCACAAATGGGGCTGCCAGGACACGTTCTAGGCTGAGATGAGATTTTGTGAGGATGTAGTCCACGGCTTCTTTGACTGCGCCATTGAATTCAAGCATCGATGTTCCGCCCAGGTTGTTGACAAACAGGACTATCTTGTGGCTCTGATGGTCGGCTTTGTTGAATGGCAGGTCCAGGTAGGAGCGCTCGGGATCGTCCTGGTCGATAAGGATGTCCATCATGGTGGCTACCAAAGCTTTTGTGGACGTCAGAGGTGTCTTGAGGAACCCGGGTTCGTTGTGGATACCCATACCAAGCTCAATCTCATTTGGACCCAGGCTGGCGAGGTGGCTGTCTGCAGAACTTCCTGGAACATGGCAGTGGTCCAGAGCGACACCCAAGGTAGCAGCATTTTTAATACACATCGATCCCATTTGAGACACCTCTTCCAAACGAGCACTATGAATAGTAGTTTTATAAGTTGGATATTATACTGTAGATTATAGATGACTATAGAGTCTTATCATTTAAATAAATATATAATTGTACACTTTGTAGTGTTTGTACTTTTGATTTATTTATTTATTTACCCAGTAGCAGCCATTGCACCAGCCAGTTTGATAACCAGTGTAGTGGCAGCCAAACCTCGCCGACCAACCTTTGAACCTTTTGTGCGGCCAATCGACACGTCGTCGTCAACTATAATCATCGTGACCTTGATTCTCTTTGCTTTTGCCCGCTCAACAGCCAGTCCAAAGTTGAGACAATCCCCAGTGTAGTTCTTGACAATCACAAGAGTGCCATGAGGAGATTGGACACGTTCAATTGCAGCCAGAACCTGGCTTGATGATGGTGATGCAAACACATTCCCACACACTGCAGCAGTAAGCATTCCACTGCCCACACTTCCCGAGTGAGCAGGTTCATGACCAGAACCACCGCCTGCAATCATCGTAACCTGAGACTTTGCAATCTCATCAACATTTGCACAGTAGATGACTAGAGAGTATTGTTATTGTTAACATTAATAACATACTTTTCTTTCACATTTTTTTTTTTTGCTTTCTTCCTTTATTAAATTTATACATTACCATTGTGTTTTGAATCTAAACGGAGATGAGGGTATGCATAGCATAGTCCTTGAAGGCTCTCTGTGACCAACTAGCGTACATTATTATTATATATATATATATATATTTACACAGATTTATAATTCAATTTTTATTATTATTATTATAAATATTAATATTAATATTATTGATCTTGATCTTGATGTTATTATTATTCAAAGAAGTATCGTTATTGTGCCTTATCTATTAAATATATTTATATATCTATTCTTTTTTCTTTCTTTTAATAAATACCGTATTTGGATCGTTCAAGAGGTGTTTTTCTTAATAATAAATTTTGTAAGCAGTCTATTTGTTTTTCTTTCCTTCTTTCTTATTTAATACTTGTATATGCATGTGTATCTGGTTTATTGATATAAGCTTACTTGGATATAAAGTATGTGACATGGTGTAAAGAAGTAAGATTGTCTGTGTGACCTCATCTTTCTACTGTTGTATATATTTATATTTGTATTTATATATATACTTACTTTAGTGATTCTGGAAGGTACAGTTGTACACCTAGTAGGGGAGCCAATGGCACACTCTTCCAAGTAACTTGGAACTAAGAATCAAACCAGATGTCACCCAGTTATGCACTATACTATATTCAAAAAGAAGCTCTTTAATCTGACAAATCAAATATCTTATTTCTCCACATCACAATCATGGCGGGAGTTTTTTTTCTCTTCTTTTTCTTTATTTCATGCCTGTGTGTATACTGTGCCCAGAATACAATTATCTAATCAGCACAGTTCTTTATAAGTCTTTTGGCTGTCTATCTCTTCTTTTCTCTTTATTGCACTCAATCATTATTACTATCACTATCAATATAATTCCTTAATCATGTTCTAAACAATATTTATTGGATACTACAAGACATTAAAGGGGCTTTTGCTAGTAAATTACATCTTATATATGCATATTATATACATATATATATATATAGGGTGGTTCATGATCTTTCCCACATTCTTACCTTTCTTTACTTGCCATCATCTCAACAACTCCGCTAACAAGAGCATTTACTTTCTCTCTTTCTCAAATTACTGCACTAATTTTTAGCAGAAACTACAAATATATATATATATAATATTAGTACAAAGTACGCAGTATATATACTACACTAATTTTCAATTGAATTTATACGTATAAAGGATATATAGGCTTCAATATTTTGTGCAATATTTCTTTGACTTGTATATTTGCAGTTGATGATGCTATCTAAAAATGACTTTTGACTCTAGCAACGTTTTATGGTCATTAGCAAATGTTTCTGGTCCAAGCGACCCATTGACAAATTCTGCTGTTGATATGACCTATGTGTCATCGCCGATTTCTGCTAGGACATGCATATCTACTTGATCTCTCAATCCTTTATCAAGTAGTTTCCTTATTTGTGGAGGAGGAAATTATAGGTGTCCACACCTTAACAATATAGTATTATTCAGTGGTCTTTTGATATCTTCTCGTTCTTAACATAGATTCTGGCTTACCAAAGAGATAAATGCTACCAAGTACTATTAGAAGAGTTTACTTATTTGTTTCATAAGACTTACATGTGAGAATAAACTTCAAAACACGTCTCATTGGGAGTGAAGGCATATTGACTCTGTAGTGTGATAGAGAGTTGGTATGCCCCTATTATGAAATTGGTAGTCATCTACAGTCATCTCTGTTTAGTCTCGATGAATCATAAAAAGAAAAATATCAAAATTCTTTTGATGTGTTCGGGTAAGGATGCCATTCTTCTCGGGATTTAGACCCTATCTTTTATCCCCTCCCATGCATCTTCAGTAAACAAGGATTTTTGGGATCCTTTTGAATCACTGTTATTTGACGCTTGTTTCCATTTTAATTATGGGGACAAGATAGATTCTTTGATATGCTCTGATAGCCAGAAGATTTTATCTAGAGAAATATGGACTTTATGAATAAAGGTTTGTTAATAGAGAGGGTGTCTTCGAGCCTGAATTGCAAATGTTTGCAATTTTTTATTTTACGCGGCGAATTAAATTCCAATACTTGTTTTGCAAATTTCATGGTGGAGGCCATTTAGTGAGCATTTGAAGCCAAAAGTTAGGTAATCCCTGATTTTTTACTTCAAATGCTCACTAAATTTCTAGTAAAAATTGGGCTTATTTTTCCCACTTCAAAACAAAATGTACGATAGCCAGTAGCCTCTTCTTCATACTTACTTAATAAAATAGGCCTTGGAAAGTCAAGTTTATTAAGGTCTATTTCCTCTAAATTTCTTAGTATCAATGTTTTCAACTTATAATATTCATAACTGTGTCTGAGCTTTATTCTTATTTTTGATTGGGTTTTACAAATAATTATTTTTTAGTCATCTTGAAATTATCATAACTCGACACCCTCTCTAATGACTGTGCCAGACCATAAATTGTGGCCTTTCTTTTTTGGCGGCATAAAATAACTCTATCGGGTCCCTACGGATACATAATATTCGTAAAAATTTTCTGTTATGTTTTAAGAAAGAAAAAGAGTGCATGGAAATTATTTACCAATTGATGCTTTCAAGCTCTGGTGATATATAAATATGTAAAAGAAAGATAAAGACATGATACACATAAGAAGGGCTAATAAATAGCAAAACATCCTTGTAATCTTTTGCATAACTGGCTATTGTTGATATAATGCTTCATTATTATCCTTGTACGAGGCAGCATATTGCCCTGAAGGATTAAAGAAAGACACCGGACAACGAACACCGGGGGGATAGCCTGGTTAAATAGAAACGTCGGTCCCCGTAGAATCTTTGGGAGGGGGAAAAGTGTCGGGGCCGAATGATTAGCAAGTGTATACCTTTGTGTGCCAAATGCTTCCCATCACTGTAAAAGATGTGATGGAAACAATTTGGGGGTATATTTATGTAAGATAAGGTAAGGTAAGGTAAGGTAAGTATATGGGTTAATTGTATATGTCATCCTCAACCTATCTTATTATTTTTTTTACTTTTATTTATTTACATTTACGTAAATATATATTTCGATTGCCTTTTATGTCCTGTGTTGTACCTTGGTTACATTTATACTTTCCTATCCAATGATTTTATCCCTCGGCTTATTGGGCACCTTTCTCTTTCTTTCTTATGATTCTTCTTGTTCCTCAAGATCTATTATTATTATTATTATTATTATTATTGGTCTCATTCTTTTAGCCTACCACATTATATAGATAGAGACTTGAAATTGTAGACCATTGCCTTTAAGATTCAACCTTTTGAGACATATATATATATATATATTTCTATTTGTTTATTTCAGTTGATGTTGTGTAAATAATTACCAGTTGTTTTACAATGGGTACACATCTCCAAATACAGCATTTTCCTTTACGGTACTTTTCTCCTTTATATGTACATACACAAATGCATATGACTCTTACTTGTATTCTCACAGTAAATAAAGAAAAATAGCAATAAAGGCTTTCATTTCTTACCAAACGTGAAAATAGCAGATTATTTTATGTATATGAATAAAATAAAATAAAAAAAAGAGTGAAAAGATTGTACTATTATTATTATTATTTGTATGATAGTAAATTATAGTGCTAATAAACAGGTTACCTGATATACATGTGTTACATGGACTTGTTTGATGCAATCAATAATCGTATCTTATTAGATGAACAAGAAAACCCGGGTTTAATTATAGCAATAAATATAATTCACTTTAATTCAATTCAATTCAATTCAATTCAATTCAATGACATTGTATTGTATTTAATTTGTATCTTAAATCTATAGCTCTTCTAATCCAACTACAAATTTTTGTCTTTATTTTTTGACATAAAAATAATCTTTAAATTCATTGATTTTATTGTCATTGTTGTAGTGCTGGCAGTGACTAGCAGTGACTGGCAAAGTCTAGAGTTTTCTATCTATTGAATTATTAAAATAAAAATGAAAATAAAATATGTAAAATCAATCTGTAATAAATTTTATCTGTTTCTCTGTTTCTCATTTTCTATGTCAATCTTTGTGTCCAAAAGGTTAACTCTCTTGTTTTGTTTTGTTTTGTTATAACTAATACTCAGCCTCAGCCGTTTTGTCTATATAATTTCGTTTTTTGACAAGAGCTGTGCCGAGTTACTTTATGGTTCTATAGAATAGAAGGTCGGGTAGAATGTATATATATGTATCTCAGGAATGGAGCAGATTTCTAGCAGATTCCATATCCAGAAGATTCTGTCATTTTCAAATTTCTTATGCCATTATAATATCTGTTGTTGTTCTTGAATGAACAAATGACTGCATTGCATTGTATTGATGAAATATACGATATGTACCAAGTGTATTATATTCAGTTAATATAGTTTCTAATAAAGATTTCAAATTGATTCTTGATCTTCATAATATCATATTCATTTAATTTCAAGACATTAACATGGTATGTATTTGGAAATAAGAGCAAATTCAAATTCAAAAAGCCGAGGGTGAAGAGAGCACAGGTTGACTTTTTATACATCCAAATAGCGCCAAGGCTTGTACTACACATCTTGGTCCTGTCCTATAGAACCACAAATAGGACATGCGACAGTGCAACATCTCTCTCTCTCTTTTTTTTTTCTGGTTCACAGGATCCCATGTCTTTTAGTTTCTTTTTTCCTGACATGAAATACTATGTATTTATATACAAGTATTATAATAGGCCAATTATCTATCTATACATATAATACATATTGGTGTTTTACATACACCTATTATTGTCTAAAGAGATCAAAACGACTACAGCCTTTATGGTGCATAATATGTATATATATATATAATGAAAGAAGAAAGAGAAAGAGATAGAGATAGGACGATTATTGCATACTGGATTTGATCCATCAATGGGGACTTTCCCAACTGAGGCTGCTGTTGCGCAGTAAGTTTCCCAAAATATATTCTCATGTCTAAATCGAATGACTCCTGTGTAACCCTGTTCACACGAGGAAGAACTAAACTTGCTGCGACTTTAATATAAAAGTATAATATACAAAGAGAGTACGCAAGCCACCCAATCGAAATATACACCAAATACACCAAATACACCAAATACACCAAATACACCAAATACACCAAGTAAGATAGGCACACACACATATACACCAAAATATTTTATTATAAAAATTATATACATATTATATATATATGGATAAAAAAAAAATGGGGAGGTATAAAATAGAATCCGCAGTGCAGCCAAACGAGTCCTTTTGCCTTTTTATTACTTTTCCTCACTTATATTATAAATATATACTTTATTAAAAACCACCAGAAACCTTCAATCGGTATACAACAACCCACTTCAACTACAACTACCACAACCAATACAAAACACCTATCACTTTACTACCTCTACCTCTCTACCAAACGAACGTCTTTCTTTACCACTAAAGAAAGAAACTAAAGAAAAAAAAGTTTTTCTTTAAAAAAAATCACAGCATCTACATTGACATGTTCAGCAACCTTCAGTAACCCATAATTCTCACCCACCAAAACCCAAGCTACGAATCTCCATCGAATCTTCAACCAACTACAAACCAATTTTAAATACAAAAAAAAAGAATATATATATATAACTCAGCCTGCTTTGATCTTTATTTTCTTCTTCTTATTATTATTATTATAGTATTTCTTTATATATTTTTAATTATTTTGAAATACGAACAAAAGAACAACCAAACCGAACCAAACCAAACCAAACACAACACAACACAACTTCATCTATTGAATCCTCAGAATTTTGCCATCAACTGAACCGATTCTTTATCATTCGACAATCTACTCTTCTGACGATTCCTAAACCAATCTAGAAACCAACAAGCGACACCTCTCTCTTTCTCTCTCTCTCTCTCTCTCTCCCTCTCTCTCTTACACACAGCTCTATCATTGAAATGACTACCTCAGATATGCGCCTACCTGGTTTCCAACAGCCAGTGGGGACATTGGCTGTTCAAAACAATTGCCTCTACAATCCCAATCCCAACAAGGACTCCCCCTATCCTGGTCATTGCATTCAACCTTACTCCATGCCAGACACACCAACCAGTGCTGCGTTTGATACATACCAACCTTTACCTACACCCAACATCAACACCAACACCACCATAATTATTAATAATAATAGTAGTAGTAGTAATGGTATTACTAGCCTTACTACTCCTACCTCTACTCATGTTACTACCGATTCACCCGGTCAGCAACCCTGTACATATTCGATCCTGCCTTTTGAAGAGCAACCCTGTCCTAAATACCGTGAATTTCTCGAAGCATCTCGCCCCGAACGTACCCAAATGATCGAAAGACTTGTTGGTAAGTAGTTGCTTTTTCTTTCTCTTTTACTTTTCTTTGTTTCTTCCTTATATACACACACACACACATATATATATATATACACGCACAATATAAAATATTATAAAATAAAAGCGCACAATACATACAAAAATAAAAAGAAAAGAAAAATGTACAAAAGCAAATGTCTTTATATAAAACAAAAAGAAGAAGAAAAATGTATGTAAAAAAATGGTTGCTATAATGATTATCATAATCATGTTTTTCACTACCTTCCCCCTTTTTATATATATTTTATACTTCCCCCTATTTCCAAAAAAAAAAACAAGCAATTCTCTATCTGTCTATTTGGTTGTTTCAATATTCAGTAGATCAAGGTAATCTTTGCAAAGTCAACGTCAAACAGACCAAGAAAATTAGGACTCGTCGAATCCCTTTTCTCACTCTGTCTTTCTGTCGACCAAACAAGAAAAAGCCTTTATTATTATTTTTATTCTTATATACATATTTATATGTATATTTTCACACAACGCATACAATGCAATAAGAAGGATAAGAAGACGGAGAAAGAGACAGAAACAGCGAAAGAGTTGCCTTGACCTTGCAATGTATGAATATATATATGTGTGTGTATATATGTATTATCTCTTTCTCTCTCTCTCTCTCTCTGTGTGTGTGTATATTATATAGTATCACCTTTCTTTATTTCTATTACTATTTGTTTCATTTTATGTTTCAAAATTCCGTATATATTTCTATTAACAAACCTATTTTCATTTTATACACAAAAAAAACCAACAACAATAATTTATCATTATCATTTTTATATATATATATATTTAATTTTTTCTAGATACTGCAGCCGAGATTATCGATTCAATTTGGCAACCAAAGTTCCTTGTCGATCAAAGAAAAGTCAAGGTGATCCCTACAAAGGGCTTTATCCGCGAGATGCTTAGTCGCTCAAAGGCTACTTATTCGACTCTCCAGATCTGCCTGTTTTATCTCTTTCGTGTCAAGAAAGTCGTTCACGAGAAGCTCAGAAAGCGATTCACTCAACCAACAAATGTCAATAATGTCAATAATCATACTGTACATAATCATAATAACAAATCACCCCAACAATCATCAATTAACCGTACCGAGGATCTTATGTGCTGTGGCCGCCGTATGTTCATGGCTTCACTCATGCTGGCCTCAAAGTACCTCCATGACAAGAACTACCGCAACCGCGCCTGGACCAAGATTTCGGGTCTTTCGGTCAGCGAAATCAATGCAGCCGAAATGGCTTTTTTGAAGCTGATTGATTACAAGCTCTATGTGAGTAAGCCCACCTTTGATAAATGGTACACGCTTCTGCACAGCTACACTGCCAACAGGAAAATATAAAGTATATACATATATTTTTTTTCTATATATATATATATATATATATATATTTCTTTTCTTTTTCTTTTCTTCTTTCTATATATATTATATATATATATTATGGTTATCATTAATATTGCTATAATTTTCTTTTTGGTCTTTTTGGCTTCTTTATTTTTTCACTACTATTTTGTTTTATAACAAAATATCATTAAATACCAAGAAAAAACAAAAAAGGAAATATATACTAATGATATAAAAGAAAAGGAAAAAAAAAGAAAAAGAAAAATATATATATTTATATAGAAAATAAAGAATTTCTTATTATTATTTCTTTGGTGATTGAAAAAAAAAAATCAAAAATTGATTGGTCTAATTGTTTGTTTGTTTCCATAACAACAAAAGAATATATATATATATATATTTTTGTTCAATTGATTGCATATTTTATACTCACCATTTATTTCTCTCTATCTCTATCTCTCAGCCACTCAGTCTATTTACTTGTGTGGGAGTGTGTTTTATAGGTTGATTTTATATATAGAAATTGTATTTATGTTTCCGAAATATACACTAAAGAAAAGAGGGGTTGGTAATAAAAGCAGTAGATGGACACGTATATGAAAAAAAAAGTAAAAGAAAGAAATAAAGAGAGGATATTGAATATTTTGATATTTGTATTGTTAAATGATGATGATGATGTTGGTATTGATATACTTTGATATACTTTCTTTTGTGTTTTATATACCTTTTCTATTTACTTTATATTTCTTTTTCTTTTTCTTTTTATATGTACTGCTTTAGGCAACGGTGCGAACAACATCATCCAGAGCAGTAGCAAAGTAATTGACATTGGTGGTAGAAAGACCGGCCATGGAAATACGGCCATTGTCGGTCATGTAGATGTGATACTTTTGTTTGAGGACCGTGACCTGGTTCTTGTTGAGACCGGTAAAGGAGAACATGCCGATCTGGTCTGTGATATGGTTCCATTTGCCAGGTGTCTTGAGCTCGATAAGGCGGCCATAGAGTGCCTTGCGCATCTCGATAATCCGGTTGGACATGTACTTTAGGTTCTCCTTCCACTCGGCATACAACACAGGGTCGTTGAGCACAATGTCTACAATACGAGCACCATAGGCTGGAGGATTGGAGATCTCGGCTCTCTGCAGCTTTTCAATCTGGGAAAACACGGTGTTTGTCTCACCAGTGGATTTTGTGACGATTGTCAGATTTCCAGCACGTTCACCTAATAAAAATTTATTAATATTATTAATATACACTGTATGTATATAATTTCTGTCTACACTTCCTCCTTTTATATATATATATATATATATTTCACTTACCATATAGTCCAAAGTTCTTTGCAAACGATTGGGCAACAAACAACTCAAATCCTCGGTCAACAAAATAACGCACAGCCCAGGCATCGCTGTCCAGATCACCAGAGGCGAAACCTTGGTAGGCACAGTCAAAGAAGGGGAAATGGTTCTTTTTTTGCATCACGTCCGCAATTCCCTTCCACTGGTCTCGGGTAGGATCCACACCGGTTGGGTTGTGTGCGCAGGCATGCAGGATAAAGATTCCGCCATCTGGTGCCTGCTCCATGGCCTTTATCAGCCCGCTGTAGTCCAGGCCACGTGTGGTTGGGTTCCAGTAAGGATATTCCTTGACTTCAAATCCGACCATACTAAAGATATTACGATGATTTGCTGCACTCCCAACAAAACCAAACACAAAAAACAGAATTAGTATTTGAATATAGAGATCTTTAGAATAAAAATAAAAAAAAAACTTACCCCAGGTGGGATTGGAAATATAGACTGTACGGCTCTTTTTGTAAAATTGTGCCAAAAAGGCAGCACCAGTGTGATTCGCCCCTGTGCCAGAAATGGTTTGTACAGCTGCCACGCGGTTCTCTTTTATGGCCGGGCTGTCCTTGCCGAGAATTAAGCGTGCTGCGGCCTTTGTGTATGAGGGCTGACCAGCAATGGGTTGGTATTCATGATCAAGGCTTTCGTCATTGAACAAGATAGCATCAGCCTTTTATATATATATATAAAGAAGTGTAAGAAAGAAAGAAAGAAAGAAAAATTCATTGTATCACAAAAATCCATATTTTGATTTTGATTTGGCTTTTTATACCTTTTTGACTACAGGAAGTACGTATGGCTGGAGTTTGTCTGTACGAAAGGCACCAACACCAACATTGACTTTTTTGGGGTCCTTGTCTGCCTTGTACTGGGCAGTGAGATGGAAGATGATATCAGGAGGAGCAAGAGGAACAGAAGAAAATGCAGAAGCTACAAAGGTTTTATATAAATATAGATTGATATTAGTATTAATAAGAGAAAGGTTACAAAAGCAGACTAGAAAGACTATAGAGATGTCCGTCCTTTACCCATTGTGGTTGGAGTTGTAGATGAGTTGAGATGACTTGAGATTTGTCCAAGGCGGGATGAAAGAGGCGACATTTCAAACTAATAAAAACTTGATTTTTTATAGGTAAAATAAAATAAAATAAAATAAAATAAATATTTATACAAATATTTATACTAACAAATAAAAATAAAATTATTTATTTATTTATTTATTTATTTATTTTATTATATAAATTGTTGAATTTTTTTATTTAATAAATAAATAAATAAAATAATACGCGTTTGAGTTTTGGCCGGAATATAGATAGATATATTATATAGACACATTATATAGAAATGAGTATTGATGACTGCGACATGACTGTTACGAAATAGAGAGCAAAGAGTGAACTAGAATAATAACAACAACAATAAAAATCTTGCTTACAATTGAAAAACCCGTTCCTCATGTGAAAGCACACTTTAATTTTTGGTTTCTTTTTTTATTTTATGTTTATTTTTATTTTATATACATAATCCCTTTAGCTATTATGTGTAGCATTCATTGGGTTGAAATACAACTTATCAATTCTTGTTTATCTCCATGTCCTTTTTTCTTTCTTTGGTTCCCTGATTAAATAATGATAATTCTGTTCTTACAAGTGGGTGGGAATATTTTTTTTTTGTTATCTAAATTTCTTTATCTTTTATACGCTTTATTGTTTTTGCAATAATTGTTGGGATTTTTATTAAAAATAAATAAATCAAAACCAAAATGCTACGGCGGTGCTACTTGTTTGTAAAACATTTTATTTATATATATATATATATGTAATATTTCCCCAGAAAATATTGGCCAATCAATTATTACAAAAAAAAATTATTTATTTTTATCTTTATCACATCAGCAACAACAACAAAAAGATATATACATCTTTAAAAGAATGTGGCATGATATATGTATTATGTATCTACACATCTACATATATAGTAAGTATATCTTTGTAACTATATATAGAAATATCAAAAACATAAACCCATGGGATGAGTTAAATGGTTTAAATAAAAGTAAAAAAAAAAAAAACAAAACAAAACAAAATGCATTGGCCATCACAAAATTTTAACCCTGTACAACAGCTCCCCTTTCATTTATTCGAATCTCTAACCCTCCTTTCCTTCCTCCCACACACACACAAATGATAATAAGGAACCAGTACTAGTACTAGAGTACCCTTGCAATATTGTACATATGTGTCTTGATAGAGAGATTTGAGTCATTAATTAATAAGCATATGCTATTCGAACATTATACTGTGATTATTGCTATCAAGACTAAATTCAATTATAGCACAATAACAGCAAAATCAAAACAAGCTTTGTACATGTCAAGAGTTTGTCTATGCATCCTAATAATAATCAGTCGACTTATACCTACCATTATATGTATAACAACCAGTCTATCAAACAGTAGCTATAGTTGTAACTGCTGGTATATATGATACAAAGGTGTATCATTTATTATTATTATTTTGGGTTCTTTGTCAGAATACCTCTGGACTCTAATTGGCCAGAAGCGTGGGATTTTTCTTAAAAAAGAAATAAAAGAAAGTGTATAAAAGTATTTAACATCATTCTTTTGCTTCCATTTGTGTTGAAAGTCTCAGTAAGCATTCTATATATATATATATCTCAGATATTTACTCTATTCTACAATACACCATTATACATCTACAAAACAATAACAACAATACATCCTTTGTACTATGATTCACAAAGAATGACGATGGCCAGTATCCAATAGTATATATTATTCTACTCAGTTCAGTTTCCGAAAAATACTAAAGATATACAAGATCATCGTAAAGAAAGAATACTTAATTGTGTTAATTACTTGCGTATTTGCGTATTTGTGTATTTGTTTAATAGCAAGAATAACAGTAATAGTTTGGTTAACTAAATTAAATTAAATAAAATTAAATTAAATTAAATTATATGAACAATAATGACATAAAGAAGTACTAAATCCACTAAATTAATGTCAATTACTTAATAAAGAAAGAAAATTGCACCTTTTTTTTTGTTTGCACCTCTTCCTCATAATTCACCTCATCAACATTACCCTAAATCCCTAATAATTATCTTGGCTATAATTACCAATACTTCATTCAATATATATATTTATATATAAATAAATATATATTCTTTATAAAAAAAAATGACTCATTTTGTGAACCGAGCCGTAAAGATTTTTGAGTATCAATTGTTGGGATCTTTTTTTTTTCTTGGTTGCAAAAAAATAAATTAAAATCCGAATCATAATTACATCTTTTATATACTTTTCTTTAATTTGCACTAGTTAAAAATACAACAAGGTACAATAAATACAATAGATTTTAAAATGTACCTTATGTACCTCTATAGACACACATGTTAAAGATATGCACTCTTACTACACAAATATAACAAAATTCATCAATAGTAAGTAATTCACAAAAGAAATCTTCCTGGGAATACCTTTTCCCGTTTGGTGTGAATAGATTGTTTGCCTTTTATACACATAATATACACACTTCTTTAACAAATTTAGTCTTTTTTTTTTGTTAAAGAAAAAAAAAAGTATCAGCTCACCTTTCTTTCTTTTTTTAAAAAAAATATTTCTACACAACTTTACTTAATAGACAAAAAAGAAATTTTTTCAAACTTTTTTTCAGTTGTCCTGTGAGTAAAAGTGGGCATCGAAAATGGACTTTTTTGGTGTAAATAGCCCAATTTACAGTGGATCAAGATTTTATAGAGTGAAAATGTGGGATGTTTTGGTCAATATTTGAGCAATCGATGTCAAAAAATATTGCTAAGATGGATCTTGATGTGTCTAACCAGGTTGCCTATAGTTATAGAGCCTATTAGCTTTATGAATAGTGATTTACAGCTGATTTTCGGTGTAGAATTTGCCAATTTGATCAAAATGATCATTTTCATTGTTAGCAATTAAGATTTTTATAATTTATATCTCGACACAACAGCTTTATACAGCTAGGACATAGGTATTAAGACACTGCTAATTAAATAGTAGCTTTCTCTAAAGAGACATACAAGAGATTCAAGAAAACAATAATTTGTATCTGATATGTCTTTAAACATTGATAAAAAGGGCAAATCCATGAAAGTTTAATATAATATATATATATGTGTATGTATGTATGGCAATAAAGTTGTATGGCAATAGTTGAGATAGACCTTCGTTGTCCTCTACAAGTATCAGCTATCAGAATGGATTATCTGTGCTTTATTCTTTGCATACAGACCCAATTGATTCAGTATATTTAGGAGGACAGTAATGATCTTACAAACTTTAAAGCATACATATCATGCTTTCAATTTTCTCTGTATCTAGATAATAATCTTTAACAGATTGGACTCGAACAACGAAGATGCCATTTTGAAGATCTTTCTTCCAAAAGTCTTTTGATTCATAACCACCATAGGCTTCTCCCATGCTTCCGATAGAAATTCCAGAAAAGCTACCTTTCTTGATGTTCTTGCAGTATTCCTGAGCATATTTGATATCAGATTCATCAAGTTTCCATGTACACGGTACTTTTTCTGCTCTTGCTGGGTCCAAGTGTATATAATACCAGCTTGATTGAGCTGGTCCCTCAAGGTAATCCAAATCCAATGAACCATCATCGACATTGCTTACTTGTTCAATGATAAAATGCTTGACTTTGTCATACTTTAATCTGATATTGCAAATTATGAGTGTGTCCAGTTGAGAGAATGACATGTCAAAAAGCAGCCGTCTGGTTTCCGTGAGAGCAAACTCTTTAAAGTCAACAGAATTTAACTTCAAGAATGAAAGTTTCTTACAACGGAAGGATATATATTCGAAAACTTGGGTATTAGATATGATTCCTTGTAGATTCAATCTTCGTAAAGGGTGTGGGCCAGTGATGTTGTTTGACTGTTCAGAGAGGTAGACTTTGCCAGACTTTATATACAGCAACCGCAATAATGGGCATTTATCCAGGATAACGTCTATTTCAATCTGAACATAAACTTCAAAGTGCAACTCAACTAGGCCGAGATATAGAACGAATCTTTTAGTAATCGGTTCCTCGTCCGAAAAATACAAAAGTTCTATCCACAAAACTCTCAGTGATTCCGGGGTAACGCTCAAGAGACTTTTGGGTTTATTCGGCTCAATTGTACACTTTTCGTAATAAGAGAGCTTAGCAGTCTCTATATTTACGTTGAAATACAAAAGAGTATCAAAAAACATAGAGAATCTCCACTCATTAAAAGATTCCGCACGGACACGTGTCTTTTTTAAACAAGGAAAGAATCGGTCAAGCGTCGATAATAGTTGGATTTCGTTTTGATAGTCTTCTTTTTGAGTTATTGGCCTTTCTGAGATACCTAAGCCATCTATCTCAAGCTCAATCTCGAGTAAATTTGGATACTTGAGCGCAAAGTAGAACATCCAGTAAGCATTGATATAATGGTTGCTACAGCAAAACTTTTTTATGGTGTATGCCGGGGTAATGCGTCTTATTATATTTATGTCTTGCTTTGGTATTGGTGTAAGCATAAACTTAACGTCTAGATCCTCCAGCTGCGGTAAGAAAGTATGAAGTAGTTCAATGTCCAACCATGAAAAAGGCGCCTGATTTTTATAGACGGCCCACACTGACAATATTGAATGTAGCGTAAGATGAGTAAGGCAAGATAATACCGACAGTTTTGTAAAAAGGGTTCTCGGTACAATAATGATTTTGAAATGAAACGATATCTTCAAATGTGATAATGTTTTCCAAGAGTTCCAATTAATCATTTTTAAAATTTGGTTGGTTTGAGATGACTCATAGTATTCAAGGCGTTTTATATCAGGGTAAAGTTGCTGCATTTTTAAATAGTATTTCTCGCAATGTTCGTTTAGGCCGTCAATTGTCAGCTCGACCACACGATGGGCATTGGTTAAATACGTGTTGTTCTGTGATTTATTAAAAAATCCCTTTATTATGTAATTGTTCATATCCAAGCGATACCAGTGAGCATTTTGAAATGGCTCTGTCAACTGTTTACAGACTAGGGCACAGGTTGATTGATCGTAACTTTCGAGATGGGAAGCGATGAGAGATATAATTTCGTATGGAAATTTTGGTATCATTACAAGAAGTAAAGATAAAAGGAAAATGAAGAGGAAAAAAGAATATAAAGTCTTATAAGCATCACCCAAAATATATATATATATATTGGAAAGAGAAAATCACCAATTTAATGAGCCATTATATCCCTTGAACATTACTGTCTACAAGTTCCACATCAATCTATTGGCTTAGCACTCCTCCATAAAAATCTCAGGGCGCTCACCTAGTTGTGGTAGATCATATATATATATATATATATATTTATTTGCTGCTTATAATAGCGTGCAACCGTTTGTTAAAGATCTGTAACTTGTTGGTATTTCACTTTTAGGTTCTGCCCTTTTAAGGGATGAAACTGATGTCTATAAGTGGAAATGAAAGCCGGTCGACTACTCCTCTGTAAAAACCTTAATAATATTTTATAATTATCAGCCACACAACCACTGTTCTTAATTCTATCTTTATGTTGTCTACCTTGGTGGGGGCAATAAGCTTCTGAAGATGAGCATACGTATAACTTTCAGAAAAAATATTTAGACAAATTCATTGATAAACTAAACCATAGGCCCTCGAAGCTAAACCAATAACCTTTATTCTGGATATATGGTCTGTTATTGACATCTAAACCCAATCATACACGCTTTAGTAAGCCGTTTTTCTTTGTTTGTGTTGACTATTAATGTTCTGTATAGTTCAACTTTGTATAATTGTTCTTATTATATAGCTAATATAGTACAACTGGAGTTATATGTCGATGTTTTTTGAACTCGTTCTAATTTTTCTTGAGAAAACTCTAGCAAAAAAACTTGTTCAATATCCAAAGACTACCTAAAGCCCCCAATCGCGGATACTTTGCATTTTGGCTATAATGTCTAGCTGGGCCAGAAAAGTAAATTTGATATATTTAAAGATATTATGGTGCGATCGGAGATAACTATCTAAGTTTTTGGGTATTTTTTAAAAGTTTATAACTTTTGCAAAACTTAAGTTAATATAATTCTGGACTCTTAATTCGATAGATATGATCATTATCTATAGAATTAAGAGTTTACAATTGCTCTAACTACTCTGAATAAAAAGTCTTAGACTTTCAAAGTTGGGATGTATTGGCCTATTTACAACGGAGTTTACCCGGTTTTTACGATATTGAAACAAGTTAAATGGCTGTCACTGACGGACATTAAATATAATTTCTTAAAAAGGGAAATCACGTGCGTGTGACTTTGACTTTTATTGCGTACCTTTTATTATTTTGGTCTTCCTCAAGTGTTACTACTCAAGCTTAACACACTTATATTTAAAACACTCTAAAATGCCTCGTCCAAAAAAGAGATCAACAATGGCAAAGAAAATAAACAGATCGGCTAGTAGTGGAGCTTTTATTAAAAAAATACAATTGGAAAATGAAGATTATGTGGACTTGGAGTTTGACCATGAAGACGATATTGTTTTGGACGACAGAGAGCTCCAGGGAATGTCAGAAGAAGTTACTTCAGCTGCATATACAAACCAGCTGCTGAAATGGCATGAAGGTGCTGATAAGTCGCTTCGTAGAACTTATCAGAAAAATTCGCGAACAACTGAATGGAGAAAAAGAAAAGCAGATAATGATGCTTCAAATACGCAAGGAAGCTACCGTCTTACAGATAAAGGCTTCTTTATTAAAGTTCAAAAAGAGGCTCCAATTGAATTAAAAGAATCTATTGATAGTGAATTGGAGAACATACAGATTGACAAAATTGCTGTGCTTAAACTTGCACATGAAGATGTTAAGAAAGAGATTTTCCCTTATACTCGCGCAGGTCCTTCTTCTCAGTCAGTTGATGCTTTTGAACTCTGTAAGCTTAAATCAGTTGAATGCTACCTTCGATACAGAATATCAGGCGCCAAAACTATGGAAGCTTCAGAGAAAGCATCGATGGAAACATGGCTTCACAAAAACACTTATCGTCCAGCTGCTATAAGAAAGTATGCCAAAGAGTATGTTGATTTCCGTTCAATTGCCTTACATCAACAAGGAAAGCATTTGAGAAGACATTCTTTATTTTCGGATGAAGATATAAAGTCTACTATCTGTAAATGGATTCAAAACCAGAGACCAGAAAGTCGAAGTCTTATCGAAGTGAAGAAGTACATTGATGGAGAGATTTTGCCAAGAAAGCTTGGTATACCTGGAAATACTTCCACAAATACAATCTGGAAGTACCTTCATGAATGGGGTTATGTGTTTAGAAAGAACTCTAAAGACATTTATTACGACGGTCATGAAAGAGAGGATGTGATTGCATACCGTCAGAAATGGGCAAAAAGAATGATGGTGTACAAGAAGAAAATGGCAACTTTTTCTGAAAATGAAGAAACTGTAGTTTTGCCAGTACTTAGATCCGATGAAATAGAGCATGTTCTTGTTACTCCCGATGAATCGACATTCTACGCAAACGATGGGAAAGATACCATGTGGCTAATGGAAGATGAAAATCCTATCCGTAAGAAAGGTCCAGGAATGTCTCTCATGATCAGTGAGTTCAAGTGCGTATGCCACGGAACAATGGCTAGAGGGGCATGGTCGTCACGAGAGGTATTCCGCCCTGGGGCCGACAGAGATGGGTACTGAACGAGTGCGGATATGTTGAAGCAATTGAAAAACAATGTTATTCCTCTTTTTGAATTGATTCACCCAGGGTGCAAGGCCGTCTTTTCATTTGACCAAAGCACAAATCACAAAGCGTATGGTCAAAATGCTTTGATCTCAAGCAAAATGAATCTAAATGACAAAGAGATTGAAGACGACGATCCTTGTTCTTTGCGGGATACAGTATTTGTCCGGAATGGTGTAGAGGAAGTACAATCAATGTACTACGAGAAGGACGAATGGTTTGCAAAGAAAAGTGGACAATGGGTCCAAAATAAGGTTAAATATGTTAAAGGCGTCCGTCATATTCTGGAGGAGCGTGGTTTGTGGCTTGAGAAGGATCCGTATAATCCTATTAAGAAATGGCGACTAGACTGTAAGAGTAAAGACGCCTCTGAAGATAGCAAGTGCTGTGCACATCATTTTCTGGCTTCACAACCAGATTTTATGTCACAGAAAACTGCTCTTCATGAGGCTGTCGAAGACTCTGGTCATATATTTGAACTTTACCCTAAGTTCCATTGCGAATGCAATTGGATTGAGAGGTATTGGGGTGCCGCAAAGCGTGAAGCTCGCCTCCAGTGTGACTATACGTATAAGTCCCTGGATAAGAATATCCATACTTTCTTGGATCACGCTGGTAAGCTTCCAAATATCCGCCGGTATTACAACCGCTCGTGGCGCTACATTGAGGCATACAGCCAAGAGATGAACGTGAAAGAAGCCAATGATGTTGTAAAAAAATTTACAAAAAAAAAATATACTTCTCATCGCCGTGATGAAGGAAGAGAATAGAATTTTTATCTGTACTTTCTTTATTTTTTATTATTTTTGCTTATAAATTATCTTTATCTCTAATTATTATTTTATTAAATATATCAATTCTACTTTTGTGCTTAGTCTTTACGTTTTGAGTGCTAAATATCATTGAATTTTGATTTTTTTTAAAGGTTGTCGGACATTAAATCATAATTGGCTGGCGGAGTTTTACAGGAGAAAATTGAAACAAATCCAAAAACATTGATACTTATCTCCGATTGCACCATAAAAGAAATAAATAAATAAAAAATAATCTAATCCTTTTCTCTATTATGACTCTGAGATCTCTATTTTTCTTGAAATTACGCTCTTGTAAGTTTGATGGGCTTCTTTAATATTTATTTCTTGGATATACGCCACAGTTTAAAGCCAAAATTTGTAATATATCTAAATGTAAAAAAACTTCCTCGAATGATCTAAAAGGTGTAAATATTGCTATTCAGGGACATGCAAGTGTAATCAGACTGTAAGCAAGTTTTATGTGTGGACGCCTCTCAGTATAGCATTATCGCCAATATATTCTGGAACTATATTGTGTTATAAGATCTCAATAACTTCGACCAATATGATATGAAATATTGGTTTTCTGGTATCTAAGCTATTAGAGCATATGCATCCAGTACTTCCAAGAGAACTCTTTATAAATAATTACCATAAGGAATTTATAGGTCGAATTCAAATTAGCTTTCCCAAAATTTGGACGAGACCATTGAACTACCCGGGAAAGAGCAATTTTCTCACCCGCAATCACCAGTAATGACCAGCGAAAAAAAATGATTATAGCAATTATTCCTTTCCTGATAGGATTATCTGCTCTATCTAGCAAGTTTTGGGAACTTATACATATATTAGTAGTAAATAATGATGCTGCATTGAGGCTTGCAAATATTGAAAGGAGTTCTTTCTTATATCAACACCAGCGACATTAGCATTATCTTTTGTTAGTGAGCCAGAAACAAGTAATGCACTATTTAAAAAAGGATGTTTTTTTCTCTCAGTGAATGTACAATATTCTTCTAAAATGGTTTTTTGTATTAAAAATTAAAATAATAGTAATTGAATATCACCCTTAGCTTAATGTATGCTAGAAGTGTCAAAGTTACAAGTCCTTTAAATCAATTATATTACTATTTTTCTACAGTATGCTACGTTTGGAAATAATTTTATATTAGTATTATTATTTGTACCGAAAGAGACTTGAACTGCTTATAAGATTTCTCAGGATCTTTGTAGACAGTATAATGAAATAGGATGTAGCCCAAATTCATGAGGGGGGGTTGTTACTGAATGGTAAGCTATTAGATTCGAATAATTTTATTGTCTTTAATTCTTATATTGGGTTGAAGAAGTTGGGAAAATGTGTTTTGCAGAATGCAAAAACAGGGTGGGGTAAAAAGTGGGATACATATGAAAGAGAGAAATCAGTGTTTAATTAAAATCCCACTATAGCCACCCACGTTTTTGTGAACACAGTATTATAAGCATGACTGTCATTGTTCATAAAACCTTTACAGAGCTTCTGAAGACATTCAATGTCACGCCTCTCAAGTTCACATGCAAGAGATCTATTTATTTTGTCTGTATTGTTGAAGCATATACGACACCTCTTTGATAACGTCGGGTGTTCTTGGTTATTCAAGTTCAATTGATTAAAATTACCATTAATATGCTGTTTAGTACTGTAATGTTTTATCAAGCCACAGTATGATAGGATGCTACAAAGTATAAGAGTGTCCAACTGGGAGTGCGACATTTCGATAAAGATCTTTACGCTTTTCATCAATTCAGATCCATCAAACTTAACGTATTCTAGTCCCAGGAATAAAAGCTGTTTACACCAAGAAAATGTATGTTTTTAAAGGTCTGTGTGTCTATATAGACGTCAATGAGTTCCAGTCTTTGTAGAAAATGCGGGCTGTGACTGTAATCTGACTGCTTGGAGAGGTACACATTGGCTGAATTCATGTTTAATAATCTTAATAATTTGTATTTATTTAGCATAATGTTAATTTCAATAATACAAGGGGTTTTGCTGTGCAACTCGACCAGGTTTGAATAGAAACATAGCGTCTTCGAAACAGGCTCTCTACTCGACAAGTGAATCAAACCTACCCATAGAACTCTCAGTGCTTCTGAGATAAAGTTAAGATAGCTGTTGAAATGAATTGTCAAATCTTTATCACGGCTATTAAGGGGAAATTCAGCTTTTTCTACTTTTATGCCAAAATCCTAAAGAGTGTTGTAAAATATAGAGAACTTCGATTCATTGAAAGATCCCACAAATATTATGGTCGTTTTTAAACGAGGAAGGTCTTGGTCCAGAATTGATACTAATTGAATGCCTTCTCAAAACCGTCATCCATCACAAGTTATTTTACGTTCTGGGTCTTTTCCGTGAGGGTTTCTTAATTTAATACTGGCCATACTTGGATATTTGAGGGCAAAGTAAAAGATTCAGGAAGCGTCAACGGAATCATTACTAGGAGATATTTACCAGGTCTGGATGCTTGACTGTTAGATGTAGTGGTAGTTTAAGCACCATATAATTAGCCAATATCGTAAAAAACTATTGAATACCATTAATGTCTCTTGGTTGAGATGGTTTCTTTCATAACATCAAAATTCATACGTACAATATGCTCGATTAAAGTACCCATAACTATATTATCCCTGGCCAAATTCCCCACAAGTAAGGTAGCTACTCTTACATAAATTAATCATGTTTTTATATGAAGTTTGCCATCAATTGTACATAAAGTTACCTTTTCTGCTATGAGTTCTATCAAGAGAAACGAGCCACACTAAGATTTTACATTTTTCCATGCTTAAATTGTTTACAAAGTCCCTCTTTCCTTGGGCTTTCTAACAGTAAACTCCATATAGGACACCAAAGAAAAAGAGACAGAAATATAAATATGATATCAAAGACATATGAGGGGAATTTTATTATTCAAAGGTTTGTATAAAGGAAATATAAGTTAAATTAAATATAATATAATATAAGATGGTCAAGTTCATGCTACTTCAGTCCAGTCCAGTCGGTTCCAGTCAAGTCCAGTCGGTTTTTTTTTCTTGGTCCATTTGATATTTCTTTTGATCTTTTTTTTTTGTCCGTTTTTTTTCTTCTTTTTTTTTGTCCAGTCAATATAAGCTAAGAGTGATAGGAGGAGGAGGATTTTGGTATTGAAAAATAATAAAGGGGATAATTTGGACGTTTTGTTTTTTTCTTGTTTTTTTGATTCTTTTTTTGATTCTTTTTTTGATTCTTTTTTTTTGTCCAGTCAATTTCACGGAATAGTAATAAGAGGATGATTTTGATATTGAAAAGAATAAAAAAGATAATTTGGACTTTTTTTTTGATTTTTTTTGTCCGAACACAGCACACATAATAAAGGGAATAATTTGGACTTTTTGATTTTGATTTTTTTTTTATTTTTTTTTTATTCTTTTTTTTTTGGTTTTTTTTGTCCAGTCAATTTCATGGAATAGTAATAAAAGGATGGGTTTGATATTGAAAAGTATAAGAGAAGGGGGTTTTGGTATTGCTCTTTTTGCTCTTTCTGTTTTTTTGAGCTTCTTTTTTTGAGCATTTTTTTTTGTTTTTTGTTTTTGATCAAAGACTTCATTTGCTTTGTATGTATATGTGTAAAAAGGGATTTCATACCTTGTCCTAATCCAGAGTCTTGTTCCAGTTCGCAGCTTTGCTTCAATCCAGGTCCAGGTTCCAATGCAGTGTTCTTCCGGTTTGTTCATCTTTTTTTGCTTTTTTTTTGCTTTTTTTTTGCTTTTTTTTTTTGTTTTTTTTTTTGTTTTTTTTTTTTGTTTTTTTTTTGCTTTTTTTTTGCTTTTTTTTTTAGAGAGAGGAGGGCTTAGTATATGCCTGTGTGATTTTTGGACAGGACTTAGTATAGGCCTCAGGGTCGGATTTCTTTTGATCCTTTTGAAGTGGAGGACTTAATATGTGCCTGATCATTTCTGATAGGGTTTGGTCTACGCCTCGGTTTTTGGATTTGATCCTTTTGGAGTGGAGGACTTAGTATATGCCCGTTTTATTACAGGACTTAGTATAGGCCTCGGATTTGGTTTTTGGTTTTTGGTTTTTCTTTTGGAACTTGCTTTTGGAATTTTGCATTGGACCCCTTCTTGGAAATCGACTTGGCCTTGAGACTTGGAGGTACAGCCCAGATTTTGGACTTTGATAGAAATGCGCCTCTACTTTTGTATGTATATATGTATGTATATAAGTGTGTATATGTATGTTTGTATGACTATGACTATGACTATGACTATGTGTATGTGTGTGTGTATGTGTGTGTGTATTTGTGTGTGTGTGTGTGTGTGTGTGTGTGTATGTGTGTGTGTGTGTGTGTAAGAAATAAATAGCAAAAATAGAAATTGCGTGTGTTTGTGTGTGTGTGTATGTATGTATGTATACTTCTCTACTTGCGTACTTCTCTACTTGTTTATATATATTTATGTGCTAGGACTAGTACTAGAACAGTACTTGGACAGTGCTTGGACAGTGCTTGGACATTTGGACTTGGACTTGGACTTGGACTTGGACTTAGACAAGACTTGGAATTGGACTTGAACATATAAGCAAACCGTGGCTTGACCATTTCAGGGATTCTGCTAGTCTATGAGTTTTTACTTGAGATAGAGAGATAATTGTGAATATATTTTTTCCTTTTTTTTTGTATTCTTTTTTGTATCTTTTTTTTGTATCTTTTTTTTGTATTCCTCTTGCTTGACTTGGTTCTTGCTGCTGTCATTCTTGCACAGGATTCAGGCTTCGGAATTTGCCGCATTATTGGAGTTGATAAGGCTGAATATGGCTTAAAAAGATAAAGAAAAAAATGAGTGAGAAAGCGAAAAACGTATTTACATATGAGGCAGGTTTGAATGACCAAAATAACATACCTTAATTGATAGAATTTGTTTTGTAAGTAAAGGAACTTGTTTTGGAATAGGTAACATCATCTGAAGAGACGGGCTCGGGACTGCAAAATGTTCTTTGATGACCGGGCGGAATGGACCTTGATCACCAGTAGGAGGTATGCGAGACCACCGACAGTAAACAACCAAGCTTCTAGCAGAAACAATGTGCCAACTTGCAGCGATGGGGTCAACCGCAAAAGGGTTTGACCACCGAATGGCAGAGGAGCTACCAGATCCTGGCTTACCACACCAAGAACCCTAAATATATACAGGCATACAATGCAATGTACAATATTTTGAGGGGAGAAAAGGTACTACTAGCGTACCGAGAAGCTTTACCTTTTGGTAAAGTCCAACGCTCACAAGCTATCTCTGGTATCCTCTAAAGGGTTGTAGTATTGCGAGCCCTGTCACAGGGCGGCCCTGAGAAGATGAAAAAATATCATATAATTAGTACCGAGACATATTGTGTATAAATAGTACTTATCTTCTGGATAAACGGACTAATGGTTGATATTATCTCTGACAAAGAAATCCAGAGACAAAAACAACCCTCGAAAAATTGCCTTATTGCTTGCTTTGTGGTTCACATTGCTTCTGCCTTGAGCTCTGTTGTTTACTACTGACGGCCTCTACTTGTTCCTGCTGGTGTTCTCGGTCCATAATATAAACCCGGTCATCCCAAATACCTTTTTGCAGTCCTGAGCCAATAGTCTTGAATGATGATGATGAATTTATTCTTGTTGTGCCCATATCCTAGTCGAGACTCTTTGTGTGCTTTTCGGCCAACCCAGCGAGATGGCGAGACTCTAGGTTAGCCTACTTGATTTTAACCTTTTGTACTTGAAGGCTTGAAGACTTGAAGACTTGATTCCATTCTTTTAATGTTTCTCTGTGCTGTTTGTTTTGACTTCCATGTTCAGCTTTGCTTTTCTGATTTTGTTTCGAGAATATTGTTTTGGTACTGGACTGAACTCTCTATGAGTTTCCATGAATACGGCTTGTAAGCACTTGTCTCGACTTGGTTTGGATAGGTTTGTCGAATGTAACCTTGCTTCTCCTTCACAACTGAAAGTGTGCGTAAATGCCCTTCGACTCGGGTCTTATTTTCTTGAGTGTACGCATTTCCAGTTGCTAACTGTAATCTGCTTTTTTTTTTTTGGTGATAATTTCTAGCTCACCCTGCTTGGTCTGGTTCATTTACCAGACCATATTAATCAGAGTCCTCCTCAAATGAGGGTGGCTAGGACTCTGACCACAGGTTTTGCGTGATGCTTGAGATCATCGGCGAATTCCACGCTATCTCTTCAGTGACATTTTTTTGTATGGTCAGTTTATCTTGATTCGACTGACAACGTCACTGATACCTAATCGACCAGTCTTAAAAGCATATCCTTTTGCGCAGATTAATTTTTGGTTTTGCCATCTCAAAATAGCTGCGACTGTCTGGACATGCATTTGTACGCATCATTTGAGTCCAGACACAAGGACTAGTAGCAATCATAATGACTGATATACCGTCATGTCTGTGAGGGAAAACCTCGCAAATCTTGGTAGGAACCCGATGTTCTTGGCTCGTTTTCCCAAAACCTCTTGGGACTATCTACCCCCCGGCAATAGATTTTCCACAATCTATATTTCAGCAAACTCAAAGTCCAAAAAGACTTATCCGAGCCTACCAGTGAGTCTTCGAGAACTCACCAGAAAAAAAAGGAGGGGACTGACGATAGCCTTCCAAGGACCCCAAGAAAGAATCCGGCAAGGAAGCAAAACCCATTCGGCCAGACATGACTACATAATGAACACCGTGCCCCACAGTATTCATTCTCCCTGGCTTAAGCACAAAACTCAAGCTACAAAGACCCAGAACCCAGGTACAGAACAAGCCGGAAACCTAGCCAACAACGATCTCCAGAATGATACCAGAATGATACCGGAAATCTAGCCAACCAGACCAGACAAGCCAACAGGACCACCGTGGCCCCAAAAACGACCCAGAATCAAGGACTCCGGAAGCCCTACTCGTACAGAAACCACCACTCACAGATCTCGGCCTCAGACCTGAGAGGAAGTCAACAAGAACCCTACGAACAAAAGGTTCAAGCCAACCCTACAGCAGTGCAAGCACCACCCTCGAATGTATACAAACGGCAAATACCAGAGGCAAACAGGATTGAAAACCAGTCTAGTACCACCACAGGTTACACTCATTTGTAGACCTCCACAATCTACCTTCTCTTTATACTGTCTATGCCAAGCCAAGACTCAGAACCAAGCTAACAGGCGGAGCATGGTGTCGATCCCAGAGGGAAACGATAATCCAGTCCTTTGAATTTGAAAGCTGTAGGAACCGAACGTAAAAGAGGCTACCCTTACAGCTTAACCAAGAGACCCAACGTGAATCACCACGCAGATAGTCCCAAGGAAAAGTACTGTGAAAGGTCCGGGAATTCCAGTATCACCATAAAGCTTACCAGAAGCTTCAGGATCAACCTTTCGTTCCGACCGCGTCGGCTTGGCTCCAGGGCCAACCGACCGACAAGATGTCTGCTTGGTGAAGCGTACAGGGCAGCAAAAATTTGTCCAAGTTTTCGGAATCATCAGCTTCGCAGATTCTTTCACTACACCTCAGACCCAATGGGTCAAGGTGAGCTCGGGCACCGCTAACAAACAATCTTACTCCTTGTTGACAGTTGGGGCGCCTTTGAATCGGAGCGCATACTTCAATAGGTTCATTGGAACCTCTTTTCCTCCCTTGCTCGAAGACTTTGCCGGCTTTGACGCAGGATTGCGAGCTGGGAATGGCTGGATCTGAGGTTCTCCAATCTCTTTACCGATGGGTTCGATAACTAGATCGGCCTTCTCATCACCGCCGGAAGTCTTCACTTTCTTGCCGCGAGATGCAGAAGGAAGATCTGACTTGAATTCCTTGATACTCTCCTCCTTTTTGCTGCTGGGTGCAGCAACAGGAACAGAGACCTGGGCAGCTGGGGTAGCAGTTGACCCCTGTGTCTTGGCCTTTTTCTTTGGGGCCTTTCCCTTGTCACAACTGGCTGTTGTAACTGGTTCAGGCACTTTGGAAGCAAGGCTTGACACAAGCTTTGCCCGCTCGGTGCGAAGGCCAAAAAGTGACTTGGGCAGCTGTGAAGGGAGATCACAAGAGGCCGAAGCCACCTTGCTTTCTGGCCCTTCGATTGCGGCCTTTGCTTCCTCAATGGCCTTTTGACTGGCAGGTCGAGGAAGCTTCGAGCTCTTCTCTTTTGGTCGGGAGACCGCCATTGAAGGCTCTTTGCTACCTTTGACCTCGTCGGCACCTACCTTTTGTCTAGGCTTTGGTGCATCGTACTTCTTCAGAGAGGATGGTCCAGATAGCACTATTTTTTCTGTGTCGTCTTCCATCTTGTCGTCTGCAGCCTGTTGCGGTACGCAGGCTGGGAGATCGTTCGTATCACAATCCATGTTTGCAGACTGGGAGACGTACTGCAAATCGGTAACCGTTGGATTGTAGGTGTGGGTCATGAGCTTTTCGCCACAATTAGCATCAAGCACCATCACCTCAGCAACATCATCAATCTCCATGGGAATTTCAACTTCCATGACTTCACTCCAAGCCAGGTCGTCGTCAATCTCCATCGGTGTGGGAAGTCCTGTGGAGAGACATTCACCAAAAAATCCATTAGCCGATTGCCAAGACGATAGAGCGAACGCCTCATTGAGGCCTTCCACTGTCCCAAACTTTGGCTTTGGAACCACGAAGCCAGCATTATCCAAACCCGATGGGGTCTGAATAAACTCTTGCTCAAAGACAAGAATCTCGTCAACTGGCACGGGAACCACGCCGCACTCTGGTTCAGCGACTTCAGCCAATGAGTCGCGATGGGCTTTGTTTTCAGAGTCGTTGAGCTCCTCTTCCAACATCGCGTCAAGAAATCTAGCAGAGAGTCTTGGATTTGCAAAACCCTCTGAGAAAAATCTGTCACAGATGAATCTGAGTCGTACGCTGACCTCAGCTTCATCGCATTTGTCTACAAGCTCACTCGACACACCCCCGTCGAGGTCTGCATGGGTTTCCCCACAGGTACCAGCCACGCCGTTAACTGGGAACACCATTGTAGCGATGCCACGTCCCAACTTGTGCAAAGGAAGGAGGTGAGGGACATATCCCCGAAGCCCTGCTCCAAAGAACACGCTCGACTTTCCTACGCAAACAACGTCTTCCGCCTCCGAAGAGGAATCATCGACGAACATATGCTCTGGGATACCTCCGTGGCGCTTACTCAACAAGCTACCTGAGGGTTCTCCCGTTGTTTGCGAACCAGTAGACCACAAAGAGCCTAGCCAGTTTGACAGCATGCCAAGGATTGTCTGAGGCATCACATTTTTGTGAGCTTCGACTTGATTTTCGCCGTCTGGTCTTACAACAACAAATGGGATTGCACCCACTCCCGCCATGGAGGGGCGTCTTCTCTTAGCAGATTTGGCCATGCAGAATGCAGAGGGCATAGGAGAAGCCTCCCATAACATCACAGGGATGAACAGGAGAGCTGGGGCAAGCAGGTAGGCGAGCGCGAAGGCTGCGCAGAGAGCGTTGTATACTTTGGAATTCATTGAGATAAATGATGTATAAACAAAGTGCGAAGGAAAGAAAAACAGGGGAGGTGGGAATAACTGAGGTATATATATGTTTTTTGTTTTTTGATGGTAGTCGCGCTGACATCACACTCCAAGCTATCAATATATTTGTTTATACGCCTTTATCAACTTGACACACATAGGTATGGGTAGATAAGAATTGTCTCCCCCCAAACAACTACCAGGCAGCCTGTATATTTTCACATGATGATTAATACAGGTACCGCACGTCCTCTGAGGATTACCACACACACAAAAAGAACAACCAACCGGTTCATGTATATTTAACGCTTCTTCACTGTGATAAGTTTCTATAGATTCGTATCAGCACCAAGTCCAAGTACCAAGAGGTCTGTACTTTACTGTTGTAAAAGGGCTTCACTATATGTTTAATACGTTCTTCTTGAATATGTTATTTTATTCTATTTTATTCTATTCCATTTTACTTTATTTTATTTATATTGTGTTGATTAAACTCCCGAAATAAAATAAAATGAAATGAAATGAAAATTTTCTTCTTTGGAACAAGAAGTGCACAGACCAGCTTAGAGTAACCTGAAAATTGCCGTTATTGAAGCTTGTACTCTGTCTTTAGAGTTGTTACTACAACCGATCAAAACCAAAGTCTTTCTTTACTTCTTTACTTCTTTACTTTGATTTATTCTCTTTTGATTTACTTTACAAGAAAGTTGGTTTTTGTTATCTAATGACTGTTTCTTATTGGCTGTCCCTTCCGTTGTATAACAGTTACACGATTACAGGTTAATATAAATTATAACCAATAGAAAGAGAAAACATGTACCAAAGTAGTAAAAAGTCATATTGACTATCGGATGCTTTCCCTCTTCCTTGTTATATTCAATACACATATAAATATTAACAGCTCTTATGAGACCGTTTTTTGTCAACAAAATGACAGACCACTTATAAAACACCCCAAACTGTAGTACTGCAGTTTAATATTAAACCAAGGCAATTTTTTTGTTGTTGGACGGACTGCTGTGTAAAGCGTATCAGCCAATCGTAACATAGTGATGTTATAGGAGATAGAGGAACTAAACTGTAATAAATTCTACTGACTATTTATTGCTAACATGTATAGAGTTTTTGATGACTGGCAGTGGACGCTTTCGTAGTCGAGTAAGCTGACCCTTGCTACTTTATAGTAAATTCTCATTGGCAAGATTGGAACCTCCGTTATTCACGAATGAGATTTAGGGGCGAGGGAAATATAACGGGTGTCATATATCTTACCACCATTTTCACACTTCATTTGTATCAAGTCAGGTTTAGATCCTGAAGAAGATCGAGCCATGTAATACAGGTACAAAGAACCCGGTGCTATCATTCTTTTAAAAAATAAATATAAAACAAAATATCTAATCTGCTCAGAGATATTACAAAGCTGTTTTGAACATAGATGATAATGACAGTACCTCGGAATATATACTGCTTACAAGGAGTATTCAATATTTTTCTTTTTATTTTTCTGAAAAAGGGATTCACGGAAGAGTCTCTTGATCATTCAAGCTAAGCATGTTAAGGATTTCGTAATATAGGCCTGGAGCAATAAAATAATATAGCTCGAAATTTTTAAATTAACAATATTGCATTAAATGGATTTGCCCTTTTTATCAATGTTTAAAGACATATCAGATACAACTTATTGTTTCCTTAAATCTCTTATATATCTCTTTAGAGAAAGCTACTATTTAATTAGCAGTGTCTTAATACCTATGTCCTAGCTGTATAAAGCTGTTGTGTCGAGATATAAATTATAAAAATCTTAATTGCTAACAATGAAAATGATCATTTTGATCAAATTGGCAAATTCTACACCGAAAATCAGCTGTAAATCACTATTCATAAAGCTAATAGGCTCTATAACTATAGGCAACCTGGTTAGACACATCAAGATCCATCTTAGCAATATTTTTTGACATCGATTGCTCAAATATTGACCAAAACATCCCACATTTTCACTATAAAATCTTGATCCACTGTAAATTGGGTTATTTACACCAAAAAAGTCCATTTTCGATGCCCACTTTTACTCACAGGACAACTGAAAAAAAGTTTGAAAAAATTTCTTTTTTTTCCTATTAAGTAAAATTGTGTAAAACGTAAATACGGGCCTGCCAATACTTGTCTGAACAGAAACAAGCGCGAACTCGGGGAGATATCAACTACTCTAAGAATGACTACATTTGTTAAGGAAGTATAAAAAAAAGGCAAATAATCTATTTACACCACAAGGCTAAATAAATTACTGAGTGGATATTTTTGTAATATATATATAAATAACCAGGGTAACACACAGATACTATATTGATTTGTATAAGGTCAAGCATTGGGTCTTCTTAAGCCTTGATATTATTCTAGCTATGTAACGAAATCCTTATAAAAAAATTAGAGGTGTATACCCTAAATAAATATTGATATGAAACATGCCCGTGTGAAAAAAATAACCCAAATGTTAACATTAATGGGGTTTCTTTTCAATTGAAACGTCTTGACGTTTTGATCAATATTTGAGTAATCAATGTCAGACAATCTTTAGATAGTGGGTCTTTATGTGTCTCATCAGATTATATACAAACTTAAAGACCCTTTTCTTAACCGATGTAGATATATAGCTGATTTTCTATATTTAATTTCCCATTTTGACCAAAATGATCCTTTTTATTTAGCAATTTTTTTTCTTTCATTTCAGCTGTAAATTCAACAATATTTAAACTATATAACAATTGCCTGTTTAAGCCAATTATGTTCTTTCAGTAATTATGTCGTCAAGTGAAGGTAGGTAGATAAGCTTGGATGCGGAGAGTTGGAGAAATTTTTAGCTTTGATTGATTTTGTGGGATGTATAGAGTCTATGATGATTATTCAAAGCAATATTACTCATCAGTAATAATCCTTGGGGCTTGAATATACTAAATAATAATAATAATAATAATAATAATAATAATAATAATAAAACATTACAGCAGGTATGACCATCTTTGCGGTATATTATTGTCAAGCTGTATGTATAAAAGTATATAATCCATATGGTACTTTCTATACTTATTTAAAGCTATTATTCTGCCTTGTATTAGAAAGGACATTCATTTGTAGTAGTGTGATAAAAAATTGCTACAAGTACACACCCCCTCTATCACATTGAAACTTGGCCGTAATATATCGGGTAACTGGTTCTGGGTATAAGCGTGTTAATGAACCGGGTTGTTAATAGGCTTTATTTCCTTTCGTGAACCTGGTTCGCACCACAATTCATTATTACCATAGTAAAATTCATTTCAGAACAGCCGTCATATAAGCAAATTATTCTTTTTTTTTGCTTAAAGAATTTAGCAATTTTAGCTTTAAATACATAACCGTTACAAAACGTACCTTGATCAATAATGTCAGACAAAAAATTAATTTTATTGGCTGATTTCATTTAATTTTTTGTTTCAATCGTTTCGATATCTTTAAACCAGCCATCACCTTAGAGTTTAAACAGCACGTGATTGGTTACATCATTCCTGCTTGCATCATTCTTGTTTGCGTCAGCCAACAGATGTTTTGCTGATATAATTGTGAGGTGTTAATTGTAATGGCCCTGCGATACCTTCAGGTGTACATTTACTTTGGACGATGGTATGTATATAAAAGAAAGCCTGTAATTTGTTTAATTAATCAAATCTAACGTTCATGTTCTAAATGTATATAAAAGAAACGCGTTGTGTCATAGCTAAGAGGCATTAAGACCTCTAAGAGGCAATCTAGGCTAATAGACCCACGTCAAGATTCCGTAATATATTGGCAGCTCTTGTCTGTATTTCACGTCAAGATTCCTTGAAGTACAGTTGACCTTGCTATGACACGACACGATAAATATTCAAGTCCATCATCTGAAGTAAGTTTTATTTTTGTACAGGCTCTTTGAAATGTACCGTCAAATGCTAATTGTTTTATTTCTTTGAATCTGATTTTTTCTGTATGATACGCTTAGGTTCTGTAATGTACAGCTGTCATTACTAGGGCGGAAGGTATGGCGAGTATTGTGCCATAGGACGGGGGCGTCACTTCCTCTAATGGCAGTCTAGGCTAGTATGTCTACGTCAAGGTCCCGTGGTATACTAGCAGCTCTTGTCTGTATTGCGCGTCAAGATCCCGTGCAATACAGTTGACCTTTCTATGGCACAATACACCAAATGGGCAAATGCCCTCGCATAAAGTAAGTTTTATCTTTATACAAGCTTTTTTAAATGCACAAAAGTCTAATCTTCATTTTCAGTTTTTTTAGAATCTGATGTCAGTAAAAGTAACTCTTTTGAAAATAAACTCTTTGTTCCAATAGCCACTTATCAAATGTCTTATTATTATTTTTTGAGTAATTAAAATATAGCAGCTTATATTTATTGTAAAGGGGTTAAGCCCATCAAGTACATTATAAAAATAGGCATTTCATTAATAATAATAATAATAATAATAAGCGAGATGTAAAAGGGAAGAATATTTGTCCAAGCTAGTATATGAAACAAGGGAATATTCAGATAAAAATGAGTGGCAAACCGAGATATACGAATAAATTGAAAAGAAATAATAAATTCTATAAGTGTTACTTGTTGAATAGAGTCAATATTGTATTGTTTATGCCTATTAATATTAAAGCTTCTTTTAATCAGAATCCCTGTTGTTTAATGGCTAGTTTATATTGTGTAAGTGTGCAACGTACGTGTGTCTGGTGTATAACAGTACCAGAGGCTGTTAACTTGCTAAGTTCATTAGCAAAAAGGAACTAGTGTTTGGTTGTGGAGTATGTACTTCACTCAATTGTGGTATGTGTACCACAAAATATACGCTTTACGCACTTGGTGTCAAAAGACGATTAATTACATTTAGTTTATATGTGCGTACATAATGCCTGACATATAAATACACACATACATATAATATCCAATGGAAATATTTGCTGCCAGGGCATAGTGTTTGTATGAATGACTTGTAATTTTTTTCCGCTAATCATTTGGCAATGGAGCTTCTCTGGAACAATACATTTGTTTTTATTGCCGCTTTTTTTTACCATATATTGAACTTATGTAAAGCGGCGGGCGGTTCAGCATCCAGCAATTCAATCTGATCCATAATTATCAACAGTACTTTGTATAATTCAGATTAATTTGGTTTAGTAATAAAGCACTGTGTTATATCTGTATAATAAAATTTCTAGCTAGATTCAAGTAGTAAATCTATTATAACATTATTATTTTTATGTGCGATATATATACAAGTTGTAAACGTTGTAAAGGTCGTGTCCCAAAATAGCTGTATCGTTATGCGCCCACGTAATGAAGGAAATTATCTAATTTACTAAAATCCTCTAAATATCCAAAATCACCATAATATTTTGCATAGAGTTCTTCTTTACCGATACAATAGCATACAACAAATTTGAATTGAATAACAAAGACTCCAAAGACAATGCCCGATTCCAAAGACTGCTTTGCTTCATAATAATCCATTATGTCTTCAGGATACCACAAGATCAAGCATTCAAAATGATGGTACAAGGAAGTAAGTTAAAGAGAAATATGGCTCCATTTGCTTAACTGGAATAGCAAGGGAATAGAAAAAAATGAAATTGAAATTGATAGAGAGAAAATAAAGCACCGTTAAACCGAAATTCTACTTTAAGATATACATCCACCAACACACCCTTAAGTTCTTAAAGAATTTTCTTTTAAAAAAAAATCCCACTAAAGCCACCCACGTTTTTGTGAACACAGTATTATAAGCAGGGCTGTCATTGTTCATAAAACGTTTACAGAACTTCTGAGGACATTCAATGTCACGCCTCCCAAGTTCCCATGCAAGAGATCTATCTATTTTGTTTGTCTTGTTGAAGCATATACGATACCTCTTTGATAACGTCGGGTGTTCTTGGTTATTCAAGTTCAATTGATTAAGATTACCATTAATATGCTGTTTAGTACTATAATGTTTTATCAAGCCACAGTATGATAGGATGCTACAAAGTATAAGAGTGTCCAACTGAGAGTGCGACGTTTCGATAAAGATCTTTACGCTTTTCATCAATTCAGATCCATCAAACTTAACGTATTCTAGTCCCAGGAATAAAAGCTATTTACACCAAGAAAATGTATGTTTTTAAAGGTCTGTGTGTCTATATAGACGTCAATGAGTTCCAGTCTTTGTAGAAAATGTGGACTGTGACTGTAATCTGACTGCTTGGAGAGGTACACATTGGCTGAATTCATGTTTAATAATCTTAATGATTTGTATTTATTTAGCATAATGTTAATTTCAATAATACAAGGGGTTTTGCTGTGCAACTCGACCAGGCTTGAATAGAAACATAGCGTCTTCGAAACAGGCTCTCTACTCGACAAGTGAATTAAACCTACCCATAGAACTCTCAATGCTTCTGAGATAAAGTTAAGATAGCTGTTGAAATGAATTGTCAAATCTTTATCACGGCGGTTAACGGGAAATTTAGCTTTTCTACTTTTGTGCCAAAATCCCAAAGAGTGTTGTAAAATATAGAGAACTTCTATTCATTGAAAAATCCCACAAATATTATGGTCTTTTTTAAACGAGAAAGGACTTGGTCCAGAATTGATACTAATTGAATGCCTTCTTGACACCGTCTTTTAAATGTAATAGTGACTTTTGCACAGGGAACTTATATATATTAATAGATAGTTATAAAAAAGCGAACGAAAATTAGAAAAGTTAGATTACTTATATATAATTTACTGTGTGTACATTATATTTTTATTTGTAGCTGTACATAATATATAAATATCATCATTATGGGCCGCATTTTTGAACGGTGGGCTTTTTCGAATTTAACCTGTGACTACCTCAAAAAATCGGCCTTATATTCTCATTTGTGAATGCGAAACATTGTATTTCGGATAACACGGCTTTGATTATGACTCGCATAAATAAATAGCAAGTGAAGCATACGAAATACATATCTCCTCTACTCACACCCTATACTTTGTATGTGAATTTTGAGTATAGGGTTAGAGAGGGTATTAACGTATGACAAATATAGTAGTGCGTAATATGCCATAAATCAACGTCCTCTTTAATTAAAAGAAAAGGTTCAAGAATATTAAAATATGATAATCAAGCGTAGTAAATATCTTGATATTTGAATTCTTCCATTGATATTAGAAATAAAATAAAAAGTCAAAAGGGGGAGTTCCCGCACATGATGGCAGGTGCCAAGTAAATCCTCTCCGATGTGCCATCTTACAGCTGATCTGATGCTCTGAGTTTTCCCTGTTGTATTGCTACCCTCGGGCAGTACCCCAGTACTTAGCAACCTCCGCATTTCAGCCTACGCCGAAACACGAATGCTGACATCAATCTCTGTAAGACACTATCTTCGACAAGGCAACCCAGCCGCTGTTAATTCCACCAATGAGCGAATTCATCCCTTTATTGACCGCCGTTGGCTTACAGATAGATGAGCTATCCGGTCAATTTAATAAATGTCGACTTTTTGTTTATATGTACTTGTTTTTCACGTTTTTTTTAACTTGTGGGTTTTATAGATTTTTTTTTTGTTTTCTGCTTGCTTGCTTACTTTAATTTTTTTTTTTGTATTTAAAAATGGTATATAAAGCTGTATCCAAGTTACTTCGTAATCAAGATATTTAATTACAGTACACTATTTTATATAAATAGAAGCTACGTACTTTATTATGTGAGATAATAAAGAGTTCCTGTATATCTGTGCTATACAATCATTGTATCCAGTACCTACCCCTTCTTATATCATTAAAAGGGGAACGATCCAACCATGTGTCTTAATGGTCATGTGACATTAAAGCCCCGATACATTAAGGGTTTACTTGAATACGACAATAAAAAAAAATTATCTCATTCTCATGGTCCCATCAAACCAAACAAATTCCCAATGGGATTTTGATGCTCCAAGATACCGAGACTTCTCTCAGGTTCACGGCGAAAGTTCTCAAAGCGATACCTGGCTTGGTATGTTGTACTGAACAGAGCTTGGATCGCGCTGACTTGGTCAAACAATATATACATATCCATATTCACAGCAAACCGCCTCGAAAACAATCCACGGCCTCCTAGAAGCATTCCACAACCAAATACATTCTTCAAAAGAGCAACACAAGCTCCCATTAAAAGACCCTCAGGAATAACAGCCAAAGTCCCCCGAGACCCACCTTCAATCCACACTCCAAGTCAACCTGATTCTAACTACACAGAACCACATTCACCCATTCGTAAAGCACTTATTCAAAGAGAACCTCAACGATCATCACCTATCGCAAAACCCAACCCCCAAAAAAATATAGACAAATCTAAAGCGAAGCCTTCCATCTTAGCTGGGCCATTCACTCTTAGTCAACCACTATCAACATCATCGAGCACTGCAACAGAACGATATGTACCGAATCGTCCGCCGACCCCCGCTGATAAGGGCAAGGGGAAAGAGAAGGGCGTGGAAAAAGGCAACGAGCAACATGATTACAAGAGCGAGAATTATTCTATTTCTCAACCAATGCAAGATACTCAAGGTATTTCTTGGTCAGCCACATCACCCAACCCACCACAAAAGCCCAGTCTTGGTCCAACTAAGTATAGTACGAGTGAACCACCTAAAGATGTATATGAGGAAAAATCAATCAAGAAGAGATCTTTTGAAGAAAGTGTTGAAGTAAATCCATCTCCGCTGAAACAAGCCAAAACACATCAAACCAACGATTCAGCTCCCAAAACACATTATATGCCACGCTTCCCAGCCTCAAAGAATTCTACAGTACGATCACAAGAACGACTTAAACCAGGAACATCATCCAAAAAATATTTTACGATACCAAAGAAAAGTATTCAACGCGACTCTCCTTTAAAAGAAAAACCGGGTTCACCGATATCCAAAAATCATGTAGCCCCAGAAAAGAGGATAGCAACAATATCGACAATGGTAAAGGAAACGAAACCACTTACTGAAACGGCGAGAAAGGGTGTTGCTCCTTATGTACCAAGGTTTGCGAGGCTCACAACCCCAAATTCAAGTGAGAAGAATGAACATGAACCAAATACAGACAATCCACAAGCCAGTTTTTCATTGTCGAAAGAGATACACAAACAAACGCCACCAATTCAGGAGGTTTCAGCCAAAGAACCACCCAAACCACCTCTCTTAAACCCACAAGAACAAATAGCAGTAAAAACACCAGGGCAGTCAAACCCAAAGGAAGTCAAATCTATCAAACCAACCGTACAGCATGCACAAAGAATACCTTCCCAACAATCAAGACTACTGTCACGACCAACCTCATCAAACCCTACTGTAAAAAAGAGCTTTGCATCTGTTGTACCTCCTCCATCGCATCCAATCTCAAAACGTAAACCCGATACACTCTATAGGTCGCATTCAAAACCTTCAGAAGATGGATATGTAGAAAAGATAAAGACTGCATTGTTTTCGGATGACATCTTTAAAAAACAACTAGAGAAAAAGCAACATGAGATTAAATCAAAACAAGTGCCTAGTACTTTGAAGTCTACTGTGCCTCGTCTTGATAAAGTAAAGGCAACCCCCACGAACGCCACCACCAGTGAACCATTTTCGATCAAAGATTCATTCTCAAATACTATAAAGTCAACCATTCTTCAGCATATGCACCAAACACCTTCTAAATCTCATCCGCATGAGCCGAATGCTTTATACTCACATCCTCTCTCAACTACAAACACTACCCGCAAAAATGAACAGCCATTGATAAAAGAAAAAGAACCGGAGATTTATACTAACTCTATCCAGAGAAAAGAGGATCTAGACGAAATATTCAAGGGTATGGAAACCATTAGAATGGAGTTACAGAATGCGCAAGAAGCCACACAACATATTGTAAATAAAGAGCCACTCGAGGTTGAGTATACACAGTTAAGATCAGAGAAAAGACCTTCTATTGAAGAGTTTATAGAAGACAAGACACAGCGTGCTTTACGTGTTATTGCAGAATCCAAGAGACGGTCACGTCACTGGGAATCGATAATCACATCCCCAACCCCTATTACAAGACGTGTGACTGTAGTACCACTACAAGAAAAGAAAGAGACGACAGGAAGATACAGTCAAATGTACACGAGCGGACAGGTAAAGAACAATATAATAATAAAGGTAATCTACGAGAGACTGATATGAAGAGAGGGTGTTAGAATTACAAATCTCCATACCTACCTATTGAACCAACTGTCGCAAAAAGTCCTGTGTTCGCTACAGACTCGAGAATGTATCTTCCCAGGTAAGTTAGGGAGGATATAATGATAGAGAGATAAAGAAAGAGCCGTTGCTAATTATTTACACTAGTCGAATGGAAATAGATCATTCAGATGACTATAGCTCTAAACAGTCCACTAATGTCAAGCCGGCCAGAAGAAAGGTGAAGATTGAATTAGTATTTTACATGTAAACTAAATGAAAAAAGATTACTTTAGACATTTAGTTTCGATGGTCCTCTTGATCTGCCACCGCCAAAGCGACCGCGACTAACAATTCCTCAATCTCCAGAATTCCTGACAGATCAACGACCACCACGGAAATCATATCTTGACCATGAAACAAAACAGTTAAATATCAACAATCGGTACAGAAGATCGTCACCTTCTTTACGGACGCATAACAAGGTCAGTCAATAAATAGTACGGATGTATTTTTTCTTGTGGTTGCCATGGTCTATTGCTATCGTTAGGGTGATTTACCTAACACAAATAGAGAGAGACAACGGCTTCGAACCAAAGGACAGGGCTGTTTGCCAAGACCAATTATGATGGTTCTTCTTTTCGTGAGCGTCTGGAGGTTTGGAAAAACAGGGCACGTCAAGAAGAATTGGCCAACGCGTCTTTCTCATCAATGTTATAAGCCTACACATCTTCAATCATTAGCATTTCACCGGATAATATTTTTTCCTTTATATTTCCCACATTAATGAGGATATCAAAAGTTAAACCTCATATGAAGATCAATACAACCAGATCCAATGTACATGTACCAAAGTATATACACATATGCAACCGTACAATTAAATAATAATAAGAGCAAGAAGGGATGAATGTGTAAATAAACGCCCCTACTCTATTAAAGCAATAATAAAAAAGAACCCCCCATTTAAAGCATTATACTTCTTTGACTGTATATCTTTATATATTTAGAGACATTCATATATATATGTTTTTTTTTTAAAAAAAAAGAAAGGAAAAGAAAAAGAAAAGAAGGCTTAAAAAGCATGTAATGTAAATCTATAGTCTATAAATCATGCAATAAATCATCTAAAAAGATGCCAAAGAAATTACTATAAGATTAAGCAATATTTATGCTTTCTTTCTAAAAGGGTACGGTCTAATGCACCACGCGTAACGTGCCCTTGACGATTTTTTTGAGTCATGAAACAAAATGCTTAAAAATACAGTGACACTAGAATTTGAGCTTTGTTTTCTCATTTATTTTCTTATGTCACTTCCTTTCAAAATCTTCTCATTCGATCCCAAGGGAACCAAGAGCATCCCCAACGCAGCTATCATTGTAAGTATCTCTCTAAAAAAAAGTCTATTAGCGAATAAGCAATACTGCATAACACATCATTAAACACGCGTTTATGTTTCCCTTTCTGTTTTAATATTTTATAGGTTCTTCAGGAATGGTGGGGTATTAATGATCAGATCAAGAGACATGCCCAACGCATTGCGGACAACACTGGTGCACATGTCGTTGTTCCCGACCTTTACAAGGGAAAAATTGGCCTGACAGCAGAGGTAATACAGGGATAATAATCAAATACGTCAAAAAACTAAAAACGTATTGATCAATAGGAAGCAAGCCATTTGATGAGCAACCTTGATTGGAAAGTAGCTATTGGAGAGCTTGAGCAGCTGGTAGAATATTTGAGAGATCTGAAGAAAACGTATGTCTAAACAAGTATATATATATATGATATTTTGCTGTCAAAACGTACTTAATCGTTAAATATCTTTTGATTTTCATAGACACATCGGAGCTATCGGTTTCTGCATGGGTGGTGCTCTGTCACTTGCTTTGGCTGCCAATGCAGCTGAACATGGTAAGCCTATTCAGGTTGCTATCACCTGTTATGGTATTCCTGGTGCTCCCTTTGACGTCAAAAAGATTACCAAAGCCACCTCTGTCCAGGGCCATTTTGGTGGAAAGGTAATATATATATTATAAAAACGTCATAAAAAGCATATACAATGATTTAAATATTAATATTTTTTTGGTATAGGATCAAATGGATGGATTTAGTGATCCTGCCTCAGGTAATATATATACATATATAAATATATAATTAATAACTTATTTGATTTTGTATGCTTACTCTTATATAGCTCGTAAGCTGGAGGTCGATGTTTCAGGAGCCAATGATCTCCACATATATAATTATCCAGAACAAGGACATGCCTTTTTGAACGATGATGAATGGAGTATTGCGAAGCGCAAAGAGAATGGAATGGTTGACAAATCAATTGATCCTTTGAAGGATGAGAAGCCAGTCCGTGATCTTGCTTGGAGTCGAATCTTTGATTTCTTCCACAAACATCTTGTTTAATAATTCTTCAATTCACCAGAAATGTGTACACATGTATTAAAGAAATAATCGAAGAATTTTTTTATATTCATTCCTCGTGAATAAATTATATACATAGCACCAATGGATCAAAAATAAACATCCTATATATATATATATGTGTGTGTGTGTGTACTGTGAATATGGCTTTATATAGAGCTAAATATGATGTAGGGCAGATTATACTTGGTCAGGGTGTAAATATGAAATATTAAGGCAAAGCTTCTATAAATTTTTTGAAGTAAATATAAAGAAAAGAAGGTATTTTAATATCTATCATGCATTTAGCATATGTTATGAAGGGACAAGGTTGACTTCTCGAATAACAGATTCGGAATATGTTCTTAACTTTATTGAGGCCTACTTGACAATTCATATGTTAATTAACACTACGGGAAAAAAAGTGGGGATTCCGCTGGGGATTCAGCTGGAGATTCAGCTTGGGATTGAGCTGGGGATTCTCGCGAATCGCAGTGGAATCTCTAGTTCCCTTTTAAGTAATATATTTTAATCGCCGTTGACTTATTGATGTTAGGTTTTATTCATATCCCGCTATATTTATCCATCTGCTATAACCTTATTTTCATTGGTAGGAAAAAAAATATAAAAAGATTTCTATTGGTAAGAATGAAAAAAGAAGTTCTTAAATTGGTAATAAAATATTATTTTGGTTTTTATAATTATTTTAATTGGATAAAATACATTCTATTATTGTATATGCTTCAATGGTATTGGTCATTTCAACAGAAACATTCTCTCAAATGGCCCTCATTTATATATATTCTGATTTGTTCACAATTTTAATTGGGTAAAAAAGTTTCATTTCATAGAGGATTTTTATTTAAAAATACTTTTATTAATTGTTATAAAAAGGACAATTCTTTATTCATTAATTGTATTGGCTAAATATCATTTGAATAATTTCATGTTTTCATATTGTATACAATTTATTATACCTACCTGACATGAACTTACGAGTTCTTTCCTTCACGCGGTTTTTCTATGACTGAAAGACTTTTGCAACAAATATTCGGTTTTTGTGACATGTGGTAAAGCCGACGCAACTTTGTTTAAGTAGACACACATGTTTGGCGCACATTATGCCCTTGTTTTCTTGAGATAGACATCGTATTTGGATTTATTTCTAAAGATTGTACAGAAAGATAGACGGCCATTTCATTACATATAAGACGTGAACGTGTTAATAGTTGTTTTGTTTTTCTTGTTGAGTTAAACCAAGAACATGACTCCATTTTAAAGTCGTGTTTCAAAGTTATAGTTTTAATACAAGCATTAATCTCGAGATTAGGACATCAAAGAACTATATTGCTTTACATTAGCTTATATGTTTTTCTTTGCTTTATTATTTCTTACATCATAGTCTGGGGTGGGCTTCTCAAGTGTGTATTCATTTATGTCATTAGGTAGTTCAGAAATCTCCAGTCGTAGAATGCTTGTTACTTTTAGAGTGCTTTTTGGCCCTTCTGCAAAATAATAAGCATTTCTTGTATATCCCGAAGTGTTTCTCGCATACCTTGAAGCAGATAAATTACTGAATCTTCTTAATTATTCATGATAATAATAAAAATCCGGCGTCAGGGTTTGTTATGAACAAAAGAAAGAACAAGAAAGAAAAATTTTCTAAGTCGTCATTAGCGTCATATATTTTGTACAAATGTATTGGTTACTCTTTGATATGAAATATCAATATAGTAATTTTACAATGATGACATACACTTCCCTATTCTAATTTTTTAGCGTGTCTTTGAATTGTCTTCACATATTTTATTCAAGTAATAAAAGTTTGATATTTTCTTTCTCTTTACTTCTGACTTGTAATAGCCATCAATTGCAATAAACACTTACTAAAAATGTAAAGTCTGTAGTTAAAATGCACTTTTGTCTATCAGGAGATTTAATTTTCGGTGGTCAATTTGCTTTTTATCAACTTCTTCAAAAAACAGAGACTTTCTTATTTCATTTTGAATTTTTGGTGAATTTTTAATTATTATAGACCAAAAAGAAAGTCACTAATTCGAAAATCCCGAGTTTTTTCCCGTAGCTTATAAGCTACTGGTGTGTTTTTAGGTAATAAACTCCTTCTATTAGTCGAAAAATCAAGGGTAACTTGGGTTGTGCTTATTCACTTTAACCATTTGTGGGTAACTTGATGAAGAAGACGCGAATTTTTCCTTATTTGGGTGTGGATCTGTCGATTTCCGCTACACAACATTCGAGGAGAAGGTTCATATCTGAACTCCAAAAGAGTCAGTTACATTAGCTTTAGATCTTACTAGAAAACCGGTATTTACGTGGATTTACTAAAGCCACATATAAAATATTACATAATGGACATTTAGTATACTCGCTTAGAAAAATAATAGACGGCTTTGTTTTTCCTTGCCAATAGTACAACATGTGCATTAGATACGATGACCAATTTCTAGTTCATCGTATAATAAATTCTGTATATAAAGGAGCATACTTGGAGCCAATATTTCTCACTTCGTTCAATATATCGAATATAAATTTCAATTATCATGTCTTTCTCTTTCCCAGTATTGCACTTTGAGCCCCAGGGTCCCAAGCAAATTCCCGATGCTGCCATCATTGTAAGTATTACTTGTTATATATATTTATTCTTAAAAAAAAACAAGTATACCACATTAACAAAAAAGAGAACTCATTTACTTTTGTGTATGAAATACTTAGGTCCTCCAAGAATGGTGGGGAGTCAACGAACAAATCAAGCGTCACGCTCAACATATTGCAAACAACAGTGGTGCTCATGTTGTTGTTCCGGATCTTTACAAAGGAAAAATTGGCTTGACAGCTGAGGTAATATAAGATAATATTTAAATACTATAAAAAAGTTTAATTGAATGCTTTAATTAATAGGAAGCAAGTCATTTAATGTCTCATCTTGACTTTGAAGCTGCAATCGGAGAGCTGTTGCAATTGGTGACTCATTTAAGAAGCACCAACAAAACGTATGCTCAGAACAGAAGAAATATTGATATAACAAATGATTTTTTTAATTAAATCTTGTTTCATTTTTATAGACGTATTGGTGCTATTGGATTCTGTATGGGTGGAGCTCTTTCCCTTGCCTTGGCTAATCAGGCTACTCTGTTGGGCGCTCCTATTCAAGTTGCAATTACCTTTTATGGTACCACTTCTGGAAAGCTTGATGTCACTCATATTTCTAAGGATACTGCTGTCCAAGGACATTTTGGTGGACAGGTATATATATATATTATCGTAGATATACCAAAATAATAATAATGTTTATTGATTTGATTTAGGACAACCAAATTGGTTTTAGTGATCCTCCTTCTGGTAATACCCACATACATATAGATAATCATTTGAAGGATAGTTACTAATCCTCAGTAATATATATATAGCCCGCCAACTGGAGCTCGATGTTGCAAACACCAAGGATGTTCACATCTACACTTACCCTGATCAAGGCCACGGTTTCTTGAATGTCGATGACTGGAGTATTTCTGTTCGCAAGGATATGGATATGGTTGCTAAGGATTCTGATCCTGTGAAGGAAGAAAAGCCAATCCGTGATCTTGCTTGGTCCAGAGTTTTTGAATTTTTTGATAAGCACCTTTAAGTCTTTAGTTGATATACATGCAATCGACTATTGGTATGATTCTATGATTCTATGATCTTATATTATTATGTTAATATGTTATAATATACATTATATTTAACATACAGTGGTATTTCGCTTCTTTTTTTTCAATAAACAAAGACTATCTATTACTCTCCTACTTTATGAATAAATAATTAGATATAAGTATATCTGTATATTTGAAACAAAAAATAATCCCATTTTATCACTTTTATCCACCTTCTGTTTTGTGACCTGTATTTCGAGACTTGGTTTTTGGATATTTCACCATACTTTTTTTTTGTTACACTTATTTTTAGTTTCGGTTTAATTAGATAACACATTTCATCATGGATCCAGCACAAAAGGAAATCGCAAAGAAAGCTTTGAAAGCACTAAATTCGCGTACAGAACTTGTAGCCCGTCATTTGGAACCCCTTCTTTCACATTCAATGAGTGAAGTTTACACTAAACTCCCCGTCAATGAGCGAGCACAGTTCCAGGTGCTCATTTCTTATGCAATCAACAGTTTATTCTATAGTATGTACCTTTAATCGACAATTGGGCTACAAAGTGATGATTTTTTATTTTGTAATTCTAATTAATGCTTTTCTTATAATTTATTTTGTGCTTGTACAGCATACTTGCGGACACAAGGCCATAACCCGCAGGAACATCAAGTGATGAAAGAGATTGTAAGAATTGAGAACTTATTGGAAACGAAGATTGGAATACATTAAGCAAATAAGAATGGTGTGTAGGAACGTGTGATGTCTTACGTCGATAAGATTAAGCGTGTTGAAGGAAGAGGTCCCAAAGGTAAGTTTATCTGCTTTTCTTCTGCAAGTCAAAGGATTATATAAAGAGCTATCACTAACTCTTTCTATACAGCCTCTATGAAAATCGACAAAGGTGCAGCTGCACGGTTTATTAAGGCTGCTCTTGTAAATGATCCTGAAGAGTCCAAAGAAAGTAAGATATAACAATTCGATTCAAATAGGAGTGTACGAACTGGTAATGGCTGGAATATCAACGTTTTTGAACCCTTTTGTTTTGTGCAGATTTGAAGCGCAAGATTGACAGTACAGATCAAGGTAATAAAAACATGGCTTGAAAACGGGGTGTGGTATTAGACATTTATTTACAGTAGACCTTACAATTACACTCCAAATAGAAGAGCCTGCAAAGAATGATTCAGAAAAGAATAAAAAGAAGAAGAAGGAAAACGAGCTTTTAGAGGAAGGTGAGGTCAAGGGTGCTACCTCACGGAGTAAGCGTAATCGCATGGATCCATTCCAAGGTAAATATAATACTGGAATACTTTCAGAAAAGTCTAAACTAAACTAAACTAAACATTATTTAGGTTATCAAAATTAAAAGAATAATAAAAAAACAGAGGATTCTTTGGATTCTCTCAAGAAGCATAAACAAACAGTCACGAACAGTTTTGCTCCATGCACTTGATATACATATTGAGGGTTTTCTAATATTTCAAAATTAAAATATTCATTTTTTTATCATATATCAATTAAATAAACATGACGACTTAGAACTAAGTAAAAAAAGAAGTCTTGTTAATTATAAGTAACAAAGGTTAAGTAGTATCTTTGTTTGGGTAGTTTGTACTTAGATACTGCTATCTCTGGTCACACAAATGCTTTGTTTGCGTGTGCATAATACTTGGATAAAATAGTTTATTACAGAATAACTTCCAGAAAGTGTAGCATTGTCTTGGAAACGAGCTATAGAGGCATGAAAGCTAGATCGTAAAAACCTCCGGGAATACATATCTAAATAATGAGGTAGTAAAACTCAATGAGGACAAAAATCAAGGGATATAGAAGGATAAATGATAATTCGAGAAGACCCGGAATGATATTCATTGATTTTGACGTGAGCAATAGTAACAAGCTGCTAAAATAGGTGTAGGTTTTTTTACAATAAAGAAAACCTAGGTAATTTCTAAAAACAGTAATAATCATTATATATTTGTTCATTAAATAAAGCTTTGACTGGATTCTAAGAGAATTTATCTACATCCTCCTCTACATCTTCCCGTCTGTCATAAAACAGATGTTGTATTTCCACTATACAGTATATGTTAAATATTATCCATTTTACAGCATCTTTTTCTTATGGGCGAATTTAGTACATACAAGTACTGCTCTTCGTGTACCCAGTCGTTTCTTGAAAAGTTTAATTAAACCCCTAACACTCGCCCATACATCTGTTTTCAAACACCAAACGCAACCTACCATGGGTTTCCAGGGTAATCTTATAATTACTCCCCTTTTTTTGTTATATCTATATATTATTCTGGCTGTTTACCGGTTTGAATCATTTAGATGGTACGGCTTTATTATAGCTTGAATAACGTTTTTAGAATTCATTATTATGGTGTTGTATTAAGCCTTTTGTATATTTTTCACAAATTGCGGCGTGCTGAAACGCGTCCGGAAAGGCTCACCCGTGTTTCTCAAATTGGAAGTACATCAAAGCTAAGGAAAGCTGTTCCGGAGAGTTTCTGTGTGAGATGAGGACTGACAAGAAGAATACATTTTTTTGCCCTAGTTATCGCCAGGTAACCCTGGAATGTTTTTATAGAAAATCATTACATTATTTAAATAGCTCAGTGAATTGTTTTATTGTTTTATTGCTGTTTGCACTGTCTAGACTGTGACCAGTGTTGGTTGCAAAGATATCAGGCTAAAAGAGTATACATATATAGAGTAGGACAAGAGGGGGGCATTGGAAAGGTGCTTTCATTTTTGAACTTTAATAACAAAGAAATGGAAAAAAAATTGAAATTAAAACACACACACGAACACACAGGGTAAAAAAGCACAGTCCACTATGAGAAATGAATGATTCAGTCAAAATACCACCTTAAACTCATGATATCCCACCATAGTGTTAGCTTTATATGTTATATAGGTGATAACGGTGCAGAATATCTGCCATCTTCTTTCTTTCTTTCTTTCTTTCTTTGGGTATCATATTACATACCGCGCCTGGGATACAGTCTTCTCGTTTATATTCTGTTTGAAGCATTAATGCAACAATTTCCCTTAGCCACTTTTACACTCCTACGTCACACTTTTATTCAAGCCATACATATTCTCGCGCCCGTTACCACAGCCTAGATGATTTGGAGTGCTCAATGAAAATGTGTACTTAATAAGAGATATTTTCCCTCTAGTGTATTGTCACAGAAGCTCTATAAAAATATAGTCGTGCACCATGCTACACTAGCTTAAGAATCTTTACTATCACTTCTTTCTTTTTGACTTTCCGTCTCTCGATTGAGGTAATTTGGATAGAAATTCCAAAGTTGTGCCCAGTGTGGGACAGTAAGTCAATAAAGGAAAATACATATAAAAAATACATATTCTATGTTCTTAAGATATTCTTTCTAGCTTTATTTATAGATGCTTTTTTTGCCATTTTTAAATAAGAGATATTATTTCCCTTAGTTTTGCTTAAAATTCAAAGGTCCCAGATAAGTGTTAAGGGGGATTAAGTCACAATTTTGAAGATGTACAACGTTTCATATCAAAACTAAAAACACACACGCACTTGGGGTATGGTAATTATGTGACAGTATTCCTTTCTTTCTTTCTTTCTTTCTTTCTTTATTTCTTTATTTATTTATTTCTTTCTTTGTCTTTCTCTCTATCTCTCTCTATCTCTCTTGTTACAATGGCAGAAAACTTGCCGTACGAGATTCTCGCCCTCATTGCAATCCATGTCAAAAGAGACAGCGGATTTACTTGTGCCCTAGTCTGTAAACATTGGACAGAACCCTTTTTAAACGCATACTGGAACTACCTGAGTGTTGATAAACGCATCATAAAACAAATTTGCAGTAAATCCAACCTGAATAATGTCTATCTCAAAAATGCACAGCGTGTACGGAAATTACACTTTGAATATCTATCGATAGATGACATCGATTCTTTTTCGGAGTTGCAGCAAGTTTACCAGAGCATAAAGCGCCTTGAATACTTTGAATCATATAAAAACAAGCAGATTTTTGAAATAATTGATTGGAACCTTTGGAAGCCGTTATCACATTTGAAAATAAGCTTCGAGTATAAAACCCCTGACACGTTGAAAGACCTTTTTACAAAGTTGTCGGTATTGCCTTGTCTTACTCATTTTACACTCAAGTCAACCTTGGATTCCTGGGATGAGAAAAAAATTCTTGCTGTTTCATGGTCGCATATTGAATCACTTCACCTTCATTTGTCACGGCTGGAGTATCTAGACGTTGACTTTATGCTTGCATCGATACCAAAGGATGACATGGAACTAATAAAGAAAGTTACTCCAGCACACACTGTCACAAATATCCGCTATAATGATTACATTGATGCTCCCAGGATATTTTACTTTGCACTCAAGTACCCAAATCTACGCAGTATTGAATTTGGAAAAGATGCTAAAGCGAAACCAAGACATTCAAATGATTACGATCAACAACAATATCTAAAAGACATCCGATTACTATCAACTCTTGACCAGTTCTTTCCTTGCTTAAAAAATGTACATACATACCCAGAAGCTTACAATAGGTGGCCATTCTCTATATTCTGCGACACTCTGCAACATTTTGGAGTAAATACGGAGTGTGTCAAATTTCACCTTTACACAAGTAATCGAGTCTCATTGAATGCCCTCAGCAAGTGCTTGAAACCGATCGCCGAATCATTGAGGATTTCATGGCAGCATATCTTTTTTGCTGAAGATACTGAGTCAATTACAGATCACTTCATTTTATACCCAAACCTAGTTGAATTACACATGGACACGCATTGTCAGATTGAAATAGACGTTATTCTCAATAAATGTCCAGTATTACGATTACTGGATATAAAAAACTCCAGAATACGTCTGTCCGGCCAACCACAATATGTCCACAATGACAGCCTACACCCTTTGCAAAAAGTGGAAATTAAAAGCGCTAAAACAAGTACACTCATCCTAGAATACATATCCTTCCATTGTAGACAGCTCAAGTTCATGAAACTAGATCAAGTTTGGTTCAATGCATATGATATGGGGGAAAATGGACAGCTACTTCTTGATATCGGTTTCTCACAATTGAAAACACTCATACTTTACAATATCAGATCAGGCGTTGACATTGTCAGTCATTGTGTTATTGAGCAGATGGGCAATACCAATCGCAATCTATCGTATCCAGACTATAATGAACAGCCAGTTCGGTCAAATTGGTATTACATATGCTTAGACGAATCAAAGCAAAGAAAAATAGCGTTGGCATGGGAGCTTGAGAAATCCGATGTTGAATTTGCTAAAAAATACTGCAAAGACTTTGTACGCAGAAAAAATCACGACAGAAAACACAAATCCATGGAACATAATTATTGTAACCGTGCACCCAAAAAACTTTGGAAAAAGGATCTTCAGTATGGCGTCTTTGTTGTTCGATCAGGATCTGTTGAAAACTACTTTCTTGATAGTAAAAGAGTATAGTAAAGGAAAAGATTGAAGTCTATTATTATTGTGTCCTCAACAGACTTGTAAATAATACTATACTAAATCTGCTCACGGATTGGAATAAATACCTAATAAATTCTCAGTTTACCAAGTCAGTATATACTTTTAATGATAACCAACATTATTATCAGCTATTGCTATGTATTTCTGTTAATACACGTCTATATAACTCTTCTCATAATTAAATAAGCACACAATATTACCTGATTATTGTCTTTGATCCCTTTATCTGCTTTGTAAGAAGATATCCTATTGTATTAATATACATTACAATATCGCGTTCTAAAGTGCTAAACGATATATAAATCTCGCTCAAGGTATCATATTTACAGCTATAGTATACACCAACCACAAAATGAATTATATTCAAATTCATTTACATCAAATAGCTTTATTTTTTAGTATTAGTCTTCTAATTGCCACATCTGTACACACAAAGTTAAATAAACTCCTTGGTATATCTTTTTACTCACTGACTGCTAGTGTTTTTTTTTTAATATAATTAATTCAAATGTATCGCAGGACTTATAACATAATGAACAGACTAAGAATGAAATACATAGTATATATACATAACTTAATTTAATAAAAATATTAACATTTACTTTGTAATTTGTTGAATATATTATGCGATTAAGACGTATTTGCCTTGAAATGATGATTTTGATCAAATTGGCAAATTCTACACCGAAAATCAGCTCTCAATTACTATTCATAAAGCTAATAAGCTCTATAACTATAAACAACCTTGTCAGACACATCAAGATCCACATTATCAGCAGTTTTAGGCATTGATTGCTCAAATATTGACCAAAACATCCCACTTTTTCACTCTATAAAATCTTGATCCCCTGTAAATTGGGCTATTTGCACCAAAAAGTCCATTTTCGATACCCACTTTTACTCACAGGACAACTGAAGAAAAGCTTGGAAATTTTTCTTTTTTGTCTATTAAGTAAATTTGTGTAAAACGTAAATACGGGCCTGCCAATACTTGTCTGAACAGAAACAAGTGCATATTCGTGGAAATATCAACTACTCTAAAAATGACTAAATTTGTTAAGGAAGTATAAAAAAGGCAAATAATCTATTTACACTGCCCGGCTAAATAAATTACCTTGTGTATATATTAGTATAAAGAATACTATCTGGTCGCGCTTTATGTATAAAACGGCTCCTTGTTATCGAAGACTGCTTGCATAAAGGTCTAAAGGCATTGATGGCCAATATTATCTTTTGCGGGGCCTCTCCAAAGTTAATGAATACTTTCTCTTGATATGTCTGTTTAAGAAATCAATATTGCACCAAACGGGTAATTTTTTTTTTCAGAAACCCAAAATCAACATTAATATAATCACCTTTCCATATCGACCATTACTTGTGCCACAAGTCCCTACAAAACCAACACCAGTCTTCAATACTCCTTGGATACATATTTGTAAATATTTCAAAGGATATTTTCAATTGAAGATTATTTAAGTAGCGTAAGACTGTGTAGCCAGTCTAATGGAAAGAAAGAGTTGGATGAGAATATTAAAGATGTTAATTTCATGGGTTTTGATAAAGTAAAAAAAAAAAAAGGAAGGAAGGAAGGTTCCAGGCAGTTGATGTTGTACTTTGAAGCCATAATTTTAAATATGTGTAACGTCTCCTACTATATAGCTTTCTTTCTTTTTTTTTCTTTTTGTGATTAAATAATTAATTAAATAAGCCGTAAAATATTCGAATAATGATCTTTATAGGACTCTATTTTCTTCATCTCTCTACCTTTTTTTGGTTCAATGGCACCGAAACTACCATACGAAGTTGTATCAATTATTGCAAATTATGTTGAAAAAGATAGCCGACTTACCGGTGCCTTGGTCTGTAAGCAGTGGACAGAAGAATTTCTAAGCGCATATTGGTATTCCTTGAGTGTCAACAAAAAAAATAGCAAGATACATTTGCGATACATCCAACCTGGACAACCCATATCTAAAGAATGCAGACAGAGTGTGTGAGCTGAAGATTCAGGACTTATCGACCGCCGATGGGAAATATTATTCCAAGTTGTCACAAATCTACCATGGAATAAGGCGCCTCGAATGCTTTGAATCACTTGAAAACAAATGTGCTATTGAAACTATTGATTGGAGTCCCTGGAATTTATTATCGCACCTGAAAATACATTTCCAGTATAGAAACTCTATTGAGCTGGAAAATCTTTTTACAGGCCTATCGGTATTACCTTGTCTTCTACACCTTACACTACACCAAGTTAGCTCAGAGTATGGGGATATGGTAACTAACATTGTCTCGTGGTCAGATCTTGAATTACTCCACCTTAATTCACCACACCTGGAAGATATAAGCATCGACTTTTTACATGAGCCAATATTATATGACAACATGGATCAAATAAGACGTATTACCCCAGCATCAACTGTCACAACGATACGATATAGTAGTAGTAACGTTGACGCTTCCTGGATATTTTATTTTGCACTCAAATACCCAAATTTACACACTCTTGATCTTCAAGCTTCTGACAGCTATCATCAAGAAAACATAGTTTACAAATGTCAACTTCAGGAGGATATGCAATTACTATCAACACTTGACCAATTCTTTCCTTGTTTAAAAACCGTGTGCATACAAACGGGAGTAAACAGTATATGGTCATTTTCTACATTCTACGACGCCCTTCGAATTTTCGGCGCAAAGGTAGAAAGAGCTGATGTTGATATTCACATGCGTGATCCAGATTTGACAGACAGTTTCGACAGCTGTCTTGACTTTAGCTCAGCATCATTGAAAGTTTTGATGACAAGCTTGATTTCCATGCCGGGAAAAGTGCCACTTTCAAGCACCCTGACTTTCTATCCGTGTCTAGTCGAGTTAAACATCGAAATAATGGGTCTGATCGAAATTGTCATTATCCTAGATAAATATCCAACGTTACGACTTTTAAGCCTCTCTTTAGCAAGGGTGTGCCTTTCCAAGCAGTCAAATCACAACCACAACCCACACATACTAAGAAGATTCGAGGTTAATCGCATTGAAACGAACACAGAGGTCTTTAGATATATATCCTTCCGCTGTAAACAACTTTCATTCCTGAAACTAGGAGACGTTGACCTTAGGGCATCAGAATTTACAGAAAATGGGGAGATCCTTATTGGCATGCCATATTCTCAGTTGGACAAGCTCATAGTCTGTAGTATCAGAGAAACCACTAAATTGATAAAGTTTTATGCCGTTATACAAGAGGACAATACTGGTGTTAACCAATCGGATTCGGATAACCAAGAACAGAAAACTCGATCAAACTGGTACCATATATACTTGGACGATACGGGCGAGATAAAAAGGTCTCTTGCATGGGAGCTTGGAAAACAAGGCATTGAATATTTTCAGAGATCCTACAGAGACGCTTTGAGTAGTACTTATGACGATAATTCTCATACGGTAAAAACAAAATAAGTTTCTTTAGGGGGAGTTTTTATTTTTATTTTTATTAGGCTTTTAAGGGTGTATGTGTTTTTAGAGTATAATTTCGGTTAAATAGGGCCTTACCTTTTCTTTTGTTTCAATTTTCAATTTATATATATAGCTATTGTATGCCAACAAACAAAACCAAAACTTTTTACTATCATTTCTAATTTTTGATCTTTGTAGGTTTTTGATGACATTGTTAACTATTATGAGCCAAAGGAAGCTTGGAAAGCAGATATTGCCTTTGGCGTCTTTGTTTTATCATTCAAATCTGTTCAAAGATATTGTATTGATAAAGAGATATTATATGGAGCACATTATGATTATTCTGAAAATTAAAATCATATTAGTGAGTTGTATGATTCCATGGCTGAAAGTGACACATGGCTCCTTATTATCATCATATATATATATATTTGGCTCTTATAAAATAAAATAACATAAAAAAAAAGCCAGCGCCTTCTTTACTAAATATTTTTATTTTGTATGAGACAAAAACTTTTATTAAATTTCCTCAAAAGAATATTTCCTATATAAAAGAAGCAGATACCTGAGAAGAGATTGATAAGCACAAAAGAGTGTGGGTATAGATAATAAGCTGATAAGTACAAAGACAGGAATACATATGGAAAATATAAAGTAAATTTGGAATCAAAAGATGAGTTTGTAGGGTGAAAATTACTTGATTCCTAATATCAGCATGCCTTTCTAATATACACATATATATAAATGATTGTGACATATTTGCTATCAACAAGTCTAAATCTCGGCGCTACATAATATACATATGCACTTATATATGTGTATATGTATGTATTGGTTGGACTATGCAATATACATCAACTTTAAGCCGGAAAATAATTAAAGACTCGATACATGATCGAATATGTCATCGAGAGATATGCATTGTTATGCGTTTTGAACGTTAAAACCAGATGGTAAAGCAAAATACTAGTTTTTTTATAATGGCTAATATCTTTAATTTATAGAAAATGAATCATTCCCAAGTCAAAGCAGAGAGAATAAGACAGAGATACTAGCAATATATTGTTCTTCTAGGGCGAGAGAGATAATGGAATTGTGTGTGTGGGAGTTTGAGGGAAAAGATGTGTATTTAAGTTAAAAAAGGTCCCAGATCATTAATGGGTGGAGCTCGGAATCCCCAATTTTAAAGGTGTACAACGTTTCATAAGAGTAGGGATTAATATTATTACTATTTTACTTTATTCTTATATATTTAACCCTATTAATTCTCTCTCTCGCTCTCTCTCTCTCTCTTTATCTCTCTGCCTTTATACCAATCTGCTTCTTTAGGGCTTTGTTGCTATGGGACCAGCATTACCATTTGAAATTCTCTCGAATATTGCAGTCTATGTCGACCCAAAAAAAAATCTTGCGTGTGCCCTGGTTTGTAAGCAGTGGACAGAACCATTTCTGAACAAACGTTGGTGTTCCATTACTGTCACGCTGGAAGTAGCAAAATACATTTGCAATACACGAAGTCAAAACAACGTCTATTTAAAAAATTTGCATCGTACACTCGAACTGAAGCTTATGAATATACCAAAAGCTGATATGAAATACCTTTCAAAAGTACAGCAAATATACTGCAAGATTAATTGGTTTGAGTACGATAGACCGTATAGAAGCGACTGCATTATACAAGAAATTGATTGGAGTCCTTGGAAGTCATTAGTCCATCTAAGTATTCCCCTTTGTAATAGAAGTCTTACTGCATCAGAAGATTTCTTTACAAAGCTATCTGTATTGTCCTGTCTTACCCATCTTACACTCAAAGAGGCGGTTACACAACAGAGTCTTGAAGAAACGATCGTTGTTTCATGGCAGGACATTGAATTACTTCACCTCAACCTACCACGACTCACATATATAGACATTCGTTTAAGGATTAAAGCAATACCAGCCATAGACGCAAATAAAATAAGACGTATTACTCCAGCACACGCTATCACAAATATACGCTATGGTAGTGATTACATTGACGCTTTCTGGGTATTCTACTTTGCGCTCAAATACCCCAATTTACACAATATTACACTCGGAAGAAGTTTCGAAAGTGGTGGTCATTACCAAAGTCACACAATAGATTACGATAAGAAGAAGTACCAAGAAGGAGTCCGGTTACTATTGACGCTTGACCGATTCTTTCCTCGCCTAAGAAGCATATTCACATCCATGAACTCTTTTAACAGATATCAGTTTTCTGTGTTCTACAACGCTCTTTGGCATTTCGACGTAAAATTAAAAGATGTCGAGCTTTCCTTTGAGGGAGAGAAGTTAGACTGGGCCGAGGGTTCCCAAAGCTGCTTGAACATCAGGTCAGATGCATTGGCGAGCTTGAAGATAACGCTTTCGAGCGCCTCGAGTTTGAATCCGGTTGGAGACCTATTGTTTGTCTACCCGGATTTAGTTGAGCTACAGATCGAGACCTATAATCTGATTGAGGTCAACATAATACTAGACAAATGCCCATCATTGCGAGACTTACGAATGAAAGGCACAGAAGTTTCGTTCTCAGGCAAGCTGAAAAGAGTCGATACCCCACATGCTTTGCAAAGACTGGAACTCGATTGCGTGAGCACGAGTACACACATGCTTGAATATATATCCCGCCGCTGTAAAGGACTTTTGTTCCTGAAGCTATATTCTATTCGGTTCCGTAAATCTTATTCGGATGAGCTGGATAAATTGCATCATACAAAGTATCCTTACCACCTGGTCCTCAACATGTCTTTCTTAAACTTGGATACACTCGTGATTTACAGGCTCAGGCGCTTTGGGAATATAAAATTTTGTGCAATCCAAGAACAACATCAAGGAGATGAAGAAGAAGATATAAAGAAAATGGAAGATGGAAATTGTAAGTCATTGGTTCCGGATGAACCGTCACAGCTGGCTGGATTAAAGTGGTATCACTTGTGCTGGAAAAACACAGAAGGAGTAAAAAGAGCTTCAATGTGGGAGCTTGAAAAGCAGGACATTGACTATGTTAAAGGGTTTTATAAGCACTATGTGAGCCTTAACTACGTCTCCAAAGATTCTGATTATAGGGATAACATTTACAATGGCTATTCACCAAAGCGATTTTGGCAAAAGGACCTTCAGAATGGTTTCTTGACCATCCGCCTTAAATCTGTTAAAGCTATAATTCATAATAAGGTTTTTTCCTATTACAGGAATAGATAGTTATAATAAAGTTTATATTATTTGATGGCTTTATTTGACTTTATTCTATTGTATTTTACTTTTGTGATTATCATCATATTGAACCTTGACTGTATTATTAATGTATATTCTTTATAACATTTTATACAAATTGAAATAGTTGGTGTATCCAAGCAATAAAGTATATACAATATGTACATGGCACGCATTATTTATTAGTACAATAGGATCACCCAATGAAGTTAAAGCTCTTATTGCATATTATTGGATTTATTAGTAAGATCAAAATCCAATTGCTAACAATTAAAATGATCATTTTGATCAAATTGGCAAATTCTACACCGAAAATCAGCTCTCAATTACTATTCATAAAGCTAATAAGCTCTATAACTATAAGCAACCTTGTCAGACACATCAAGGTCCACATTATCAGCAGTTTTGGGCATTAATTTCTCAAATATTGACCAAAACATCCCACTTTTTCACTCTATAAAATCTTGCTCCACTGTAAATTGGGCTATTTGCACCAAAAAGTACATTTTCGATACCCACTTTTACTCACAGGACAACTGAAAAAAAGTTTGGAAAATTTTCCTTTTTTCCTATTAAGTAAAGTTGTGTAGAAAGTAAATTCTGGTCTGCCAATACCTGTCTGAACAAAAACAAGCGCATATTCATCGAGATACACGTCCTGTAATTCTGTTATACTGATGGCTATGGTAAAGTCGGAGTTTGTATAATAAGTATATAAAAGGTAAATAAGCTATTCACACTATGTAGATTTGCAGTTTTGAATGTAAGCTTTAACTTGCTTATAAGTCCCTGGGTTAAACTACGAACAAGCTAACTGTTGTAACATTTGTCGACTAGTCTGTAACACAGTCAAGGGGAAGATATGAAAGTTATGCATTTCAAAAAAAGATAACACCAAAACAACTGGTTTATTCATTTAGACACCACAAACACTTTATGAAATTCTTGTCTTGATACCCTGTTTAGTAGAAAGAGCAGCTGTAAAGATATAAGCGATTTGTATTTAATCCAAGGGTGTCATGTACACAATATATTTACAAGGGATAAATAGATGTGTGTATATTGTCAATTAAAAGAAAGCGACTAAGCAAAATTCTTGTCAAAGGAATAAAATATTATACCTCATGAAAGATCATGAATTGGCCTGCCACCCTTTTAAGGATCCATTGTCTTTTTTTTTTAGCTATTCCAATCTCTTTGGGTTTAGTAATCTTCCATTGAGTATCATTCAATAAACATAATGCTATTTTTGCATATCATTGGTAGCTGCAATATCAACTTGCAACTTGTGAGTTATGTACGGTAAACATATACAAGAACGCACAATTCGTTATTAGTGATGTGTAGATGTACCTTTATCTATATTAATTACTTGAGACGAGATCAATGAGATCATTGGCTTGATAATTTTAATGATACAGATTAATTTTGCTCCAAACTCAATAGATATTCTTTGCATATAATAATAACGCCAATATAAGCACCAGGGCTGTTTGAAATGTACAGATCATAGTGCTTAATATAACTATTTATATAATACAGTCCTTTTAAAAAAAGCATGTTTCTGTAAGTTTGGTAATTACACAACACACAATGTTTGCTGCCCCTTTATATATACATAGTAATATTTAAATCTAATCGTCAATCTCGGTCAAAGCTTAAATTCAACAAATTATATGGTAATGATTGCAAAGGATTTCAATAATAATATGTGCAATATGACACATACATTTCCTAGTGAAATTGACAGCTTGTTCATTATTAAAAGCAATATCAATGATAAAGATAAGATAAAGAAGAATTTGATAATATATATAGTAGATATATATAAATGCAAAAAGTATTTGCTGTTGCTGATCATTGAATCTTAAAGATAGTCACTTGAAAATAAAGATATTCGAATACTTGCAATATTAGATGCATATATCCTTGTGAAGGAATATACTACACACACACACGCGTTAAGCTTATAGTAATACTGTAATGATGTATCTTATTCCAACGAAGAAATATGTCTAGCTATCTTTTTTTTTTTTTAAAAAAAAAGGACTCCTTCGTGACTTTCTTTTTTTTGCACACACAAATGCAAAAGAAAAATATGGTGTGTGTTTATTTGTTAGAAGGAATTTGAGAGTAGAAAAGACAGAGGAAGGAAGAAAAGAAGCAAAAAAAAAATAGTTAGAGGGGGAGAAAAAGAGAGAGAGAGAGATGACGTCTCGTCCCCCTTGTTCACCACTGAAGCGGTGTTTTAACAAAAAGGTAAACATTCAACCTAGCCCTTGAAAGGCTTTTCAATTTTTTTTTATTTGTGTGTAAGTGTGGTGTTTATATCAATCCCGCTCTATTTTATTTCATCAATTTTTTTTTCCTTCACTCCCCCCCTTTTTTTTCCCCACTCTTCTTATATCATGTTGGCCGCCACTCGCAGAGCTATCGTCTCCACCACTGCCTCCGCAAAGGCTTCTTACGCCACTGCTGCTGCTGCTCAGGGTGTCCAGATCACCACTGCTAAGAACGGCGTTAAGGTCGCTTCCGTTGAAGAGGCTGGCCAGACTGCCGGTTTGTCTGTCGTTGTCAACGGTGGTTCCAGACTCGAGAACGGCCATGCTGGTGTCGCACACTTCTTGAAGAACTACGGCTTCAAGGTGAGACCCGTGTTACTATATATTTTTCTTTTCTTTTGGTTTCTATTGCAAGTATAGATATGTATATAGACACGCAGATACGCAGATACAGACAAACCGACAAATACACCTATAAGCACAATCGTAAACACGCACACTACGCTTTTGTACTGTGTCTAAAAATCAAGCCAGATACAACAAATTAAAAAGAGATACGAACAATAAATCAAAAAGAACACCACCGCCAAGAAGAGACGTCAACTTTACCAACCACGGCATTCTTATTATTATTGAGGGAGGAAAAGAAAAAGAAAATCGACATTAAGAATGGCATTGGATACGACGCGACAAGTTTACGAAAACCTCAGAGCACATAAAAAAAATAAAAGAAAGCAATAAAGAGAGAAGAAAATGAAGAAAAGCAATTGCTTCAACTTTTTTTTAAAAAAGAAGCCAAAACTTGTTTGGAATTCCTCGGAAAAAATATATACATACACACAAATGCACACCTTCAAATGTCACATTACAATCTCGGCATGACATAAACACATTTACAAAAGACAAACCACACCACAGCACCAACCAACCAAATTTGCGACACTTCTTTCTCGACAAAGAAGAAGTAAAAGCGATAACTTTTAGACTCATAATTCATTATTATTTCTCTTTATTGCTATTCAATTAAAGCAGTAGAATAATGAATTAAATATATATGTATATATATATTTGTGTGTGAAAAGAAGGAAGTGTATTGAAACATGTGCGTGTATATTTTTCTTTTCTTTTTGCGTGGGGTTTCTGAGTAGAACAACGCCAACCGCACTGCCTTCCGTATTGCCCGTGAGGCCGAACTTGCTGGTGCCGTCTTGTCTTCCAACTTGACCCACGAGTCGATTGTCTACTCCGCCGAGTTCTTGAGCGAGGATGCGTAAGTAGATAGCCAATTACCTTGTTGAAAAATATCATCTTAACGAGAGAAGAGGGATGGAGAAAGTGAATATGTGTTTTGTTTCAAAAAAGTTAAAAGAGAATGTTATATATATATACGTGTGTGTGTGGATTGTGGCGTGGGTTTTGGTGGTTTAAATATACATTTTATTTAAAAGGGATATTTAATTGATTACTATTATTTTTATTAAAAAAATTGTTTCATGATATGACAACTAACCAACACACGTAAATAATTTATATAAATTGTTAGTGAGCAGTTCGCCGAGATTCTTGCTGACGTTGTCCAGAACCAAAAGTTCCAGGAGCACGAGTTCATCGATATTGCCAAGCAGACCGCTGCCGAGTCTGCCAACGCCTGGGCCACTCCCGAGTTGGCTTCCCTTGAGCTCGCTCACCAGGGTGCTTTCCGCACTGGTCTCGGTAACTCTGTGTTCGCCAAGCCCACTTCCCACATCAACAACGCTGCTGTCAAGAGCTACGCCAAGCAGTTGTTTGTCTCTGGTAACATTGCCCTTGTCGGTACCGGCATTGCCCACGAGACTGTCGAGAAGTTGGCCGAGACCTACTTTGCTGGTCTTCCCTCTGGCCAGGAGTTGAAGTCTGCTGCCACCAAGTACTATGGTGCTGAGATCCGTACCGAGGGTAGCAACGCTCTTGCCCAGTACGTTCTTGCCTTTGAGGGTGCTGCTTCCAACTCTGCCGAGTTTGCTGCTGCCCAGGTCCTCCGTTTCGCCCTCGGTGGTGACAAGTTTGTCAAGTGGTCTGCTGGTTCCAGCTTGCTTGCCCAGGCCTCCGCCAAGTTTGGTGAGACCACTGAGATCAAGGCCTTCAACTTTGGCTACTCTGATGCCGGCCTTTTCGGTGTCCAGGTGACTGCTGCCAACGCCGATGCCACTGCTGCTGTCTCTGCTGCTGCCGAACAGCTCAAGGCCGTTGCCACCAACCTTTCTGGTGAGGATTTCAAGAGAGCTGTTGCACAGGCCAAGTTCGCTGCCGTTGCTGGCCTTGAGACCCGCTTGGACCGTCTTGAGACTGTTGGTACCCAGGTAAATTAAACTGCATTTAAATTAGATTATTAGAAGAAGAAAGAGTTTCAGGACATAAGAATCTGTGTGTATGAACATTTTCTCTCTCTTCTATCTTCTTAGGCTCTCCTTTCTGGAAACTATACCTCCACATCTGAGCTCGTTGCTGCTCTTGATAAGATCACTGCCTCTGAGGTTTCAAAGGTAAATTAATAATAATAACAATAGTTGTAGCCATGGTTACAATAGCTATATATCCAAATAATAAGAAGTAGTAGAAGAAACATGATATATTTTGGTGTGGCGTGATTAAAAGAAGTGATTATTGCTGGTGTTTCTATGGTTTCTTTCTTTAAAAAAAAATTAAAAACTGACTTTTTTAATAATTTTATTTTCTATAAAATAAATTAGATCGCAGAAAAGATCCTCAAGGGTAAGGCTACCACTGTTGCCCTTGGTGACCTCAGCAGCCTCCCCTATGCTGATTCCGTTTCCCTCTAATTTACGGTCCCTCCATCTTTTTTACACAACCAAATAAAGAAAAAGAAAATGCACTGATTTTTTATACATCAAAAAAGAAAAGAAAAGATATATAATATATAAGCAAAATAATAATTATCACCATCACCAGCATCATTTATTATTAATGTTATCAAATCAAATAATCTTTATGCGTAAAATTCTTGAAACACATGAAACAGTATACTATTTGTTCATTTTGGGAGTGCATTAATTTGTTCTGTGCATATAAAAGACTTAAAAGAACATTAATAATATTGAAACACTTTGAATATATTTTTTTCTTTTAGTTTATCTCTGTATGAGTGTGTGTGTTTGAGTGCATATGTTTTCTTATTCTTCTATAATAATATTATTATTTTTGAAACAAATGTTTCATTATTTTTGTATGCATATACAGAAATATATATATATATAAAAAATACATTTATTTACATAATGTCAAACCTAGCCACTAGATATGAATATCAAACACAATACGCGTCTTTTGTTTTGTTTTTATTTGTCTTTTTTGTACGCGACGCGTATCTTGTTTTTTTTAAAATATATATATATTTTAATATTTATATGACCTTCCCTTCCTATTTTAGAACCTCTTTATTTTATTTCATTTATTTACGTTTTTCTTTTTCTTTTGTGTATTTTACTTGCACACTGACAAATTAATTTCATTCATACACATACATACATAAATACATACAAAAATGACTGCCATGGCTGCTTTGATTGTCAAGCGTCTTTCCGAAAATGCCAAGATTCCTACACGTGGATCTGCCCAAGCTGCTGGTTATGATCTATACAGGTAGATTGTGATTGAGATGTAGATTAAAAAAATTAGATTGAAGCAAATTGTTATTTTGTTTTTTTTTCTTCTTCTTCTTGGTTTATTCTTTCTATTATGTATTATACATTCATTCATTCACTTGCTCGTTCATTCGTTTTTTTATATATATTTAATTATATTTTGAATTAACATAATAATTTGTATGTAATTAGTGCTGTTGATATTGTGATTCCTGCTCAAGGAAAGACTATCGTTGCTACTGATATTTCCATCTGTCTTCCTGATGGTTGTTATGGTCGAGTTGCTCCTCGTTCTGGATTGGCATCCAAGAACTTTCTTGACACTGGAGCTGGCGTAATTGATGCAGACTATCGCGGTCCTTTGGGCGTAGTGATGTTCAACTTCTCCAAGGAAGATTATCAAGGTAATTAGAATTAGAAGGAGAAGGAGAATAAGATGAGCACTTTAACTATATATATATAGTTAATTATTTAATTAATTCAATTCAATTCAATTTATTTATCTAATTATCATTTAAATCTACACACATTCACATAAATTCGTATACTCATTTATGTATATATTTCAAATAGTCAAAGTTGGAGACCGCGTTGCACAGCTTATTCTTGAACGAATCTTTACTCCAGAAGTAGTTGAAGTCGAGGTAATTTTTTTTCTGCTTTGTTGCTATTGATTTAACTGTCCAAGTGTTTCAATTCAACATATTTATCACTATTGCTATCACTGATATCTATGTACTTTATACATATTAGGAATTGGACATGACAGTGCGTGGTCATAATGGTTATGGTTCAAGTGGAAAGCGATAATCGATCAATTCCTCTTTGCCATTTTATTATGCAACCTTTATAAACATAGTTTTCTTTAGACAGAGAAAAAGAAAGAAAGAAAAAGCCACGCTTCTTTATCTTTATCCTCTTCTAGACCTCATTAGATTGTTATTATTATTGTTATTATTTCAGCTATTATTTTCTTGAGAAAATATTGAAATATTTATTTTTCATTACTCATTTAATTTTTTCTTTTATATATAAAAATAAATTCATTCATTCATTTATTCACTTATTCACTTAATCGAATACAAGCACATATTCTATATATGTACTTATAATAATTTCCCACAAAAGGCAAAATATTATAAGAGAATAATTGGTCAAAACAAGCAGTTTTTTCCCAAAGTGTAAATAGAGATGTCACACTTCAAATTAAGAAATCTAAATAAATAAAAAAATAGAAAAAAAAATAAAGGTCCAGTGTCGGGTCATCCAGATCCAGGTCCTTAATCGCCCAATCGTATTACTCTCATGACCTTGTTTTTTCGCACGCGTCATAAGAATCAAAACTCAGACGATACACAACAGAATCCCAAAAATGATAAATTTATTTATTTATTTATTTAATAATTAAAAATAATAGTATTTTTATTATATTATATACGTAATATTCTAGTTCCACTCTGCTTCTTCTTCTTCTTCTTTCTTCCTTATACTAAAAGATGTCAAGCCCAGTAGATACCTTTATTGAATACGCCGAAAAGAACCAGGAGGCCTACATTGACCGTCTCCGTAAGGCTGTAGCCATTCCAAGGTTAATTTAATATAATATCTTATCTCTCTCTGTCTTTGGACTTTGGGATTTATTTCGTTTTCTATAAACCGTCAGATACGCGTCAACCACACTTCTTTTTCCCATTTTAACCCTTCTAATTCAATTCAACCTAGTGTGAGTGGTGACCCTGCTTATCGTAAAGAAGTCTTCCGTATGGGCGAATTCTTGATTGATGAGCTCAAGGCTCTCGGTGCTTCGGTCGAGACACGCGACCCCGGTGTCCAGGACTTCCACGGAACTCCTCTTCCCTTGCCTCCAATTGTCTTGGCTACTATCGGAACCGATCCTGCCAAGAAGACTGTATTGGTCTATGGTCATTATGATGTCCAGCCCGTGAGTATTGCTTACAGATATGTGGATAAAAGAGTGACGCGCGTATAACTAAATTATATATATATATATTACTACTGTTCAAGGCTCTTAAAGAGGATGGATGGAACACCGATCCTTTCGAGTTGGTTGAAGACGAGAAGCACCGTCTTATTGGACGTGGTAGCAGTGATGACAAGGGTCCCGTTCTTGGCTGGATTAACGTAGTCGAGGCACACAAAGAGCTTGGCCTTGAATTGCCCGTCAACCTCAAGTTTTGTCTTGAGGGCATGGAGGAGTCTGGTTCAGAGGGTCTTGATGATATTATCTTTAACGAGGCCGACAAATACTTTAAGGATGTCGATGTTGTGTCTATCTCGGACAACTACTGGCTCGGTACCACTAAGCCTTGTGTTACCTACGGTCTTCGTGGTGTATCTTACTTCCATCTTACTGTCAAGGGACCCAAAGGTAATATTAATAACTGTGTATAGATGTGGGCGTGGGATTTATTATAGTATTGTATTATGCTAGAGTTGTCAATATATTTATATTTTATATTCACAAATTATTATTTTAGCTGATTTGCACAGTGGTGTGTTTGGTGCCACTATCCATGAGCCTATGACTGATCTGTTTGCGGTCATGAGCAAGTTGGTTACTCCAAAGGGAAAGATCCTGATTCCTGGAATCTACGACAATGTGCTGGCTGTGTCTGCCGAAGAGGAGAAGACCTATGATGATCTGTCCTTCACCATGCAGGAGCTCCATGACGCTGTTGGAAACGAGATCAACATTCACGATTCCGTCAAGGACACTCTTCAGCACCGTTGGAGATTCCCTTCGCTGTCTCTGCATGGTGTTGAGGGTGCATTCTACAACCCCGGTGACAAGACCGTCATTCCTGCCCGTGTGGTCGGCAAGTTCTCAATCCGCACTGTGCCCGACATGGAGCCCAAGCAGATTACCGAATTGGTCGAGAAGTACGTGAACGAGGAGTTTGCCAAGCTTGGGTCCAAGAACACAATGTCCATCTCATGCACTCATGCCGGCAACCACTGGGTGGCCAGTCCCAACCACTGGAACTATGTTGCGGCTTCCAATGCTGTCGAAAAGGTGTTTGGTGTTAAGCCCGATCTTACCCGTGAGGGAGGTTCTATCCCGGTCACTCTTTCTTTCCAGGATGCCCTCAAGAAGAATGTGTTGTTGCTTCCCATGGGACGTGGTGATGATGGTGCCCACTCTACAAACGAAAAATTGGATCGATCCAACTATGTTTCTGGTATCAAGTTGCTCGGCACCTACCTCTATGAGGTTGCTGAGGCAAAGCCAGAGTAAATAATATTGAAAGAGAAAAGAGAGGATGTACAAGAAAGAAAGATATAAAAAAATGTGTTATAATGAAGAGAGGGCTTTGCTTTGCTTTTCTCAACTTTCAACTACTCCTCCCTTCTTTTATCCCTCATTTCCTTATTCCTCTCCTACTCCTTTACCTTCTTCTTCTTTTCAATTCAACCTTGTTTCTTGCTTCTTGTATACACACACATACACACAATAGCGCATCTGTGTATTGTGTGTAAAAGAAGAGGAAATATGGAAAGGAAAAGAGGATATATAGCTTTATTTTCATTATATATTATTTTCACCCACAATTGCATAAATATAAATATTTTCTTTTTTATATATAAAAATATATAAATAAATATTTCTATTACTACTATTTTAATGTAAACAACAAAAAAGACGTTGAATTTAATGCTTTTGTGTGTGTGTGTGAGAGTGTGTTTTGTGGTGTACAGGTAATGTAATATCCAGGTTGTTTCAAAAAGAGTAACGTCAATATGTATAATACTGCACACTAATAAAGCCTGCTTTATTTTATCACTCTCTATATCTTGCCTTCTCTTCCCTTTCTTTTTCTTCTTTTATATGTACGTAAGAAATTAGCCCCTTTCTCCTTCTCTCCCCTTGCATTTAAAGAAGCAAGACTCTTTCTGCTTTTACTACATTCAATTAAAGAATATAATAATAGTAATAATGTAAAGTATACACAGTGACGTCCATTTCCTTTATATATATATATATATTTGGTATATTGCTCTTTACTACACAAACACCAATTTATATTTATGTGTGTGTGTGTAATATATAGAGTCATAAAAAGAAAGAACAAGAAGAACAAGATTGTGGAAAAACAAAAATAAAAGGTTGTTGTATTTCTTACAAGCATTAGAGATGCAGATTGATTTCCAACTCCTTTATTTTCACCCCAACTCCCAGCCCTCAAAAAGCCAAAAGCCAAAACCAAAACCAAAGCCAAAAGCCAAAAGAGCTCCCCCCTTATTATCATTATTATTTATGTAAAGTAAATAAATAAATATATTTTCACTAATTTAACAATCTACTTTATTTAATCGTATGTAAAAGATAGACAGATGTATAAATAAATATACTTCTTCCTTCTTCTGCTTCTGCTTCTGCTTCTTCTTCTTCTTCTTCTTCTTCTTCTGTTACTGCTTCTTACTACCATTACATAATACTTTTGTTGTTGGTGCTGGTATCTTTTGCTGTCTATCTTCTCCGCCTCCCACTATTTTCGTCTAACTGATATTGGTGACCACCTTAGTACCTTGTACGTACCTCTTTTTATATATATATATATATAAAAGAATTGTATTGTTATCATTTCATCGTTCGGCAGAGCTTCAGCCTACAGACACAGAAATACAAACACAATATTGCTACTTCAACAACAGCAACAGCAATAGCAACCATTACAATTACAATTACAATTATCATCTCTCTTACATGTTTTCACTTCCGCTCACACATCGTATCACAGTGCAATAATTACGTTTAATCGCTTCTCAGCAGCCACAAACATCTATTGAAATACACACAAACACCACATATAAAATATATATAAAAAAAGAAGATAAAAATAAAATAGAAACAGTCAGACAGACAGACAGACAGACAGACACCTTAATAGCCAAGCAGTCAAGTAACCAGAAAGCTAAACAGTTAAACAGACAGTCTAACAGTCTAACAGTCTAACAGTCTAACAGTCTAACAGACAGACAGAAATACTTTCTTCTTCCTCTTCCTCTTCCTCTTCTTCCTCTTCTTATATATACATATATATATATATTACTTTTATTTTATTTTATTTTATTTTTACTTTTACTTTTACTTTTACTTTTACTTTTACTTTTATATATATATATATTTTATATTATATTTTATTTTTATTCTTTCCTTTATTAAAAATAATAATCTCCCCTCCCTTCTCCTACTCTTCCTCCCCCTTTTTCCTTATCCTCCATAAGCAGAAAACAAACAAACAACCAACCAAAACAGCCAAAAGCAACCAAAACAACCAAAACAACCAGAGCAACAACAACCAAAGAAAAGAAAAACTCCCCTCTCCTTCAATACCAAACCAAAAAAAAAACCGAATCTGTTGTTAGATTGTTTAACTGTACGTCGGAAACAACTTGATGAGTAACCAACCTCGTTCTCACGGTACCAACCGATCCCTAGCCACGTCAGCCAACGTTGTAGGTGTTCATTACAAAGTTGGAAGAAAATTGGGAGAAGGAAGTTTTGGCATCATTTACGAAGGTAATCAATCATGACCTCTTTATATATATATATATATAATTACACATTCACTATTCATTATTTACTATTAGTAGTAATAGTAACAATACCGATAGCAATAGCAATAACAATAGCAGTAACAGTAACAATAACAGTAACAGTATCATTATAAATATCAGTATCAGTATCAGTATCATTAACAGAAGCAGTAGCAGTGGCAGTAGCAATATTATTACTAACAATATTATGATTATTATTATTATTATTATTATTATTATTATTATTATTATCGCTAGCCTTACTAGCTTAGTGTAGTATTACAATCATCATCATTATTATCATTTTTCTTATTTATTGGCAGATAATTAATATTTATATATTTATACTTATATTTATGTATATATCCATATATTTATATAACACATGTTGACTCAACAGGAACCAATCTACTCAATAGTCAACAAGTTGCCATCAAATTCGAACCTCGTAAATCAGATGCTCCCCAATTACGAGATGAGTACCGAACCTACAAGATTCTTGCTGGCTGCAGTAAGTTTCAAGAAATAAAGAAGAACCATAAGAATAAGAAGAAAAATACACATACATACACATACATACATATACATATACATATACATATACATATAGCATATAGCATATAGCATATAGCATATAGCATATAGCATATAGCATATTCCCTTATTCAAGATTTCAATACAACATAACGCAATATAACGCAACTTGAATAAATAAATAATAAAATGAATCAAACAAACCAAAAAAAAAACCCCCAAAAAAATTATAGCTGGAATTCCTACTGCCTACTACTTTGGACAAGAAGGCCTACACAACATCTTGGTCATTGATATGCTTGGTCCAAGTCTTGAAGATGTATTCGATATGTGTTCTCGCAAACTGAGTATCAAGACGGTAGCTATGCTTGCCAAGCAAATGGTAACGTTTCAAACATACATATTATATATATATAAAAGAGTACAAGTAACGGATATATTCTGTTGAGATTAGATACCTCATATTCACTCACACATATATATTTCTTTCTTTCTTTCTTTCTTTCATTCATTTTATGTATATACATTTATTGTTGGTTTCTCCCACAGATTACCCGTGTACAGAGTGTTCATGAACGTAACTTGATTTACCGTGACATCAAACCAGACAACTTTCTGATTGGTCGTCCAAACACAAAGACCGCCACAATGGTCTACATGATCGATTTCGGTATGGCCAAACAATACCGAGATCCAAAGACAAAGCAGCATATCCCTTATAGAGAACGCAAGAGTCTGTCCGGAACTGCAAGATACATGAGTATCAATACCCACCTAGGAAGAGGTAAAATTTTGCTTTTTAAACATAATTATAAATTTATTTTACTTATTGATTTGGTTGGGTTTTATATAGAACAATCAAGAAGAGATGATTTGGAATCTCTTGGCCATGTATTCATGTACTTTTTGAGAGGCTCACTTCCATGGCAAGGGCTTAAGGCAGCCACAAACAAGCAAAAGTATGAGAAGATTGGAGAAAAAAAGCAGTCGACTGCTGTAAAGGATCTCTGTGCCGGATTTCCAGGTAATATATATATATTATTGATAATTATTGATAATTATTGATAATTAATTGTTATACTTTCTTTTCTTGGTCGCTTGTAGAGGAGTTTGGAATCTACCTTCAATATGTGCGTAAACTCGGTTTTGAAGAGTCGCCAGATTATGATTTCTTGCGCGAGTTGTTCAACAAGGTTTTGAGAGTAAGAGGCGAAACAGAAGATTTTGTGTATGATTGGACATTGTTGAATAATGGCAAAGGATATGAGGTAAGTTTACTATTACTGCTGCTATTGGTGTATATGTCTTAACTCTTTTTTTTCTTTTATTAATCAATAAGAATAATCGCTATACAAGCACTTCTGCTGCTGCCGGTGCCGGTGGTGCTGCCAATGCTAATAATAATAATACTACTAATACTCCAGTTATTGTTGGCGATCAAATATCGCATGTCAAACCAGATGCGGTCCGTGTCCAAAGACAGGCCGAACACCCTTACCAGAACCTGTCTCCGATGCAGAACACTTCCAACCAAGGCGCCCACAATCATGGAGACCAACTGGCCAATGATCCTCCACGGAAACAAGGCTTTTGGCATACATTGTTAACAGTTGTTACTTGCGGAATGTGCTCTTGTTTTTAAAAAGGCAAACAAAGAGAGAGAGAGAGAGAGAGAGAGAGAGAAAAAGGAAAAAGAAGAAACAAGCAATACCACACAACAACTACTTTTACCGACAACAAACCAATAGCAAATTCAACATCAATTCTTAACGCCAACACTGCCAACACCAACAGAAAACTCGTCCTCCTCCTTAAAGAAATTATCACCTTCTACAACAAAGAAAGAAGAAAGATGAAAGAAGAATGAAAGAATGAAAGAAGAGTGAGAAAGATATATATATATAAAAGAAAACAAGTGCGCGAGAGAGCGAACAAGCAGGAAAAGAGCAAAAGAAATAGAAAGATATAGAAAGGTTCTTATTCTTCTTCTTCTTCTACTACTACTACTACTACTACTACTACTACTACTACTACTACTACTACTACTACTGCTTCTTCTTCTTTTTTTCTTTCTTTATATCAACCAACAATAATAACAAACACCCTCCAAAAAAAGCAGAAAGCAAGAGAGAAAAGGAGAGCTGTCTCTTACTTTAATTCATTCATTAATTCATTAATTCACTCACTCATTCATTCATTCAGTCATTCTTTATTTCTTTCTTTCGATTCTTTCTTTCTTTATTTTATTTTATTTTCTACTAATATTACCACATGCTTCTTCTAATACCTTGACGCCGTTAAACTTTTATTTATATATATATTTATATATTCTTATATATTCTTATATATATATATATCTATTTATTTTATCATCTGTATTGTCCAAAAAGGAGGGAAATAGAAATTGAAACCATAATGGTAATAGTAATGGTAATAGTAAGGGAGGGAGGAGGGGGTAATGTAATAAGAGTAGATAATAAGGCTAAAGAAAGTATAAAGAGTGGATAAAGTTAAGAGTCTTACAATCAAATGGTAAACTGTACAAGGTGCCTCTTATCTCTATGACAACAATACTTGAATATAATTGCAATATCTATATATAAAAATAAATCAATAACCATGACAACAAACAACAACAACAAAAAGAAGTAAAATAAAATACAAGCCTCTTTATATATATAGGTGTATCTACACAAAGTAGTCAAGGTACACAACAGCAACAAATACAATACAAGATAAGCAAATAAACAAACATATATCTTTCTCTTGTTTCTACTTCACAAAACACAATAATAGTTCATTTTCATGATATCAAGTTATTCCGATGGAGTCATGACCCATCACTATCTATCGACTGCGGCGTGGCGCACTAGCATCAACCATCGTACGAGCATCTTATTTCATTTCCAGACTCTTGCTTCACCAGATGAAGGGCTTGAATTGCTCCACAAACAGTTTGGATCAAACATAATTGCTGCAAAAGTGGATACCACTACGACTACTAGCAGTTGTAGTAGTTGTAGTAGTTGTAGTAGTTGTAGTAGCTGTAGTAGTAGTAGTAGTAGTAGTAGTAGTAGTAGTAGTAATATAATTGGTAGTGGTACGGACACTATTATTGAGGTTGTGTTTGGTTCTCTAGAGTACAAAACCGAGGCTCTGTTAAAAGGAGTCTGTGTTGAGTACAGAGAGTCAAAAATGTGCAAGGTGACTGCGACAAGAACGCTGGATCCATTCTATGATTATACAATCCTATCCATCTGGGGACTTCCACTTGAGAGTTTAAAAGACGCCGAAAGAAAGGTACAGACTTCTATTGCGCCATTATTGGGCAAAGTTGTTGGTCTTGTGTGCTCTGTTCATCCGGTTTGTGGATTCTACGACGGCAGCATGGAAGTCGTGTTACGCGGTCACGAACATAGTCTCTTGAACACAATATATCTGAGGTCCTACCGAGCGGAATTTCCTCTCAGAAAAACATTGATATGATCACAATCACAACCTGCATATGTAATAAAAGATGAATTCTAATACAAAGCACATTTACATTTGCGACTTGCTAAGAAAAGAAGAAGAAAATGTTAATTTATTTTTTGGTTAATTTGATTGAGTGTTAGTGATTATCTACACTACACTACACTACACTACACTACATTATACTATACTATACTATACTATACTATACTATACTATACTATACTACATAGGCATAATATATGTACATATTTATTGTTGAGCTCCGAAATTTGTCAAGTCACAGCAATACATAGCATTTTTATTTATTTTTTATTTTAATTTTTTTGTTGGAATTGCAAGTTAATTCTCTCATCTACACAATGATCGACCTTGGACATCCTGAACCTGTTGTACCCGGACAGAGACTAGGATATGCAGAAGACTATTCTGCAGGAACCGGCACCTATGAACGCGATGGACTGCTTTATTCGAGTGTAGTTGGACTGCGCCATGTTCTCCAAGCAGCCGAAGGACAAGTAAGCCTATTATTCTTATTGTTATTATTACTATTATTTAATTGTGGCTATGGCTGCTGTTACATATATAAGCAATAGAGAGAGAGTTATAAATAAATACATAATCACATACATACTCTTCCGTTATTGATATGATTTTGATTTTGATTTTGATTTTGATTTTGGGCTGAATTGGGAGGGGAGGCTGTCCAAATCAATATCTAAATCAAAATCAATATCTATCTCTATATATATATTTTCTCTCTCTTATTTGTATATGAATATAAATACAAATACAAATACAGATACAAATCCAAATAAATAAATGAATATATATATATATATATATATATATATATATATTTCTTTCTTTTTTTCTGTATATTTTTGTATGTATTTTTTTTTTGTTTTTTGGTTTTGGTTTTTGATTTTTGGGCTTAGTTACCACTCCTCACTGTCACACGTGAAAAAGAACAATCTGCTGTACCAGAAGTTGGTAGTGTGGTAAATGATAATATTAATAATAATAAACAAATTTATATCTATATATATTTTATTTTTTGGTTTTTAATTTTTGGGTTGTTTCATTTATTTTGGGTACTTGATATTGTTTTGGATTTTGTTGTGGTTGTACAATAGATCACAGGTAAAGTGATTCGAGTGAGTCCAATGCAAGCCGTTGTAGCAATCATGGTAGTAGGTGAAGTGCCTTGCAAGGAGGATTTCGTGGGATCTATTCGGTAAGCAAAACAAATGGCCAAATGACCAAATGACCAAATGAATTAACATTTTTCTGATCTCAATGTTAATATGTGTATTCCTTTGTACTGCATACTTACTTATTGGGATAACAATCGCAATTAGTGTGCAGGATGTTAGGGCTGCTGAAAAGGACAAGGTCAAGATCTACAATTCATTCAGACCCGGAGACATTGTTCAGGCAGAGGTTATTTCTCTTGGCGATGCGCGTTCCTATGTTTTGTCTACAGCCAAGAATGAACTGGGCGTAATCTTTGCCACTAGTGTAGCAGGTAAGAAATATTAAAATTAATATATATATATATGTATCTATGCATATTTTGTTATTACTTTCTTACATGACTTGACTGACTGACTGACTGACTGACTGATTGTTTGTTTGTTTGTTTATTTGATTGTAGGTGCTACTATGATCCCGGTGTCTTGGCAAGAAATGCAGTGTCCAAAAACCAAAGCAATCGAATACCGTAAATGTGCAAAGCCATTTTAGAAATTTTCTTTATTTTCTTTATCACTTGTTGCTATCTAGCTATCTAGCTATATATATATATATATATATATATATATTGTTTCATTTCATTTCATTTCATTTTATTCTATTCTATGCTTTTCTTTGTTTTATTATAATTTTATTTTATTTTTTGAAACAATGCGCGTGTACGTTTGGCGCGTGTTTGTAATTCGTCTGTTTATTATCAAAACCACATAATGATTGTTCCTTGTTAATTTAAAGGGAAATAACTAACTTGGATAGCTAACCAACCAGCTGTTTGTTATATCTTTTATTGATTGTTTCAATTTCTATTGTAAAAATAAAAGAAGAGATGAATAAATGGGTAGTTTAGGTTAAAGTATAGTAACAATGGATTTGGTGCTCCTCTCTTTATCTCTCATTATAGATACATCTGTATGTGATGTGCTTGTGTATCCAACTCTGGTCACAAATAATTGTGAATTGTAATTGTGCTTCAGTATTTATATATGTGCATCTAAGGGGTTGAATTTATGTTTATATATTTATATATTTAGGTATCAAAACAAGAAGGAGAAAAGGATCTTTAAGAAATGTTTAAAGATGTGTGCATTTTTGTAATGAAACAATTATTTATATTATTATTTTTAATACGTTTTATTAAGCAGTAATGGTAGTATATATATATATTTTTGGTTGAAATTACGTAAAATACAATAAGTTATATGAAATACATAAAGAAAAACATGAAAGGTATGAATGATATTTACAATTAATAGAAAGTTTGTAGTAGTAGTAGTAGTAGTAGTAGTAGTAAGGATGATAATGATAGCAGTAACAAGAGCAGTAGCAATGTGTGTGCTGATTTGTAGTGTATAAAAGGTAGAACAAAGAAAAAAGAGAGAAATATAGTGTACAAAATAATAAGAATATATAATATGTATATATAAGAAGAAGTAGAAGCAGAAGCAGAAGCAGAAGTAGCAAAGTATGAAGATGAAGATGAAGATGAAATTTTTTTTTAAAGTATTTTCTTTTCTTTTTTAGACTTTAACTTCAACTTCACTTTCACCTTCAACTCCAGCGTTTTCATCTTCATTTTCATTCTCAATGGGGCTGAGTAGCTTTCCGATATGAGAAGGTACTTTGTCTTGAGGGTATCGCCATTCAGGGTGGCTGAAGAGAGCAAGAGTATCGGATCTTTCCCACTTTGGAGTATCTGTCAAAAAGGCAGAGCAAGAATAAGTAAGTATAAAGCAAAGATAATTATAATTATAATTAGACTCACCAATGGCAGAGGGATGGCTGAGCATGCCCTGTAACTCCAACTCCAACAACGTTGCACGGCACGACACATCACGATGGACCTGCAAGTTGTGATAGCGGGATGGAATCCTCTTACAGCTGTGACCGCTGCGATAAGCCAAAAAGGTCAATGCAGCCTGATCCTGACGATGGTTGATGCGCGACGAGCCTGCAGGGGCAATGCAGTTCTTGACCAGACCACACTCGTACCATGGCTCCATAATGGTGTCTACAATCGTCTGGTTTGTGGTGTCGAATCCAATGGCGGCACCGTTGCAATTGATGTTCCGGGCGTATTCTTCGGGGGAGGCATCATAGTACTTGTACATGCCCGGGTGGGTCCAGCGGGCCATCATGTACGAGCTGCGGGGAGACCAGAATCCGCCAGACTGGCGCACGATGGATGGAATGTAGCGCAAAAAGTCGGTTGTGACAATGTTGCCTGCGTCGAGCCAGATGAGAGTTCCGCCGTACCGGATGCGTGCCTCGTGCACAATGCCAGTCTTCCAGGCGTACTCGCCCGCATTGATGGCCACATCCCAGAACCGGGGATACTTGTAGTAGTCCAGGGTCACGACATCATCAATGAGGCCGTTGGACTGCAGCTGGTCCAGCACAGGCAATTGGGTGCGGTTCATGCCAATGTTATAAACAGCAATGCGTGGAAACTCGGATGGATCGAGCTCAGGGCGCAATTTGTTGAGTGCATAGAGGAAGTTTTCGAGTGCACACAAGTGGTTCGCACTGGAGCCGGTGATGATTGTGTAAGGGAAGGTGGGTGGTGCTAATTGTTGTTGTTGTTTTTGTTGTTTTTGTGATAATGCGATTGGGGCTTGGTTGGCAATGGTTGCCTGGTGGATTGTTTCTTTAAAGACCTTTGCTTCGTGAGGCGGTCTCCACTCAGGGCGACACAGATTGATATCTGAGGCACAGCTGTTGACTAAGAATGGTAAGAATGGTAATTATAGTAACAATTACAATACAAAATATACATTAGTAAGTAAATCATCATCTGTGCGTCAAAAAAAAAGAAATTATATAGAATTTCTTTGTGAAAAGTGTGGATAAGGTTTGTTTTATTACTCACGCATACTGTTACGTTGGACACTGGCTCTAAAGGTGGTTGTGAAGAAGAAGCCGAGCAGAAAGACAATGAGAAGCTGGATGAGGAGCATCTTCTTTGACAGTTGCTTGGATGAAATGGAAATCTTGGGTAAAAAATGAATTGCCATGGCAACTAAATGATATTGTTGTTGGTATTGTTGTTGCCTCGTGATTTTTTTTTTCTTTTTCTCTCTTTCTTTTCTTTCTCTCTTTCTTTCTCCTTTACAGTTAAAGAAAAAGAAAATAATTAATTAAATAAAAAGGGTAACGAAAAGAAAAAAGTTAGAAGAAGAAAAGAGAGAGAGAGACAAAATAAATAAAAGGACCTTTTTATTTATTTATTTATTTTTATAACTTTTTTTTCTTTTTATTTTTTCTTTGTTACTCCTGTGCTTATTTTTTCTATTCTATTTTTTATTTCTTTCCTTTTTGGGAATGTATGATATTGGATTCTAAAATAGGGGCAGGGCAGGAAAAGAAAAGAAAAGGGTTTTATATTATAAATAAATTCTATATTCAGTTTGTTCCACTCTCAAAATTGAAGTTTTTTTTTTTTGGTTGTTGGCTGGGTTATAAAATAAAATAAAATAAAATAAAATAAAGGTGGCTGCGGAACCATAGATGAGGAGGAGAATAGTAAAGCTATGTGTAGAGTGTATTTTGTTATATAAAAGGGTTGACCCTTGTGGCTTGAATATTTGCCTTTCAAATCAAAGCTTATCTAAAGGCTGATGAGCAAACAACACCAACCAATGGCCAGCACTCAAGCCAATAACTCCAACTCATACCACACTCTCTATTTAACCGTCTGACTGGCTGGATTGTGTATCATTATATGTGGGTGACACCATGTCCTAATGGGTATTTATAGCTTATTCGATTCAGATCAAAAATAATAATAAAGAATTGTCCTGCGACAGGTCATATGTTTTGTTGGCTGTGTAGTTGGAGTGTGGATATCTTTAAGGATATTGAAAATTGTGCTCTACATTATAATTTCTTGGTGACGCAACCAAAACCTGTATCATTCACAAGAACATTCATTCCAGTCTCCTTGGTGGGGAGATTTATATAGCCAAAAAGAAAGAAATAAAAAAAAATTACAACAATTTAATCAACAAGATTCTTATTCTATTGCACATCTCTCTTTCCCTTATTTCCAAATCAATGGCTGGATACTCAAACGACTTTTCGGATGGCTTCTTCTTTATACGCAGTAAAGATAGGCCGATGGCTGTGGATGTAAATGATGGTAGTATGCTGGTAATATTATAATACAACTCATAAAGAGGTTGGTTTTACAAGAAGAAAGCTTGTAACTCCACCAGAAATGTCTTAAAAGGCACTAATACTTTTAATAAACGCGTTTCTTTTTATACATTGATACATATAAAAATAAATATCTCCTTAAGAATGACGCCCATATCATTATATGGCCCCAGGTAAGTTCCCAGGACCTTTTTGGTTTCATGCCCTAACCTTTTTACTTGTTTGTTTGTGCGATAAGAAACATACCGACAGTATAAACCAGGTAAAGAAAATATCTAATGAATGAATCCATGAGTGAGCTGGTAAAGTCTAAATGGAGTGATTTGTGTGCCAGCTGTGGATGCACGAAGATGGATTCTTGCTGAATAAGAAATCAGGACTAGGTGAGTACAAAGCAAGCCAACAATACAACACAGCACAACACAGCAGATCAGATCAGATCATAATATACACTATATAGTCCAGTGTATGGTATGATAGACTATCGTAGAGTAGAGTAAGACAGAAGAAGCAAAATAGACAGAATAGACAGAACAGAACAAGCAGAACAAGCAGAACAAGCAGAAAAGGTGCTACGTGCTATGTGCCACACAAACCTTGTAAAACCATTAACACCAAAATAATAATAATAATAATGTAGTTCCGTTTAAGCTTATTTCGTTTTCTCTTCTTCTTTGCTATTCTCATATATTATTTATCACTATTGATATTAACATCATCATTCTTTTGTATATTATCCATTGCATTCTGTTCTTTACAGCCCTAGATATAAGAGGAGGTTTGAAACAAGACTATATACATTATTTTATTATTATTATCAGCCTCATTGCATACAAGGCTTTTCTTTCTTCTTTTATTCAATGTGATTGATAATAAGATATAATGCTAAGGCTGAGTCTAATGCTAAGGCTAAGTATAAGGCTAAGTACAAGGCTAAGTACAAGGCTAAGGTCAAGGCTAAGGTCAAGGCCAAGACTAAGAATTATACTGATGAGGCTTGTAATTTCATCAAACATACGTATATCTGTTTGGTGTTGGCAGGTGATATTAAAAAGGATAAATCTCTGGTTCAGTATGCGCGTAAATCTGGATTGGCTTACAACCAACGATGGAAGTATCAAGATGGTTTCATTTTCCCCGCAGCTGCCCCTCATCTCAGCCTAGACATACGGGTAAATCTATATAATTTTTTTTTCACACACACGTCAATTTCTATATATATGCATATTTCTATATATAATGGTGATGGTGATGATGATGATGATATTGTTGTTGCTTAAATTCAAGGGTCAAGGTTCAAGGTTCAAGATTGAAGATTCTAAATTCTAGATTCTAAATTGAATAGTCAATTATATCATATTGAGATATCTTACTATTTCTTCTTTTATCCTAAACACATCTGTATCTCATTAGGGAGACCACAAAGAAGGTAGCTTTATCTTCCTCAATACAAAGATGTCAGGCGTCTCTAGCCAACAATGGCTTGTTGAACCCTTTGAGAATGAGCGCTCCAAACAAGATCTTGAATTACTCCGGCCATCAGGTATTTTTTATGTGTATATAAAAGATAAATAAAATTCACCCTTATTTTACCTGCTCACTCCGCCTCTTTTTCCTTTTCTTCCTTTTATAATCATTTAGTCAAGTTATCTATCAATCGTTGCTCCGATTCCAAGACCAGATAATATATATATACATATATAATACATGATTATAGTCTATTTTCAAAAAATCTAATCGTATTTTTATGTATAATTTGTATCATAAAAATTTCGAAAACATGACATTAATTTTTTTTTGGAATTTTATTTTTATTGATACCGCCAATGCATACAATGGTATATGATTATATGGGAGTTAGGAGTAAGTTCATGTACTTTTTGGGCAGTAGTAATTCACAGTGTATGGGCACAGTAATGAGTACACCAAATAACATAAGCTATGGTAGATACACCCATACATGTTAAAAGGAATTCAAACCCTTTAGTTCACGACGTCATGTCTCGTCTCTCAAGAAACAAGCCATTATCAGCCAAGGATGGTGTGTAATTCCAATTGGCAAACGTTGAATTTACGTTGACCCTCAATTCGTTGATACGCACTTCAACTGCCAAATATCAGGATGGTTTAGAAGAGGTGTAAGTATTGGCAAGAAATCCATTGAGCACAGACCACACCAAAATTAGGTGGTTATATTCAAACAAAAGTGCGGTATGCCGATTGTCCCGAGTAAACCTGTGTCAATCGAGCCATTATAGATACTTGCCTAAATGACAATATGTCTTTAAAAACAATACCTCTTATATCATGAGTCTATCCAATTTAGCATTGAATACACTTTACATATAATATGTTCCTGAGAGAATAGAAAAGAATGTGAAACAGGTTATTTGAATTGAATTGAAACATGGTAGATAAATTTATAAATTTAGACACTGAGTGGAGTATCTGGGAAAAAAAATTCTATTTTTTGAAGAACCTCTTTCTTTCTTTCTCTTTCTTTCTTTCTTTTCTCTATCCCGCCTGCCTCACATTAATTTTTGGAGGGTCAATACTCCGCGCCAATAGAAAAATTAAACAAATTCAAAACTTAGTATCTATCTAGCTTTACATATTCAAGAGAATAATAGTAAAGAATACTACTTGGAGTTTCCCGAATTGTACTTTGATGTAGTCCATTTAGTAAAAACTTTAAAAAGAGTCCAAGATTCTTTTAGGATATGATGCACGGTACTCTTATTCAATTTTTGGTTTATTTTTAAAAACAAAACAAAACAATCGTCAAAGGAATCCCCGCTTCAACACTAGACCAAGTAGCAGGCGCGGCTTGTTCCTAGGCAACGTAAAAACCAATCCTGGTTTGAATAATTTAATTTTTTTTAAAAATAATAATAATAATAATAATATTATTTCTATTTTAAGACAATATTGTATTGTAATCTATTGTATAAAATAATTCAACACTAATTAAACTATACTAAAAAAAAATTGGCATTCTTTCTTTGTATGTGTGTAGATATCTATATATTTTTGCTTTCTATAAATATACATGTATAAAATAAAAGGCGATTTGAATTGACTTGCAGCAACCAAAAAAAAAAAAACACCCCCTCAAACACAATCGATTGGTGACGGACAAAGCCAAGGAACCCAAAGAAAGCCTTACAACGATTTGTGTCACAAGAAGTAAAGACAAAACTGACAAAAATTATTTCAAATATAACATAACGATTTTATTTATATATATATATGTGTGTGTGTGTGTGTTTAGGTAAGTAGGGTAATTATTTGAGGTTCTTGAGGATGTGACCCGTGAAGCAAGAAAAATGCGGCTCGGCGGTACTACAGCAGAGAATACGAACCTTTAACGCGAAGTTCATCAAGCTAAATAAATAGCTCCACACTATATAGTATCTATTCTACTTTTTGTTTTTGTTTTATTATATCAGTAATCAATTCACCTACTCATGCATTCATTCATTCATTTAGTTAGTTAGTTTGTCGGCTTAGTTCAATATAGCTAGCCATTAATTTTCCCAGCGAATTGTATTACAAACATACAAAAAAAAAAGAAAGAAAGGAAAAAAAACACAAATGTTAGTGTGTGAATGTTTACGTTGCCATGACAACCTACCTATCAACATGTCATTTTATATGTATACACATATATAATTTTTTTTTGGCTGGCTGTTGAGAATGGAATAATTATTTTGGTGCACAGACCAACCTTCTTCTTCTTCTTAATTTTCTTATTCTTTAATTGTTCTAATATTTCCCTCTCCTTATCTATTTAACTATATTCATGTATGTACATATATATATGCAGTAGTGTTAATAATGGTAGTCATGGTAATGGTGACAATTTTCAATAAGGATTATCATTAAATTATATACAAAATCGACTTTATCCATTTTATAAGTATGAGTGTGTATATATTTCTTATCAATAAGTAACAATAATCTTAAAGTCAAAAACAGTAAATGATAATGAGTACAAGATGTGCCTGGTTGAGGTTCTTGTTCTTACCAAGATTATATATATTATTCACTTTTGTTCAACACACATCCTGGTTTGGTAGTTTTAGATATATATATGGATAGATAGATAGAAATAAAGGCTTATAGTGATTTCTCCTTGTACTTGTACTTTGTACATTCAAAAATTCCAAAAAAAAGGTGTAATACATATATATTATCGTAAGACAAATAAAAAAAAAGGCACCCATTCCTTGGTGTGTGATAAGGGAGAGAGAAAAGAAGTAACGGGAAAAAGAAAAGAAATAAAAAAAGGGATACAAGGGATATATGTATTTAACAAGGGTCCAGTAATAGTAGTAGTAGCTGTATTATTATTAAGAAAAAGAAAAAGAAAAAGGACCGCAAGAGACGAGTCTTTATGACATACATGACATATTGACATATGGACATAATAAGACTATAAATTATTACATGTACCTAGAAAATTCGCATATAATAAAGTGGTCTACAATGCTCTAGAATTCAACCAGTTTATTGTACAATTTGTAGTTTAATTCCAAAAACAGTAACATAAAAAAAAGGTCACTCGGTTATTCACTCATTGAAACAAACAATAAAGCACACAAAAGAAAATGAAGAAGATAAAGAACAAAAGAGAGTTTGTTGTGGAATTCTAGTATCAAAGGAATAAGCCACTGCCAGATGTGCAACGGTTCAGAAAGCACTTGTTGGAGATCCATTCAATTTGTTCATGTTTATCTTTTAAAGAATATGAGTGGTTTGAAACACTTGAGCCCTATTAATATTATTATTAACATCAATACCCAAACCTAGGTGTATGATCTGTGGCACATTTTACGTTTTATGCTTTATGTTTTATGTTTAACATTTATCTTTACATGACGTTCACATGTATGTATCTCTATATGAATACACTATATATAAGCCTTTTGTTTTTGTTTTTTTTCCCACCCCCATTAATAATCCTGCCTTGTAAAGGAATGACTCGGGTCAATTCATAAAGCCAGTTTTTTCTTTTTAAATATATATATATATAATATTCCTTTGATTGACCTGAAAAATAAATAAATTCATAAGCTTTGTACACAAACTGTCGATTGGGTTACATGTCTTCCAAACAAAGGAATTGTTGTATTTATGTTCATATTTATGTTCATCTTCATTTCATTGCGTTTGATTAAGTTTAGTTTATTTATTTTTACACGGACACACAAAAGAATAGGGAGCAATAGAGATTATGTATATATACATATATATATGTGTAGGTGGTTTAGATATCGACATTATTGTGGACTAGACTGACAGGACAGTGGCAGTTGTGTAAGCAGTAATCACTTACTGACCCAAGTACCCATCTAAAATAAATAAATATTAAAGGCACACAGATATATACATAGTGTGCAAGTGTGTGAGAGCTAGAAATATCTATATTTCCTAATATAATAAACTTGTACACCAGAAACACTATCTCGGTGACATTTTTGTATTCTTACCTCGAGATTCCCTCCTTGTTGGTGGAACCAATAACCACAAGATTAGGAGGATCCTTGTTGATGTAACCAGTCAAGATCTCTTCAACTGACTTTGTGTCTTGCACCATAAACAGTTTGAAGTCAACCTGTAATTTCACACATAAAAACCAAAGTAAATAAATATAAATATAAACATATTGGGATTTGTTTCAATTATCAGGTTGTTTTTCATTTGATTCGATGGGAGGGTATACGTCGTGTGTACATCGCATTCTCTTGATATGCATGGGTTTAGAAATTTGCTTTATATAAACCAACTCACCAAGTTTTTGTAATCTGTCATGAATTGTTCTAAGCCTTCCAAATCTTCTTTTGCGCTGTTTTCAATATCGAGGTTGTTCGTTCTGTCCAGACCACCACTAAAGAGCCAGTAAATAAACAAATATTTTAATGATTTTAATGGTCATTTATTTATTAATATCCCATTAACACACACAAACACACAAGCACGCGCGTGTATTTCAACTTTACAATAATGATAGTGTAGTCTCACTGGTCGGATTCAGCCCGACGGCGTAAATGATCTCCAATGAGTTGTCGGTCCCTTCAAGACGACGATACAGCTGGACCGCAAATCTAATTGCTTTTTTGGATACTTGTGTGTTGTCTGCAGCTACCACGATACGATAACCGGTTCCACGCACATTTCTATACAAGATTCGCACTTTAGTATCTTGCATGAATATTTTCTTTTGTACTTCTTTACCCGCTAAATGATGATGACATTACAATTATTATGGATTTTATTTTTGTCTGTCGTATATAGATATATTCTTGAATAAGAAAGAAGGAAGAGAGGTATTGTGTGTGTGTATATAGAAAATGGAAAAGAAAGTCGAAATGAATAAATAAATTTATTTTATTTTATTCTTTTAATTTCATTTTAATTAAAATTATTAAATTCATGCTAGTAATCTATACGTCTGTATTGTGTCATTCGATTTTTATTTCTCCACACAGTCACGTCCAAGACTCTTCTACATCTTCTATTCATTCTTTCCACACTTGTATAAGTCTCTATCATTTTGCTTTGTTAAAGTGTGCCAACTCGTCTAGTAAGTCAAACCATTCAATCTAGTCTATCAGTCAGGCTTGGTTAAAAAAAAAACAAAACAAAAAATGATCTTCTTTAGGGCTACATTTTATATCATTTATCATTTAATTAAAAGATATATCTTATTTCAAGTTTAAATAAATTCTTTTCTTTTGGCTGCATCGGAATCATAAATTTATCATACAAGCCACCAACCCTTGTATAAATCACAAAGTTTTACATTTCCTGTATAAAGATATACCTAAATTATACACAAGACCTTTATAATTAAATGAAAAAGACAATCGCTCAATCAACAAAGAGAATCCATCTCAAACAATGGCAATATCTTTCAATCAAATTGCAAGTTTTCTTTCTTTATTTCTTCAAAATTGGAATCAAATGATAAGCTGAATAACAACGATTGGATGCATATAATTCATTTATAATAATTAATAATCTATAGATGGTCAGAAAGTAACATTAATGTTGAAATGACTGAACTTTCGTTGAGAATGACGATCCACCAAGCACTTCAGGCCAGCTTTGGTATTGTTGGTACGGCTTCTATTGTGACAGTGCTTGATTGGGATGAGACCTCTCTTGAAGGTATCATCAAAATAGAACAAAGGCAAGTACAAATATCTACAAACCTAAATATACAAGTGATATAAATAAATATCAAATAAGATAAGCTAGAATACAGTAAATTAGACGAGGCAAGATAATAAAATGTATGATTTTTATAATTATATTAAAATGAATAAATAAATAAATAAAGTATGTACATTTGTGAATGTATAAAAAGTGAATATGTGATTATTTTCTTTATAAAGAAAGAAACTCACAAGTTACATCATTCCAATATGTCTTTATTTTTTAATAATGATAATTGGACCATTATTCATTATCTATTGCCTATTGTCTATTGCCTATTGTCAATATGATTTCCAACATTTCTGTTAAATATCCAGTGAGCTTGTAACTGTCTGGAGTGCACTGGCAAACCATCAATTCTTGATGAGTGGACAACCCTGTGCATTTGATATCCTGGGATCTTCAGCCAGTCTGATCAGTCTTGCAAACGACAGCCGATCCGCTCGATTCTGATCTACAAAAATAAAAATAAAATAGATATTCAAACAAGTTGCCGGTCTTTCTTTGAGTATATAATATAATATAATATAATATAATATAATATAATATAAATATAAATATAATTAGATAATTGCGGATAATACCATAAAGATAATTTCACCTCTTTTAGTATTTAACATCAAGACAAAATTACCCATTTTATATTTTACATACACTCTTTCCGGAAAGAAAATTCACCCAATGACGAAAACGAATTCAGGTTGTACGGAAAATGAATTCGCCCTGAAGAAAAATCAATTCACGTGATGACAGGAACAAAATTCGTGTTGTACGAAATATAAATTCATCTTGGCTGACAAATCATATGTCCTGTTGCCAAGATTGTTCTTCAAACTGTTGTTTGAGAGGTATTTGAGTGTAGCCGCTGCTACAAAACAACTTGGGATTCATGTTCGTACAGCACAAAAATGGGCTGCGCAATACGAGAAAGATCCTGACAGCATCTTTGAGAAATGGAGAAAGACTTTCCGTCCACGTATTCTCCATGACGAACACAAAAGCGCTATTCTCGAGTGCATCGATGAGAATCCTTCCATCGTCCTAGACGAAGTAATGAAGAAGTTAAAGCAAATGTTTACCGAATTAAAAGTATCTAAGACTACCTTGTTAGATTTTGTAAAACAACATTGCAATTTATCTCTTAAGAAAGCTCGGCTTCAACCCATAGACCGGAATAGTGAAGAAAAGGTTCAAGAGCGCTTGGATTGGGTTCGTAAATGGGAAAAAACAGACTTGGATTTTACGAGAAACTGTGTCTTTCTTTTTTGTTTGTTTGTAGGGAGCTTTGTGCTCAAGAGTTTTGGTGAGCCTCTATTGGTGCGAAGCAAAAGAGGACGCCACGGCTTTTGTTTTGGATTTTATTTGTTATATGATGCTTTTTGAGAGTTTTGAATTTTCTAAAGTGAGAGATGGGAAGAGCCCAAGAAAGCACATCCCGTAGCCACGTCTTCGCAAAGGGATAGGACAGATCTGAAGGCTTCTTTGCTCAACCAGGGGGGGGGAAAGACCTAAAGTCAAACAGGAAACAATGGGGAGACAGATGGGAGAACATGCTGGAGTGCGGCGAAAACGAGGAGAGATAGCGTAGAGATTGACCGAGAATGATGGAGAAGTTCTGAGCTAGACCGGAGGAAAGGATTCACTCATTCTCATGCACCTCGCAAAGACAATGAGTGTAAATGGGAGAAAAGGCGTTATTGCATTCTCATTACCATGGCCCGCACCATGACAATGAGAGGGAGAGAGGGAGCTTGCGTGTAGGAAATGATCGAGAGGGTGGGTTTAAAGAGAGACCAAGAGGATAGGCGGGGACATAGAGGGGGGCCGTTACATATTGGCTAAATCTTCGCACTATCTTCCCCGACCAAAGTGAGATATGTGCGAAAGAGCCGTATCAAGCGCTATCAATCCTTAAACACAACCTTAGCTCACAACTACGAAATACCCAAATGTGGAGCTGTTCATTGTCGAAAAATATAACAACCACAAACTTGAACTTGGCACGAAAACCATGAATGTCCTCATTACATCATCCATCCAAATTGACAAAAATCAGTCCCCAGCTGTCGGTCCATCCAGCACAAATGGGTTCAGTGTCAGCAAAGATACCATCATCTTTATCCGACGATCATTTATTGAATGGTATGGCGACCTGCGACAATGAGGATTCAACGATCTGCCCATCCGCGGATTATATCCATTTGACGAGTACGCGCAATTACGGCCAGTGCGGTCCAACTTCCACAGAACCACCACCTATCTTCTTTCTCGATCATGTTCCATTTTCGCAAACGATCCGTGCTTGCGGCCTGTTACGATCTGGACACTTGCCGACCACAACACTGGTACGAACAAGGATTCAGATGCAAAAATAGCATCCCAGTTGTTTCGAGCAGTCGCGGCATCTGTTTGGGAACAAGGTGAAAACGCTATCCTTAGCCGACATTGTGTTAATGATCAACAAAAAAATGCAAGACAAACGGCAAAGTTTGGAATACTATGGATGAGATTCTCAGGCTGTTCAATAACAGCTCAACCATCGACATCATTGCCCTCTCTCATCACTGCAAATGCCGAAGTGACGCGCACCATTTGTCAAATCTTCACCATATGAATAAACAATTTTTCTCATGGAGCAGCGAATCAAAGTGGATAGCATTGTTAATAAAAAAAAATGATGTACAAATTTCTCCTGTATGCGATGAACTTTGAATATTCATGTGTTCTGCCGTGGGATATAGTATAAGAGTTTCTGCAGACGTGTGAATACATTGCAGCCAAACTGTCAATGGATGCTTATGAAGATGCTTATTTTTGCGACAGCCTCATTTCCTTGTGCCAGTGTCATTTTTGCAAGCCTGACTCGTTTTCATTTTGTCCTATTCTGGTCTCATTTTCTTTGACTGTAAAATAATAATACAGCATGGCATGTCAAAAAAAATTGCATATGACAGCTTAATGTCAAGTCAGCGACAATTCAGTGCTTGTGCTGCCGCCATATCGACAAAATGAATGCTCCATCTGAAGCAGAAAAAGCACCATCATATTTTGAAAAAAAAAACGACAATCTTTCCGGTTTCTCCGTATCAGGAATTTTAGGACATGCATAATTTATAATTCGAAAAAAATGTATTAATTTAAATGAAGCTCTAAGATATGCTTACCGCCATTGAATATATGCGCATAGATTTAGAAAGGATGACGTTAACCTACCAGAGCTACAAAAAAAAAGAATATACATATAAATTAAAGGATGAAACGGAAGTCGACATTTTTGGGTATATTAGATAGTAATGCAAAAAAGAACTGTCAATAAGAAAACCAAAAAAAGAAGAAGAAAAAAACGTGTTTTTTCTTGTTTTAATCCGGGAGTACTACACCAGTAAGAATACCTTTTCATTGTCCATTCCAGTTCCTGAACGGCTATTTCCAAAACAGTAGAATTTTCAACAAATGTGGCTGATGCCGGACCATTGTCTAGGGTACACTCAGTACTACTGTGCTTCCATTCTCAATTTACCGACTTTTTGAAAAGTCCGCCCACTTTTTTTGTAAAAAAAAAGAAAAGAAAAAAATTGTCTAATTTCACTACTGAAAAGACCCATAATAATTCATGTCGCCATTGAAAAAGACATAAAACAACGTAGAATCGATGTTGTCAAAAAATATATTTTATATTTTAAATATATATTTATTATAAAGTATATATATAGCTATCTATGAACTACTACTATTCTCTTCGGTGTCCTTACCCAAACGAGCAAACCTAATAATATTATTATTAGTCATTTACTGGTATCTACATAAAATGTTTTACTTACTTATTTCTTCTTCTATTGCGTAACATATTTGACCACTTGGGCTGAACCAGAAGCTCCACAACCCAAAGACCACGAGAAAGATTAAGAGCCTCCAGTTCCCCAGCTTCTTCCACCGATTTTTCCAGGGTTGGCATTACCAGATACACACGGTCTTCTCCACTCAAGTCCTTCCACTCCTTCTCACCGTTGGACTTGCCATTGGAGTCATCTTTCAAAGCAAAAGGTTGGCATGCTTTCAAAGAGTTTTTCTTCAAAATATCCAACAGCTCGTTGGCTCTACCCTCGGTGATTTCTGCCACATTGTTCATAATGAAGTCTTCATGTGACTTCTCTTTCTCAGAACTGTTTTTTGGTGGTGGTATTAAGTCTTGACCACCGTTTGCCGCACGACTGTTGATTCCTACTGCTGGTCGTGGTATCATTGCACGTAACTCTTCAAATCCACGTTTGGTATCACAATATCTATCGTCCTCTTTCCCTGTTCCAAAAAGCAACTCTTCATATACTTGTTGATTTTAATGTTTAATTTCTTCCACTGCCTCTTCCATTTTGGTGAAGTGATTTTCTTTAAATTTTTTGAACCATTTGGGTTCGTTATTTGTATCTTCAACGACGGGAGCATTTCTTTTAGGGGGGGGGGGGGGGGGGGCATTTTATCTAAACTATAAAAAAAAAGATAAGTAAAGAGATCAATAAAATGTAGTTCAGATTGCAAAAAATAAATTAAAATACTCTCAAGTGATACTGAAAGTAGATCGAGAATTGTTCTTAAGAAAATATCAGTCAACCATAGATTCATTTCATTTATCTCTTTTAATAAAAACTTACCATAATGGTTCGATTTTGCCCTATATGCCAAGTAAAAGTGACCGAAAGAAACAAAGAGTGAAATCTGATCAATACTTTTTCTTCAGTGTTATCTCTAAAGTGCACTAGAGCAGAAACAACCTCCAGTGTTGAACAGGTTTACATGTGTTCCAATCAATCTAATGATGTAGGCAATCTCTCGGTAGAAACCAATTGCGATCCTGCAGATTTCAAAGAATGGGAGAAATCACCTGCTGTAAATGCAGAAAATAATAATATGGATACAGAAAATTCAAATGTATCATCCGACAATGTTGAAACTCGTAAAGAGAGTGTGGAAGAAAGAGATGTTTTTTTATCCTTGTTTAGTCGCTTAGGAAACTTTAAAAACACCATTGAAAGTCCATTATCTTTTGAGTTTGTTACTAATAGAAAGCTGTCTGGAACGTTAAACGATACAGAACAATCAAGCATCGAGCTCAAAAGCATGCTTCAAGCTAACAATGCTTCAAAAAACCTATTATTGAGGATTCCTTGTCAATCAAAGAGCCAGTCTATAAAAATGTCTTCAATGAAAGCGTTTTTGGTGGAGTTAGAGGAATGAAAGAGCCCAGCCTTGCTCTGCATATTGGAGGGTCTAATCCATTCAAAACAGGTGGAATATCTATGTCAATTATTATGGTCACAATTCTAGACCTTACACCAACAGAAATATTTAAGCGAGAAAACATCTTCATTATTTCAATTATCCCTGGACCAAAAAAAGCCAAAACATATCTTCAGCTATCTATATCCAGTACTTCAAGACTTTCTTGTTTTGGAGAGTCAAGGATTAAAAATAAACTTTGAAGATGGCTTTACTTCTTTGTACAGAACTAGTCTTGCTTTTGTAGTTGGTGACATTATTAGAGAATCTGACGGTAATTCATTGTTGATCCAGGGACTAGATTGTTTACTGTGCTCTGAGCTTCCTTCATGTGGGACTTGCCTTTTCTAGCCTATAAGCGAGCTGGTTTTAGCTAAAGTGGTCTATTTGTTAAATGAATTCGCGCAAGTATCTTTGTTTCGTGAATGATGGTTCCATTTTTTTAACTGCTTTGCCAACGCTCGGATTACCGAGTATTACATTGAGTTCAGTAAATAGTTCATTACGAATAGTGTTAAATTTAGTTATTGGATCTTTGTTTCTTTGCCATTCTTTATACAGATCGATGCGTCACACCGATAGTGGTGTTTCATAGAAGAAGTCTGAAACACCCACATTTTCAGCCGTAATTTTGTAGCTATCCGTGTTAATTTTACAGAGCAAGTTAAATCAAGGCAAAAAGGGAGTTAGGTGGAAGGCAAAAAAGAGAATTCAATTTTTTTAATTAAACAAAAAGGGCGTTTTGTAAAACGTAATTTTATTAGGAATAAAGTAAGACCGATTACTAATATGTTGCTGTTATCACAGATCGCTACCAAAGTATCGCAGAGTCAATCATCATACAGGCCCAAGACCAACACATGGCGATAATACCAGGATTTGTAGATTAAGAACAAGTTGACAAGGTGAAATGAAGGGACAATATTACATGTTTCAGTTATTCAATGTGCGAGTATTTCAGATTCCCTAAGTTGGTTTTATCTACCTGGTTTCAAACCTCTTGTTTCCATCTACGACAAGAGAAATTAGTCTATAGAAATTTATTATGGACCTCTTCCACTTACCTCTTTACTTAACCTTTTAGCTTTTATCTAAAGAACCCATGTTTTATCTAGTCCACTGCTCACAAATAAAGATCAGCCTGTTTTTAACCAAACAATTAGTATTATTGATCTTTCAATTTATGCTATTCAAGTATGTAAAAATATAATCAAGTAAAAGTTGGTGAATGATTGGGTTTTATTATCATAACTGATTCCCTTTTCTTAATGCTCAATATAAAATATAAACAAACATTACTGGTAACCCAATGGAATATTCCAATCCCAAAGTGATTAAAGAATCCCTAGTATCTGAAAGTTTAACCACTAAATGGCTTACTAATTACACAGAAGCCCAGAAACGTAGAAAAGACCATGAATAGGATTGTTCATTTCCAATCAAAGGCTCTTAAACTACTAAATTTCACTCGCCAGGACGACCGGGAATGTTCGTCTCTAACCTTGAAAGATCATAGACTACTATTTCTCACCGCTTTTCTACTTTTACCTTGCCATCTTTAAAAGACAAAATGTTTCTTTTCCGATTCGGATTATATATGTATATGTATATGTATTAATCGTTTTCTTTTTCTTTGGATAAATATAGTGAACGTATGTACCTTTACTGATTTATACGAATATTATGTACTCCCAGGATCCAGATAGAATTATTCCATGCTGGTAGAAAGGCCACGATTTGTGATCCGGTAGAATCAAAATGTTACCCCCACTAAGAAATGCCGTTCCCCTAAACTTAGTTTACAGGCTGTCCTGCCAGGCTGTTCGTAAAGTTCCCTGATAGACCTGTACAGTTCCGATGGTCCAACACCTCATCATCCGAAAGTGGTAGTGACAAGCGACCAGACGCAATAATTAGTAACGTTACACAGCTTGAATTTGACTCTGCATTAGGATTTGGAGAAGCCAAAAAAGTTGAAAGAAATTGCAACACATATGGTCTTTGTCACGACTTGCTGCGGTTGGCTATTTTCACAAAAAACATGATTGATATCAACAAGTTGAATGAATCATTGTCATTCCAAATTCATGGTTTCAACATTTCATTTTTCCTGATAAGATTGGATCATCATGGCATTTATACCATGGTTGAAGTTGGCCATTTGAAATTTCCAAAATCCATCAAAGAGCTACCATCTCTAGTTACCTTGCGTAATTTGAAGATTCTTCCTTGCCATCAAGGATGCCTTTTGGAGACTATGTTGACCATACAAAGAGCCTGAACTTATCGATGCTAGATATACCCAGATATCTGATTTTATTACAGACTTCATTTAGGGCAGCAAAGATAAGAACATAATTAGCTCAGCTCGCTTGGGTGAATGATGATTTCCTATTGACTAAATAATTTTTCATTCATAGTATCGATACATATTGCAATAGAAATACCCTTTTAACATATAATAAAGCGTCTTTCAGTGCTTTTTTGTTCTATATAACAATTTTGCAGGTTGATCCAAATTTAAATATTACTAACTCAAAACCTATACGATATGAATTTCCCCCTTTTTTTCACTGTACCATACTGCCACTATACAGCGGTTCCACCCCCAAAGTTCGTTTTCTGATAAGCTAAATTCGTTTTTTACTTATAATATCCTTTACATGAATAACAGCTTTTATTAGGAAGATAGACAATGGATTACGAGGAAGAAATTGATCCTTATAACATTACTTCTTTAATGACTATATCGCAATATCGAGTTCATCAAGGCCGTTTTCCCACTGAAGCTACGGAAGAACTTGATACACATATGGAAGAAATTTCGGAGGAGTTAGCTGAAGATTCAGCAACTGGTAGAAAATATCAGGTTTACTCTGACAAACAGAAAGTAGTTTTCTACTATTTTAACAGAATCAAGCTGTGGAAAGCTGTTGCTTCTGGTCGAAATGCTCAAGTTGAAGCCCGTACTGCTCGAAAGTGGGCAAAGCGTCTCAAAGAAGATCCCAGCTAAAATATTTATAAAAAACGGACAAACATGTTTGATAGAAAGCCATCGCAACCCCAAGAGGAGCACAAGCATCACTTAATTCAGTTTTTCGACGAGCATCCTCAAGCGACCAGACGGGATTCAGTGGAAAGTTTGACAAGACAGTTTGAGAATTTTAGCTTGAAAGAAACTTCTGCTGGAAACTCTATTTTCTATGAGTGTAATTTGACTGTTAAAAGGACTACTTTGCACCATGTAGCAAGAAATAACGCCGAAAATATAGAAAAGCGCTACGTTTGGGCTAAGAAATGGGCGGAAAGTTCAGATATGAACTATCTTAAAAGCTGCGTCTCCGTTGATGAAGCTGGTTTTAATATTAACATGAGAAGCCCTAATGCTCGTTCAGTCAAGGGTACACCAACAATAGTCGAAACACCAGCTACTCGTGCCATTGCACACACTATTTTAGGAGCTATCACAACTCAAGATGTTATTTCAATTGAAATCAAGGAACCACTTAAGCCCAAAAAAGTTAAAAAAGAAAGAAGCCTGTAGTAAAGCCTTCAAGAAAGGGTAATGTCACAGAGGACTATGCAAGATTTATATCAAAGATACTCGATGAGATGGACAAGTTTCCTGAAATGAGAAATTTCTACATTGTTATGGATAATGCGCCGATTCATACCTCGGATAATATTACAGGTTTAATCGAAAAAAAAGAGGATATAGAGCTTTATACCCCCTCCCCCAATTCCACTATTTGAGGCAGACCCACCTCAAAACTTGCCTGACTTTCCCAATAAGGAAACCACTATCTAAACCATTTCTTTCCCCTTTTTTCGTCTCGGAGATTAAAAAAATCTCAGTGGGTGTGTTGGTCTTCTGGTGGTAACACACCGCACAGTACCACATTCATCATTGTTACATTATCCTCAGATTCAACTGGTGTAGTACTATCGACAGTTTTTTTTTCTTGGTCTTGTTCTTCTTGCCCTTCTTCTCTTACAGACTTTTTTTCTTGGCCTTGTTCTTCTTGTCCTTCTTCTTTTACAGTCTTTTTTTCTTGGCCTTGTTCTTCTTGTCCTTCTTCTTTTACAGTCTTTTTGACCTCCGCCACAATTAGACCAGCTGGGTCTAATAAGCCAGTCAGCACAGGAGAAGCAAAAGCCTCTTGGATCTTATCAGTCGCCGCCACTATTGAATCAATTTGCTTTTCATCAGTTTTAACTGTTCCCAGATTGCTACAGCTATTGTCATTCTTATTGCTATTGCCATTCGTATTATTCAGCCCATTCTTTGTCGTACTAGTCAGACCGTTTGCCGCTGGGCTTGGATTCATTAGCTGCAGTGATCGAGTGGGCTCTAAATCAGGAGGCGCGGTGTAACTAACTGAAGGTCTAAAACGATGTGAGCAAGCCGTCAATTGCTCAAGCCAGGCCTGCATGTCTTTTGCCGACTTGGCCCGGAAGGTGATTGTCTTTGAACTGCTTGGCCTCAACATCGATCGTGGCGAAGACGAAGAAGCCGACCCCCATTCTCGTGGCACGGAAGACAAGGACGAAGGCGCAGGATAAAACAGCTTTCTCGAAGCCCCACCGCTACTCTGGGGCTGCAGCTGGAACACCAGATTGTGGTGTAGTAGGTGGGTCGATATGGTCGACACATTGTAGTGCGGCACAAAGATCGAAGTCGACGGGTGTTCTGGATAAGTCTTTGTGCTCTTGTACTCATGTAAAAAGCCAGCTGGAGTCAGGACATAGATATGTTCGTGCCAGTGGTGAAGCACAGACGACTTGCGTTCCATACGGGCCGCAAAAACCGGTTCAAGAAGTGGGTGGGTATGGTTGGGGTATTCTAAGCGCTCATCAGGCCGCCGAAATGCTGCATTCTCAGACACTAGGTTGTCTTTGGCACGCTCTGCAAAGTCCTGCCAATCACCATCCATCTTGACCTTTTCAAATGTGTCCATCACCATCTGAAAGCCACGGTCAATACCTAGCTCACTCTTTTCTTGCATTGCATAGAGTTGCTGGCACAGACTTCTGAATTCTTCAATCAGCTGTTCTTCTGAAATCAGTGTTTCTTGCTGAAGACGTAGTACGGTTTCGTGGAATTTGTTCTCTTGACGATGAAGTTTGATGATTTGTTCAACCACAGCTTTTTTTTTTAAAAAAAAATAAATAAACATTAATTTTAAATGTATTCTTTACAAGGTTCTTACACTTCTTTTGTTGTTATTGATCCATTAAACCAGTAAAGAGCATTTCTTTTAGCTATAAATTACCTGCATTCATTAACCAAGGATCTTGACGGTTGTATCCATGATCTGGATGCTGGTTGAAAAATGTCAATTGACGATCCAACCGATCCAACCTCTTTTCGGCCTCTTCCTTCAAACGACCCAGGGTTGACAATGTCAGACGGTCGTCTGCACGTACCGCACGGATCATCCACTTTATCTCACGCTTGATTGCTGCCAGAGAGGGCAGCCACTGGGTCTGTAAAAACAGTCCAAATGCCTGGTGGTCTTTTGCGCGTTTGTCATGATAGCCCTGCCAGGCATCACATACTTGCCGGATTCCGCCTTCAAACGAGAAATGTACCTGAAGCAAGTGTTCTTTCTCTTCGAGTTTTTCTGGACCCTGCTGTGTAGTCTCTTGAGGAGTGCAGCTGGCAAGACCGTGCATCTTTTGGTATGTTTTGCCGACCGCGACTTCTACCTGTGAAAGCATCTCGAAATGATCATACAGTCGTCGAGCAAATATCTGCCAGGCCTCTAGTCGTTCGATTAGGATCTTGACGGGCTGAATACCTTGGGTACCTTGGACCGCACAGCCAAGTGTTGTAAGATGAAAATCTGGGCCGCACACATCCTGGTTTGCTCGCTGTGTTTGGTCCGTGTACGCAAACACCGGAGGAGGCTCTGTGAGGTCCGTGCTTGTTCGACGTGGTCTGGGGCTATCGGTGCAATTTTGAAGGTTTAGCCGAAGTGACTGAGGAGAAGAGTAAAAGGCCGACAGAGAGGGAACAGGTACAGGTACAGGTACAGATAGAGGTAGAGATGTAGGTGCAGCAGGTGCATTTATAGAGTTTGCAGCGCTCAAAAGTCGTTCGTTCCCATCAATTGTGCTGGCATTGTAGATTGAAGATACAGTAGAATTTGGGGATGATTTAAAGGGTTGCTCTGGAAGGACAGATCCGTTTCTGGGTCTCATCCACCGTCTACTACAAGGAGGTACCATAATTATTTATGTATAATAGTTAAAATTAATAATAGTAATAATATTAAGAAAAAAAATAAAGCGTAAAAGCAAAAAGTAAAGAAAGAAGAAGCAAGACTGAATTAATGTTTTCATCTAGTGAGTTGGATATTTATTTATTTTGTTGATATTAGGGTCGCCTTTTATTTTTCTTAAAAGTAAATAGATCTATATGAATAAAATAGACAGCCAGACAGACAGTTTAAGAGGATCGTCCAGGTTATAATGTCTGTGTTAATTAAGCCTTGAACTCAATACACACAGTAAGAATTCACAACTCAAATGTCAGGTCTTTTCAAGTCTGGTCTGCATTAGAATATTATAGACAGGTTAAAATAATAACGATAATAATAATACCAATAAGAGTTTCTTTTCCTTATTACTATTATTGCCTGACAAAATGATATGCTCAATATTGAAACAATTATTACATTTATGCAAAGCCTTGACAATGATTTTGTTAGAAAATCTAATTTATATGTATATATTAAATAAAAAGAGCAAGATAATAGCAGTAAAATAATAGACATACTCTATAGAGGATTGTACTATGGTTGGGATGTTTCCTTTTAATATAAACAGATTTAATAATATTATTGAAGAGTGAACTACTGACCAAAAACTGAATTTTCCGTCAGTCAGTCAGAAAAGCTTTTTGATGCTTTAAATTAAATTAAATTAAAATCTAGGATCTTTGTAGGATCCCTCAGAAGCACCTGATCCAAGGCCTTACCTTTTCGTTGAAACTCTTTTCTTTCTTGCCATGGCTACCTAAGTAAACCCAACATTTTTCCCTTGGGATAGATAGTGCAAAGAGGGCCTATACAACTCTGAGCTGCTTTGAACATGACTTTGTTCATATATTCCACAAAAAGATAATAAAGAGGTTAAATCAAGTCTTTTCCCTCAAACCCATAATAGTCTACCATTTACTCCACTTTTTTTCTTTCTTCATTGAGCTTATTTATTTTATGCAGTCATATTGGCTTGCGCTCACAAATGTTTGGAAAATGAGACGAAATGATGTGTCAAGAAGACTAGACAGACCTTGAATCCGGAAATCTCTCTCTTATTTTCTTTTAGCAATAAATTGTGTACACACACATGTATATATATAACGTACCTTTTACCAGCCCTCAAGTGATTACATAAATCTACTCAATTAAATAACACATGAGACTTGGACTGGATGAATGACTTCAAAAGATGCTCAGAACCTATTGCAGAATCGCTAAGAGATTTATGGATAACTATAACACACCTTCTTGATCATCGACTAATTATAGGCCATTTTCCATTTTTTCTCTCTCTCTTATGCCTTGGTATTATTTTATAGTACGTGGGTTTTACTTACATTAAAAGAGACTTGAAATGTTTGTTACAAGAATTCTTGAGGGGGGGTCGTTGTGGACGCTGATAGTCTCAGTCTGAAATCATTAGTATCTTGTCTGTAGTATAATTGGTATATATTGTACATGTGGTAGTAATGAGATAACTATAACTATAACATTATTAATTATTGATATAATTTATGTAAGATGGTATTGTTACAAAATAAAATGAAATAAAGTATAACATAAAAACAGAATTCAGGAGGCTTGTTACTAGTATTTTTTTTTTACTTCTTGTACCAAGCCTATTAGACCTTTAAAATATTACACTTTTGCAGTATACATTTCTTGGAGCAAAATTCCTTTATAATTCTATTGGGCATATATATAAAATAGCATTGGTATATTTAAACGGTTCTCCTTTATGTCTTTATATCACTATACCTATATGGTTAATCGTGTACTAGGTTATTATGTATCAAAGCCACATATAATAAACATCTATATTATATATATATATATATATATTAAAAAAAAAGCCTATAAAAGACAACGCCATTAAAGGGTAAAAACTCTAAACTTTAAAAACTTTAAAAATTTTAGCTTTAACTCTTTTAAGTACTTCATTGACTGAATTACAATATATAACCTTTAATTTCTTTGTATATCATCCTTGTCAATTGACACTTTCGAAAGCATATAACAAGCAAACGCCATATCCTTAGTCTCTTGTGGGTTTGAAGATAATGAACGAGACTATGACATTCTGGGTCCTTACTGTTGAGATATCGACTACAAGGATAAAGAGATGTTTTTTTAAAGCCGTTCATCCAATCTTGACAGCCTACCCATAAAGATATGGGGTTTTAAAAGGCTTTTGTCTACTACGACTCTGAAGCATCTCCTCACAATAAATCTCTCGCCTCCTTTCGTATGATACAGCTCCTAGAGAAACTTGGTCATCAATGCTTCAACTGTTTTCCTCTTCGCCGATCCTGGTTACCACGCTACATACAAATTGACATTATGATCTTGTACCAGCAAATATTGAAGAGAGTTTGGATAATATTTGTGGACAAACTCGGTCTGTGGGAAAGCGCGGTGGACTTGAACATCAAAGCTTTCCGAAATCAATAAAACGGTGTGATGAAGCTCAGAGTGACATTGCAGATAGCTGATGTTGGTATTTTTATTATTATTATTAAATAGACCCACGACACCAATGAAGAACCCAGTCCCAGAAGGGTTGCAATCATTGACAGGGAAGGCACTACTTACATTAATAACTTGACACCAAAGCAACACGAAATAATTTGTGGACATTGTGTTATCGATTTTGGAAGGATAGATGGACTATCTTGTATGTATGAGAGCTCTACCGTGACTAGACCAATGTTTTACCATACATACATCCAGCCAACAAAGAGTTGAGCTTAGAAGTGTTAAGTTTCGCTGGGTTCTTTTAGATATCAAAGCCCAACAACCAAATGTTTGTGTTGTTGAACAAGTCATCTTCCAAACGTCGATCCGAGTCAATAACATCTTAGACTTTTCTTTTCATACTTTGATGAAATCAGCAAGCTCATCTGTTCTCAGTTACTTTTGTTCAAACACCAGAAATTAAACTAACCAGCAGCCTTTGTTTTGTAAGCTTTGGCTCTCTTTATATATCAACCAATACCATGAGTCAATACAACAAAAATATTCTTATAAATAATTTTAGATGCCCTAATCCAAATTATTTGGAGAACATGGATCTGTTGGGCTCAAATCGTCGTTTATGAAGTCGAGATATTGGTGCTGTCTTGAACTTCGTGTATTTGACCAATTGAGACATAATGGTACTATCCCTGGTAGATGTATCCGTGTTATAAAAAATGTTGAAATACTATAATACCCACAGAAGATGTTTCCGAGTGTCGTCGTGTAAGACAAAGACTGAGAAGAAGACCAAATATGAAAAAAAAGAAAAAGATAAATATCCTGACCTAGTTATCGCCAGGGGATCCCCAAGATGCCCTTTTGGTAAGCTATTACATTCTTTGAGTAATTTTTTTAAGTAAATTATTTTATTATCACTATATTTTGTACTCTATTGGAGTAGTGAGCAAAATAAAGGTGCTTTGTATTGATTCCAATATATAGGTGGTCTAAGAAATTGGATAGTTACAAAGTAAAATAAGAGAAATTTGAAATTGAAACGGATTTTTATATACATATTATATATAAAAGAAGAAAGAGCAATGCTTAATCAAAATTCAACCTTAAAAAAAAATAGACCCTTAACCCCCCGGAAAATCTTGCAAAAAATCTCCTACTAAAATCGCCTATGTATTATGATGATTAGTATTATAATGTAGTAAAAAAAAAAAGAAAAGACCACTTGTACTGCTAATTATGAAATTAACTATGTAAAAAGGATATCAAAGCACAGATATATAGATATACAGTATTCTGGGTTTGTGTAATTTATTGAATGAAATGAAATGAAGTGTGAAAATGACAGGAGATAAATTCAAGAATAAAATAGAGAAATAAAGTAGGGACAGGCCACCCAAGTATTAAGTATATCTATTTAATATTAATTAGATTAAAAAGAAGATATTCATATATATGAATATATCAAAGCCTAGAATTCTACATATAAAACCTCATTTGATTTCAATATCATTTATCTATCTATTTAATGATTGAAAAAGGTTTAATATAATACAGCCACACGTATACAAAAACATCAATTCATCTTAAAATTTACTCCCTTTTCTTTTCGCATGTGTGTATGAGTGTCTTTGTTAAGAAAACAAAACAAAAAATAAGTTATACAAGGAAGAGGAGGTAGAATAATTGTTGATCTATAATGGTTAATAAATGTAATGAAAAAGGGGAAAAGAAGAATTAATTGAACCAATACATCTTGTAAGTTAGATACGCATTGATTTATTTATTTATTTATTTTTTTAAAAAAAATGGCATCTATACACAGACAGACATAATTTAAGAGGATCTTCAAGGTTGTTAAGGCCTGTAAAGTTAAGGCTTGGGGCTCAGTACAGAAAGTAAGATTCTTATAAGGTTAAAATAAGGCTTTTCAAATCTAGTCCTTATTGGAATAACCATGGACAGGGAAAGGCCAAAAGATTGAAACAGCTACCATATTTGAATCAGAATTTAGCAATAGATATGTCGGAAATCTAATGAAAAAGAGAGGAGAATCTGTCATGAAGGGGATCCAATAATAGACTTGTTCTGTACAACGTTTGATGACAAATTTGAAGTGAATATATTTACAATATCGAGAAAAAGCTACCTAAAAGCATCTTGTAAGATACCCTTTTTTCTGTAATCAACCTCTTATATAATTATATAGTCATTTACTATGATTTGGCTATTGAATAGCGTGGTTTTTTTATTGGTGCAAAAGTTTCTCAGAATTACCGGACACTCGGCGTTTTGTTCTGATCCTGTGCAAGTAAAGGGGTAGACAAAGGGTATTATTATTTTACAGAATTTTACAATTCTTTATTTAGTGTGTGAAAAATACGAACAATGTACTGTATATAAACCAGAGCTTTTAGATTGTCAATCAGTTTCACCAAAATCAAATTCTTCCAAGTTGATAACCAATGCTATCAACCTGATTAAACTGTTTTTTTTGTACTTATTTATTTTCTAATTTTCTTATGCAAAACAGAAAAGATATCTCTTAAAATAAATCAGTTACAAGTCTTTATGCATGTACAGGCATGATATCTATGCGCATCATTTACTAGTAGGTACATGACAGCAGCAACAGCAACAGCAACAGCAACAGCAACAGCAACAGCAACAGCAACAGCAACAGCAACAGCAACAGAGAAAAAGGAGGGGGGGGGGGGGATAAAGGAAATACTTATATATTTATATAATAATGGGCGTGTGGACAAAATACCCATTCCAAGACAAACTTTGGTGAACCAGGAAAAAATAATAATAGAAGCAAGGTTCTTTCCTGCATGGAATATTTGTAACTCTGTCCTACGTCTTTGTTATAGTAGATAAATCATTACAATTTTTTTTATATTACATTATGTTCCAGAATTTCTCTCTTTATTTTATATATATATAAAAAGGACATTTTACAAGCAGGCACACAAAAGTTGAGCAAAAAAGAAGAAAAAAGTACTGTGGATCAAATCCAAGACAATGAAAATCAACCTTGACAAAATAGATTTTAATCCAATTGAATTTGATTGAATTAAATTCCACACTCTAAAGAATCAAACCAAACAAATTCAATTCAATTCAATTCACTTTATTCAATTGATCCCCGTAATTGATCTTGTAATCTTATCTCATGGAATTTAAAGGTGGACTTGCTTTTACGTAAAAATAAAATTCAGTAGGCAATCACAAAAGCAGTTCACAGTTAATTCTCTGCATTCTGTACCGCTCTCCGTTCAACACCCTCTTATGAGTCAACTTTTTTTTTTTTTTTTTTGCTTATATATTTAGATCTCAGTTTGTAAAAGGAAATATATACATATAAAATACAGTGGGATTTTGTGTGTGTGTGTGTTTTTTTCTTCTTAGTATAAAATAAGTTGAAAATTTTCATTAGAATTCAGAATTATAGGTGTATAAAACCTGGAAATCAATTAGATACTCTTCTTCTTATTCTTACTCTCATTCATACTCATACTCATACTCATACTCATATTCATATTCATATCATTATCATTATCATATTGTTTTGTTTTGTATTGTATTGTATTGTATTGTATTAAATGACAACTGATCCAAGTGGTTACAGCGATTGGCACGCAAAGTCAATCAATGACACTGCCGATCTATTAAATACTTCCACATCAGACGGCCTGTCTACTCAGGAAGCAAATGCGCGACACACAAAATATGGGTACAACGAATTATCATCTGACGATGGCCCACAATGGATAAAAATCCTTCTCAGGCAGTTCTTGGACGCTATGAACTGGATCTTCATTGCCCTTGGTGGTGCCTCTTATGGTCTCAAGGATTATGTTACCGGCTCACTCTTGATGGTCATTGCCATTCTCAATCTCTATCTATCATTCTCACAAGAATATGCTGCCGAACAAACCCTTGCTGCCCTTCGCAACCTCTCATCTCCACAGGCAGACGTTATTCGTGACGGTAGAGAACAATCAGTCGCCAGCAGAGATATCGTACCTGGTGATATACTTTTGGTCAAGGAAGGCGATTCTATCGGTGCAGACGCAAGATTAGTTCATGTATCCAATCTAGAAGTCGACGAGGCCCTCTTAACGGGTGAATCTATGCCCGTCCAAAAAGAGCTCATTGTCCTGTCCAACCCTGGTAGGTGCCACAAAACATACACAGGGCAGATCTCTGTTGATTTCTTGCCCTGATCTACATACAAAACAAAATATCAACCTAAACATCTTTATCTTCTTTTGTTTGTTTCTTTATAATAGATGAACCATTGGGTGATCGTATCAATATGGTCTACAGTTCAACTATTGTTTCAAAAGGACGTGGAAGAGCCATAGTCACAGCCACAGGAATGCACACAGAAATCGGAAAAGTTGCCGCTAAACTCAATGAGTCCAACGACGGTGACAGAACACGTCTCCAGAAGAGTATGGACAAAATGTACATCGCCTTGCTTGTCGTGGCCGTCATCTGTGTTATCATTGTGCTCGCATCAGTTAAATTCAAAGTAAACTACGACGTTGGCATGTATGCAATGACGGCAGCTTTATCGGTTTTACCGGCTGGTTTGACAACCGTCATGACCGTAACACTCGTTCTTGGTGGCAAGGAGATGGCAGGTCACAAGGCCGTCGTACGGAAACTCAAGGTACTCGAAACTCTAGGTTCAGTCACAAACATCTTTTCCGACAAGACTGGTACTCTCACAGTCGCAAAGATGGTCGTTGTTCGTTTCTGGACTCTCAAAGAAGGCTACTTTTATGTTACGCCCAACGGTCTGGCCCCTGAGGGAGATGTCTACAGCACTCCTGGTATCCAAGGCAAAGAAAATGACGAAAAGGTCAACCAAGGCGAGCTGGTCGATAAGACTCAGCTGTCTCCTACTATCGAACGCCTCGTCCAATGCGCCGCTCTCTGTAACATGTCGAGTATCTATCTTCGCGAGGTCGACAAGGAAGAAAAGTCTTCCCCAAATCTCGACGAAGTACCAGAAACCGAAGACACCTGGATTTCAAGCGGTGCTCCAACAGAGGTAGCACTTCAGGTGTTTGCGCACAAGTTCAACATGGGAAAACCTGTACTTGAACAAGCAGGCTGGGATCTTATCTCCGAATACCAATTCGACTCCACTATCAAGCGTATGTCAACCCTCTGCCATGACAAACAGACCAACCGAACCGTGGTGTTCACAAAGGGCGCGACCGAACGGATTCTTCCCCTCTGCCCAGCCTTGTCGGATGATGAGCAGACCCAGATTCTCAAAACCGTGGATCTCCTGGCTGCCAAGGGGCTTCGTGTCATGACCCTGGCCTACCGTGAGCTGCCTTTGAACCAAGAATATCGCGGAGGGGTTAATCGAGATGATATCGAACGCGAACTTGTGTTTCTCGGTCTGACCGGTATTTATGATCCCCCCCGTCCCGAGTCTCGCCAGGCTGTCCAAGAGGCCCATCAGGCCGGGATCAAGGTTCACATGTTGACAGGTGACCATGAAATCACCGCGACGGCAATTGCAAAGGAGATCAACATTCTCAACGAGACGACCATGTCAGAAGAAACGATCCGCCGCCTGGTTATGACTGGCACTCAATTTGATGCCATGACTGATGATCAAATCGATGCGCTTGATGAACTTCCACTGGTGGTTGCGCGCTGTTCGCCCGAGACCAAGGTCAAGATGATCGAGGCTTCGGCCAGAAGACACAATATCTCGGCCATGACTGGTGACGGTGTGAATGACTCGCCTTCGCTTCGTATTGCCGATGTTGGAATTGCAATGGGCAAGAACGGCAGTGATGTTGCCAAGCAGGCGTCGGATATCATTCTTACTGACGACAACTTTGCGACCATTATCCGTGCCATTGCCGAGGGAAGACGTATCTACCAAAACATGCAGCGTTTCTTGCTCTACTATTGGATTGCCCTGGCGTCTCTTGCGCTTGTGATCCTGGTATGTCTTGCTGTGCGTGATCCGGATGACAAGAGCGCTGCACCAATGTCTACCATCGGCATGCTTTTCCTCTACATAGCCATCACACCGCCTGCTGGTGCTCTGAGTACCCAGCCAGCCTCGAAGACCATTATGCACCAGCCACCCAGACCACCCAAGGAAAGTCTGTTCAACCGAGAGATTATCATGGACACTATTGCGTATGCACTCGTTACTGCCATATGCTGCATCATCGCCTTTTTTGTTCCGCTATATACGGTTGGCAATGGCGTCGGTGGAGTGAACTGTGATTCCGAATACATCGAGGGTGCCTGCGATTCATTCTACCGTGCCCGTGCTTCAATGCTGGTCACATTTACATTCTTCTCGCTTGTGATTATGATCCACTGCCGTAGTTATCGTGAACCCGAGTGGGACATGGCCGGTATCAAGGAAACTCTAAAGTCAAAGACGTTTATTGGCACGATGATTTTCGACATTGTGTGCCTAGTGATCTTTTTGTATATTCCTGTGGTCGCAATCAAAGGATTCAGAATGATGGCGATTACTTGGGAATGGGGACTTGACATGGGTTTGACATTGTTCTTTATCGTTTTTGGTGAGGCCTTTAAGATGTTCAAGCGGCGTTGTCTAAAGCCAATGGTGACACGATCTGTGGAGGTTGTATAACCAAACAGACAGAGATAGAGAAAGAGAGAAATCAAAACAAACCAACTCTCTCTCTTACATTTTATTTATTTATTTATTTATTTTATTTCTATCCCACTATAATAATTTTATTACTTGTACTTTCATATACACATTCATCTACCTTTAACCACACCCCCACCCCCACACATATACATATACATATATTTGTATGTAGTGGGTGTATAGTTGTATATGTATCTTCATCTACGCATACAGCATTTAATTCAAAATAACCAAATCTGACTACCCTTTAATTTAATTTAATTCAATTCAATTCAATTCAATTCAATTCAATTTACCTTTTAACATATTATATATAACATTTAAGCACATACACCATACATACACACCCCATTTATATACATAATAATAATAATATAAATAAACAAATAAATAAATGAACAAACGAACAATTACTTGTTTTCCAAACTATCTATCTTGGTTGCCTTGGTCACCATCTCTCTTTCTTATCAAGACGTTGATTAGAATCCAAATCCAGATCCAGATCCAAATCCAAATCTAAAAAGCACACAAAAACACACTTATATACGTAATAAATGTATACAATTTATAATAATATAAAAAAAAAGGTTCGAGTCTGAATGGCGTGTATATCTAAGTGGTTGAGACAAAGCATCCGCAGGGCCTTTATGTTTTAGTTTATTGGGTTGACATCTCTTAAACGGAGAAGTTGGAGGGGTTGGTGCCTTCTTCTCTCTGTTCGTCCCACTTGGAAATCTAAAAAAACACACAAACAAAAATTATTAATTATATTATTTATTTATTTTTTAAGAAAAAAAAACACGCCATAAATTCTTGTGATAATATATATATATATATTGTTTTAAAGCTTACCCACTCATTGGGGCACAAGGCATGGTAAGCCTTGAAGAACTGCTTGCAAGGAGCGAATTCCTCACCACGAGCGGAAATACACTTGTAGTAGTCAACATAGTTCTGCCAGCAGCTAATAAAAATAAAAATTCAGTTATAAGTATGTGCATATCATATATATGATTGTCTGTTTGTGTTATATAGATATATTCGTTTTGCCCGATTATATCTCGTTCTTCTGAAAGATATATATCGCTTTATCATAAAGTGGAAATAAACGTACTGCTTGGTCTGGTTGGTGTTGGGGAAGCTAACTGTAAAGGTCAGTGCCAGGTTATATGTCGCGTCAAATTTAAACTAAAGTAAAAGGTCATTTTATTTACCGAGCATCGAATGCAGCTATTATGAAAATAAGAAAGAAAAAATAAGCAATTAATAAACAATTAAACGTGAATTCAAATCTCCTTCTTCTTCTTCTTCTTCTTCTTCTGCTACTACTACTACTTCCTTATTCTATTACTACAATATATGTATATATCTGGAATATGTATTTTTTTGTAACCATGTGCGTATGTGTGTGCCTGTAGATATATAACTCTCTCCAATACACACACACAAGCACACAAGCACACAATCATAGAAATATAATATATATAGCTATGTATGTATATTTATATGTCTAAAAATGAAGGAAAAAAATATATGTGCGATATTTACCGGTGGTCAACAAAACGGTCTCTTCAGTTCCAGACATGTTGCTAGTAAAATGCGCTAGTTAAAGGTAAAAAGGTGAAAGAGAGAGGGGTGGTAAAGAAAAAAATAAATAAAAAATTCCGCGACCACTATTTTTTTTTTTTTATTCAAAGGCAGGGCTCTGGGACATCCTCCCCCCCGTTTGGAAATTGTACGTCATTAAATAGTGACGTCTATTTTATTTGAAAAATAAAATAAAATAGGAAAGTGAAAAGAAGTGAACCAAGTACACGGGCATTTTTATTTATTTATGTATATATATATATATATATATATGTGTATGTGTGTGTATGTGTGTGTGTGTGTAAATTATAATAAAAAAGTATGAATTTCTTTTATTATTATTATTAATATAATATAATTAAATGTGTTTAATATACACTACAAAAGTAAGATAGTATTTAGACAACAGGCTCAGGAGCATATCCTGTATTAGCAGCGCTTTGGCCATAAGAATTTTCATTATTCTGTGCCCAGTGAGCAGCTCTTCCACCACCACTTGAACCACCTAATGACTCATCCAATGCTGAGCGACTCATGTTCGAAGGAGCCTCAATGTTGGGTACAAATTGAAGAATGCAATATGCAACACCAGCGACAGCCACCTAGAAGAGTTTATGTTAATTAACAGTCATACATGAGTAAGAAGAAGAAGAAGAGAAAAGTATGGCTAGTATTTTATACATGTATTTATCATTATATCTTCAAAAGCACATTGACTTACAATAACACCCGACGCAATAGCCAGCGGAAGTTGGTTTAAAATAATGCAGCCAATGCTATTATAATTATTTAGGTTAGAAAATTTATCAAAATTAATACAAAAAATAATACTCTTCATGGTATTTATTTTGTGAATACTTGCAAGATGTAACCTATACATACATACATACATACATACATACATAGCCCTTAGTGAGCCAAATCCAATTCTTCAACGTCTTTATCATAACAGAAAAGGCTTACATATACCACGGCCAATAAATGAAAACATAAAAGATACATGTTGGGTCAGTACAGAAGGAAGACGGAACTCAAACACGAATACAATCAAGCCAAACAGAATACAGAATATTCCACGAATGAACTGCGGAAACCCTTTATATATATATATATATATATTTGTTATTCACAAGTCAATATCAAGGTTGTCTGTGTAATTCCATCTTCTCTTCATCATACCTCCTGTCAGGATGGTCGCTACACCTCCAATCACCATAAAACAGGCAACGATTATATTTACAGCACGAAAGATGAGACTGCGATCGATTGGAATCATGGTGGTTTAAATAAATAAATAAATAAATAAATAGAGGAAGAAGAAGTAGAAAGAAGCTCAAATTGAATTGTGGTTTATATTCATTAACATCATAATTATTAATATATATTTTATTTATTTATTTATTTATTTTGAAATAAAATATAATATAATACTGCTTTCTATAAATTTTATTCTGTCCCACACTTTTAACAAGATATCACCGCGGCCACATCATTCTATCGCATCGTGACCTAATACACAAATTTACCAGTAAGAAACAGACCCACACCACGCACACATTCGCACATCCACAAAAGAAAGATTTATTTTTGAGAAGAAAATAGAAACTTACCAGTTCTTCAGAAGCAGTGGGGTGAATGGCCACACAGTTGTCAAAGTCTGCCTTGGTAGCTCCCATACGGACAGCTACACCAAAGCCCTGCAACATCTCGTCGCTGCCTCTACCCAACAGATGGACACCCACAACCTTCTCTTCTGGGCCAGCGACGACCAATTTGTAAGCAGTGGGTTCCTTGTGCTCGAGCATGGAGAAGTACATGTTGGTGAACTTGGACTGGTATATCTTGATTTGATCATCTCCGTACTTCTTGCGAGCCTCGGTTTCGGTGAGACCCAAAGTACCAGCAGTGGGATGAGAAAACACAACGGTAGGAATGTTCTCATAATCAAGCTTAGAGTTACGGAATGCCTCACCACCAAAAAGACGATCAGCCAATCGACGACCAGCGGCAATGGCCACTAACACAAGGCAATACAGTACAAAAGTATATTAGTAATCCTTCCGATTAATTTATATTATTCTTACCTGGAGTGAGTTCGAATAAACCACAGGCATCGCCAAGAGCAAGTACACCCTCAGAAGAAGTGGCCTGATAAGAATCAACCACAATATGACCCTTTTCGTTGGTCTTGACACCAGCACCCTCCAGGTTCAATTTCTGGACATTTGGTGCACGACCTACAGCCCAGAGTACACAGTCAACCTCAATGGAGGCAGCCTGGCCATCGGACTCATAGTCAATGCGGATAGGACCAGATGTTGATGCGCGCGACAGAGATTTGACCTTTGAATCAAAGGCAAACTGGACACCGACAGATTCCATCTCCTTCAGAAGAGGCTCACGGATGATCTCATCAAAGGTACGCAGGATGTGTTTGGTGCGGGAGAAAATGGTCGTTTGGGAGCCAAGAGCGTTGAAAATGCCGGCAAGTTCGACACCAATGTAGCCAGTACCGACCACAGCCACCCGTTTGGGCTGCTCCTCCAAATCAAAGAAACCATCCGAATCGATACCAAGTTCAGCACCAGGGATGTTTGGAATAATAGGATGGCCACCTTTATTTTATTTTATTTTATTTATTTTTTTTAAAAAAAAAACACATATATAGCAATAAGGTTTAATCAATAATCCTCTTATTTTTTTTGTATGTGTATTTGTGCTTACCGGTGGCTACCAAGATATGCTTGGCCGAAATCTCAAAAGACTCGGTCTCGGTTTGCTGGACGCGAACAGTAGTGGGGTTGACAAAGCTGGCAAAGCCCTGGAAGTGCTCGACACTATCCTTCTCGAGATTTCTCTCGTAGATACCATTAAGACGCTTGACATAAGCATCGCGCTTGGTCTTGATATAGTTCCAGTCAATACTAGGTTTGCCTTGGACATCGAAACCGTAACCCTTTGCGTCACGAAGAGCTTCTGCAATAGAGGCTATAGAAAGAAAGAATCAATACATGGACATAAACCACAATATCCTTTATTACTATTATTATCAAAATAGAAATGAAAAATAAGATAGAACCGAGACTTGACTTGCCTGCGTTCCACATCACTTTCTTGGGTACACATCCAACGTTGACGCAGGTACCACCAAGACGGTGCTGTGCTTCGATAAGGGCAACCTTTGCACCGTGGATACCGCTGGCACGTCTAGCAGAAGCCAGACCACCAGAGCCACCACCGATGACAAGGTAGTCGTATAATTGTTTAGAGGGTTTAGGAACAGGAGGCATTGAAGAGCGTAAGGCTGTATAAACGTGAAAAGCTCTACGGGTAGCGTGAGCCAGTTTGAATATATATATATTTAAAAAAAAAGGGGGGGAAGAGCGGGAAGAGATCGGTATTTATACTATTTTCTTTTTTTTTTCTTTTTTTGCTTGGTGAGTCCCATTAAGCATCCCAAAAAAAAAAGAAAGAGAAACTTGTGACTGGAGTTATTAATAATGATGTTCTCCAGCATGGAGCAACTTCATCCCAGGCAGAATGGGTGCTAAACTCAGACATGGAAATATTAACTCAGAAAGCAGTCAGTTGTCCAAAAACGTAAGAGCCAGAAGCTACAGCTAAAATGCCCTCTACAAGTTATCATAAAATAAAAGTATATAAAATAATGACTAAATACGAGTATATTATTGGATAAATTAAATAAAAGTTGCTTTTAGTAAAATAAATCTGGTATTAAAAGTATCTCTAAAATAACGTTAAATCTTCTTTGGGATATTTTATTTCTTTTTGACCCCCTCCCCCCTCTGGCCTCTGCGAAAGCTTAGAATCAAATTACATTTTTGGAACAAAGTGAAAGTGACTGACAAAAAGTTGCTATATAGAGTATGTGATAATCTATATATGTAGTTCATGACATTTTTCCATTCCTGAACGAATTTGCTCCGTATGCTGGAGAGCACCATATGTAAGCATGACAAAGCATTCCGTATACCTCAATTGCCTTTTTTTTTTCTGTCGGCACATAAAACACGCAAAACAACCGAAAGTCCCATGTACCGGATCTGTCGGAATATCTCTGGTCCGGAAGAGACAATCGTATTTATATTCATATTTTGTACAGAATCAGGAATACCAAAATTGAAGACAAATAACTGTGATTCTGTAACAGTATAATAAGGCTTTTATTGAGCTTGGATATGAGGGTGTTTTTGGACAGGAAATTCAACAAGTTGTTAAATTATGAACATTTTATTTAGTTGAATAACTACATGGTGTTAGGGATACTTCTGCTTCTCCAAACGACAGAGACAACAATGAAATGAAATGAAAATAAAACAAACAAAGATTACGGATTTTTTTCCCTTCTTTCTTTTGCGATGATCTTACAAGATTGTTTTATGAATACTATCTCTAGAGAAGTTCTTTAATGTCGCTTGTAAAGAAAAAAAGTTTATGGCCAAAACATATTTTTATAAGCTTTCTTGGGGTTTTGAAGATGCGTTTAAGGTGAATTTCCTTTTTTTTGGTAAAAATAAAGGGGGGAGGGTTATCTTCATTTTTATTGTTTCAATTTCCATTTCAATTTCAATTTTTTTTTGATATGAGTTTAAGCAGTAAAAGCCATCTTTTCAATCTACTCCCTTGACAGCTACTTATTCTCATGCTGGTGGTTAATATAAGCTATAGTAAAAAAAACAAGAGCTCTTCTCAATTAAAGTTATATAATGTCTAGGATTTTCTTCTTCTTTTGATTTCTAGTAGTGCTGAATAAACCATAACTCAACCTTTTTAGGTTATATCTTCTAAAGGACTCTACTGAATAATTTAAGCTTTGTTTTCTCATAGAGAGCAGTACCTTTAATACTCCCAACAGAAAGAAGTATTTCGTTTGTGAAATTATGCATACAAAGACACACACACACACAGTATAACTACTGAAATGAGTAATTATATCAGTTTATACAATAATATATACGCTGCAGGCCAAGATCAAGACTGGAAAACGTATCTTAACTTTCTCCAAACTAATACATACAATATCTTGCTCGGAGACAATCATAGGCTAAAGAGCAGATAATGAATACATATAGATCTATCAATAATAACAATAATCTCATCTCTATAAATAAACATATATGCTTTCTAATTTGATTATACTCTATTCACAATGACCCTTGCTCGTGTTACAGCCACTCATGTTTATGTTCCCCTTATAAAGCTCAATAAATTCGTTCAAAAAGGCATCAAGTTCCATTTATCATTTTCTTTCATCGTCCTTATCATCATTAATATTGTCATTATTATGCTAGCATCTCACTTGCCATTCGAAATAGTATTCATTATTGCCAGCTATCTCTTGACAAAAGACAAACTGAATTGCATACTTGTATGCAAAGCGTGGAGACAGCCACTTCAAGACTCCTTGTGGAATTCACTAGAAATAACCAGTCAAAGAAAACTTAATTCAATCTGTAATACACTCAAGCGTAAACGGTCGGTATATAAGATACATGGCGTATACGTCAAGCAACTACACATGAGTGGAGAGTGCAGAACGACAGATCAACAGCTTTTAAGAATACAAAAATCATTTCAAAACCTACAACGCCTTTACATCGGAAGATTTTGCTTGGACGGATTAAACATTGGAATGCAAGTGGGCTGGACTTTGTGGAAATCCTTGACAGAGCTGACTATTGATATGCACAAAACAAGCGTGATATGCGAAAAAGAGCGAGAAAAGCTCTTTTCTTGTTTACCGTATCTAAAACGACTATGTTTTACACAAAGAAAAAACGATCCTCCGCTCCCATTTAGTCTTGATAATTTTGAAGACCTTCATGATTCTTTACCCCGGCTTGAAATGCTTTCTCTTAATATTGACTTAAAATGCATCACTGAAAACGATCAGATACGTCTTTGGCAAGTCGCTCCCACAAAACATATGACGAAGATAAATTTTTGTGCACGGAGCATGGATAGCAAATGGCTGTGCTATTTTTCTCTAAAATACCCTGATCTCAACACACTTGGATTGGAAGCCATCGAGAACGACAAAATCCCAGACTTTCACAAAGAAGAGGACTTGAGTGTATTCTCAAATCTCCCAGCCATATTTATACATCTCAAAAAGGCTAGCATAAGAGTACGAGGCTGTTTCGAACGATCTCACACCGTCTTGTGGAACTTACTATCTTTACATACTGTTCCAGTCGAGCATCTAACGTACAGATTTGATTCGCCTCCCTACTCACCACAGTTGTCTTCAATAGTCACCCGTAAATGTATGATTTCGTGCTCAAACACAATAAAGACCCTATCAATCGAATGCAGAGACGATCCTTTCAAACCAGAGTTGATTGCATCCGTATTTAAACTTTGTCCTAACTTGGTCGACCTAAATATCGACATATTTCTGGCAACCATTATGTTGGACACTATCATAGATTTATGTGTCTCTCTAAAGCGGTTTAGAGCATCAAACGGATCACTCGAACTATCCAAAAACGAGCCCAGAGATCCTATAATGCATGGACTGAGAATCATAGAGCTCACAAATACTACAGCAATTGCCAGTGTATTTCATTATCTATCTTTTCATTGTCGAAAACTTAATTACGCACGCCTGAACACGGTGAAGGTTATCAGTAGACTTTCAAATGAAACAGGAAATTGTTTGGTTGACATGCATTATACTCAATTTAAAGTATTGCACATATTCTACGTTCAGTGTTTTACATCCTATGCCACCATGTTTGACGCCATTGGGATGAACATCATGGTCCTTTCGAAACCTCGAGTATCCACAGATGGACACACCAACAGACGGGGTCCTTTTTTATCTCAAGGCACACAATCAGATACACCTACCGTACAAATGTGGACCCACACATATTATGAGAGATTGAAGAACCGTAGATGGGTGCCTGCCACTAGAGCGCTGATGAAGAAAGAAGTTAAATTCGCACGCAAATATTATCAAGATTTTGAGCGTAACAAAAATATAAAGAACTCATTAGAAGTCGAGCGCTCGTGGACCGGAGAATTGGTTTGGAACAACTGGAAAGAAGATCTTTGTCGAGGATATTTTGTCCTAAATTGTGGACCTATAGATGAATATTGTATTCACCAGGAAAAAGGATGTGACCCAACATTATTTAATAGAATATATTCTACGCTCGATTAGACCTTTGTTGCATTAACATGTAATTTACAGCCATTTCCTTAAACTTGATTTACAACAGCAATATCATAGATTCAATTGATCCAAAATAAAGAAGCCAATAGAGTAAAAGTCCTATACCTTCCATTATTTTTAGTGTTTCCCTTTGAAAGATTAGCAACCCATTTGTTAAATAAACCAAAATTGTGCGGATCCCAATCTGACAAGCTTCTCATCCGAATAACTTTTAAAAAATGTGTATAGTAGCAAATTAAGGGCGGGAAATTGATACTAAAACGTAAAAATGAGGGCAAAAAACCAGCATTTGCCTAAAACATCCCTCAGGAAAATACCCTTTAAACACTTGGTGTGGACAGACTAAAAGTTCAAAAAAGGGCAAAATAATGGTAAAACAACCTCATCCAGAACTTGGTCAATCAGACTAACTTATGACTGTCCACACTTTTTTTTTTTTTAAAAAAAAAAAGTTCAAAATTAGCTTAGCTAATCGTATTAATTTAGGACTACCCGTACCTTTTTTTTTTCTTAAAAAAAAAACAAAAGCTTATGAAGTGAGCCACAACTTCAGATCTGGATCAAGTGACCACAGTTTTTGGATGGAGTGATTTTTGAACGACATCATTTTTAAAACTGCGAGATTATTTTTTAAATGCACATGAAGTTTACAAGTCTGGGATTATTTCGTTAAGCCTTGTTCTCTTTCTTTGTTCAATACGGGTTTAATTATAGGATCATGAGTAAGCCTACTTCTTTCTCCACCAGAAGCGCGTCTAGTTCAAGCAGTTACTATACTAGAAATACCAAGTCTACCTTGACCGAACTTAAACCCGAAAAATATCTGGGTAGGATAATACGAATAATTCAGTGTGAATAAAATAAAAATAAAAGAATATATAAAAGACTTACCACAAGTAAAGGATATAAGTGCCAAATTAGTGAAGCTCGAATAAAACAGGAACCATCATATTCTTCCACCCAGCCTATAGCACATACCATTAATAACGGACTAGAGAATATACCAAAGCCTCATTACTCGTCGACCCGTATAGTGAGTAATGCTGAAATATAACATACACTGATCACAGAATGAAATAAATGCTACTCACATGCTCAACCATGTACTACCCTGTGTCAATTTGTCCCACTAACAGAAGCTATGTATAATTTATGTACTGATGAAACTTAGCTAGAATCAGTCAGTCAATCGAACAACGAGACACACAGCTTAATACAATTCGAAAGCGACGGGCAGAAAATATCTGAATGGAGTTCAGAAAACAAAATGAAGCGAACGGACGATATGGAAAAGCTTAATAACATTCCATTAAGTGATACTTTCCTCGAATCACAAGTTGAAGAATTGACTATCCAAAATAGAAAAGAAGATGAAACAAACATTGAAACAGAGATTTTGGAGGAGAAAAACTCCAGCTTTAAACAACCAGAAGAAAGCAATCATTATAATTCAGAGACATCCAATACTTTTGACAACATGGAAGCTAAACTAGTTACCATCAACGACAAAAAACTGGTGTCTATAAAATCAGAACTCAATGAGGTTCGCCAGAGGATAGCCGATATATCAAGTTTTACTGGGTGTAGTGATACTACAAAGTTCATCAAAGGAACTTTGTTTCTTATAGATATCTGGCCAGAGCAGCGCGACACCCTTCGCCATCTTTCCCTCAAGATTAAGCGTGGAAGTATGGGATTTAGTCCTGTAATTGCTCAAGCTCTCTTGGAAAAACTGCTGACGTATTACATAAGCTACTCAATCTATAATACCGGTGCCTACATCAGTGAAATAGTCAAACATGACGGTACTATTCTTCCCCGATGGAGATTTCAGCAAAAGAATCAAGAGCTGCCTTTTGAAGAGCGACAAAAGATATGTCAAGTTGTCAGAGAACTCGAACGGGAGCGCAAAACAGAGAAAGTGAAATTGATAATTGTTGACCGGTTATATACCGTATACACCAAAATCCACGGAGATGATGATGCAGATGAAGTAAGGGATCAGCTGTGGGAAATTGTCGATCAAGCTGTAGAGGTCAGTCTAGATATGTGGAGCCAACCAATGCCAGTGAAATCGGTTAAGGCTACAGAAGATGTCTATAAAAGCGAAGATTATGCAGGAATACCTGCTGGATCAGAACCTGGCCCAAACACAATTCAACTGGAGATTTATCCATCTTTCAAAACTCACAACAGCTTCGGGGAGGAATACGTTTTACTAAAAGGAAAATTGCTCTACCTTCAATAATAGAGAAAAACAAACAATGGACTTATTGCAGTCTATTTACAGCCTTTAATTTTTACTTTATTTTACTTTATTTCATTGGCCGTAGATTTCATGTTATTAAGCACCAGCTTTTTATTTTATTTTATTTTATTTTATTTTAATATATATATATGTATTGTAAAGTAAATGTTGGCAAAATATTGCGAAAGGATTAAAAGGTATTCACAGAATGCGACTTTTAACGGATATCTAAATCCAGCACTTTACTAAAACATTTGAGCAATAAAAATATACGACTTCAGATTTAAACAAACCACGATGGATCATCTTAATTTTCGTATCAATACACCTCTTCGCTTCAATAATTAGAAAGGGTGTCTTCGAGCCTGGATTGCAAACATTTGCAAATTTGTATTTAATTCGGCGAATTAAATTCCAATATTTGCTTAGTAAATTTCTAGTAAAAATTGGGCTTATTTTTTCCCCTCAGAACAAAATATGTGATAGCAAGTAGTCTCTTCTCTACACCTACTTAATAGAATAGGCCTTGAAAAACCAAGTTTATTAAGGTCTATTTGCTCTAAATCTCTTAGTATCAATATTCTCAACTTATAAATCTTCACAACTGTGTCTGAGTCTTATTCCTTTTTTGATTGGGTTTTAAAAATAGTTATTTTTTAGCCGTCTTGAGATTATCACAACTCGACACCCTCTCTACTATCAACACTGCTGATAAGAATCATTTTATTTTACTGTATTTCCTTTTTTTTCCCTAGACTATGATACGTTTTACGCATTATTTTTTTTCATCCAAAGTGGTACGTAAAATGGCAGTGAGTTAGGAGAATTTCTGAAAGAATTACATATTGTACTTTGTCAAGAATTAAGGGGAAATATAACATATGACAACCTCAATAGTTATGAAATTGATTTAACTTTTAATAATAGTCCCACGTTTGAGGTTTTATTATTTATTACTTATTAAATTCCAGCCTTTATATATATATTACATTGTTGGTAGTGCACTTAGCCATCGCTCAAGGATACGCTTAACGACTGCTCCCCCGGTAGGGTCCAATTTTTCCAAGAACTGGATACGCACATTACTCTCACGAGGTTTAATCAGCAATGTATTGAAGCGTTCAATAATCTCTCCACCTGGCGAGCATGTCATTATAAGTACTTCGCGACCCAGTTGACCCTCAGTAATAACATCAAATGAGGCTTGTTGAAGATCACGTTTATCAATATCAAGTGTAGTAGGAGGAAAGCCTTCCTTGCAAAGACGGATCGAGAAATGTCCATCCACGAGAGTCACACCACAGTTGGGATGTGCAAAGAACATTTGCCCAAAATCAATTGATAATGTAGGGAGGGGAATACCTGCATTGCTGTAAAGAGAAAGAGGTGTCTGTTGAGGTGCTATTACTGTGGTGGTACGACTGGTCGTCTCTGGTGGTGCTGGCTGAGGTCGAACCTCTATTGATTTCTTTGATTGTGTAGCAGAAGGTTGTTGCTTCTGCTGGATCTGTTGTTGCCTTTGTATTTGTTGCTGTTGTTGCTGTTGCTGCTGTTGCTGCTGCTGTTGCTGTTGCTGTTGTTGCTGCTGTTGCTGCTGCTGTTGCTGTTGTTGCTGTTGTTGCTGTTGTTGCTGTTGTTGCTGTTGTTGCTGTTGTTGCTGTTGTTGCTGTTGTTGCTGTTGTTGCTGTTGTTGCTGTTGTTGCTGTTGTGGATGTGGATGTGGTTTTAATGTTAATTGTTGCTGGTATTGCTGTGACTGATTTATCGGTGGATACTGAGTTAAGGGTGTAGATGTGATAGTAGTAGTAGTAGTAGTAGTAGTTGTTGTTGATGATGATGATGATGATGATGGTAGGACTGTTTGTTGGTGCTGTTGTTGTAATAGTTGAGCAGCAAAGAAACCGATATTGGATCGCGATGCAGCTATTTTTGGGCCATTCTCCTTGGTTATCTTTGCTACGTCTGTAGCTATCACAGAGATATCAGACGACATACGATGGCGAGCCAATTCAGCTTTCTTGGCAAGAAGTATTTTTTCTTGTTCTAATCGTTCTCGTTCTCGTTGTTCTTGAAGTAATCGTTCTTTCTTACGAGCCTCTCTCTCCATCAGCTTCTCTTCCTCTCTAGTTATAACAGGTGCACCTTTAAGAATTTTTCCCTGTTTCCACAATATACCACAGCCGTTACAAAGTGTTCCTGATCCTTCAGGTCCTGGTCTCCACATTGATGTACACTTGGTGCTGCAATAATGGCATTTCCGTATACCGTCATCTTTTATATTCGCATGCTTGCTCTTGGGCAAAACCGCTAACATACAGTCAATAAGAGTATTTTTTACAGTCACTTTTATTCTTACATTCTTCAGTATTCTCGCTTCGAAGTCGTTTTCCAACTTTTATTGCATTGAGTTGCTCATTTCGTTTTTTTTCAGCTAAAATAGGACCTGCTATAATATCTGGCACTGTATATGCCTTGTGTACCATTTCCTATCATATATATCAGATAAAAGTACGATATTTTTTCCAGTATTCTTATTAAGCCAACCTCCACAGATCGGTCAAGTGCGTCTGTAGATTTAGTAAGTCGTAAATAAGATCGAACTGGTAAGACTTTCATCTAAGTTACGCCAATAAACAAAAAAAAGCATATTGTCAATACAGATTTCATGTTGTTATTATCATTAATTCGGAAATTATATATATATATATATAACCTTTTCCATCATGCGTTGGCGCACATAATCAGGCTTTGTGATGTGGGCCACTAAGGCTTTTAGGATATCGCCATCCACCTGAAGCATTTTAATGTTAGCAGGTGTGTAAGAATCGATGCCTGGTTTGGTTGGTGGTTCGACTGCTTCTTCTTTGGCTTTCTCGATTATTTCTTTAGGAAGTTTTGACTGTTCACCAAATCGTGCCAATTTCAACTTGGGATCCAGAAAGTATTCATCGGCTACTAATTGGTTTAATGGTAGTAAGAATGAAGCAACCAACTATTATAAAAAGTAAGCTTAGTTAAGAAGTGTATATACTGTTTCTCTTTTAAAGTAGTAATAATAAAAAATGACGGTATTATAGCTTACCTCAAACGGAGCTTGCATAGATACAAGCTCTAATATAACATCTTTGGGAAATATGAACCGTTCGTTGGGCGTCTCTTTAAATTCCATGACTACATCACTGAAAACAAGTTCATCTGGTGGGACAACGAATTGTCTACTAATCGTGGTTATGGTTAAACCACCAGGTGCTGTAGGAGTAGTTGTAGAAGTAATTCCGCCATTTGCATTTGCATTTGTGTTTGTGTTTGTATCCACACTCGTATTCGTATTCGTATCCACACTCGTATTCTTATTCGTATTCGTATTCGTATTCGTACTTGCGTTTGTATTTGTATTTGTGCTCATATTAGTATTTTTACCCGCATTCGTGTCTGTAGCAGCTGTAGGAAGTGGGCAAGTGGACAAAACTGCATTTCGGCTTTCAGTGTTAATTTTAGCCATTGTACATTCGTCTGGTATAGATCCAGAAATAGGTTGTGTTGATTCTTTTACACCAGATGACAAGTGATTTACGGCTGTTGCATTATTTTGCCTTACTTCCACTGGTTGCTCCGATTCTGATGCCCCTGCGTGAGTCCCATTATCTGTATTTGTTACATCCGGACCGTGGGTATCCGCAGGTACAGATACTATATCTGTCTCGCTTACATAACCAGCTTCTCTTGCTATATCAGACCACGCTTGCCCACGGCTAGCCTCATAGAAGACTGTATCTTGGAAAAGGTGTGGACCGAGTTCAAGAGTACAAGTGCCGAGATAGCGCATATTTGGCCACTTTTTCCGCGTATTATTGGTACGTTTGGGTTGTCTTATGGGATCTGGTCTGTATTTGACAAATACAGACGATGACCAATTCAACCTGGACTGAAGTAGCGATAGAAGCAACACACCGCTTATTTGTCCATTAGCGACATTACTCTACTCAAATATACGTGTTTTTTTTTACACATATACTGCTGGTAATGATTATAACATGTAAATTATTTATACTTTTTTGGCTCATCGCTACTTTCTGGTTGCGTTGAAGTTGGAAGTTGAAAATTACGAAGAGAATTTTCTGTCCGTTTTTTTGCAGCAATAATTGCTGATGTAGACATGAGATGAATTAAATGCAACCAAAGAAAAAGTGCACAAAGCTTAAAAGGCAAATACATGATAAACCAAAAAGTCTTCTGATAGCGAAGCAGTCACATGATGAGGCCGGAAAGGAAGGGGAAGTGGGAGATTGTGCGGGGAGGAGCAAGTGGTGGAAGAGAGCGGACAAGGCTAAACGAACACTCCCCTTTTCATCGATCAATCAGACGAAAGGAATTATACATCATGGTGTGCAGAGTCAGTATTCAATATAACATTATAGAACAGCAGAAGATCTAGGATGGATGGAAGAACATATTCTTTGGCTGGCTTGGATGACTTTGGTCAACTATTTTTCACTTGACTTGGTAGTTAACTAAAGTGGCCACACACGCACACATACATACACTACATCTTTTATCACTCCCTTAAACTCAATTTATTTATTTCTAAAAGAAAAGAAGAAATGAAAAAGTTAGCTGTTAATGGAGTAGTATTGTTAAATACAAAGTCTTGAGTTAAAAAGAAAAAGAAAAAAAAAATAGAAGGAAGAAAAAAAAGCTTAACCAGGTTCCAGCCATTGGACTAGTTGAACCCCATCATTTAATTACACCTTTTACACACATTATTACATGCATAAATTCGTAACCAAAGGCTGACATTATTGAATCTTTCTTTTCTATTTTCTTCTTTCTTTCTTTTTTCTATATTCACTGCGCTTTCACTATTTAGTTGAACGAATACCAGGTAAATATACAAAAACACACGCACATTAAAGGGGGGAACGATCTAAAGGGGTTTTATCTTATCGCAAAGAGGAAAGGAATGTATACTTATGCTGCATGACAGGTGATTGGCCGTAAGCTTCCCTCGGATAAGGAGGTTTCTCCTAAGCTTTACCGCATGCGCATCTTTGCTCCCAACACTGTTGTTGCCAAGTCCCGTTTCTGGTACTTCCTCAAGAAGCTCCGTAAGGTCAAGAAGGCTGCTGGTGAAATTGTTTCCATTAACCAGGTAAGCTTGAATGGAAATCCAAATAAAAGGAATACGATCATTAATTTTTTTTTGTTTTGTTTTTTTTTTTTAATTATTAACATGCAATGACAGATCTCCGAGAAGCGCCCTGAGCAGATCAAGAACTTTGGTATCTGGCTCCGCTACGATTCCCGCTCTGGAACTCACAACATGTACAAGGAGTACCGTGAGATGTCTCGTTGCGAGGCCGTTGCCACCTGCTACCAGGATATGGCTGCTCGCCACCGTGCTCGCTTTAGATCAGTCCAGATTATTCGTGTTGCTGAGGTCAAGAACGCCGATGTCCGTCGCCAGTACATCAAGCAGCTTTTGACCCCCAAGCTTGCTTTCCCCCTTCCTCATCGCGTTCAGCGTGCCGAGAAGGGCAACCGTTCTCTTTACTTGGCCAAGCGTCCTTCCACTTTCTATTAAATATCATAAAGAAGTGTTGTATTATGGGCCAGTTTGATATATACAATTTTTTGTTAAAAAAAACTTCTTTATTCCTTTGATCCTTTTTATTCCACATTATGTTTTTGATAGTAGTGTATAAAAAAAGAGAGAGTTTTTATGTATAAATACCAAATACGTGAGAGACATAAGATAGAACAAAATAGGAGAAAAGAAGAAAGAAAGAAAAGGAAGGAAGGAAGGAGGATTAATTTTTGGTGCACTACATCCAAAGGCGTAGATTTTCAATATGAATGTGAGTGTGGTGGTTGTGTACATACATTATCGTGTCTGTATATACATATATACATATTGCAATTGTATAATTTATATAATTATATAATTATTCTTGGCTTGGCATAGGGTGCATACGTGGTAATGGACTGGGACGGAGTGACTGTTGTACTTTGGACGTATAAAGTAGCGGCATTCTGATCCTGGTTCTCCTGTTTGCTTCCACTTGGAGGTGGATTTAATAATCCTGCTTTAATTTGATATCATGTCCAAAACCACGCCGTTCAATATGCCTATTTCCCCCTCTGTGTCGACAAAAATAGGGTCGACTATGACTCCTCTCCAAGATCCCCTTCTCAATTACTCTCTTTCTTCCTCTCTACTGCGCCCAACTTCCTCAAAGTCAATGTCTATCCGAGAAAACGTTCATGTTATGGTCCGCTGTAGACCACGCTCTGCAGAAGAAGCAGCCCAAAATGAAGAAGCATGCTGGGTGCTTCGTCCAGAAGAAGGTGCCATTGACCTTATAGGCCCCAATCGAAAGATGTTCCAGTTTGGTAAATAAAACAACAACAAAGCAAAAACAAAAAAAAACAAAACAAAACAGAAACAAGTTATATAACGGGAATCGGATATCTACAAGATTCAAAGCCAAAAACTATAACTAAAAACTAAAAATAAAAATTTCAACAAAAACCCAATCCTCTATTGAAATGTAGACAGTGTACTTAGTGGAATAAATAATGAAGAAGTGTATTCGGAAGGTGTTCACAATCTGGTTAGGTAAAGAAGATTACGATGATCAAACTTGTAGTTGAATACTAACTGATATCCTTTTTTGGCTGTCCTTTTCTTCTTCTCTTGTTTGATTTTCAAGATCAACTATGGCTGGTTATAGTGGTATGGAGCCGATCCTTTTTATATATTTTAATTAATTAATTAATTAATATTTCATTGTCTTAGGAACTGTATTTGCTTATGGCCAGACTGCAAGTGGAAAGACATATGTAAGCAGGAATTATTGGGGTTCGCACTGTGTATGTATGTGGACTTATTGTGTTTGTTTGTTTAGACAATGGTAAGATCTCTTTGTTTTGATTGCATACCATTCATGAGCGGGTATATTGTATCCAACCTCTTATTTGTACGACGCTTTGTTTGAAACGCGCCTTGGATGTTTCTAGATGGGTAAGTTTGTCGGCCCTCCAATAGAAAACTTGCCAAAACCAGTTATCAAATATATCCTCACTCGTCTCACTTATTTTATTATATATATACACATATATACATATACATTCTGGCAGGTAACAAGGCGCAGCCCGGAGTTATCCCGAGAGCTGTTAGTGATGTATTCAATTACATCAGAGAAGTAAGTACATCATTAATCATTAGAATACATACATATATCTGATAAATTATATCTTTAGGATCATCATGGTCGAGAATATCTTTTACGTGTCTCTTACCTTGAAATATACAACGAACGCATTCGTGATCTCCTTGGAGAAGACCCTAATGCCAATCAGCCAGAAATCCACGAGGACTCCAAGGTAATTGCTATTTTATTTATGCATATCAATCAAATCTAATTACCCTTTATATATATATATCAATTGGTAGCGGGGTGTTTATGTCAAAGGCTTAAACGAAACAATCGTTACAACTCCCGAGCAAGTTATGCAAATTATCAAAAAGGGCGAAGGTAATACAAAGGAAAAGGACCTCATAATTATTGTGGATATTTAGGGTTACGTGAGTTTTTTTTTTTTTTTTAAAAAAAAAAGAGAGAGACCCGTACATACATACATACATACATACATACATACATATAGGTATATATACTAATTAATAATATTTCCTTAAAGGAAGTCGCAAGGTGAGTGCGACCGAGTACAACAAGCGCAGTAGTCGCTCCCATACCATGTTCCAGCTGGTGATCGAAAGTAAATCAAAAGATGCATATCCGGTGGACCGTGCAGCCGTCCAGGTGTCACAATTGGTAACTAATATCTTATTAAACAAGCTTTATAGGCAAAAATAAATAAATAAATAAAAAGCTGCATGGATCATCAAACGTATATAATACAAATATACTTTGCCAACCACAACAGCAACAAAAAAAACAAAAACTCACGCCATTAGCGCACATTTCCCTTTTCTTCTTTTTTATGATATGGATCTCATGTACCCCCTCCATTAGAATTTGATTGATTTAGCAGGTTCTGAGAAAGTCACAAAGGACTTTGAACGACAAAAGGAAGGAGGCTACATTAACAAGAGGTATGTACAAAAGCTTATCGAAAAAGAACTACTTTAACCAATCTATTTTTATTTTCAAGCTTATTGACGCTTGGAACTGTCATTTCCAAACTGACGAGTGGGCAGACGTAAGATTTAAATGAAACGAAATTCAGAATGCATACATATGTATATAATGATGATGATGATGATTAACTAATTGTACCTTATTTTCTCCCTTATTTTATTATGTGCGTCTATCTATGGGTGCTTAAATATATGCTCTCCTTCCAGTACTACACACATCCCCTTCCGTGATTCCAAGTTGACCCGTATCCTTCAGACAGCATTATCTGGAAATGCTCGAATCTCAATAATCTGTACCGTAAACCCTACTCGTTCTTCTAAAGAGGAATCTCTTAGCACCTTGAGATTTGCTGAACGAGCAAAGCTCGTAAAGACGGCAGCAAAAATGACAAAGGTTTGTATTCTTTTTCTGTGTAATAATACAACAACAACAAAAGAAGGAAAGACTTTAAACGGAACTAATCCTTCGTACCATATTAGATTACAGAACACTCTGAACTCCAAAACTGCTTGAAAAAGATTGAAGAATTACAGACAAAGATGCAGGAAAAGACAGAGGCAAGTTACATTATTACACCAAATACTAATCAAGTTATTAACATGTGCTGGTAAATACAGCAAGAGGCAGAAACACGCGGAAGGTAATTCATAGTATAAAATTACATACCTATTAGTATTAGTATTATTAACTAAAAAGTATCCTTTAGATTGAAACACCTGCTGGGCCTAATCCTCACTGGGCCTACGACCTCTCGATCCTCTAAAGTGGTAATTAAGATTAAGATTAAGATTTAAAATGAATATTATCATTATTATTCTATCATACTAGAACAATTGTGTTTATATACACCTTTTTTTCTTTAATATATTCACCCTTCAATTTGGAGCCTATATTAAATACAAATACAAACCTGTACATATTATTAATTTGATCGTAGCCCCAGAAACAACTTCCGTGTCCTTCTTCTGCCACTGCCACTACTGTAGCGGCAGAAATTCCGATGGACGCCAAAGAACTGACGATAAATTACCTACTTGAACGTAGCACGATGCAAGATGTGGTCGCACGTTTAGAAGAAGGTCTTTCAATCCAGATCGATATGCACGACGAGCAAATGAAGCAAATGGACAAAAAACTACTTGGCTACAAAAACTCTCTTGTCAATTCACAAGAAATCCAGCGTCAGCAAGCAGAAGAAATCGAACAATGTCATGCCAAACTTGAAGAGAGTGAACAGCGTATTTATGACCTACAAATTGCACTTCGCTCTTTACGTCAGCAACAAGAAAACTCTGCAAAACTAACAATCAAAAATGCAAGAAACGACGTAAGCTGTCTATCTATTTATTTATTATATTAAAAGAATATATATACATCTATACATACAGATATAACGATTAACTTTTATTTTTATTTCCTTTATATCATTCTGCAGGAGATCCCACAATCCCCTATTCAAAAGCTTGAACAAGAACTCAAGACTCTCATGCTGAAAAAAGACGCTTGTAACTGCGGAGACTGTCGTGCTAACGAAAATGATAATGATGTTGGCTCGGCCGATTTAAATCAGCTCAATGTCGGCACACTTGACAAAGACGAAACAGCATCCGAATCTTTGGATATCGAAAATCTCCTGCTCCTCAAGGACACCAAAATCAAAGATCTGTCAGCTGCAGTAGCACAGTCCCAGAAGGAAGCCAAAGACACCGCCACACTTCAACAGAAGCTCATTGACGAAAAGGATCAAACAATTTCTGACCTCAATTTGGCTCTTACAGAAGCCCAGCAAGAGGCTGAGAACGTGTTTATTACTATAGATAGCGTTGAAGACAGCTTCTGTATTGAGGCCAAACGTGCCCAACTGGAAAAGGACGTGCTTTTGCTGGAAGAACGATGCCAAAATCAGCAAGAGCAGGTAGATATCCGAAACAGCCAGATGCTACGGCTTGAAGAGGAGCTTGCTGAAGCACGCGCAGTGTGTGTTGAACAGCAAGCTGAGTTGGAGTTCCGACAAGAAAGACTGGTTGAATTAGAAGCGCAGGTAGCACATGCCCAAGCACAAGTAGAACTAGCAGCAGCAGAAGCACAACTGATGGAGTATACCAGAAACGAACAGATGATGTCTTTAATTGAATCTTCAGAAAAAGCCAATTTGATGATCGAGAAGCTTAGAGCCGATGCTCAATCAAAGAGCAACTATATCAAGAAACTAGACGACACCTTATCCCGAGCAAAGAGCAGATTGGCTGAGTATGAAACAGAGATTATTGCCCTGAATCGTCGCTGTTCCCACTTTGAATCAGACATGGAAGATGCACGCAAGATGGCTACACTCAGCCAAGAAGAAATTAGAGCCAGGATAGATCAAGTTTCTGTGCTCGAGACAGACTTGGCAAAGGCACGCGAACTTTGTGTAAGACAAGAAAAGGACACTATAGATAAGAACAATGAATTGCTGTTTACCATCGAAGCCAGTCTAGCCACGGTGCGAGATATCGAACACCAAGTGGAATCGAAGGATCGTACAATTGAGGCACTTGGGCTTTGTATCCGCGAACAAGCAGAGACATTAGAATATATTTCCAAAACTCGACTTGAAACCAATACACCTGACCCCACCCCTTCGCTTGACCTTTCCGAAAAGCACTTTGAAGCCATGACCTACGATCAGTTTTCGCAGTTATGTGACCGAATCCAAGCCGATCCTGATTCGCTTGAAGGAAAATTGGCACTCCAGTGGTTACAAGCTACAAGTCACAACATAAATGATGTACAGACAGATGATGAAGAAAATGATACCCGTTCTATGCACCCTTCCTTGTCTGTTCGCTCCCACCCTCCGCCGTACTCACACGCAAATGATCTTCATGAATTCCCCGCCACAAACACGCCTGATGAGGAGTGTGTACCATATTCCCAATCTATTGACACAAGTCCCAACCACTACATTATTCTCTTAATGGCTATAGTAATCCTCTATTCCTTCTTATAAAAAAAAGACTTGTTTTATATATCTATATACATATATAACATATTTCTCGGCATTTAACCATTTGATTATATCTTTCCTTTCATTTCATTTTCTCTTCTTTATATATTCATGCATCAAGCAATACGACACATGTACACAAGCTATTAGCTAAATACCTAAATACTTAAATACTTAAATCAATAAATCAATAAATAAATGTTCATATTTCATGTTTGTATTTTATTATATGAAAAATACAAAAAAAAGAGCCATCATTTTGTGTAGTCTGGGTTTAATATTTGTGTTCAAGTTGTATAGCGTTTGAAAAGTGAGTATTGGTTATATAATGCTGTTTACCAGCGTAGGAGGGAATTGTCGAGGGAATTGCACCCAGGGGATTGAACCACGTCATATAAGATCCCAATTGTTATTAGAGAGGGTGTCTTCGAGCCTGGATTGCAAACATTTGCAAATTTGTATTTAATTCGGCAAATTAAATTCCAATATTTGCTTAGTAAATTTCATGGTGGAGGCTATTTAGTGAGCATTTGAAGCCAAAAATCAGGGCATCCCTAACTTTTGGCTTCAAATTCTCACTAAATTTCTAGTAAAAATTGGGCTTATTTTTTCCCCTCAGAACAAAATATGTGATAGCAAGTAGTCTCTTCTATACACCTACTTAATAGAATAGGCCTTGAAAAGCCAAGTTTATTAAGGTCTATTTGCTCTAAATTTCTTAGTATCAATATTTTCAACTTATAAATCTTAACTGTGTCTGAGTCTTATTCCTTTTTTGATTGGGTTTTAAAAATAGTTATTTTTTAGCCGTCTTGAGATTATCACAACTCGACACCCTCTCTATGGTTCTTCATTTGGCCATTTCTGAGCGCCAAGATTTTTCTTTATTCTTGTATGACTATCTATCTATATATATATATCAAGAATTTGTGCAGATGGTCAATACATACATACATATAAGCGTATGTATATTCCATAATATGTATATATATAGGTTGTACATATATTTTAATAAAGTATATTAGTAAAATAATAATAATCACTTTTAGTCCATATATCAAAGTATATATTCGTATGATCAATTCGTAATTGTATTTTTTTTGTGGAAGAGCCTTCATATCATATTAACTCTTAGGTGCATTTCTATATGAGTGAATGTGATCATTCTGAAAACTCCTATAAGCTTCCTGGTTCCAGGTACACGGATTAACCACGGGAAGTTTATAGTTATTTATATTTATGAAATATATTACAAGATGTATAATTCAATCAATTCAAACGACTTTACGCCATAAAAAGTAATTTAATCTATTTACCATACTATACTATAAAAAATACATTATGCATTGAATCTCCACTGCTCACTCTCACTCTCTCTCTCGATATATATATATATATATGTGTGTGTGTGTGTTTGGTTGTACTGTTCCTGCTTTTTATTCTTATTTTCTTGTAGTCAGATTCGTATTCAAATAAATTAAGCTGTTAAGCAAAATCTCAAATATTCATTTTTTTTTGTAATAAGATATCTGTTAATAAAAATTTTCTGATTTCTTTATTTGTCAGTGATCAAGCAAGGCATTTTACTAAGAAAATAAAATGGTATTTTAGTTTGAAGATGAATATATATGAATTATGTATGAAATTAAAATAAAATGAATGTAATCGCTAAATGGTGCCTGTGTGTGTTTTCTTCTTCTTCGTCCTTCTTCTTTACACACTCACACTCACAATCGCACACACTCTTTCTCTTTTTTACACCCCTTGTGTTCAAATGGCGATTCTCTTTGTGTACCTGGGAATGTTTTCTTAGGGGTTTTTTTTTCTTTTTTTAAAAAGACCTGCTCTTTCTATTATTTGGGCTTTGGACTATTGTATACTTTTCTCTATTGAGCGGGTCTTAGAGGTTTCTGGGCAAAGTATGCAAGCGTTTTGACAACCCAGCCATATTTATGGCACTCTTTGGAGAATTGTTTCACCATATCGTCGTATTCTTGGGAAGAAGCATTGAAATGTAGATTAATATAAGGTTTCAGTGCCAGGAAGACGATTTTCCAATTCCACAGCATTTCCTTGGATATGGGATTAGAAGCTTCGCCTAAGAATATAAATTGAATTTCGTTTTTTTATAAGATAATTGCATACCCGCGCATATATATTTATAATATTAATGGTAATCACATTTACCATAGTCAATTTTCCTCAAGTCCAACTCAATATTTTCGAATGATTGCTGTCTTAACAAATCGCCCAATTGGGCAGCAATCCATGGATCTTGTTCGCGTTCCTGCATTAGATTTATAACTAAAAATAGGTATTGGTTATTTATGCACCTTATATTATGTGTATATAATTATACATGTATTACAAGCGATGCTGATGTCATCCTTTTATCAGTCTATCTAATATATATATATATATATATACTTACGCTCTGATATAAAAGATCCAACCAACGGACTCTTGCTCTTGTCCTAAACAGAAAAGAAAGAAAGAAAGAAAGAAAGAATAGAATATTAATAAAACAGTGAAGCATTGAAAACGATCATAATAACAATAATAACAATTTATAAACTGTACCGTAAAGTCACTCTCAAATAGTTGAACTATTCCTCCAGGTTTGAGAACACGATAGATCTCGGTAATCACAAGAGGCCATTCTTGTTTTCTAAATGCACTGAGCATCAATCGCATGTGTACAAAGTCAAATGTATTATCCGGATAAGGAATGCCGTCGAGTACGTTTACGAGTTCGAATATGACATTTTCAGGGCGAATCATTGTAGGGAACATGTCCATCATGTCGAGACCAATAACTCTGGAATTTGGAAAGTCGATTGCCATGTCCTATAAGATGGATAAAAAGAAAAGAAAAATATTATTCTCTTGGCTTCTCGTTCCTTTTCTTTATATATATAATACGTGCCATAACCCATGAACCTGAGCCACATCCTACGTCCAATATATAGGCATCTTGGGGTAGTGTTTGCTCGACGCGGGAGAGAATATTGCTGTAGACAAAGAAAAAGTAGGGGGGGGGGGGGATAGCATAGTATTATTGTGTGAATATATTGTATTTGATTTGTGTATCTTACCCTCCATAAAGTGCTTTGATAGAAAAGTGTTGCTAAGTTACAAAGATACAGATATCAAAAATATAGTCCAATAGATTGTGAAATGTGTGGGTAGGGTGCACAGTATATATATATATATATATATATATGTTTTTGGTACCGAATTAAGTCTATCTTGTTCTTCTTCATCGCGTGGTAGAAAGTAGGAGCTGGTTTCAACGTTGTGATAACTTCGTCCGTCGACTATGACTGTTGGTGCAGAGGTGTGATGAGATTGGACGCTGTCAACACTTTGACTGCTCTCGATTTTATTTTTGGATGCTTTTGCACCCATTTTTTTTTATATCTTATTTTATTTGATATATAAATTTAAATTTGAAATTAAATTTGAGTGTAAATGCAAATGCAAATGCAAGTATTGAAAGGTAAAAAGTAAGAAAGGAAAGGAAATAAAGAAAGAAGAATAAGAAGAAGAGGAAGAAGGCGAAAAGGAATAATAGTACTAATAATATATATATATATTTTTTATACAATTTTTTTTTTGTGTTTCTTGTAATCTTTATATAAGCAATTTGCTCTCATCATCAAATAGTCTCTGTCTCGATGTATTCTATTTTGTGTATAAAAGAATAATTTATATTGTCAAATCCAATTATCGTTCTCTTTATTCTTGTCCGTCATACGTTACTCAACTGGCGCCTTCTTTTTTATTATTATTTTTGATACTTTGTGTGTGTATATATATTATATATATAAAATCCATAAAAAAATATGTATATTGCACCAGTCGGAAACATCCTTTCAATTCCTTTTCCATTTGTTTTTTTTTATATACAAGATTTTTACTCTTTGATTATTGGATTAGATTCAGATTGTTTTATTATCCGCCAACTTATACCTATTGTAACAATATTATTTATATATCTCTTACGGAAATAAGCATTAATAATTAAATCAGTAACAGAACGTTCTTCTTTTATGCTTCCATTGAACAGTTTGAGATCATGTAATTCGAAAGATAGCAACTAACCAGACAGTCTACTTTCTAGAATTGGTTCAAAGTCACATCACCATAATCATTATCATCAGCAGCAGCAGCATATATTTTTTTAACTTATTGTTATTCGGTTTATTGATAGAAAAAAAAAAGAGGCATTTTCATGGTTGTTTAATAAGTCTTCCAAGCTTGATTTTCAAAGCTATAATATCCAAAGGTCATATATAGTGTGCTTATAAAATTATATATCTTGGTATTTAAGTCTACCACTATTTCCCACAGCTCTAGTTTGTCCATTTTGGTTATCAAAGTTATTCTCAATATCTTCTGGCACAGGATCCTAGTTTCAATTTGCATGTAGCATGGCGAACCAGGATCGGCGAAGAGGGAAGCAATTGAAGCATCGATGACCAAGTTTCCCTAGTAGTTGGACGATACAAAAGAAGGTCAGGATGGGAGAGATTGCCATAAAGGCATTTCTATATCCTTCTTTGGTGAAGACGTCTTCAAGTCGTCGAGTTGACGCTTTTTCTTTGAACATTATGATAGGTTGGAAGATATTCTGTGTTAGCATTCTTTTGATTTGTTCCCTAGTTGCTCCTTGTTTGCCCAGGTGTTTGGTAAGCCCTCGCTGTCTTCTTCTCATAGCAAGCAAGATATTGATTATTCGGCGGAATTTCTGACCAAGCCTTATCTTGATATTGACTATGTAGACGACGTGAATTTTTGTGGCCTCGTACATAGCAGATTGGTGGGCGTTTAAGAGGGAGATGCGGGTGTAAGAGCTGTTATGAATATAGGTGTTGATATGGTGGGAGACGAGCTCATGGTTCAACCTTGTTCTTTCTGTTATTCGGGAGGATCCAGTGTTCCGGTCGATTAAAGAAAGAAACACCTCGACAAAAAAGGGCTGATCAATCCATCCATTGAGGTCAAAGAATGGGTCGAGTGCCAGCTCGGAAAGGAAGATGTGCTTGCTTAGTGCGTAGGTGCGTATCTGGAAATTGTGTGGACTTTAGAAACCAGGTTTTGTAGGGCTCTAAGGAGCTCTGGATTTCACCCCGTTGCATTTATTGATGCCTTGACAGTAAGGGCTCGGAATGGGGTAGCTGCGTTCATTGTCTTCTAATCCACAGTGGACTAGATATATGAAGCTTGGACGGCGCTTTTGAAAGTGCCAATCTGTAGTGATATACTAAGATATTGGGTAAGTATATATTCTGTAGGTCAGTTAATGGATTACTTATAAGAGTAAAGGATAAAGGTTTATAGAGTTTAAAATTCTTGTCCGTCGATCGTGCTGTCTTTTATAGACGTTTTTTTCTATATATCATACGTGACTTTAGCACATAAGAATATAGTACGTAGTTAACCAGAGATATAATTATATAGATATAAAGGAGAGCTGCCTAAAGATATTAGCCGTTTAATTATTGTCCTGCAAATACATAAAGATAATATTTAGAATCCTTGTATTTGTTCAGTCGTTTTATATTCGTTGTCCTGATTTTTTTTTAGATTTATCGATTGAATAGTAATGTTATTCCATTATGTGGAAGTATAGCCTACAGATTACTTATATTTTTAATCCAAACTCTAACAAGTCTTTTCCTACCAAAAAGTAATGACTGTGATTGATTTTTAATGCAATATTGTTTTGTTATTGTGCAAAGTCCTTTATTTTCAGCAAAGGCCTGAATTGTTAAAGACGTCTAATAGTTACCAAGGCTAGTATTGATGAGGTAGGAGTTAGTGAAATTGACAATCAAGAGTAATTTGAGCAGAATTGACAGAAAAAGAAGTATTTGGATGATGTATAGTTTGGCTGTCAAGGTTACTCGTATGCTTATTAGGAATAATGTATTTAAAGAATCACATGGAATCTATCTTTTGGCTTTTCAAAAGTAGGAATCAGGCATAGCAATGTCAACACAAAACAGGCTTATACTTTATGATAAAATAAAAATCAATAGTATAGTATTTAGAGAATTATATATATATATATTAGATATAAAAAAGGTAGCAAGTAGCAGGTAGCAATAGATAATATGTATATGCATGTTATATAGCTAATCTATAGCTTAGACTGTTACTAAATATCATATAAATCAGTACTTCTTCTATTATTTTGATCAATAGAAACCATAAAATTCCAATATAAAACATCATGCATTTGTTGGACTATTTATAAGAAGAATAGATATACCATATTTAAAATATTTGATTGGATTAGATGCAAAGTAATCTGAAATCTCATAAATAGTATTCGCTAAAAATAATTTTAGTTTACTAAAAGCTGACATACTATTGGCTGGAGAATATACGAGCTCGTATATTATCTACGAAACTGGTTATAAATTTTGCCATTTCCTATAGTGGTAGTTGGATCGATTGAATGGGCAGGTACTTTACGTAATAAAGAGAATTTTTGCGATCTCCTTTATCTGGAATTTTCTGTAAATAATAATAATAATCGTCTTGTCCACAAGAGAAATTCAACGTGTACAATTTCCAAAGAAGTATTACAAACAATGGTAGTGAAATCCCGGGCAGATCCTTCTAAAAAGTAAAATAGTAATAAAGGATTATCTTACAAAGTATTACCAATAATTAAAAGGCCCTTGTTTCTTTGTGCGTGTGTAGTGTGTAGTCCAAAAGAGAACTCATAATCACAAAGGTGTTTGGTTCATTTTCTTCTTCTTCCGGTGATCAAATAGGATTTCTCTCCTGATAAGTCAGTGAACATGCACACCAAGTAAAAAACTGAACTGTAAACTTTAAAGTTTTGTAATCACGTCATTTTATTTTATTCTATTGCTCCTACTCACTATATATATATAGTTGTGCGCCCATCCCTTCTTGTCCCCTTTGAGTACGCATCTTATACAGTTTTAAAGAATAGAATATAGAGGAGAATACAAATGTACAAAATTCATTAGAGTATCCCCAGCAGTTTCATTTCCAAAAACATTTAATAAAATTTTTGGTAAATTGACTGCCTGCTCCATGAATTTCCATGTACTTTGCGTCTTAACTCTTTCTTTAATTTTTCTTTGAATCGAACAATATCATATAACAATGGTTAGAAAGTCTTTCAAAAATTTACTCTCGTTACAAGGCTGAAAATCTCAGGAATATTTAAATTGCATTTTTAATATTATAAAGAGAAGAAAAATGTCTAATAAAATGATCTTAGAAAAAATGAATAAATTTACTAGTAAAGAAGACTATATTAGATAGTGAGGTCTTGAGAAAAAAATATATATGTTACTGAAATTTAATCCTCCATTTTTTGGCTGTTTTAAAACACCATTGTGGCTTAAAAACATTTGGGGGAAAAATGAGGAAATGTAACTGCTGGGGATGCTCTTGGAACATTTAACGACACGACCTACTGTGAGGGTATGTAATTGACAATATGGACAAATACTTATTTTTTCCCTTAACCATTATTGTCACTTTTTAAACCATTCTCTGTATTCATTACCCTATTACTGATATGCTTTTATTTTTTCTTATTTTACTTTTGAATTTCAAACATTGAAATAAAATTTTTAGTACTAATATTTGATCTCAATAAAGGTGTGAAGTCCAAAAATATTATGTTGAACTGCTTTTTGTAAATTTGTTAGATTTGAATTTTAAAGCCTCTGTATGAGAGTGGTATACACATATATATCTGTTGGATAAAAAAAAATTCTTGAAGACGCCATTTAATTCTTTCAAACGATTACAACTTTTTATGCTCTTTAAATTTCTAAGTTTCGACGCAATATCCATTCTTGATTTATTATCATTGCTTATTACACTATGATAAGAAAAAAAAATTATTAAGAGATTTTCACAAGTTTTCCCGAGAATTTAAGTGTAGGTTTATAGTAGCATTTTTTTATAGTTAACTAGCACTTCCACCCCCTCCCCTTCCTTCTTAATGCTTCAATATTAATTTTCTTTCTTTGCTATTCTAGTTCAAGAATGAAGATATATTTTTAATATACCACTCTTGTCTCATTCTTTACATATATACTCTTCTAACTCAATGTTTTCACACTCGATATAAAACGCACTCCACGCAGTACAAACAGTAATAAAAATAATTCACTGAATTATTTAAATAATGTAACAGTTTACAATAAAAGCATTTTGGAGATATCTGGCAAATAATTAGGTCTGAAAAAGAAAAAGAAAAAGAAAATCTCCTTGTTAATGGTGCTATTATGGCACTCGTTCATTTCATACAGTGACTCTCCAGAACGTCTTCTCTTAATATTTCAGTACTTCCAACATGAAGAGCGTGGAGTGAAGTCTTCCAGAATTGTGTTATCCCGTCCCAATTGGTCAAGTATGCTTCAAGTGTTCGAGCCAGCAGCTAAATCTATATTTTACAGCCAACGTTTAAACTTTGACAAAGCAATGTTCTCCAAAAAAAAAATATTGATTCGTACATCTAAAGAAATTTATAAAAATAAGAATAGAATATGTAGACTGTATATCAGATTACCTTGAGAGAGCATATGAGGTTGGTCGTAGTTTTGGCACTACTCCAGCTTTGTCCCCAGATTCATTTATTCCATCACATACAGTAACATACCTTCTTCTGCGCTTAGTATTTATCATGCCTACAACCTTCTTAGGTCCCCTTCCTATTTAAAACGACTTGAGTTTTCTGATACATTCATAATATTCTAGGATAGGATTTTATGACGGTGAGCATAGGATGCCCCCCCCCCCCCCCCCCCCCCCCCCCCAAGGTTTACAATCGTACCCAGTATTTTTCTCTTTAGATTGTTGATAATAAGAACACTACTTTTTTTTCTGCTTCTCATTCAAAAAATTCTTTGGATACATATTTCAATACTTCCTTTTCTCACACTTTCGTATCAGATTCATAGTACGTTTGATGGAAATATCCTTGAGGATGTATTCCCACATATGCTCAGCTCAGTCAGTTTTTTTTTCTTCTTTCTTTTTTTTTGTTACCTGGCCTCATAACTGTCCCCTGTGTTGGATACAGGCTGAATACTTTGCTCATTCATTCTTTTTCTGTTCTCTCAAGCGGTCAATTTGGCATGACATCTTTTTCCGCTATCTACCTTATTGAAATTTGACAAGCGCCTAGAAGACTCTTTGGTGGAATATTCGTTTTCCTTCATTCCATTCATTGAAATTACATACTACTCTTACGGCTATCACAGCGCACTACAGGTTAGCAGCCTCGCTGAAGCCATGTCTTTAAGAGGGATACATTTTCTCTCTAAAGTGGTGGCCATGGAGGTGTCGAATGTTGTTTTACGAAATTTGTCGATGGTTACAAATGTCGTTGAGCTTTCTACGTGATTTACTTTTTTTTCAATCTTCAATTTAATCTAGATTCACATGATTATATGCACTTCTTCGCATAGACATGTAACTATTATTGCCATCGATAAGTTTGGTTGAAGTACTTTGGACCTTAACAAAGGTTTAGGTGACGAGAATTATATTCGAGATGTTACATGATAGCGGGTAATGCTTAGAGAAAAAAAACTGATGCTTATTGTTTGATTGATCTTGAGAATCTATTGGAACTGGGCTGTTGTTAGATGATTCGGGTCATCCCCACATCACAACCTAAAATTTCAAAAGGACCAACGGCTTGAACCAAAAAACAATATAAAAAAAATCGTGTACTTTGTATTATAATTATTATTATATTGTTAAACATGAAGGGAATATAGATGGCCGTCATAAATGCCATTTATTTCAATGTTCTTGGCTTTATATACCGTATACCTTTTATATTTAAATTCTCAAAGCACAATTACCATTATATTTACCAATATATATTAGCTATTCAGTCAATTAATAAAGAATGGGTTAGTGGCTATAATCATAATATATATATATAACATCTTTAAATCTTGCCAACATTTTAATAATATTAAAGCATGTTAATACATATACACATTTATGTGTGAAGGGGAACATACGTACATGTATGCGTGAGTTGTTGAGATACATTAATATAAGTATCAACATTGTATTTATTGATAATTTGTAAGGACAGACACAAAAAAAAAGAATGAAGATGTCCTTGACGGTAAAGTACATGGCATTTTTATTTTTTTAAAACAAAAACAGGGTAATATATCCTTTGAATCAACCACTGTATCGAACAGCCATTGCCGTCATTGTGCCTTGCTGATAATTATTTTCTTTTCAAAGAGTAAAACACTACAATTGATCAATACACACTAGTTCATTAATAACATAGCATTGTAGATCTGTGTAATGCAAGAATCCAGGTTCCTTTAATTGATATAGGAATTCCAGCTGCTTGGACTTTCTTTTTCTCTCTCTCTCTCTCTATATATATATATGTATAAGGTTAATTGATGCAATGCATTAACTGTGTATATATATTTTTGGGTGTTGTGTATCTCAGTACATACACACGCACATATATATAAATTTATACAAGCGTAGAAAATATAGAGAGGGAGAGAAAAATGCATTGGAGTTTTTTAAGGAGGTAAATATCCCTCCGGTAATTACGGACAGTATTGCTTACACTCCGAAATCGATAGATATGTATTGGTGAACAAGACTAATAAATACATAACAATTCTATTTTTTATTTTATTTCTACATTGTTTAGTCCTTGTCTTCCATCGTATTCTATTTTTCTCTTTATAATTTCCTTTATTGGGCAATCATAAATACATGTATAAATTTATCTAATCTTATTAAACATCACAAATATATAATTAGATATATATATTATAATATTTGCTGTGGACGGCTAATATAACGTAAATGGACAAACAAATTATTGTGATCTGAGTCTTGGCAACTTGCTATATATATATAATACATAATACAAATGTTCTATATATATAATTATCTTTTTTTAGATCTAAACTTGCAGATTATTTTAATATATATATATATAAGCGTTTAAAATGCTAGTAAAATTAACATGCGTTATTGTATAACTTGTTAGTAATGTATATATATTATCATTATCATTATCATTACCAATATCATTATCATTCAATCAATCAATTAATTATTTAATTATTTAATTATTTAATGTATTTATTCACTATAGAAAATAAAAATTATTTCTTTCATATAAATATATCTAGTGAAATTTTACTCGATTTTTGTGACGCAAAAATTCTATTTCAAAACCCCCCCACCCCAAATCACTGTCAGAAATATCCAATATATAATAAGCGAACCTCTATCTCTCTTCGTAGGTCTCTCTTTCTCTCTTTGTCCTTTTCCGTTTCTATCTTTTTTCCACACTATTATTGTATTCTTTTATTCAACTTCAGATGTTTGGAAACGACTCTAGAATGAAGCGCTTATTAGCCAGTAGACATAGATGCAGAGAGTCATTAAATATCATACTTCCGAAAGCATCTAGCTTTACCTGTTGGTTCTCGTCAGAACATGAAAGTCCCAGGCAAACAGATCACAGCTCACAAAAAGAACAACCTATTCCATGGCAAAAACCGGTTTTAACTTCTCCCATAGCAGTCGATCTGTGTGAAAAATCCTTAGAAGCAGAGTACCAAATAACTTCCATCCCAGAAAGACACACAAGTCGGTTTTATCACCAGAATCCTGATGTTCAAGCCCAATTGGAGCGCGTTTCTCAAAGCGAACAAATGGCCTTACTCTCCAAACATCTTCGAAAACAAAAACTACAAGGCATCACAGCCACATCTTCTGTACAGTCCATTGATATTGATATTGATACCTCAAGTACTCCATCAAAAATCGATTCTAATGCAACAGTTTGACCAATATATATATATTGGCAATGAAATCTGTATAACTTCTTGTTCAGATTATATGTACAATTATTTTTTCCTTTATTTATTTATTTATTAATCTGTTTCATTTATTTTTGTGAATTTCTTTCAATAACACAACAATGCAACCCCCTCCCCTCTTTCTTTTCTTTCCCTTTTTAACTTCTCTCCCTTTATTGTCTTATTTTTATCTTCAAAGCCCCATCTTCCCACATGTGTATAAAAACAAACAAACAAACAAACAAACAAACAAACAGGTTCTTTTTTTCCCATTGTATCAAAGCCCTTTATTTTTATTATCATTATCATTGTCATTGTTGCTCTTTTAAGTTGCTCTCGCTATCATTATCATTATTATAATAATCATAATAACCTTTATATATGTATATTTTGTGTGTATTTACTGTTTTGTATTTGAAATAAACCAAAACTAAAACTAAAACTAAAACTAAAAATAAAAATTAAATTAAAAATTAAAAAATTAAAAATTAAAAAATTAAAAATTAAAAAATTAAAAATTAAAAAATTAAAAATTAAAAAATTAAAAATTAAAAAATTAAAATGAAAAATTAAAAAATTAAAAAATTAAAAAATTAAAAATTAAAAAATTAAAAAATTAAAAATTAAAAAATTAAAAAATTAAAAAATTAAATGCTCTTCAGTAGTGCTGCTATTTTATTTATTTGATTTTTATTGAATGCAAAGAAAGGTTTTTTTTTGTATGAAAATAATAATAATTATATTAATTATATAGAACCAGCCATTGTTTTTCTTCTTCTTTTCTTGCTTGGAACTGGCAAGGACTTCCGATTATTTTTTGATGAGGAAGAGGAGGATGAGGGGAGGGGGAAGGAATTTCTTTGATGATTTTGCGTGCTTTTGTGGGAATGCTTTTGCGTGGCAGTATTTCTTTTTATTTTTATTCTTTTTATTCTAAGTCTATTCGGTCTTTTCTGATTCATTCTCCTCAGTCGACGCTGGCTTTGGCTTTCCAGCATGAGTAGGAATTCCCTTCTTCTTCCGCAGCTTGGTCTTGGACTCATCGATAAGCTCAAGATCCTCTTCGTCGTTGAATCCAGTGTAGTCATTGGGATCATCATCCTCATCTTCACCATTCTCTCTATTTTCCTTCTTGTCCTTCTTGTCTTCGAATTTGTTGCTCATTTTCTTGAATTTCGCGACGTAGAAACCGTCCATGTTGTGTACGTGAGGATAGAATCTGCGAGTCATCTTCAAGGTAGGGTGGAAGTTCTTTCCACGGAATGCTGTGAAGCCCTCTTTGCCGAAATCAAGGCCAGTAGATACCAACTTTACATTGGGACGCTTGCTCAATGCATAGTTAACAACTGCCTCGTTTTCCTCGACAACAACCGAACATGTAGAGTAAACAATATATCCACCAGTTTTGGACTTGGCATCTACAGAGTCGATTGCGCTAAGAATCAACTGCTTCTGGAGGAAAGGAATGTCGACAAAGTCCTTTTCTGTTTTGTTGATCTTCACGCCAGGATCCTTGGAAATAACACCGGTTCCGGAACAAGGAGCATCGAGTAAAACACGATCGAAACCACCGACAACCTTGGGGAACTCACGACCGTCATAGTTGCACACAACAGCGTTCTTAACGCCCATACGGTGAATGTTGGCCACCAAACTCTTTAAACGATCCTTGCTGGCATCGTTGGCAAATACCATACCGGTGTTCTTTTGGAGAGCAGCAATGTAGGTAGTCTTACCACCGGGAGCTGATGCCATATCCAACACACGCTCGTTAGGCTGAGGTGCCAAAGCCATAACGGGCAAGAATGAAGATGCAGCTTGGAGCATATAGTGTCCAGCAAGGTATTCGGGGGTAGCACCTAGTAATTATAAAACAAAACACATTTTAATCACTATACATCATATATTGTCTTGCAATCCTTTCTTCTTTCATTATAAAAATAAGCACTACTCACCAATAGGCACCTGGGAATCAAAGATCTGGAGACCGACCTTACTCCACTTGCCAATGGGGTCAAGGTTAACACCACGGTTGATCAGGGCCTGAGCAAGATCACGACGACGAGTTCTGAGAGTATTTGTACGGATAGTAACGGGACGGGGAACCTCGTTAGCCTCGAAAAATTCGATAGCTTCTGAAACAGGGAAGAGACCGCAAAGCTTCTCGGCCAAAAAATGAGAGTAACCGTAGTATTGAGCAATATCCTTAATCAAACGATCCATGTAGTCCTGACGAGACCTAAGAGTTAGCAAAAAAGAAATAAAAAGAATGCCAGTGCACACATTAATAAGCAAGTAATAATCCAGTAACCCGTTTCTTGCTTATTATCTTACTTTGAAGGGTCGCGCAATTCTTTAAAGTTATTGAGAACATTAACGACTTCCTGGATACGCTGGTTGACAGCTGCAACATCGGTCATTAATTCAGGTTCGTCTTCGTCGGGAAGTTCGTAAAGCTCAGTCTCGCCCTGAATATTGGTTTGCATAGTAGAGTCTAACAATTCAGCCTCGGCCATAGCAGCCTCACGGGCTTTACGAGCTTCGATCTTGCGAGATTTACGTTCATCAAGACCTTCACCCTATAACGAAAAAAAAACAAGCAAAAAAGAAAGAATGTGAATATTTTCATGCACAAACCAAGTACACAATTCATTAATTACCTCTGCGATATCTTCATCGTCTTCTTCATCAGAGTTTTCGTCCTCATCTTCTTCATCGACTTCGGCCTCGGATCCAGATCCAAGAAAGTCAACGTCGGCCTTGGGGAACACATCCAATCCCTCCATTTCTTCGTCTTCTTCGTCATCAAACTCATCGTCTAAATCTTCGTCATCGTCATCGGATCCTGAGGCGGCATTATCCCAGAGATCTTCTCCTTCAGAGTCAATGACCTCGACAGTCTTCTTTGTCTTTTTTTCGACCTTTGCTGAAGGATTGGTACCCTTTTGCTTCTTGTTGATCACGCTAGGTTCTTCTTCCTGGTTTCTCTTACGCTTGATCTCGGGTTTCTTCTGACCTCTTCCTCTCTTTCTGGGCTTGTCATACTTGACTGGCTCGAGAGGAGCAGGAGGAGCTTGCTTGTTTTTTGCTTTATATCCCATTTTTTGTCTTTTGTAATTATTTATGTATTAAGAGAAGACAGGAATAAATAAATAATAATTAAAATAAAATTAAAATAAAATTCAAAAAAAAATGCTGTCGTAAAAAAAAGGCTAAAATGAAAGAGCTAGGATTAGCAAGTCTCATCTAGTAAGATAAGAAGTCACATAAGAGGTTCTTGAGTGGCTTTGGTAACTTTTTTTTTTGCTTCGGTTCTTTTCTTTTTCCTGAGAAACAGTATCTTGTTTATACTATTTTACAATATAAACACATTAATAGATGTATGTATGTAAGAGAAGGTTTACATTTAGTCCTTTTACAGGTATACCTATTATATAAATTACAAAACTGTTTGTAGTTTGCCGTTTCTTTTCCATACTTGAGAATTATAAAGTAGGTCCTATCATTATATTCAGGCACCAGTTTTGAGAGCACGACTTTAAACTTTAACTATGGTGTATTTTCTTTTAAATCAGGAATTTTGAATTTTGGGCTAATTTTTATATTTCAAATATCGGTCTAAGAAAATGGGATTAAATACCCGCAAACTTAAGAAAAATCCCAAATATTGAATTTTATGCAGTCACAGTGTCATATACTCACAACAAAATATGTTTCAAACACCGGGTACGACATAATATTACTATATTAGGGCATCGATTCTCTCAGTCTGCCATATGAAATGAATAATCGAGGGCCAATATTTCTATTCCTCTGCTATTAGATTCGAACATCGCGTTTTTTCAAGGCCTAAAAAGTGTTGTCGGAAATGTCAAAACCAAATATGTTGTCAGTTTACTTTGTAGAGAAACTATTTATTAACAAGGTAAACTGATGATATATTCAGTTTTGGCATTTCCAACAACACTTTAGGTCTTGAAGAAAACGATCGGAGTCCAATTGTTTTTTACTGTGTATAAGAAAAATACACCATAACCAATTTTCTAAAAAAATATATATATATACTTAAAAGGTGACCACTTCCCTTACACTACCATAAAAAGGTAAAAAGCAATTGGACTTTCATAGGGTTTTTAGAAAAATGAATTAAAATCTTAATCCATCAGGAACGTCTCAAATAAAAAAAAATGAAAGGAAAAAAGTCATTCTCTCAGCATCAAAAACCCAGCCACGTTACAAAGTCACAGTCTTTCTGACAAGGAGAAAAAAAATTTGGTCAAAGTGTTTTTTCTTTTTCCGCCCTCTTGGTCAACCTTGGACTTGTTGCTATTTCCCTTTTATTTAATATAGACTGTATAGAACGAAAATAAAAAAATATGGGAGATTATCAAAAAGTCGTTGTAAAGAAGTACCCAAAAGTACTATCAAAAAAGTCCTCAGAGGCTAAATACTGGAGACGCTTCAAGGTAAAGAAGAAGAAGGAGAGGAGGAGGAGCAAGAACAAGAATATTTGAAAGTTTAAATGCTAAAATAAAAATAAACTTGAAAATACAATAAAACATTACCCATTAGTCACCGATCCTCATCAAAGAGTATGCAAGCGTCTCATCCATATACTTCTCACCAGTTGCACCCTTTGATTTCGCTGTCACTGCATCAGCACGTGTCCAGATCTACTCGTCAAAGACACATCAGCCTAAAAAGACGATTTCACGATTCAAAGATATTGCCTATTCAGCATGTTTCCGCCCAGACGGAAAGCTAATTGTAGCCGGTGATGGCACTGGTCTTGTACAATTGTTTGACGTCAACTCCCGCGCTATTCTTCGTACATTCCGTGAACACACCATGTAAGATTCTTGATCAATGAGAATTGAAGACGAAAAAAAAGAAGAGCAAAGGAGAAATAACCACTATTGGATGTTTGGATTGGTATAATAGGCCTGTGCATGTTGCCCAATTCTCATCAAACAAGACAAATATTCTCTCCGCATCAGACGATCGTACTGTTCGCCTGTGGGATATTCCAAGTGAAAAGAGCATCAATGTATTCGAAGAGCACGAGGATTATGTTCGGACAGGTCAAGTTAGTCAAGACAACCCCAACCTTATTTTGACAGGCTCATACGATCAGACGGTCAAATTGTGGGATACTCGACAAAATGGATGTGCGATGACTATGCGCCATGGTGCACCCGTAGAGAGTGTGCTGATGTACCCCGGAGGAGGTGCTGTTGTATCCGCTGGAGGACCTACCCTCAAGGTTTGGGATCTGTTGTCTGGTGGAAGATGCATGCACGAAGTGTCAAACCATCAAAAGACCATTACCAGCATGTGCTTTGATGGATCTGCTTCACGTCTTATTACTGGTTCACTTGATCAGCATGTCAAGGTTTACAATGTTCAGGATTACAAGGTTGTTCACAGCGTAAAGTATCCAGCACCTGTCCTTAGTGTTGCTCTTTCGCCCAACGACACACATCTTGTTGCTGGTATGGCCAATGGTTTACTGTCAATTCGCCAGCGCCAGGTTAAGTCTTCGGAATCAGTGACCAAGAAGAAACAACAAGAATATATTCGGGATGGTACCTACAAGTACTTTATGCGTGGGCAGACAGGGGCAGAACAGGTATATTGAATTGTTTGATTTTGAGCTCTTAAGCCTTGAGACTAATATAAACATCTGCGTGGACTCGTAGGATGATTTTGCGGTAGAATACAAGAGACAGAACAGATTAAGCAAATACGACCAATTATTGAAAAAATTCCAATATGGTAATGCACTTGACGAAGTGTTGCGAACAAGTACAAAATCAACTGTGGTGGTTGTGGCTCTTTTGCAAGAGCTTATCCATCGTGATGGACTTAAGAGAGCAATCACAGGTCGAGATGATGTTTCGCTCGAACCCTTGGTGCGCTTTTTGGTTAAAAACGTTCACAATCCCAGATACACAAAACTAATTGTAGATGTTGCTGATGTTGTGATTGGTAAGCTGTGAATATAGGCTCCACACATAAATATTTACTAATACTTTTAATAATACTAGACGTCTACACACTTGTTTTTGGACAGTCTCCTTTGATCGACGATCTTATGAAGCAATTGTCAACCAAGGTCAAACAAGAAATCAGTTTCCAAAAAGATCTCACCCAAACTATTGCTGCTCTCGATATGCTTTTCACTCGCTCGGGCGTCAGCAGCAATGCCGCTGCATTAGCCCCAGCCCCAGCCCCAACCACCACTCCCACCCGTGTCTCTTCATAAAAAACGTAAATTTTAATAAAAATACAAAAATCTCAAAAATCCTATTGATTAAATCCTCTCATTCATTATCTATAAGACAGGTGTTTCGGGTGTATTATCTGTAGTAGTAGTAGGGGGAGCAATGACCTTTTGTGCACAAGTAAAAACAATGATATTAATATCAATATCAATTATGTTTAATTTTTTTCTTTGTTACCTTCTTGCGAACATATTCATCATAGACTGTCTTCTCCACAAATGGACGCTTGCCCAGCAAGTTTTCCACATCTTCACGTGTAATGACCTCTTTCTCCAATAGTAACTGTGCCACCTTTTCTACATCACCTCTCTTTTCTGTCAACAAGTCAACAGTACGCTTATAAGCATCTGTGATCAGACGACGAGCCTCGTCGTCAATCAAGGCGCCAGTCTGCTCAGAGTAAGGCTTCTGGAATTGCTGTTCCTGAGAAGGATCATGGAAAGACAAAGGTCCAACCTTGGTGTTCATACCGTAAGTGGTTACTTGGGCATAAGCAATCTTGGTGACCTTTTGGAGATCGTCACTTGCACCGGTTGTGATTGTGTCAAAGAATATTTGCTCTGCAACACGGCCACCAAGAGTCATACACATACGATCCGACAGCTGCTTCTCGGAATAAAGATACTGATCTTTGGGCAGATATTGAGCATATCCAAGGGCAGCAACACCGCGGGGAATAATGGAGACCTTGAGAAGAGGGTCAGCATGTTGCAAATACCAGCCAGCAACGGCATGTCCAGCTTCATGGTAGGCCACAGTCTTCTTTTCTTCTGGAGACAAAACACGCGACTTCTTTTCTAGACCAGCAATAACACGTTCAATGGCTTGCTCAAAGTCGGCTTCTTGAACCTCATCCTTGTGGTAACGAGCAGCAATAAGAGCAGCCTCGTTACAGACATTATGTATATCAGCACCGGAAAATCCAGGAGTGAGCGCAGCTAACTTGCGAGAAAGTTGTTCCATGTTTTCACTTGTCTTGATGGGCTTTAAATGGACAATGAATATCTGAGCACGGCCGGCAATATCGGGGCGGTCGATTGCGATATGACGATCGAAACGGCCAGGGCGCATCAATGCAGGGTCAAGGACGTCAGGGCGGTTAGTACCGGCCAAGACCACTACATGCTGATTCGAGGCAAAACCATCCATCTCAACCAAAAGCTGGTTGAGAGTGCTCTCACGTTCATCATTACCACCCATTTGCCCACCCTTACCACGGGCTTTTCCGATTGCATCAATTTCATCAACAAAGATAATACACGGAGCGTTCTTCTTAGCAGTCGCAAACAGGTCGCGGACACGCGAAGGACCCACGCCAACAAACATCTCCACAAATTCAGAACCAGACACGCTCAAGAAAGGAACACCAGCCTCACCAGCGGTTGCCTTTGCCAACAGAGTCTTACCGGTACCAGGGGGACCAGAAAGGATAGCACCCTTGGGGATTGTAGCACCTAAACGCTCGTAGAGAGCAGGGTTCTTCAAGAACTTGACAAACTCCATAATTTCTTCCTTGGCCTCATCTGCACCAGCTACGTCCTTGAATTTCACCTTGACGTCTGTCTCCTGGTTGAACATCTTTGCCTTGCTCTTACCGATGCCAAAGATACCGCCTTGTCCACCACCTCCAGGACCACGTTTGGTCATGTAGTAAAGCACACCGACCAGAATCAGAGTAGGCGCAAAATGGAGAAGGGTGTTTCCGAGGCTAATTTCGTCACGGTAAGATACAGGAATACGCTCGTTCGAGGGGATACCCAATTCATTCTGAGCTTCTTCAAGAGAACGTTCAAAGCTGTCGACTGAGCCAATTGTGAAATAAAATGTCTGTTGAGGCGATACACCAAGAGATCCGGCGCCAGGGTTAAGGTGGACTCGAACAAGGTTGCGGTTCAAGACAACAAGTTTGTCAACAAGACCCTTGTCAAGTAATTGGTTTCTGAATGCCTGCCAGGTTACTTCACGAGAATTGTCTGCAGGTGCCACCAGCTTCCAAACAAGCCAGGAACCAATTGCAGTACCCAACACAGTGTTAGTAGTAATTTGAATCTCGGGGGTTTTGTTATTCCCGTTACTGCTTCCATTTCCGCCGTTGCTTCCTCCGGTAGAGCTGTTCTTTGGTGGTTTAGGGATTTCTTCGGCAGATCGCTTACTGTGTTGTTTTGCAGCTTCATCGGCAGATCGCTTTGCCTCAGCCCCAGCACCCTTCCCAAAAAAGCCTTCGAAACCCTTAGGCACGTTAAATGGTTTGCCTTCGTCGTCTTTAGGCTTTTGTTCAGGCTTCTTCTCGGATGAGAAACGGCGAGTGCTGAATCGAGTGTTGTTAAGTAGACTTCCATTCTCGGGAATGCATCGTCTGGTGATTGTACGCATGCCTGCATCTTTTGCCGATCGTTGTCCGATCTGGCTAAGGCGTGAAAGCATGATCGATAAGGGATAGAAGTAAGATAGGTTGGACTGGAACCCAAACAATATAAAGACTTCTTTGGCTGTTTTCCGTTCCTTGTTTTATTGTCAAATTTCATTTCAGTTTATTTACAATTTTTAAACTTCGCTAGAATCATCTCTTCCAATCATTTTATTTTATTTATTAACAAATAAATATAAATAAATTAGAATACACAATGCTGGTGAAGGGGGGGGGGGGAGTGACTTGGCCCAAAGAAAATTTTCCATCTCCTTCAACCTACTCTTTCCCATCTTCCCATCTTCCCTTTCACTTACTTACTTTCTCAATATCTTTTCACCTTACTTACTTATTTCTGTATTATTAGCTTTAAATTTTAGTCATAAAAACAAATGTCATAGTTAAAATGCACACATTCGTTTAAATAAATATATATATATGCAGGTGAAAATAGTTTATTGTAAGTTTTTCTAGGTTTTGCGCACTATGGTATATAGGTAACCCAATGAGAGCGGAGGAATAATTGAAATGAAAATAAAAAGTAAACCGCCTAAATATGAGGGGGGGGGGGGGAATATGTAAAGAAATAAATAGAAGGGGGACTCAGTCGTATTATGCCATTCACCAGCTTACGAGGGAATTGTCGAGGGAATTGAAAGAAAAATTACTTTTCATAGTAATTAGAGGTGTTATCTAATGGAAAATTGAATATTTTATCAATTTTTAATGTAAACGGCGATTTAATATCCAATAATTGTTATACGTTTTTCTTAGTTGATGCGAGGACAAGTGCTTGCACCTCTGTCACATATTAAAATTGGAACGATACAGAGAAGATTAGCATGGCCCCTGCACAGTTGATGCGATTTAGTGGAAAATGTATGTGGAAAATTACGAATTTCCTAATTTTCCACTAACATTTTCCATTAATTATTTCCTCAAAATCAAGCTTATTCTCTCACTCTCAAATTAAGGTATAGGGTAGCCAGGAGTGTCTATTGTATATGTAATTAATTTATTCGATCTTTAAAGGTCGAATTTATTAAAAAAAAAGATTGAAATTTATGAGGATTTATTTTTCTTATATTTGATACAGTATGATGTTCTCATCAATTAATAGGTTTCCACAACTGCTGCCGGAGTGCTTTGTTTTTTACTGCGTTTGTCCAATCTTTATTTTTTAGCAGCCACACTTTTTCCATTAGATAACACCTCCTCTAATTTTTGTACAACTCTACAAATCTGAGTCCACAAACCTCTCTAATATTTACTTTGTCTAACTAACTTCTCTTTATCCAAATTCCATTCTCGTTTTGTCGACAAAATGTAAACATACTCTCTACAGTTACATTTTGGTTCGTCTAAGACATATTTTAGTTTGTTTCCCTCTCGAGTAGAAACACTTTACTGTAATGACTATGAGCGAGAAGTTTGAAAAAAGACTTGGTTTGGGCAACTAGTCTGTTGAGAGAGAAAGAGAAAGAGTTTTTGAGCTTAAGAAAGATGCTTTTTATTGATAAAAAATACTAGAAGTATTTATACTCTTTGGCTAATGATTCATAGAACATATCAAACACGCATCGTCAACAGAGACGAAATGGAAACAAGGAGAAGAGTTTAAACTGGGGACCAAATACAAACAATACAAGTGCAAAAAATACTCGTGATTACACAGGTTGGAGCGTCGCTTTATCCTTGGCCATAACAATACAAAGAAACTTCAAACAGTTCTCTAATATTCTTGGTATAAAAATCGGTGTAAATCAAATGCTCAAATGTCTTTATTTCTTTTCTGATTCCAAAACTGATAAATACTTTCATAGTCTATATTACAATCGCCAATCAGAATAACCGTTTTAAAAAAATAAACTTTGGTTTTATCAAACTAATGGAGTTCAATCAAGCAATTCCGGCTATTAAACAGAGCTCGCTTACCAATATGTTTGCTGCGCAAAACGGGAACCAACGTCATCCTTCATTCCAGCGGCTACAATCACAAGTATAATCGTTGTTCTGTTTACAATGTGTGATTGATATAACTCTTTCACACATATGTACAGGTAACTTCAATAATTTTAATTTATTTTGATTCGTATCAATACACTACGGGAAAAAAAGAGGTGCTTCCGGGGGTTCATTGGGGGTCCGCTCAGGAGGTCGTCCAGGTGGGTGTTTTTCGCCTACCCACTTTTTCACCTCCTGCCTGTTATGGATTAGTTTATAACTCCGCTCTTTAACAAATAACCGCCAGAGAAATTTCTTGTGTAGGAATATAGATGTACCTTACATGCCCATATATAGATACAATTATCTGCGATAAATTCTGATCGAAATAAATCACGGATTTAAAAATGCGTTTTCAAAAAAAAATGGTTCAAAAAAAATTGTGTTTCAAATAAATTGGTTTTTATTTTTTGTTTCAAAGTAGAAAAAAATGCTAAGCTATAGCTACACCATATAATTTATGAGCAGAAATATATAATAAATTAAATCTAGTTATTCTAAGCTAAAGATAGGGTCATGGAGTCTATATCCCTTATAATTCTTGAAGACAAAAGCACCTAAGAGCACCCGTAATAGTGGAGTACAAGAACAATCTAGTAAAATATAAATATGAATGAGTATTTCCAGCTTAAAAATATAAGTCAAATGAAAGCTTACCTTTGAGTTTGCCGAGATGAATTTCATAAAAGTTAGAATCTCTACAAGTAAAAATGAATAAAAGATGGTTAGTATTCAATTACTTTGTAAACTAGATGTGCAGGTATTACCTCAACTCATTTTGACCAGATGATGAAAAGGCTAATTGTCAGCTAATGAGACCCAAGATGAATAACTGCATTACAAAGTACAATATTGCTTTTTTATTATACATACCTCAAAAACAAGAATATATAGACACGTTTCCTAAAAAGATAATATACTATATGTAAAAACACATAATGAACAAACTTTTGTCGGTAAAGTAGAGTAAGAAACAACGCGAAGTCATTCTCTCTCGGTTTGCCTTATTTTTATAAGTTAAAGAGGTATGTTCTAATAGCAAATAATTGAAATTACAGCTGTAACTTATTAAAAAAAATATGTGTATATATTTATATCTTCATTGGGTTGAGTTGTGCCTTAGAAGGTTGCCTTTGCTAGGCATTCTTTACTAATATTATGTAAGAAACAAAAAAAATCGTATATTTTTTCTTATTTCAAATTTTGACAAAGTCGTTTTATATGCTGAAAATCGTTGCCTTTACCAAATTTTAACAGAATTATTTTTTCATTACACAATACAGCCTCCGCATTTCCTTATTCAATGTTTTGTCTTACTTGAACAGCTTTTTGTTGTGATCAAAAAAGTTTGAAGTAGGACCAAACCTTCTTTCCTCCTTTATTTGGAAGAAAAAATATTCAACTCACGAAATTATAGAAAGAAAAATTCTCTAGGCCAATAATATTGTTTGGGTACCATACCCACCATATTTGGCTTCCAATTTTTGTGGTGGTGGAATTTTCTGCTTCATTTTGATTTTTTTGGTGATTTTTTAATTATTATAGGCCAAAAATGAAGTCACAATTACAAAAAACACCCCTTTTTTCCCGTAGTGATATGTCCCATAATTCGAAAAAATAAGGCGCATTTTTGGGATTTTTTTTCAATGTTCTTTTATATTTAAACAAAAAGTTGAGTATACATTATAAAAGAATAGTGTCAGAACGTTTAATGGGTTAATAGCCTAATAATGCTTTTCTGTGCGGTTTATTTGAAGAAAAAATCCATTCATAACGGTCAGGAACTCTTAAAGATGCGACTAATCTTTTCGAATTGTGCGACTTTTATAGTGTTTTACTGTATTTGTAGATCTTTTCCTACAGTGGTAGTTGGCAGTAGAGAGCTTATCAAAGGGAGTTTAGTGAAACAAAATAAACCAATATCTTTACCTCGTTAAAAACGCCTTTCCATTTTCCCATTTATGACACCTGATTTTCATCCCAACACGCCTAGTCAGAGAATATTATTTGACTCATCCTAATTAAATACTGAGTGCAGCTCTATTGTCTTGAGAACGCATCCTCTTAAGTAGTCGCTTATTGTCCTTCGTTACCATGCCTTCAATTGGGATAATAGCCCTTATTAGCTAGTAACACCTCTCTAAACGCTTAAAGCTAGAAGATATTTCCTTATTCTAAAACTGTAGCTAGCTACTTTGCCTCACTCAAGTACTTTACGTGTTACTACAATATCATTCTTAATTGACCAAATATATCGATTTTGATTGGCTACGACATTGTTTGTTGGAACAATTGTATACACTTACACTGATAAGATCGACATATTGAAAACACACATACACACATACACACACTTCTTTTATACAACTTTCATCCAATACTTTTTTCATCCTTTCTTTTTTTAAAAAATATGACAGCAATTGTTGATGGATATTGCGATCTTTGTTGAGGAATAAACGCTTATCTTTCTAATCACAAAAATGCCCAAAAACCTTCTGTTGTTGGAAATGGACGATTCTTTTCGGTTTGGTTTGGTTTGATTTTTGGTTTTTTTCTTTTCTTTTTGGTATGCAAACTAAGCATTCTAACACCTTTAATTTGTTTAGAAGCCCAACTCCTCCTTGGTGAGAACACCCAATTCCTGCTTGAGAGGTGCGAGCTCCTTGAGGTACTCCTCGTACTGCTTCTCACTCTCGACCTTCTCCTTAAGACCTTCGAAGATACGGACGGCAGTGGCATAATCATTAACGCGACGGGAGGCTTTGAGGGCAGCCTCGACAACACTGGGAGCAGGGACAAGATCGTAAGCGAAAGCGTTGTTCAAACCACGCTGAAGTTCGAACAAATCCTCAACGCCATCGAAGAACTTGACGTAACGCTCGGTGTAAGCCTCGAAGCTCTCGTCCTCATGGCCAGAGTAGAAACGCTTACCCATGACTATGTCGTTATATAAAAATAAAAATAAATTGGTTAATCAATGAATTATATATATATATATGTTTGTTTGTATAATTATATATATATATGTATATATTGAAAGCCTCTATTCTTTTATTGTGTAAAGAAAGGTTTGAATTTTTTTTTCGTGCGTTTATATATTCGTGGGTTCTAATCAAGTAATTATGGTATTTAATTTACCCTGGGCAATAGGTCTAGAGACAGTAACCGAGCGAACGGCAACAGCACGGGCAGCAACACCAGTAAAAGCAGCGCGAAGCATTATGGAAATGGGTGGTTAAAAAAAATAAATGTAAGAGACAAGGGGAAAAACAGTTGTATAAAACAAGCACACAAGAAAAAAGGCGAGCCCGCCAGAAGAAAATTTTGCCGCATGGGTTGGAATGAGATGCTGACGTCAATGAAATCTCCGCAATCAATTCCCTTTCTTTCTCTTTTCTTTCATTCATTCCGTTTCTTTCTACTTAGTCATCATCTTCTTCTACTTGCATCTGTCGACGCAAACCGATGCTACAATTACACACGCGCTTCAACAAGTCGGGTTCGTCTTTTAGACGTTCGTTGGCTTTTGCTGCTGCAAAACGACGCGCAGCCTTAACATTATCAGCAGCACCACACGCAAGGGGCTTGTCGTGCAAGAATATTACACATTTTTGACTTTTTGGACCGGTACCTGTCGAGGTATGGTTACTAAAAAACACAAAAACGTAAAAATACACAAAGCTATATTAGTTTATCATTTTTCTTTTATATCTTCTGTTTTTAGGTGGTTTTCTAGATATATACATATATAATCAAAAGTATAAGCAATTTACCGTAGCATAAATCCTTCGCAGCCAAATTTCTGCAAATCTGTAGTAAATTGCCGAAGTGGGTGGATTCGAATAAGTTCAGGTGTAACATACTTGTCGAAAATAGGTCTGATCCACAGATCGAATAGTTTTTCCACTGGCTCGAGATTGAAACCTGCATCAACAAACACAGCTCCAAGCATACTCTCCACAATATCGGACAAGACTTTAGGAATACTAAAGTCACGCCAATACTCTCCTACGGCTTCACCCTTCTTCTTGAGATCATCAACTTCAGATACAAAGTGCTCAATTGCTCTGATAAGACGGCTTGAATAATGAATAATGTGTTTGTGCATCCCAGTTTCAATGCAAATAATACCAAGTACATGGTTATTTACGCATGAATCTTTGATGTCGGTAATCATACCAGGATCGAATGTAGGGTATTTTGTAAACAGGTATCGGATTACCAAAAAATCGAGAATAGCATCTCCAAGGAATTCCAGGCGCTGATAACAAGGAGCAGTTGAATTGGGAAGACTGGCATGAGTCAGAGCCTCAACTAACAACAAAGGCTGCTTAAAAGTATATCCTGCCGCCTCATACACTTTTGGCAAATTAACAGATCGCAGGGCCTTAATCTCTGCTCTTGCAGGAACTGATTTACGACTATCGATATAAGTTGGAAGAAAGTCGCCCCACTTTTTCATATCATCAAACGGAATTTGCATCGCAATAGCTGTTTCTAGACCACCCTCTAGACCACTACTCAGATATGCTGCTCCTAGCGTGGCTTCCACCACATCAGCTAATGTCTTATCAGATAACATGTGTGTCTTAGTCTCTTTGAGAGTGTCTGGGGTATCCGACTTGGCTACAAAGCCATGAGGGCGCCAATATCGACGATTGAAAGCTTGGCTGGTCACATAACGATATATTTTCAATCGTTTGGCAGAACGATACAATGCTCGGTTACAAATTACTCTAATACGCAAACAATGCAATTCACCCTCGTGGCAAAATGGAAAGTTGATGTACAATCGAATCGTCGCAATAAACTTTAGCAATGAATCACCAAGTGTTTCAAGGCGTTCATAGTCCATCTTCATGCTTGCAGAAGGGGCTGTGTAAGCTTCGAGCATCTGAATGTCTGTGATCGGTATTTTGTATCTTTCGCGCGCTTCATTCGCAAGAAGGAATGAATCCAACCGTGTCATTAACGAAGGGATTAACATCATCGACTGGTACACACTTGCACTGATGGGTACTTTGTGACAGAATTCGGGGATTACATAGTTTGCAGTTCTACCCTTTTGCTGGGCCATCATACCGACCGTTGGCTGCAAGTAATTCATCATCTTACTCACTTTCTGGACGCTTACTAGCGGCTGTTCAGGTAAAGTTACGTGAAGGTCGTGCTCCTTTTCATAATATTCTTCAAATGTGGTGTACCCAGCCTCTCGGTTTTTTCCTTCAGTGGGTGGTATATCGGATTGGGGCCGCATTTCATGAACAACCTGTCTCACAAAGTAACGGCGGTTACCATCAGCTGGGTCAGTTATGATTGAATCATCCAGTGTCAGATCAGAGGAATTAGTCAGATCGATCTTTGAATCCTTTTGTTCGACTGTTCGTTTAATTTCTTCCCAATCGATCTTGTCTTGACATGCTTTTAGTGTCGATAAATCTTCGGCAATTTCTTGATCGTTGTACACAGTAAGAGGAATAATAAAATAAGGGAAGTTGCGAACTTGGCATACGAATTCCTTGTTCGTGACAGCGGCAGATAATTTGAGATTGTAGTGAGAGAGGGCAAGGATAGTATCAGTATCATAATCCACGGACTCCTCTAAAGGACGCACTATTGCAGTAAATGTTTCGCCTTTCGAGTACAGCTCTATTTCGGGTAAGTCGGGAAATGGCTTCCAAGTCAAAAGACACATGCGACGTACATGACCTTCAAACATTTGTCCTACGTTAACTTCTATCACCGAGAACCACAGTGTAAACGGACCGTCGTCTTCTTCTTCTAGAATGGGAAGGATCAGCTTTGGATCGACACCTTCCTCTGGCTGGTTTTCAGGGTTTAGTAAACCATCTACATCTTCAATCTCGTCGATAATCAATGGCATATGGGACAAACCACTCTTTTTCTTTTTCTCAGGTTTAATTCTTGGCTGAAGGTTTACAAGAGCAGTTTCGGGATTAGTATCGAATACAGCATCATCTTGGGGATCAGAGGGTTTGAGTTCTTCATCTTCAAGTTCTAGTTCTTCCACAATCGGTTTCCAGAACCTGGGTGTTCGTTTCTCGTACACTCCGCGCCTTCTACGACTACCGACTACCAATCCGTTCTTGTCCAATAATGGAGCCATCTCACCCAATAACTCACGCTTTGGATTATTTGGCAGCAAGTGATCGTTAAAGGCTTTGGCTTCAAACAGCAGGATACATGTCTCTAGGGCGGCTAGCTTTTTTGCAGTTGTTTTTGTTTGTGTCGGTTGGGATGTTGCGCCTGTGACAACCGCATTGGTGGGTAAGTGTACAATGCACTGGAACCCATCGGAAGTAGACGTAATCTCAAAAACCGGTTTGAGTAAAGAGAATTGATCAGATGGTAAGGTACCACAATAACGATGCAATAATGGCACAGCAGATTCCATTGTAATCATTGCACCCGTCGCGGGCACAATAAACACCTTTTCACAGTCCTCATCTTCTGAGTCGTCCGAGTCTCCACTATCATCAGTTAGTGGCATGCCCTGGAGGAACTTGTTGGCTACATTTCTATCCTCCGGTAACATTCTACAAAAATCTTTCATTTCGTTTTCAAGGTCACGGAATCTACTCAGCATTCCACGTTGTCCCATGTTAGACTCGTCAGTGAGAATTATATACTTCGAATCCGGTTTTCTAGCACGTCCGCGCGACTGAATATACGCAATAAGGGTGGTGAAAAAGTCGAAGCTGTCAATAAAACATAGTTTAAAATTTTGATTTTTTTTCAAGTACGTTAGTCTAGTATTTACCGGATTACGACGTTGCAAGGTTGGATGTCTAGTCCTTCTTCGGCCACATTAGTAGCAATCAATAAGTTAAGCTCACCTGATCGAAATTTTTTTATCATTCTGTTTTGATCTTGGTATCTCATTTTGGTGTCGCCTTCTTCAGAACTACCGTGGCCGATTAAAAGATCACATCTAAATATCTTGAAAAGATCAATTGATTTGATCAATAAATTCAGAGCGATTGCCGTATGTCTTCGTTCTACAAAGATGATTCCACAGAATTCAGGGAGGTGTTGAAGAACTTTTAGGAGCTGAAGAAGCTTCATTGTCTTCGGAGTAAATATACGTTTGTTGGTAATATCAGGATTTGATGGTGCTTCAGCCAATGATAGCTGATAAATCTCATATAAAGCTTGATCGTCATCACACAAGTTTTCTCTGGGTTGACCTTTTGTATCTAACAGCATTTTATCCACCATGTTTTCAAGAATACTTTGCCACAGTCGGTCTCCGCACCATGGACCAAGATGATCTGCTACTTCAGTAGTAACTTGAAACACTCTTTCAAACCGTTTAATGTGGCTCAACTTTTCGCGTGCACGTCTTGTCAATTCTGTTGGCGGGAAACCAGGCGATGGGCTAAATGATGCCTCATATTCGTCAGGTAGCTTTATGGCTGTCTGGAGCTCTTCTAGATTTGCAGCTGTGTAGATTCGACTGTTCAAGTTCTGTTCGAGCTGCCTTTGTTTTTTATCAATCAGTTAATATGTTAGTAATTTAATAAATGCATTGGTATTTTACAAGAAAATAAATTAATAAAAAAAAACCTTACGTTGCACTAAAGTACACGCCTGTCTTTGAATGCATTGGAGAGGCCGTCATTCCAAAAATCTTTGGCCGTTCATCAGCTCTGCACCGGTCATAAAACTCTCGCATAATAAGATTGTAGGGATGTTTCTTTGTAGCATGATGGCATTCATCAAACACAATCAAATTTACCTGAAGGATTTTTCCCATTTTTTTTTAGTACAAAGCCTGGGTAAATTTGTGATTAGAAATACTTACACTGTTCAGTGTAATAAATCCATGTCGCAATGTATCCAAGAATATCTGGGCTGTCATTACGCACACGTCGCTTTCTTCATAAATTGTCTTCCATTTTTTCTCAGACCAATTATCTACGTTCATTTCGCCACACATTTGTTCCAATACCACATCACAGTTTGCTTTAATCACTTCAGACTGCTGGAAAACAAGTGGTACTCGATCCACAAGAAAGAACGCAAGTTTTGTCTAGTGTTTTAACGGACAAATAAATATGCAGGATCCCTAAAGTATTGTTCTTTGTTTTGTTTTACCGAACGTCTTGTCATACGAGCTTCGCGCTCTCTTGCTGCAATCTCCTTAATCAGCATGACAGAAATAAGTGTCTTTCCACTTCCTGTGTCTAGAACAGCAATAACATTATCCTCCAACGCTCGTTGGTAAAGTTCAAATTGGTATTCGCGAGGGCACATCATTGTTATGAGCTTATCATCCTCGCCCTCATTTTCTTCAAGATCTTCATCGAGATCAAACTCTTCTTCTGCTTCGATCTCTTCTGCAAATTTTGTCTTCGAATCAGGTGTGGCATCGAGGAATTCAGGATCTAGATATTTTAGAAGCCGTTCCTGGCCATGATCATTCATATCATTCACAACTGGTTCTGGAGCGACATAGGCAATTGAGTCGCCATTATCTTCGTCATTGAAGACTATGCTCTCTGCTGCTACTGCCATGGAACTGTAAGATAGTGAATAAAGGCGCAGCTATTATTTTGTACAAGTCAGAGACATTTAAATTCACTAGGCCAATAATTTTACCTGCGTTGAATGAAACCAGTCCTTTTTTTTTAAAAAAATAAATAATAATAATAATAATAATACAATAGGCCTTTGTGAATTTGGATTTTCAATTTGTCACATAAACTCAATGCCTTGGAGAGGAAGAGCGACGTTACAGCACCACCCAAAATCTACAGGTATGAACTAATACTGTTTTGTAGAAAAGCTATCAAACGTTAATAATTATCAATGGAATTTTCAGCTAATCATTTTACTTTATTCTCTTTTCTAAATCGATGCTATTAAAGCAGCGAAAATATATAGAGAAGTATAAGTCGAATATAAGCTTATAATTACGCAGAGAAAATTTGATTATACATCTTTATATACATTGTTTTCCTATTTATATATCAAATTTAACTCGAACATAAATTCTAGCCACACAAGTTTTAATAATAATAATAATAACAGTAATATATATATATAAGTTATAATTATTTTATAGTCAAAAGAGACGAGCATTTTGATTGAATCAATGACATGCATTATTATTTGTTCGTTTAGGAATAGCACTGTTGAACATAGTATTTAGGTAATGAGTAGTTCTTTAAAAGAAACTTTGAAATTCTCAAGCCAGTTCCTCATTTAGCTAGTATTATGTACAACTTCACAAATCTGGATCCACAAAGGTTTGGCACAATAGGCGTTTATCTAGTTGCGGTCAACCGGTATTTCTTTGTAGTCAACCGGGTTTCATTTAAATTTACATACAATATTTTCATTCCATAAAAGGGTAACACATCAAAGTACAGTACTTACACGTAGGGCACTTGTAAGAGAAAGTGTGATGTTTTTCTAAATTCATTTCTACTTTTATAAAGGTTTAGCCAAAAGATGTGCAATTTACGATATTAATCCAGAAATATTAAAGCTCTTGTATGTGTGTATGTGTGTATGTATATATATTATTTAAATTTATTTTGGGTATAATGAATGTGTATGTCTGTGTGTATGTCTGTGTGCTCTAAAAGAGATGAACTAATGATGAATTCGTGGTGAGATAAAAAGATAAGGGCAGCTTATTAAGGTTGTACAAAGTATAAAGTGTTTTTTGTTTTGTTAAAATTACTACATATCTTATGTACATCTTCCTTTACTGTCGTTTAGAGACACGGACAAGCATGCCATTTTTCATGGGTAACGTTAAAGAGGTCTGATAAGTAATAACCTGTCCAGGAAGTAACGAAAGTCTGTAACGCTTTAATAAAAACGCAATTGCAATCAATGCTTCCAGTGTTGCGAGATTTTGTCCTATATATATATATATATATATATATAATACAAATAAGTACTAGTAATATAATTTCTTCAAAAGGGTAAAATTACAGACGCTTTATCAATACTTTACCCAAACACACTCTAGGCCCACCATGGAACACCGGCCACTGTCCTTGCGATTCCCGACGCAATTCACCCTCTGGCGTAATCCAACGTTCTGGATTGAAGCAAGATGCATCAGGACCCCACACAGCTGTACTACGAGCTTGAGCGTAAGGGGACCATCCGACATAATCTCCTTTACAAACAGGTGTTCCGTCGGGCCAGATATCATCTTCCAGAGCATACTTTTGGTTTTCAGGAACTGATGGGTAAAGTCGCAATGTCTCGTGGAACCTAATCAATATATCAGCTTAAGCACAAATATCTAGTAAAGTAGAAGCCTTTATTGCATACTTACACTGCATGTGCATATGTCATGGTTTTAACAATTTCATAAAGTTGCTGGGCGTCGTGTTCCTTTTCGTTTCCAATTTTTTCATTAATTTCTCTTAATAATTTTTCTTCTACACGAGGATGCAATGCCAGATTGTAGAATGTCCATGATAAAGCTTGAGCAGTGGTGTCTCGCCCAGCAATGATAAAGTTGAGCACAATGTCCCGAAGCTCCGTCTTACTCAAATCTTTTCCATTTTCATTTTTGGCCCCCATAAACCGAGAAAGAAGATCCGTCGGCATTTCTCCTCTGGCCAGCTCTTCGCGGCGTTGGTTAATGACATTTGATGCAAAGTCATCAATAGTCTGAACATGTTGTTGGATTGACTTTTCCCATGGTCTGAATATGCTGCGAAAAGTATTTGTGATCCCAATAAATGGGTTTGTGAAGCGATCAAAAGAATACTGCTGAGATTTGTCAAAAGATACTGCAAATGGAACCTCGCCTTGTGTAGTAAGTGCTTTTAGGTCAACTCCGAACCCAAGACTTTGATTTTAACATATTTACGCAAAACGGATAAAATGAATATGTATCTATCGATCATACTGATTCATGACTTCTCTCTCTTTTCTTTGTAACTTACAGTATAAAGGAGTCAAGAGTAAATCTAAACATGGCATCATGGAAGTCAATGGGAAGATCTTCTTCGATGCTCTTGTCAAATATTGACTCACACATAGTATCAATCTTGCTAACAAATACGCTGATTTTTTTATTTGATTTTTTTGGTTAGATGCCTAATAAAACCCCATCTTTCAGTTTTTCTTCTTATCTTACTCTGTAAACTGATCCCTAAAATTCTTGACATTGAATATATGACTGGCGACCTTGCGTTGCCATCTCCACTGTTCACCATCAGCATTGAATATTCCATGACCCAATAAATGTTCTGTTGCATAGCCAAAATGCGGGCCTTTAACATAATTTGTAAAGTTTGCTATATGAACAGTGATGAAAGATGCCATCATATATATATATTAGCTTTTTGTCGATGTTTCTGTTAATTTTACAAGTTTACTTTTCAGTATATACTCTATGTTTTGAGGATCAATCGTCGCGATGGAAAAAGGAAGACCCAAGGATGGCATAGCCCTTTTTTTTTTTGGAAATGAATAGATGTAATTAAACCTTTAATACGTCGACATTTTCTTGTTGCAAAATCTTACCCTGTTAAGGTCCCTATTTCTTGGAAGAAATCTATCTCAAAGTCATGAATCTGAAATTTATTCTTCAACAGCTCCAGTAGATGCCCAATGATTGGTGCTCCAGCTCTATAGACGATGCCACTGCGAATTCCGGTAAATACAGGACGGTCTGGATATGCAATAGCCAACAACGAGATGGCTATGGCGGCTCCGCCTACTAGTCCAATATTTTGCAAGATATTAATGTTTGAGTTCTCGACAAGGGATAGAACTCCTTCCATGGTAATATTTAGGGAAGTGTGGTGAGAAGAAATAATTAAACAAAAGGAAAGTGGTTTTTATTGAATACAAAATCAAGGCTTTTATAAAGAAAAAATAATAAAATGTGGCCTGAGATAAGACCAGTTTGGCCTCTCTCTAAGTTTCTTTTTGGTAGGGGAGTATCTTTTGATTTATCTCTCAGAATGTGCTTCTCAGCAATGTAATCAACTTGAGCCGTTGCTTTGTCATTCGTGTCAGGTTTATCTTTAAATTTGATGTATATGAAACCTTTTCTTATGCCCATACTTGGAATAAAGTGTTCCATAAAAGCACAAATTTACTGTGCTCCTAAACCCGCCATTCGTAAAATACAATAGTGGCTTGAATAAGTAGGATCTTAATTTATCAAGAGCATGTCACAGTAAAGGCAGTAAAAGAAAAATTACTTTAAGACATGTCAAAATTACTTCATTCCAGAGAAGACAGTTAAAGGGAATTCAAACTAATGCAATTGCGAGATATGGACCCAACTTTCTAAAAGGCAGACCTTCAAGCAAAAGATTATATACTTTGCATACGTACTTTTGAAACCTAGTAAGTAGGAGGGAGAGGAGAAATATAGAGAGCGAGATATAGTGATATGAAGCAAGAGAACATAAGGGTTCATCTGATGCTCATAGCGGTAATAGTAGGGATATATGTCTTCAAATAGCAATGTATAATTTATGTACGCAGAATTTTATATTGTACTCCTTATTAATTGCAATAAAGCCAATCATCCCATTTTGTACGTGCAATTTATTGATCTTTACCCCTCCCCTCCAAAAAACTATGGGCGCAAAAGGGGTGCAGTAATTGAAATTCACGGCTTTTATAGCAGTTATGATGGGAGATATATAGTCTTACTAATTGATATTCACAATTAGCGATCAAACTTGTTTCTGCCCAACGACATTCTTTTCAAAGAACCAAAATGTTTGTATTGAGTAGGCCTTTTTATATATCGTTGATAGTTGTCAATAAGAGTATGATATATCAAGAGTACACCTATTATTTACTTGACTTAACAAAAAGTTCATTATACCTTATTGAGATGTAATTGTTTGTCCCTCTCTATGTATTTTTACGCCCATTTCTTATAAAGCCATTTTTCAAACTAACACCTTTATTCACAGACAATCTGTGGCAAACAAGGATTTAACTTTTATTTTCCAATACCATTGTTCTATTTATAGGGATCAAGGTTATCTTTATGGAATTTTTATACCAGCCCAATCTTAATGTCACACATATGCTGGATATCTGATTTTGCCACCTCGTTCTATGATACTTGTAAATCCATAAATACCAAGGCTAGACTATAAGTTGCTTTATTATATAATTCTCGAATATAATTACGAAGAATGCTGATGTTCACCAAATTAAACCGCTTTTTTTTTCTCCCAAATTTACAAGCAAAAAAAAACAACAACAACAGAGGGTGATATATATATATATATGTATTTCCTTTCTTTCAAACTGATATACAAAAGGGAAAAAATAATAAAAAAAAGTCATTTGAAATTATGCATTTTTTTATTTTTCTAAACAGATAACCATGTTAGTTTGATACTGATATTTCTTTAACCACTGTAAAGCTGTAGCATGCAGCTATTTTTTACTATATGATATATTTTGAATCGCACGGAAGAGGAATTTCTTTTGGGAATACATATAAAATACATTTTATATTATTATATAAAATGCCTTCATTCAATTAAGATCGACATTTAATTACGATTATTACCGCGGGGAGGCTTTTTTTTTTGATCTACAGGGATGTCAAATATCTAACTGCAAATATTTTCTTTGATTTACATTTAGTTCTGTCAGTCTATATTTCCTTCATATTATCCTGAGGTACTCGAATAATATAATAATAAACTATTCTACTTATAGATAATATAGTTACTTTTAAATTTATTTGATAGTACCTTTATTTTGAGAAGTAACCAAAGTGAATTTTCACACAATTGACAAGAACTCTCGCTTTTTTTTGGCAGATAATTTCTATTTGATCTGCTTGTTTGTTTAGTTTCAATAATATCTTATAATTGCTCGTTTCAAAAGTGTTTTTGGTTTATCAAATACTTTTTTTTATTTGCTTTTTTTTTCTGCACTAAGAAATTATAGTACAAGCTATTAAAGGTATTCGATGTGGAAGACTTTCTAAAGATACTTTGCGATAAACTAGTCCCCCAAAGTCTCATACTGTATATAGTAACTGGTTATGAAAGATGCTCTATAAAAAATGTAAGATTTTATTCATTTACTTGTATACTTTTCTATTGAATGATACATCATAAAATTATCTTTCATAATTAATGTATATATATATATATATATATATATTAACTTCCTTTATAACATTATTCTATAAATGGGAGCTTACTTGTGGATTATTTAGGTTAGGATTTTATTGATTGTTTTAATAGCAAATAACCTATGTTTTTTATTAGCATTGTCTACAAACGCTCTAATCCATAATGTATTCTTATATAAAGCATGTTATTTTATCTTATTGTATCTTATTTTATCACAGAATTCCCATTATATTTACACTATGGTAATTTAAGAATATCGATGATTTTAGTATAATATTATTATAATATTTGTCCGGATTTAAGGGTTGTTTTAAGATTGAATTTTGATTAAATACTACTTTTTTTTTATGGTGTATTTTCTTTTAAATTTTGGATTTTGGGCCAATTCTTTTTTATTTATTTATTTATATTAGGGAGGTTTGTGCAATTTTCTTAACAAAATTAAAAAGGAAATTGCCCGCCTAAAAAGGAATAGTTTGTTTCATACTTCCAAAAAAGATTTTGTCAAAAGGGCACCTTTTCCAAAAATTTTGTAAGCCCAATTTGGGCTTTACAAAGTGTCTTCAGCCAATAATTGAAGGTTATTTTTAACTGCTAAACTAACGATATATTCAAAGGAAGATGTAGAAGTAAAATATGTTAAAAAATATACTTTTAACAATGTAGATATTATATTAACATGACTTCTTTTATGTCATTCTTTAAAAACTATATATTTGGATTATATATATTACGCACTCTATTACCTATTCTGCAATTAACAATATAGTTTATGTCAATTGATTGACCAAGCATTACCAGACTATCAACTTAACCATTAATACAAGTTAATGTTCGTTAGTTTAGCTGTATTCTATTTCCCGACCATGACGTGGACCTCAATATGGAAATGAAACTTCAGAAAATTGGTAAGACATTTCTGTCCATATTAGTACATTGGAAAAGAGATTGGTAAAACAAAATTGCACAAACCTCCCTATTACCAATATCAGAAAATGGGATCAGATATTTGCAAGCTTAAAAATAAATAAAAAAACCCCTCCGAATATTGAATTCTATGCAGTCACAGCCTCATACATTTACGACAAAATATATGTTAACCACCGGGTGCTACACAAAGTTCTCATATTAGGGGATCAGTTCTCTTATGCTGTTGATACGGTGGGCGTGGTGGTTGGTGGCCGCCACACTGCGGAGAAAGTGAGAAGTGGCGAGAGGAGACTGAAGTGGATATAGAGTAGGTAGACGAAGTTGGCAGAGGAGGCCATTATCAGAGGAAGTTTAGTGAAGAACAATAAAGTAACCTTTTTACCTCGTTAAAAACACTTTCCCAATTTTATTCATTTTGACAACTGATTCCATCCCCATACGCCTAGTCATAAATATTATTTGACGCCCCTAATTAAATACTGAGTGCAGTTCTATTGTCTTGAGAACGTTTCCTCTTAACTGTAGTTTATTGACCCTCGTTACCACGCCTCCAATTGGGAATACAACCCTTGCTAGCTAGTAACCCGGCCATAAACACTATTCAACTAGAGCGTTCTTCCTCATAGTAGACTTGTAATTAGTTACACCTGCTCCCTCAAGTACCCTACGTGTCACTGTTCACCAACGTACGAGGGAATTGAAAGAAAATATTACTTTTCATAGTAATTCATTCGATTCCGAATTGACAAACTTTCTAAAATAAGAACTCTAGTTACAAAAAAGGATGTACTAAACGACCATATTTTATAAAGCTCATTTTCTATAACCAAAATGAAACAAATCATTAACAAAAATAAAATAAAAATGAACAGGGTATTTTAGTAAAAAAAATGTAAGAGACAGATGCTTAATAACAATCTGAATCTTATATGATGTGGTGCAATTCCCTCGACGCGATTCCCTCGACGATTTCCTCGTACGCTGGTGAACAGCATTAATATAATAATTAAAATAGAAATAGAAATCCTAGCAATATCTATAGTAGATCTGATTCAGAAGAGAGTTGTGCGACGAGAGAGTCAATATGGAGAAGAATCGAAGCGGGAGGAAAGGTAAAGCAGAATATAGCAGTATGTATGTCTGAAATCTGAGGGATGAAGCCAAGATACTTATCCCAAGCGCATTGCCAGAAGATCAGTTTTTGAGGGCATAGGTAAAGGGATTGATGCAAAGTATCAACAGCAGTACAACAGATCGGACAGTCAGTCGTAGCAAATAATGTAGGAGCACAGTAGTGGAGGGTGACTCAGTAAGAGAGGGTATGGAGGATAGCTCTATACCATATATTACGAGATGAATGACGGATGGGAAATGATCAAAAGGTGTCCAATTGTCGTGTGGCGAGTGGCAAAGGAGCGAGGGGAGCTTTGGATTGGTTGCGGCATATAGCACAAAAAGTCTGTATACTAAGAGTGCGAAATGGTGCACATTTTTTGTGGAGAGCAGGTGCCAACCAGTAGGTTCATAGGTAGATAGAAAGAGAGAGAGATGTTCAAGAGGGGACAATGTTGCTGCTATAAGTAATGAATGGTTGAGGGCCAATATTTCTCTTCCTCTGCTATTAAATTCGAGAACTGTGTTTTTCCAAAAGCCAAAAAGTGCTGTAGGAAATAACAAAACTGACTATATTTTACGTTTAACTTGTACAAAAACTACTTCTTAGCAAAGTTAAAGAAAACCATGTTCAGTTTTGTCATTTCCTACAGCACTTTTTGACTTTTGAAAAAAAAATGGTCAAAGTCAAAGTATTCTTCATATGTATAATGAAAATACACTATATGAGATGAACATTGGTAAATTCGAAGCGAATAACAGGCTCCAGAAGGACTCACACCAGACGAGCACCAATTAATTCAACTGTCCAGTCCTCTCGTTTTCGTGGGGATGCGTCCAATGATACATCAATATAGTATCCCTGCATGTATATATGCACTTGTATTCTAAGAAACTATGCTTGGAGTGGCAATAATAGAACGTCTTATATCTTCTGTTGTCTTTTTTTTTTTTTAAAAAAAAAGAGATCCGAGCAAATGATCCCATGTTGTTTATAGCTAAATATTAACTACATTTTTGTGTAGCAAAGACGCATATGGCACTAATCGTTTCACATTTAACTGAATGTGGGTTAAATAGTATTACTACTATTATTTACTATATATCATAATGTGTAATAAAAGTACCCGGACTGTATATTAAAGTCGAATCAGCAGTTGGAGACCAATTTATGGAGACTACGAACACTTGATGTTTACAAAAAAGCAAGGGGTACACAGCTCTGAATTTTGTAATGACGGATATCTGACGCTTTGCTTAATTTTTTTTTGTATATATGCCTCCTAAACATAAATTGAGGTTTGTCTTGTCCTTTTACTTGACAGACTAGTGGGGGATAAGCAGTACCCCACATCTTACCTTCAAGTCACCATAGTGGCTCTTGTAGTCTCATACATTAACAAAAACCTCCCCCATAAAATCCCAGCTTTGGGAAAGTATCCTTTTAGTACTTGCTTTTAAAGTTTGGCTTGCACTTCTGTATGTACATATAGAAGACAATAATATTTTGGTAGAACCCGCAAAAAGAAAAAGAAAACTACGTTTCTACCAAAACCGGCTTATTATAAAGACTATGATCTATATATACTCTAATTATATAATCTATGTAACAACTGTGAAAATATAACTCAAGACCTATAAACCTTTCTTGTATGTTTCTGGTCTATTGAATATTAAACGCAATATAATGTAAGAAAATTGGCGTGAGATATTGAGAACATATTCAATAAGCTTTAATATAAATATTGCGAAAGTACAACATTAATACCTTGTTTTGATTTATAAAGAGTTAAAGTATGCAGCTTTTCTCTCTTTCTAAATAAATATATCTTTAATTCAAATAGAGGTAAAGCTACAAGTGTCACGATGAACATAAATTTGTTTCACGATACTCTATCCCTAGTAAAATTTATATGAAATGACCCTAAGGCTTACAAACATACAGAATAATTATAAAATATGTCTCAGAATACACTACATGTTTACTTTTTTAGATATTTGTTTTTAATAAAGGAGAATGTCAGTTATAATCTTCAAGTCTTTGTGCGTCAGAGACCATCAAAGAAAAATACGGTGATTTATATGCATGCGTACCACTGTTCATAATAATTAGACCAAAGGGAGTAAAATTAAAAACAAACCAATTTTTTTTAAAAAAAATATAGCTAAACTAGTATCAATATTGAATAAGTTTTACTATGTTTCCATAAAGCAGTATATATAAGGTAATTGTATTGAAGTTATGCGTATATGTATAAGATATTATTTTTAAATGATTGGGTGTTGTGTAGACATTGAGGAAATTATAAGAGAGTAACTCGTACGGAAGAAAATGCTCGATACAATTAGTCTAAGCACGCTTCTCAACCTTGACTTTCAAACCATTCTTCATAGGATGGGTTAATGAAGTCTCATAGGTAATGTTCTGGTTAGGAAGCATGGTAAACTTATATCTCTTAACTAAGAAAATAATCGCAACTAATGCTTCCAAAGTAGCAAGGTTTTGTCCTATTTACGATTATTTTTTTAAAAAGAAAAGAAAGTATTTTAGACAAGTCATATGTTTCCAAACATTCCTTTTTTTTTTGGAAATTGTGCTGTTCCTAGTGTGCTACAATACTATTACAAATAACTTACCAAGACAGACTCTTGGACCACCATGGAAGACTGACCATTTGCCTTGTGATTCACGGCGAAGATCACCTTCAGGAGTAATCCATCTCTCAGGATTAAAGCTAGCTGCATCAAGACCCCAGACATTTTTGCTTCGAGCGGTTCCGTAAGGTGACCAGGACACAGTATCACCTTTTCGAATCTTTGTACCATCAGGAAGTACATCATCATTAATAGCATATTTTTGGTTATTGGGAACTGAAGGATACAAGCGGAGAACTTCATAGAATCTAAAAATTATATATATATATATATATAATTGGGTTAATGCAGGCATTCTTTTATGTATGTATCATGTACTTACACTGCATGAGAATAAGTCATATTCTTAATAGTCTCATAAAGCTCGGTTGAATCCATCTTCTTTTCGTCTTTAATGTAATCTTTGATTTCTTTAAAAAGCTTTTCTTCAACCTCTGGTGCATTGGCTAAGCAGTAAAAAGTCCACGACAGAGCTTGGGCAGTGGTATCGCGACCAGCAATAATAAAGTTCAATACAACATCCCGCAATTCTTTGTCATTCAAAGGCTCGTCGTTCTCATTCTTAGCACTCATAAAACGGGACAATAAGTCGGTGTGTACTTCACCGTTTGCAAGTTCTGTACGACGCTTGGAGATCACATCTGCGGCAAACTGATCAACAGTTGCGATGTGCTGCTTCATAGTTTTCTTTCTAGGGTGTAGAATTCTATCGATTACACTGGTAAACTCAATTAAAGGGTTCATGAACTTCTCAAACGAGTACAGTTGGCAAGCGTCGAATGATGCAGCAAAGGTCACTTCTCCCTTTGTCTTTAGTGCATTCAGCTGAACGCCAAAACCAAGGCTTTAAGAAAGAAGAAGAAAATGTAAGTTGGTATAGAAACTTGAGAAAGTGCTAGTCTAATTTTGACTTACTAGACAAAAGAATCCAGAGTAAAGCGGAACATGTGGTCGTGGATGTCCACAGCATCTCCAGACACTACAGCCTTATCGAGTGTTTCACTGCATAAAATCTCAATTTCATCTATAAACACACTAAAGGTTCTAGAGTCAATAACAATTTTTCAAAAAATAAAATAAAGTTAAATCATCAGCTTTACACACTCTGTGAATTGGTCTCGGAAATTCTTGACGTTAAAGATTAGACTTGCTGCTTTGCGCTGCCACCTCCATTGTGCTCCGTTGGCATTGAAGATACCGTGACCCAAGAGATGTTCAGTACAGTAATTAAACCAATTGCTCTTTACATAGTTTTCAAAATTGGCTAAATGAACACAAGTCAATTACACTATTACAGGACCAAGACTATTTGTATTTTTTTTGTACGCCACAAATTGAACGGAAATCGAATTTAACCTACTCTTCAAAACATGTTCAACATTACGTGGATCAATAGTCATAACGCCACGAGGAAGGCCCAAGACAGACATAGTCCTATTAAAAGTGTGCGTGTACTTTTAGCAAAATTTGGGCTTGAAGTGTCAAAAATAAAAACATTGTTTCTTATGTGGTATACTTGCATTGTCATAGTATCCAACTTTACAAATTTTTCGGCTTGGAAGTCATGAATTCGATACTTGTTCTTAAGTAAACTGAATAACTGACCAACAAGGGGAAGTCCTTTATCATGGGGTACACCTTCCCGATGTTCAGTAAAGATGGCACGGTCAGGATACCTGAGAGCCAGCAGAATAAGAACCCCAATAGCAGCAGTACTGGCTACACTGAGGTTGCTGGATAAAATGTTCTTCTTGCGTAAGTCAGCAACAAATCTAGCAACGACTTCCATAGTTAATGAATGTAAGAAAGAGAAGGAAATATAACTTGACAAAAGAAAAGAAGAAGAAGAAGAAGATAAAAAAAAAGGTTTATATAGTGTGAAATTCCTTCTATTATTATTGTTACTGTGAACACATCTACAATTCCGCTTTCAAGGGCCGAGTGAGATTTTTTTTTCTTTCTTTTTTTTTAACTTTTTATTTTATTTTAATTTTGTAAAGAGACTATCAAGGCTTGTGTTCTCAAGGTAAATTTCCTATTTATTAAAGAAAAGAGAATATAGAGAAATATATTTAATATTGGCATGAATGTGATAAAGCAACACAAACACTGCTACACAGTAATAGTCTGTGTATGATCTGGACCTGGACGATCTGTTAAATATATATATATATATATATATTGTTGGCCTTTGTCATCTAATTGAACCCGAAAATGGTAATATTCGTAGGGAATTCACTGAAGTAATGAGATTTCCATTGTAGGACAAAAACCTTTATAAAAAAAATTATTCCTGTTTCAAATGCATAGTGAAACTATGAAATTATTGTAAGGCTTATGGCGGATATTTTATTGCAGCCTTCAGAATCAGGTTTAATTTTAATTACTAGTAATATTTTTTGGCCTTATTTAGTGCTTTTATGGTTTCTTATTCTTTCTTTCTTTCATTTGACTTGTATGGTATTGTACTGAAGAAGCTTAATATAAAACTCAAGCTACATCTTTACTTTAATAAAGGTATGTAAATGTACAATATTTGTCTTTCATACACACGTGTATTCTAAAGGTTGGCGGACCATTGTTTATCCATTATGTGCTGAGGTGGAAGAAAGAAGGGGTTTTCAAACGATTGATAACCCGTGTTCTTGGTAGTTAAGACAAATTGAGACAATTTGAAACATATTATAAAACCTCTTGACTTTTTTTTGAGTATATAATCATACGAATTCAACTAATACAAAAAATAAAAGTAAGAATACGGATCCTATAATCTTGCAATTTTGTAATTTTGTAATTTATTTTGTAATTTGATTGTGTATGTGTGTTGTATGTTGTGCATTGTGTATGTGTATATATTATATTTTTCATTTTCTTTTGCTTTGGTATGATTTAACGTTGGCAGCTCCTACAAAACCATTCTTCTACCTGGTCATTTTCAGCGATACCAACACAGCTGCCATGAAACCAAACACTACATTTATCACAGGCAATCATAAAGGTTCCATAGTCCACAGTCGGATTCTCACAGATACACCGGATGATTTCTTGCTGAATTATTGACTCAGGCTCTTTTGGAGGTGGTAGAATAATGACAGGCTGTTCAGAAGGCTCGGGTGGTTTAATCTTGAACCGAATCTTGGGTGTACTGAGAGGCGTATTGTTTGCAGAACTAGGATGAGAATCAGAGCCACTGTTATTTGAATTGGCGGCCGGTAAGCTTAATGTAAGTTTGGGTAATTTCTTTTTCTTGGCATGTGATCCAGATGATGATGAAGGTGATGAAGATGAAGCGGCTGATAAGGAGGCAAGGGACATGGGTGTCAAGGTTGTTTTAGGAAGGTGTGTGTCTGATACAGTTCGTTTGAGTGAACTGTGGGACTCATAATGAGAGCCGTGCTCTTTGCTAGACATGTTAGACGTGACAGAAATAGTATTGGACGTCGAATTGGCTGTACCAGAAGAGTTGGTTGAATTATTGGAGTGGGATATCGTAATATGTGAGGACTGTCGGATTACGGATGGCGATGTACCATTTGTATTGGTGATGTTATTACTACTGCTATTGTTGCCTGTGGTTGTGATTGTGATTGTGTTGTTACCGTTGTTATTACTATTACTATTACTATTACTATTACTATTACTATTACTACTACTACTATTACTATTACTATTACTACCATTATTATTATTATTATTATTATTATTATTGCTCCCGGTAGATTTGCGTGTAGGCTGTCCTCCTGCTAATGAAGCTAGCATACTTCCGTGGGATTTGCTCAAAGATAGTGTTGTGTCTGATGTTGAGACTGAACTATTTCCATCCTGAGCTCCATTGGTTGTATTGGAAGCCACGTCTAACAATAAATTCGGGGAAGATAGCTTGGACACAGCTACTGGAGATGCTACCTGAAGCACAATCTCACCCAGAACACCAGGAACTCTGCCAAACATGGTGTTTCCAGGGGCTGCTTCATCCTGTGTGAAGCGACGGAAGATGGCTTGATTCCCTGGTAATTTCTCCCGGGATTTACTATCTTTCGATGGTTTTGTGTCAAGAGATTTGATGACTTGATCGAGCGGCATCTTTTGAATACCAATTCGACGTCGTTTGCTAGATGGTTGTTTCTGTAATGGATGTGGTGTATTTGTGTTTATGGCGGAAGAGGCAATGTGTGTAGGGATAGTGGTGGTGACGGTAAGCGAGAGTGGCTGCGGAGTTTCTTTATCGGCTGCCAGTGTTGATTCCTCAAAGGGAGTGATGTACGTAAAAGGATTTTCGATGGGTTTTTTGCGTGTTTTTACGACGACAGATGGTAAGAGTGTATTGGGTTGTTCGGTTGTGGTTACGATAGGTAATGATGAAATTGGCGTTAGTGGCTGCACTGCAGCTGTTTGTTCTGGCTCTTCTTTGGGGTCGGATGGGAAAGGTGGGAAATAGGGTGGAATGTAGTCTGGGAGTGCATTTTCGTGAGCTGCATTATTTTCCTTTTTTCTTTCTTCCTCTTCCTTGTTCTCTTCTTTATATTCATCCTCCTCTTCCTCGTATTCTTCTTCGTCACCGTATTCTGCATCTTCCAATACTTCTTCTGCTTTTTCTATGGCTTCTTCCCAGCTGTCTTTATCAGCTGGATCTGGTACTTCCTGGTAGCTGTAGAGAAATCCTTCGTTCTTGCTTGGCCTGCCATGCTTTACGACTCCTTTTTGTATATATATTGGTTTGTTTGGTAAATGGATTTTTTTGAAATCGAGATTTTTCGATCGAGTCAAGAGAAATTTTGAAATGGAAAACGAATTAAAAAATAATAATAACATATATATATTATCAAAAATCATCGGTTTCCTAAAATAGCTAAATAAAAAAAACCCTCTTCCAAAATCCACAATCCAAACCTCATCCCACACGCATATCCTTTCTTCCTCTTTCTTTTTTCCTCTTCTATTTTTTTAGCGTAACTTTGCTCTTAACCTCTTTACTTATTTATCCCTTTATCCCCTTTTCTTCCTTTCTTTTTAGTTTTATTTTATACATCGGTGCATTACCTTGTAAGAATCTTCCGGGATCGGATGATGCTGACCAAGTTGGAGTCAATGCTTTGCCTTCTTCTTCGAGCCAATCACGCAAAGTATTCGTATCGACTGCGAGATCTTCAAGTCCATCGACAACATCCTGAAGAGTTCCTGTTGTCCGGCCCGCCAATTGTGCATAAGCATTTGTTGTCGCGCCGAGCATTTGAATATATTGTCCAAATACATCTGTCAGAATGTCTGTTGGATCGATATGGACTGATTCGTAGCCTGCAGATTGAAGAATCTGAAGGGTTGTGATGCGTAATAATGCAAAACAGAATTTGTCTGTCATGTCGGAAAGATGCGAATTAAGCAAGAAATGTGCGTTTCTTTATTTTCCTTTATTTATTGTTTTTTCTTTCTTTCTTCAAGTGAGCTGGTTTTTTTTGTCTTTCTTCTTTTCTGTGGTATTTTGACCAGCTCTTCTTTCCTTTCGTCCTTTCGTTTAGCGTTCTTCGTTCTTCGTCTTTCTGTTGCTTTTGCTGCTTCTTTCTTTCTTTCTTTCTTTCTTTCTTTAAATACTCTTCTGAAACGTTCGTCTATAAGAGGGGAATCGAGTAGATTGTCCAGAAACTATATAGATATATAGGTATATAAAGAAAAATAGAGAGAGAGAGAGAGTCGGGAGTGGTTCTTTTTTATGAGCGAAGAAAGGACGCGAACAGAAATGAATAATAGCGGAAAAAGAAGCGATTTTTGCGAATCTCAACTGCACAGAAAAAGCAAATCCGTGACGTAATCAAAACATTCCCGTTTTGGTGCATATGACCATTGAATTCTTTGTTAGTTTGTCTATCTATACTCTGTATATCATTCTATCATCTTTTCTCTTTTAGAGACAAGGATAATAAAAAAGAATTGAGAATATGGCAAGTCTGATTCCTAATTAATAAATCATTAATTAATTCACAAGAATTCGTTAATCAATTCTTCTATTCATTAATGTATTTACTCATATAAGAGAAAGAGAGAAAAATGCTTACATTTATTTATTTTTAAATAGTCTTCTCAGACCGATGCACTCTGTCATTCAGCAGATCCACAACATCCTGCTAACCTAATTCCTGAACTCTGTCGTCTATTCTATACTCTTGGCTGGGTTACTGGTACAGGTGGTGGAATTAGCATCAGAAAAGAGTAAGAAATGAGTTTTTCTTTTTTTTTTAGAGATAGGAAAGAAACTTATTTGATTATATATAATTAATAATTCATCTAGTGATCATGTCTACATTGCTCCGTCAGGCGTACAAAAGGAAAGAATGGAGGCTCATCAGCTGTTTGTCATGACTCTTGGTGACAGAACATTTTTGCGTAAACCTGATGTGTTAAAGCCCTCTGCTTGTACACCACTGTTCTACAATGCATACACTATGCGCGCTGCCGGCGCATGCATTCACACTCATTCCCAAAATGCTGTCATGGCTACTTTGTTGTATCCCGGTAAGACATTTGAGATCTCGCACCAGGAGATGATCAAGGGTATCCGACGTGGATCCTCAAAGACCAATTTACGTTACTTTGATAAGTTGGTTGTGCCAATTGTGGAGAATACACCCGAAGAGGAGGATTTGACAGAGCGTATGGCCAAGGTATAAAAAATGGGCGTGAAATGTGTGTGTGGATTTATTTGAATAAACTTCATTGACTGATCTTGAATGAAAATGTTCTGTAGGCTATGGAGGCTTACCCTGATACTAATGCTGTGTTGGTCCGTCGTCATGGCGTTTACGTATGGGGAGGTAAGTGAAATTGACTTTTGTGGTCAACTAAATAAGTGGGAATAATGGAGGAAATCTAACACAATGTTTTGTATGAACCATTAAAAAGAAAACTGGGAAAAAGCAAAGACAATGACAGAGTGCTATGATTATCTGTTTGAGATTGCAGTTAAGATGAAGTCAATTGGAATTGATCCTGCCCTGAAACCTGCTAGTGAGCCAGATTATGTTTAAGAAAAAGCAAAAAGAGAAAGAAAAGTTTATCAAAATTATTATACAAGTGTACTTCTTTAATATTGTATTTTTTTTTTGCACAAGAATGGTAGATGACGTGTCTAATATTTTATCGTTATTCAATTCGTAATACATTTTATATATAATCATCATGATTCCTATCAAAATCCACAAGCAAAAATCAATTGTGGATGAAGATACTGTAAATAACAGTGTTCTTTTTAGTTAAAATGATCTCTTATTAAAAAGCCGCGTCTAAGAAACTAAATAAGAAGAAGAAAAGCTAAATTGAATAGATAGATAGATAGATAGACAACTATTATTATAGGAAGCACACTTCTAAAGAGGAAGAGGAGGTTTTTTTTGTGGTTTTTTTTTATTGAATTTTGGATTTTGGTGACTTGCTTTAAGACGCCAAAAGTGCATTGTTTTTTGATCCTATCTTAACAATACAGCATCGTTTTTCTTTTTTCACTCCTTCTTCTTTTCGTTTCAGTTTTTTTTCTTTACTTTTTTCTTATATCTTTCATGAACGAACAAGAAATAGATCACTTTTGCGTTGTGACGGGCGCAACTAGGCAAGAAGCCGAAAGCTATCTCCAAGTAAGTACAACGAAACATGTTGAAAGAAACAAAAAGAAAAACTATCCGACGAATATGAACTTTTTCCTATCTACAATTTGACTTAACACCGGCTTCAAATTTGAATTTGATTAGATTGCCGATGGTGATGTTGAAACAGCTGTAACACTTTACCTTGAGAATGGAGAAACAAGTCATCAACCTCAAGTCTCGGAACGTTCCTTGAGAACTTCTCATTATGATGCAGACGAAGAACTTGCCAGGCAATTCGAGGCTGAAGAGAAGATTAAAGAGCCTGTACGTGCACCCATTGCCCCACGTCATGACATTCTATCTGGAACATCGTCTATATTTGATGAGAATGCTATCTGGGGTTTGCGCGAATCAAGTAAATAATATATTTGATTTTACTTTATTTTATTTTTTAAAAAAAAACTACTAGTATTATTATTATTACTATAGATGTCATCTCACACTTTTATTTCTTACTAGTGCACAATACAAACCGTTCAGTATTTAACCAAGGCGATTCGTCTTCAAGCACAAATCCTACGCCTGATTTCTTTACTGCTTTTCCTACAAGTGATCAAACTACAGGTAAATAGAGAATAACTTTTTTTTTTTAAAAAAAAAAAAAAAAAACATCAGTGCTGACGTGTGTCACCAAATGAGGGGAGATGATCATGCTGGATAATTATACAGCGACAACAGCAACCAAAAATATATATTAAAAAATATATCAAATAGAATGAAATGTTTTTTTTTTGTATTTAATTTTGTTTTTTTTTGTTACATATATATATATTCGTGTGTGCTTATGTAGCTGGACATCATGCCGTTGATAGTGCAGCTACAGCAAAGGCAAAACGGCTGGCTGATCTTTTCCGACCTCCATTTGACATCATGTTTCGAGGAGGATTTGAAGAAGTATGGAACTAGTGTAGAATACAAAGTAACATGAATACAAAGATCTTACGATATAAATATTTTTTCTTTACCTTTTCTTTTTTTAATAATGAACTATAGGCTAGAGACAATGCACGAGAATCGAACAAATGGCTATTGATAAACGTTCAGGATCCAGCAGAATTTTCTTGTCAGATACTGAACAGGGATTTGTGGAGTGATATTACAGTCAAAGACATTATCAAAGAATCATTTATCTTTCTTCAGGTACGCTGAAAAAAATAAGCAGAGACTTAAGTTTTTAGTATTGCTTTATATTTGTGTCTGTATATATTAATGAAACTGACTTTCTTTTTAAAAAAAAAATTCATCTGTTCGGTCATAGTATGGAAGAGACAGTCCTGAAGGAAAACGTTATTTGACCCTTTATCCTACTCAACACTACCCTCATGTAGCAATCATTGACGCTCGAACTGGTAAAGAAAATTGGCTGTTTATTTTGTAAATCCTGTGGGGTCACGAAAAGGTTATTCACTTGTTTTACTATTTTCATCTTATAGGTGAAAGAATCAAGGTGTGGGACAAACAGTTGTCTGCGTCAGATTTTATGATGAATGGTAATATCATACCCAGTGAAAATTTACATATATATATTTCAAAATAACATGCTATATACAATACACTAAAAAAAATATGTGATTTAGCAACCGAGTTTTTGGAGCGTCAATCCTCGGACAGATCTAGACCGGCTGCAATGAAAAGACCACGTGTAACAAAGGTATGTAAAGGTGATTAAATACAATTAGGATACAAAATTAACTATTGCATACTTTTCCATCCTTTTTTTTATAAAAAAAAGGATGTGTTGGATATGAGCGAAGAGGAACAGATTAATGCGGCAATTGCAGCGTCACTAAAGGCTTATGGAAATGCACCAGAAAGAGAAGATTCGGTTGACATTGATGAGCATGATGTATCTGGCGGAGCTGTGGATGACGCTGTTGAGCCACATGGAGAAACTGAGGACTTTGAAGACATTGAAGAGGAAGAACCCGCAGTTACTGGATCTCTATTGGATTCTATAAAGGCAAACAAACGACCAGAACCAACAAACCTTGCTGATTCTACCCGTATACAGTTCCGCTTAGTTGATGGAAAACGTGTGATTCGGCGGTTTATGAAGACAGATCCTGTGAGGTATCTCTTTGAGTTTGTCAAGGCTGAAGTTCCTCAGACAGAACAGCAGGGATTCGAGGTAAAGTAAACCCACAAACTATATATATATATATATGTGTGTGTGTGTGTGTGTGAAAAAGGGACTAATTTGTTTTCAATTCGGATGTTTCTTTGGACAATGAACTAATGGTTATTACAGTTGGTTTTTAATCGAAAGCAATTGATTGATATGCTGGAACAGACAATTCAAGAGGCTGGTTTAGAAAATTCGGCTGTAAACTTTGTCCTAGCATAAATATATATATACATACCACACACATACACATACACACACAGACACACACAGACACATATACAAATGGGGGGGGGGGGGGGGGGGGGGGTTAAAAAAAAAGAAGATAATATTCCAGTTAACTCATAAGAGAAAGAAGAAGACGATCTATCATTAATATTCTTTTGAAGTTATAAAATCTGCGATTAACACAAAAGCAACCAACTAACTACTAGGTAGCTCAAATTTACAGTGGTCAAATTTACCTTTTATAATCCAACAAGACAGTTTAGAAAACGCAGTGCAAGCCCATAAGATATATTATGACTTGAAATGTTTACAAGATATAAGCATAAACACAACCACAATAAATAAGACAAGAAACAATAGTCTCAAAAGACAAAACAAAACAAAAAAAAAAAGAGGCAAACGTCTTCAAAAATCAATGAGGAAGTTTTTCTTTTACTAATTTGGCTCAGTATGTTCTTATCCTTCATCAAGGTACTTGATATTGATATTGGACACATTTGAATATACGTTTTACTTCAAAAGATAAGAGCATCCACAGCGATTTGTCTAAACCTAAAGTCACATTTATTTACACAAACCGCTGCGGGTGCTCTTAGAGTCTAATCGTCTTGACGTTATTTAATTTATTGATATTTCATTTGCGATTGGCTTGGAATGATTTCTAATAAGATTATTGGGGTAATCTAAAGCTGCCCGTGACAAATCTTTCTATAGACACTTTATCTATAGAGTAGACCCAACATGATAAAAACCAAATACACTGCATAGAAGGTTCTCTTATTTCATCTATAGAATTTAGACTTCTTTTCCAATTAACAAATCTGTTTTGTGAAAATAAATTTATTGATATGTGAAAAATAGTGTATAAACGATCGACAATTTATTTTTTGAAACAAAATAGGCAAATTTTGTACAACAGCTACCTAAAAACCTGGGAATTTAATAAATAATAATTCAGGAATTTACTAATAAAAGCCTGTCTTGTATTGTATATTTGGGTAATTCTCACGAAAATGATTGAGCAATTTTTGCCCTCTTTCCTCTCTCTCTTTCTCTCTCTTTTTGGGTTCAGGATCTAGGTGAAACAAATTGATTACAAGAAAGAAAGTACTAAACCAATAAAACCAAGATGTACCTTTTGGGCATATTATTCATAAATTGTGCAATTGTCAACAGAGATATCATTGTAAACCTATAAGTCTTGCTTTGACAGTGGACCTTTTTACTAACACATCTTGGTCAAACCCCCCCCCCCCCCCCACGTGTGGTCTAGACTAGACAACGATAAAAACAAACCAAAGTAAAACAAGACATATATGTGATACATTTCTATTTCCTTTTCTTTTTCCTTTTGTGTATTTTACTTTTGTGTCTATCAAACATACATATGCTTCATGTAGCTTAATCGATTTTTATTTTGTTCTTATTTAAAATTAAAGAAAGAAGAAAAAACAAATTGAAACAGTACTATGTGTTTCAATACACAACAAGCTTGGTATATTACACCAATCTCAATTACAACCTTGTAATTTGTTTTTAAGAATTTAATTAACTAATCATTACTAAACACCCTAATAGAAAGACAAAATAAGTGTAGATAGATTACTATTGTTATTATTTCTGGTAAACATATCTTCTTCTTTTTCTCTTTCTCTTTGTATAATAAAATATATTTTGTCCGGATCTCCTATCTGAATAGGCTATGGCTTAGTCTGTGTGACGATATGCTGTAAAGAATACAAAGTACCCTAGAGTACAAAACTCTAAAGGTGACCAGTATGATTGTACAAGAATTTATTGAGAAATGAATAGGTCGGAGATAATTATATGGAGATGATAGAAAAAAAGAAAAAAGCATAATAGTAGCAGTAGCAGTAGCAGTAGCAATATTAATAATGAAAACTCCAATTACAATGTCGATACAAGAGACTCAATTAATTACTTGTGTTTCAGAATACACAGTCAATGATATACATACATATATTCTTTAAATATAAATATAAATGTAACTAGACACTTTGTAAAACGGATAAAATAATCAAGAATAATCTGCAAGATAGGGTATCAGTGTCGATTTTGATTTTGTATGTTATAATATAACCGGAAATCTTAGACGTGGTATTGGCGGTATTGTAATAAAATGGCTCAAATTAATCAACAGGATGTTCTCACCATTACAAAAGGTTCTTCACGATCCGATAAACTTTCTTTTATCCCAACGTTTTTGAAAGCCTAAAAGACCAATAAACGCTAATAAATCTAGCACACGTTTGTGCACAAGTATTATTACAATAGAGCAACCCAAAATTTTCTTTTAAGCTAAAATCAAAAACGAAACAAAAAGGTTGTCTTCAAAGTTGTGTTGGCATATACCTTTTGCTTTTGCATTGTATTTTCAAAGACTGTAAGTTTATTGTGTACTCGAGAGACAACACCGCTTTGTGGGATATTAAACTCAAAACAAGATAATATATACTACCCTTACAAAACGGACCTTTGTAATCTATCCAGACCTATCTATGAGTTACAAACAAATTGCTCTTTATTTTTACCCCGTATTTTTAGCTTTTTTTTGGCGGCTACTCAACTCAAAGAATCCAATTGTTCCCCTTTATTTTGACCACTAATCTTATCTTTCACGTTGTATAGATATGACTCTTGTTATCTAAAGAAGTTGTTTTCTGACAAAGTCTGCTTCTATTCAATAATAGTAAAACAAGACATACTTTAAATAAGTGTGCGTACACATATACACAAACACTAAACATATAGACTATTCACCATTATTCTTTATTCGGAAGAAATCAAATTTAAATCGATTTGGATAATAGTACAAACGATGGGCGTACGATTCAGAACAATCTATTGTCACACCAAACCAAACCAGAAAAAAGAACAGAAGAAACTCATTGGACATATCCAGTTTTCCTTGCTTGTTACTAAAGCGGTGATCTGAAGCTCACTATTCAGTCTAGTAACACATTCTGTATTGGGTGCTATGGCTACAAGAAAAAAAAATCTCTGACCCAGACAGGTCAACAGAAAGATGCCTGTGCGTTCGTGCAATCTCTAAAATCTCGCTTTAACCACAAGCAAGTCAAAGTATATATGTGTGTACTTGAGTTCAATCAAGTTGTTTTTAACTATTAATTCTAAAGGTAATTAGTAAACCCCTGCTGTGGTCGAGGCCCTGTATTTTTTGTATGATTTTGATTACTATGGCCCAAACGATATAAAGGCCCGTGCTGCGCATATCTATATCATATTAAACGGAGATAAAGGGCTCCTCTCATTATAGACAGACTAGAAACACATGTGCGCACTTGTAACTCTTCACTTCAGACTTGGTTGAGGAGTTCAAATCAAATCAAACCAAAGAAGAGGAAGAAAGGGAAAAAAAACTACTCACGTGCAAGTTGATTTGAGGCCAGACTTTTGTACCATAAAACAACACTGATAAATAGTCCTTGTTCTTTGCTAGATTTCAATTCAATTCAATTCAATTCAATTCAATTCAATTTATTTTATTTTATTCCACTTCTTTTATTTTGCTTTAATTTTATATATAAAACCAACCAAGTAATCACAGCCAAAATCGCAAACACAAACACAAACATAATAATAAATATAATCAGAATGCCAGCATTGAAAACACCTCAAACACAAGTAGTATTCCAAGACATCAACCAATCTATTCTCAGTAGTCTTCATACAGCCGCGACTACTCAAGTATATCATTATGAAGTAGGCGGTCGCTGTATTGGATGTGATGTAGTTGCCAACATACACCGTACTGCCATTCTTGTGGCCAGACAACAAGAGCCCATTGTATGTAACGGTGTCCTGCTTGAACTCGTATCCCAAACAATCCGCCTTTTGTCCAGCCATCTCGAAACCCACACAACCCACTATCTGAGTTGGTTTGACAATCTTTCTCTCGATCTATGGGAATTTTCAAAGCAGTTGAAAGACGAAACCAATGAGTCGGACATTCACCCTTTGAATTTGACAACACCTCCATATTCGCCCTCGGAGGAAAAGTACATGGTGTTTGAGGATCCAGAGAACTATAGAAGAGCAACGCGAGCTGAAATCTATTATTTCCGTGCCTTGATGAACGAATACGCATCAACCAACATCGAAGAGGCAATCCAGTACTACAGAAAGTGTGTCACCGTCCGTCCTACCCTTTTGCCTTCCCACCATCACATCCAACAGTCGGCCGCCGCTGCACTTCAGCGTCTTGGCGCCACAAACTCAGATAGCTCCAGTGCTTTCAAATCCCGGACTTCCTCTGTATCTAGTCGCAGCTTGGGCTCATCTTCGTCCTCTACGTCTTGCTCTAGCTGTGGCAAAGAAAAGCGAGTGATGCCAGTATGTGCAAAGTGCAAGACAAGATATTACTGCGGAATGGCCTGTCTCAAAGCAGACAAGGCCAAGCACTCATTGTACTGCACTACAAAGTAAGCCCTAAGAATAAGACCCGCAAAATATAAAAAAAAATTACCCCAAAAAAAATTATGCACAGAAAGCGCAACTTTCTATTTTTCTCCCTCCCTCCCTTGTGCTTGCTTTCCTTTGCTTCTATCACTTCTTCTCGCATGTATTCTTCTTCTTCTTTTTTTATAATTCCTTGGGCCTTTATTTTATTCTTTATTTTTATTATAAGAAAAGAAAAAAGAGGTTTGGTAATTGAGTGTCTTGAAGCCTTGAAGCCTTTACGCCTTCTTTTGAGCCTAGGCACAATTTCATTACCCAGACTCTCTTGCTGTATATTTATTTTTCTATTTTATTAATGTATATCCTCTTTTACACACTAATCATTACATTTGCTTTTGTGTATTATTCTAATATATCACTTCTCTCCACCTCCCTCCACTCCTTTACTTACTGCCTTTTTCCCTGTCTTTTCTTGCTATTTTTTTTTCAAAAATAAATAAATTCAAATAATTTATATAATGTGTGTATAATGTGTATTTTCAATTTTTATTATTAATATTTTCTATTATTATTTTATTATCATGACAAATTGAAATTAATCGTTGGGTTCAATTGACTTGGAATTGCCTGTTTTTCTGCTTTGTCTCTCCATTTTCAATTGCTTCTCACTTAGAGACTTGAGCTGCTTCAGAATAGGAATAGGATATTTGCTCGCCGAAAATATATTCGATTGTGTTCTTCTAAGACTCCTAAACATCGATTCTACATGTCCCTCGTCCTTGTTCGTCTCGTCTATTTGATATTGCACTGACCACTCGTCTGTATCTCTTCTCAAGTTGACATAATCACTAATTTGTTTTCCATTCACGTAAGATTCAGTTGACATAGTAAACATTGTCAACTTGCTGTATGGGTCCAAGGTAGGATCATGGGTTTGGAAGAATTTAGTTCCAAAATTGTCCTCCAGCAAAGGTGCGTCAGACTCTGTTTTGGCTTCTTCTTCGGGTGGAACAGCTTCGACAAAGATGTTCAACTTTGTAGAGCTAGCATTTTTGGATTCCTTAGCTTCGAATGACAACCGCAATGTCTTTTGTTTTTGTTTGTTTTTTTGTTCACAGACCATGTTTGGTAATATAAGTAATATAAACAAAAAAGCAAAAGTAGCTTAAATTACCTGGTCAGGGTATTTGGCAGTTGCCTTATCTAGAACAGCTTCAAACAAGACGAGTGTGTTACGGAATGCTTCATCGCCCATCTTCGTTGTTCCGAATATGCGTGAGTCCATTTCCTCTCTCGAAATATACTGAAACCCAAACAGCTTAGAAGTATTGTGGTACGCGACCATAATACCGTCCATGTGTCCTATCCGTACTTGGAAACTGTAAATAGATCATAGAGTTCATACACAAAGAATGAGAAATAAATAAATAGATGCATAGCTAAATAGGAATTGTTTCAAATACTATATATGTATATGTATAGGAAACTTAAAATCCATTAGACTTGCCTGTATTTCAAAAATGCAGATCGCATCATATCGTAATACTCTCTCTCAAATGATTCCACCAGACCGTGGGATCGTTTCAAAGTGTAGCCAAGATAATCCTAAATAATAATTGTAATAATTACAATAAAGTCTTGTCAATTTAAGGTTGCACAAACACATATTATCAGCGTTGTTGTTATTTGCTTACGGAATAATTAGACATATCCAATCGAATTGGGATAGCAGCTCTAGTCTTCAGGTCGAATGTACCTCTTGGCAGTCTGGAATCATAACAGTCAAGCTGAGATCGCAATAGAAATTTTCCAATCTGATAATCATGATAATCAACAATCAAAATTCAAAAGAAATAATCAGTTCCCACACACAGAAACCATTCTTACTTGTCCATAAGCGTATGATTCGGGAAGATTTTTTTCTTCTTCTGGAAACTCGATTGCATTGTCCTTAAGATACCGGTTGTATTCTTCCGGCTCTAATGTCAAAACTTTCTCCATGGATCTACCCTATTTTCAACGGAATTCAACATTAATACAAATATACACAGATAAAATGTATCTCTGTTACCATTAACGAAAGAATTGTGTCTTCTACATCATGGCTCTTGTCAACATCTACAGCATATACACCATTCTTCCATCTCAAATAGATAGATGCAGGTGCGCGCGTTCCTCTGGTAAACTTTGTCGATTGGCCTTCAAAAGCCTTGGAAAGAATAGAAATATCTATGGGTCTAAAGTTGGACACAGTGAAATAAAAATGTGACAGGACGGCCGAGACAGACGATGTCGAACCTAGATACCGTTTATTATGGTCGCGCGCCATCTCCAGCAGATTCTAAAAAGAGTAGCAGCAATATTGAGTCTATATTAGTATTTGAAATGATATATAAAAAAATGATTTTTCTTATTTATTTTTTACTTTGTCTTTGGAAGAAGTAATGTAGGGTTGCATAGCATCATAATTGAATTCTGATGGTTGAGTAATGTTCTCAAGAAAAGGCGTAAAGTTGTATTGTTTTGTACGAGGATCTTTGAGAAAATGAACGCCTGGACTGTACACAAGAATTTCGATTTTAGTAATTTATTCTATATTTCAATTGTTGTTATTACTTGAACAAGACCCGTTCTAACTCATGGGCAAGGCTTGGTACCTTTACCTCTCTTGGTGGTTCCACGCCTTTTTTTGTTTGTTTGTTTTTTTTTGTTTTTGAAAAAGAATAGTTTCATATTTAGCTGTTTAATTCATTAACGTGCACAAGCCTTCTATTCTTTTCTCTCTCTCTCTCTCTTTACGTTTGTAGACAATTTCATTGTCGATTTGACTCCATGAAGATGATAAAGTATGATCTTCCAAAGGTTTTGGGTTCTCTTTAGCGTCATGTTCTAAAGCACTAAGAAGGCGGCTAACAAAACCTTTCGACTTATTCTTTCCTCTTTTCGACTCGGGGGAATTTTTCTGTGAGCTCAAATGTTCTCTTGCTGTCTTACGCCTTTTATTCTTGATAATAACCACATTCGTATCTGAATCCTTTGTTCCAACGTCCGGTTTGGCTATTCAACCATGTTATTTCACTTGCAAACAAGCAAACAACATTTGGCTATATATACAATTATTTATTATTCACAATTTTAATACCATCGTTGTATTTGTTTATTGAACTGAAATCATTCTTGTGGTTGGTTTGACTCGTCACAAATCGTACATTAGTAAACACGGCATTTATTCGATTTCTTGTTAATGTCTTCCATTTTGGTCCAGATCTAATCGGATTAATTTGTGACCAGACGATTGTTGTTTGTCTGATAGCAATTCTTTGCATAATATTTTTTTATCTATGACTCAATCAATAAGTCGATTAAAAAATTGGGTTGTCTATATAATCAAGCTGTTTTCAGAGTAAAAAGAGAATAAAAAGAGAATTTGTTTTAAAGAATCCAAAGCTCTCACACATCATTAATTAGATTCAACCCCCCCGTGGCTTCGAAGGAGTTGTGACTGCAGTCCTTGTTGTTCCAGTAACTCCTTTCCTACCCTTGTGGAGACAGACTATCTCTTATTTTTTTTAATATTTCTATTATTATTTTTTGATAATATTATTCTATTCATTAATTGAATTCCGTTATTCAATACTCACATACACACATTGCCATTGATATCGACATAAATCATCATGAACACAAGCGTGCGATTACCCCGTGTGTTGACCCAAGTACGTCACGCCTCGACCGCCTCCAAGTCTGTGAAGCCCGAAATCTTTTTGCAGACAATCGTGATGAGCAATGGTGCTACCTTTAGTGTCAGAACCACTTCACCTGTACGTGCACAGATTCGCCTCACCAAGGATACTCGTAACCATCCTCTTTGGAATCCCGCCATGCTCAAAGCAGGCTTGACCGAAGAGAGCGAACGCCTCACTAAGTTCCAGAAACGATTTGGTGAAAGTGCTGACCTGGCCGATATTTCATGGATCGAGAGCGATGAGGCTATTTCTGCTGCTATGAAGAAGGCTGCTGCAAGCGGTGGACCTGCCAAAAAGGCGCCTACAAAGGGAAAGAGAAAGTAAATTAATACGATTCAATTCATCGTATTTTTTGTATAGTAGAAAGAAAGAAAAGAAAAGAAAAAATATCAAACAAGAGCAAAAGTAAAAGCAAAAGCAAGAAACAATTGAGGAAACCATTATATATACACATAAAATAAAAAGCATACAAATCAAGACAATCGTATGGATCTCACAGAAATCCTTCCACCAACTACACATATACACTCACACAGATATACATACGTGTGTTGATTAGTTTTTATCATGGAACTTTAACCAACGTTTCAAAACTTATAATAATACCAATAATATAAGCTTGAATTTATACCTCTTTACAGCTCATTCTTATTCATGCTGTGAACGAAAAGAAGAAATCCCATGCCACTGATGTATTTTATTTTTCAAAATTATGCTTTGTTCATATCCATTGATATAATTAACTTCAAGAGGTTTTGCTTTATTTTTTTATTTTTCTTAATAACCCACAATAATCTCTTTTCTTTTTTTCACCTTTTCCCCTCTCTTTCCTTTACAGCAACATCAATTTTGATTTCTTGTAATTCCAATAATTTTGTCGAATTGCGTCAAATGTGTTTGCCAAGCGGTCGCACATCTACAGAAACATATGCGTGTATAGATGCAAAGATATAAAGTAAATACAAAAAATAATCACTATATTTTTTGCTTACCTCGATAGCTTCGGGGTCAATTGGTTTCTTATCCCGGACAGCATTTTGCTCATACATATCAATATACATTGACCAGAGATGAGGAGAAGTGATTTCCTTTTCACGCAAAGACTCCAAGAACCCTTTCATCTCAGCCAATTGTTTTTTAGCCTTTTCCAATATCCTGACACATACATACATAAATTAAGATTATTGATATGTATTCAATAGTTCTTTACTTCTTCTTCTTCTTCTTCTTCTTACGATGACAGGTATGCCCAACTGCTTGGGTTGTTGGGTGCCAATGCAATCTTCTTCTTTGAGAACCTATTTAGAGTCGAAGAAAACAAAATCATCTGTAAGAAAAAGAAAAACTCATAATATAGCCATAGACTATCAGACTCTTCCCATATCATGTGTATCTGTGTACGTTCGTTAAACTTACTCAATCTCATCTTCAAGTTCTTCTAATGTTACTTTGCGAGGACGATTTGACAAAACAAAATGACGATAATTCCAAGCAGAGTTATTACGGATATCAAAAACCAACATGTCATCTGTAAAACTTAGTTCTTCATCCCATTTGTCAAAATGTGCAACAACCCATTGTCTACAAAAAAAGTTAACATTTTTTTTAATTTATATATATATGTGTGTGTGTGTGTGTGTGTATACCTGTAAGACCATGCATGGTAATTTTTGGAATCTCCTTCAAGAATCTCATTGATAAATTCCAGTTCCTTGTCACCATTTCCTAATTTTTCTACGACCACTTGTCTATGGTGCCTATTTTTTTTGGTAGTTGAATAAGATCTGGCTTCTTAGTACCTTGTGGATACTTCACAATAAGTTCTTTATGTCTCTCTTTGTTTACCAAATCTGGTAGTTCTTTGACTGGTTTTCAGCAATAGAATCAATATATTCAAGCTCTTTGTTGAGGTCAGAGCCAAGTGTAAACAGCACTTTCTGACGATATTGCCTAGTTGGAGAGTCGCATTAGTTTATTTATTTATATTTCTTTTAAAAAAAACATTTGTTTATCTATAATGACAGTGAGTATAATCTATCATACCAAACAGTGTAATGAGCTGGGTTCATTTCAATAATTGCTGCAATCAATTCGAGAACGCGAGGGGATCTTTCGTCATTTTTGCTTACAGCACGGAAATAGTCCATGGCATCTTTGTCTGTGTAAGAAAAAAAAGTATCGTTCATATTCACATTTTCTTGATACAATTAGTACCAAGAAGAAGAAAAAGAAATCTAAAGCAGAATACTTGCAGTCAGAAGAATAAGCAATGGGAACGAGAGGATTTGGTCCATCATCTTGGGGAACTGGCGTAATGTCAGCCCACTCAGGCTTCTTGCTATAGAAAGAATCACTCATGAAAGTAAGAAAAAAGTACTTGAGTTTATTTTAATATATATAAAAGTAAAGAATGAAAATAAAATAAAATAAAATAAAGGTTTGTCAAAAGCCGGGTAATGAATTCGATCGAGTCCCAGAAGCCTGTGACAAAGAAGACGACACCAATATTTGTATAAGCATATATATATATATATGTGTGTGTGTGTGTGTCTATTGTATTGTGTATACAAATAAATGTCGTTGAAGCATATCTCTCTCTATTTATATAACACTTTTTTTTAAAGAAAAAAGCCCTTGTTAATGTGGACACCATTGTTCAATATCCAAGTTATAATTCTTGGAGAACGGGTGCTTAATGAAGATGGTGTTACACGGGTGGTACGGTGAAGAAGAGAAAAATAAAGAGGATTATTTAGAGATCTGGACACAGTCATTGTTACAATGTTTTATTATTATTATTTAAGATTGAGACGAATTATATTTAATTTTTAGGCATCTTTTTTTTGAGATAAGGCTTGACAAGACTATATTTAATGTGGAATGATATGGCAACACGATGTTAATGTTTCAAAAAATTGTTGTGGACAGACTAAAAGCTCAAACGACTTTGACTGGCTAGTCTTTCTGAAAGAATCTAGATATTTTACATGTAAAATATTCTACAGAATAATTATGATTTGTCTAAAAATGAATTACCATTAATCTAAAACAAAAAATCCAGGTTGTCTTAATTCTCAAGTTTGAATATTGTATCTACATTTTGGGAATAATGAATTAAAACACAATACCTACAAGTACATTTATTGCTGTTATCAAGTTAAGTTGGCAGAGACTCCTTAAAAAAAAAGATAGAGGTTTTTGATATAATTTTCTCGGATAATTTCTTTATTTTCATCCTTCTAAGAGCATCTGCAGCGGTTACATTACAGACAACATTATAGATAATGTAGTCCATTTTTAAGGCCAGGAACATTACATATAGTGTTACATTATAAATCGATATTTTTTTGAATCGTTTTCTTCCCTCTCACATCCTTTGTTAAAGCGAACAATGGTCTATAGAAATGAGCAAAAAAATCCTCACAAATTACGCTCACTATTAATCTGACAATATTGAAATTATTAAATTCATATTTTTAATGCCTTTATAGAGAACAAATGCCCAATAAAATAAATTTTAAGAAAAAGAATATGAACAAAACCATTAGTGAAGAACTGGCAACCTTAGACAGTCAAAAAGCTCAAATTTTTCCTTTGTAATGTAACCACAATTTGGCAATCTGTTTTTAACTGGTATTAAATCCCGGGTGTGGCTATACTACACTATATATATATATAATGTTTTCGATAATGTAACCGCTGCAGATGCTCTTAATGGACAAAATTTGTGTAGTTGGTTACAATACAATAAGAAAAAGTTAAACCACATAAAACCGTTTGAATTTTATTAAGGCATATTACATTTGTATCATTAGTAGACATCTTTTTAAGCAACTACAATCAAAGCATAAACTGAAGAAAGAGTCTACTATGTCAAAAATAATAAAATTTATTGAGAAAGATCACAGTCACTATTCTTTACGTGTTGATTAATGCACACTTTAAAAGCGCATACTGCTTACTTCTCTTTACACTAATGTATAAGCATTCTGTTGCAGTAATTTTAAAGATATATATCAAAATCCGAATTTTATTTTGAAGGGCCTTCTTAAGCACCCTCAAAGGTCCTAAATGTTGGTGATGGTTTCCTTTTTTCGGATTGATGAGAGCTTCCTAAATTAGCAACATTTGCCAACACTTTGGCGACGGCAAAAGTCGAATACAAAGTTTTGGCGAATCGCCAACAAAATTGGCTAAATTAGAAAACATTCACTAATCTTTATTTGGATTTCAACGCCAACTTTTAGGACCTTGGCGGGTGCTTGAGAATCCCCTTATTTATTTATTTATTTTGGCAGTACGAGAGCGTGCACCTATCAATTTATATATATATATTGAATTTAATATCTGTATTTCCCTTCTTCTTCTCTTTAACTCTTGCTCTTTTATTTTTATTTTGCTTATAAAAACTTGTACACTTGGCCACTTGTAAACTTATACACCTATACAAATACAATATATATATATATATATATATAAATTATTTTGTATACCATTTATACCATTTATACCACAGTAAAAACAGCAGTAATAAAATATGGAAGACATCTCGATTGAAGATAAAGTCAAGATTGCATCTGGATTCCTGTTGGCCAGTCCTCCCGGTGAAGTGAATGATGTGTTTAACGGTATGAAACAGTAATTATATATATACATGTAGACTAAAATTTTACACATTTGGGCGCAAACTTTCAAAACTAAATACATAATATTTATTTAGATGTTCGTACATTGGTTGACGATGACAAGGCCTTAGAAAGCGGAATTCTTACTACTCTTGAAGAATACAACACTGAACAGTTGATTACTGTCATTCCACCAGGTCTTGATTATGAGGTAATTCATATTCAGCCTTTTATTTATATTAAGAACAAAGAAATGAAGAAAAAGAAAAAAGCTTTCTTTACTGACAATTGTACACCTCTCTTTAAATAAATAAAATATAGGTTATCGTATCAAAACATGGCAAGGTTGATTTAGACCGGTACCTTGATCCTCGTTCCAAAAAGTCTTTCCAGTTTGATCACATTCGCTTGGTAATATAATATATAATAATAATGTTTATGTATTTATATTTGTGTGCGCACGTAAAAAAGAAAGAAAGAAAGAAATGACTATTTGACTAACACACATATACGTATTAAAGGTAGCAACTGAATTGAAAGATCATACAGAAGATCTTCCAATAGAAGACTTTAGGTAAAAAGAAAAAGAAAAAAGAAAAGAAAGGAGGGAACATAGATGGGTTGGGCTTCATCTTGTATTTATGCGTGTGTGTGTGTATGCGTATGCGTATGCGTAAAATAAGAAAAGAGAGTACTTACATGGTGCTTAAATATAATTAAATAGAGCAGCAGTGGAAACAGAAGCTCATAAATATGTAAATGATCATTATCCAAACGGTGTATGCTCTGTCTATGGTCTTGACGAAAACAACATTGCTATTGCTATTGTCGACAACAAGTACAATCCTAATAACTACTGGTAAAATAATTAACTCTCCCCCTCCCTTCAAAATAGGTCACGATACAACGTTAACAACTTGGAATAACTTAACGTATCTTTCTGTAGGAATGGTAGATGGCTCGCTACTTGGGTTTATAATCGCGAAACAGGTGCTCTCAAAGGTGCTACCAAAGTACATGTTCATTATTACGAGGATGGAAACGTTCAGCTAAACTCGGACAAGAAGTCTGATTCGACGGTTACCTTTAAAGAAGTATGTTTCTATAAAGGAAAATAATAATAATACAAATCCACTTATTTACTATTATTATTTTGTCAAAGGATGTTACAGTGACAGCCAAGGCTATCGTCAAGGAAATTACGACATTTGATAAACGGTATCACACAGCTGTAAACAATAGCTATGAAGAATTAGCCGAGAATGCATTTAAGGGTTTGCGTAGAGCTTTGCCGCTGACTCGTAACAAGTTGGACTGGAACAAGATCATGAACTACAAAATTGGTAACGAGTTATCCCAGAAATAAGACTTTCAAATAAAATAGCATACACATGTGCGCACGCGTACACGTACATGTACACGCAAATAAAATTCAATAAAGCAAATCCAACGCTCTACAAAGCAATTTTACATGCAAGCTGTCTGTATTGATTTAAATGAAGATTTACAATATGATAGAAGAAAAAAAAACCTCGTCTATGGTTCAATGCTGTAAGAATACTATGTTCATTTGTTAAGGGGTAGGGTTAACATGAATACCCTCTTGTTCGTCTTGAATAATGGTGTCATACCAAGGCTGGTATACTTGTCTGTTGTGATGAACAAGAACATACAACCTTTGGGACAGGTCTTTCAGGGGTTGACGAACATAGCCAAGTCCGCTGCTCACCAGTGTATCTTGCTCTACAAGCTGACCAGTGTGAAGGTGATGGCGCAAAACAGATCCAACTCTACGTGCAAGTAGTGTGTATACCATATCATTGTGAGTCAGTGTTTTCTCAACCATCGATCTGACCATAGTGTGAGGAACAGACGGGTTTTTGATGTGTTGCCCAATCTCGACCGTGAGATGATCAATCGGTACTGTTGCAGAATCTTCTAGTATCACACTCAGCGTATTTGTAAGCTTTGTCAGATCTCCGGTTCCACCAAAGTTACGTGTTAGCATTAAAAGAGCGGCCACCGTTGTTATACGATGTACGTGCTGCTGGTAGTCTGCCAGTCGGTCAACATCCAACAATAATGTCTCGGGGCAGGTAATACGTATCAGAGGATCGGTGGAGGTCAAGAGAGATACAAATGCTTCTTCAAATACCATATCTTTTGAAGGAAAAGCTTGTGGTCTTTTGGCTGCTTCTGCAGGCACTCTTTGTTTGTTGGCCTCATTAACACGCCGATAAGCTTTTTGCAACCAGCTTCGGGTCTTTGCTAACCCTGCTTGACCATGGCTTAGAGCTTCTGCAAAACGAGCTCTTTCATAGCTCACAGCCATTGGTATAAGTGCTGGGCGAAGGGCACGCAAGCGGAAGTTCATCAAATCAAACAACATGTCCTCGAGTGTTTCAAGAATAGCCCTTATTTTGTCCACCGACCGAGGCAGGGAACGAATGGCCTGAATTGCTTCATCCCTAGCTGGTGCACACATTTGCAGCATAAAATCCACAATCATGTCCAATGTTTTCTCAAGATCAAAGGCGCCCTTCTTTGTTTCTTGCTCGATCAATTCAATATCAATAGCTTCTTTTATACGCTCGACCCATGGACTTCCTTCACGTACCAAGGCTACTAAACGCTACAAATCACAAATAAAGATAATAAGAAAAATGTTTCCAAAAAATAAATAAACTACAATATGGTTTATTTACTGTGCGGATATCATTCATTAAAGATGGAATAGACTTTTCTGAGTGACCATTATCTAGTTCTTCTGCAACTCGGTCAAAGAATGCTTTGGTAGCAATCGTTCGTACTCTCGATTCGAGATCTGTGTCTGGTTCTCGTTTGTAGAGCTTAAACTCAGGATCCATAATGATCTCATGCGCAATCTGTTCATGGGATCGACCTGATGCCGGTGCATAGCCTGTCAGCAGCCGAGACAACTGTTCGGGGCTCACGTGGACATGTTCTTCGTCCGGTGGAGTTTGCTGGAGTGCAAGTCGCTCGGGACGTGGTGTTGGAGAGGGTGGGATTGGCGGATGAGAAGATTGGATTGGTAATGTCTTCAGGACTTGTTCGGCTTGTGTGAGATGTGGGATTGCGTCGGGTTCACGAGATTCCATCCAGCTACGGAGTACTTGTTGTTGTTGAGCTGCTTCAGACCCTTCAAGTCCCAATGTGGCCTTAAGTCTTGCTATGTCAAGATAGAGTGCTGCGACATTTTCTCTCTGCTGCTCGATGTCCTGAGATTTGATTGACTCAGATAGTGCATAATAACTATTCCAACATTCTTCTAGTGCCATGCGTGCAATACTTTGGACTTGGGGAGGCTGGGAATCGAACCATAATTCAAGGTTGTGTAGTAATTCTTTCGAAGCAGTAAGAATAGGTTGAATGGATTCCATTATAAATATACTTTGGCGTACGTAAAAGAAGAAGGAAGAGAGAGAAGGCGGATAGCCAAAAAGGTTAATGGAAGTACAACATGTGTGTGTGTGTGTGTGTGGCAAGCGGATGTTTAAACAGTTTTAACTCGCTTAAATGCATCTTTTACTTTAATCCTGTTCTTCCTCTTTCTGTTTAAATTATACCAAATTCTCTTTTATACATATACTTATATACTTACACTTATCTAAATGGGATTTCTATCAAGCAAGAAGCGCTCTCGAGTAAATTTGAAAGTAGATGAAAGTAAAGATAGTACCCATTCTCGATCCAGTTCACCTACGCCTTCTACTCGGTCTCTTTCACCCAATCCATCAATGCACTACCGTACAACCCACACCTTGATTGTTGGACAAATTTATAATGATATTATTCTTCATGTGAGCCACTTTCCCGCCGAAGATACAAAGCTGCGAGCAAGTTCTACCGAGCAAAGAATCGGCGGAAATTGTGTCAATACGTGTCGTGTTCTTACTCAATTTCCAAAAACTCATGTTTGGTGCATGTCGGCGATTGGCAGCAAAGAGTCCTCGGCGTAAGTTTATTAAGCATTGGATATTATACAAACTAAAAATACCCGAGATATCCCCAAGTGGGCTTCTTTCTGAACTGGAGTCAAATGGAATTAAGATGACAACATGTCTGTACCGTCAGTCAAGTATGCCATCATCCTACATCATCCACAATGAGGCATCAGGATCAAGAACTATTATTTCGTGCAACAAGTAAGATATTATTATTTGATGTTTAATGTTTAATATAAGATTAAGATTCTTAAACTCTGGTATATTTAGTACGCTTGAAATCACGTTGGATGAATTTATACGCAAGATTGAGATGACTAGCCTCACAAAATCGATTCAATTCGATTTTAACGCGGCACCATTTACATGGGTCCACTTTGAAGGCAGAAATATCAGTGAGGCCCTTTTGCAGATTCGATGGTTGGAGACAAAAGGTCAAAAAGAAAATTGGCGTTCAAAGATGACAATATCAGTTGAGCTTGAAAAGCCTGACCGGCAAGACATTGATCTGCTCATGTCAAATGTGAGTTGAATTGAGAATCAATTTAAAACATTGAATGTTTATAAGGAGCTTGTGAAATTCATACTTGAATACAATAGGGTGATGTTGTATTTTTCTCAAAGATATTTGCGCAAGCAAGAGGCTTCAATAATGCAAACGATTTTCTCGAAGCCGTGAAACCAGACTGCAAACCAGAGTAAGGCAATCGAGGAGATACATATTTTAATTTTTTGTTGATCCAAGTATTAATTTGTTAATTGTCTTTTTTTTCTTTAAAAAAAAAAGGTCAACTCTATTCTGTACTTGGGGTGAATATGGTGCTGCCTGCCTAGAAGGAAAAACAGGTCATGTTGAGCAGGTTAAGGCTATTAAAGCGGACAGCGTGGTGGACTCGGTTGGTGCAGGAGATACTTTTATTGCCAGTGTCATATATTGTCTTGGTCAGGGATTATCAGCCACAATTGCTCTGAGAGTTGCTTGCGAAACTGCCACTCAAAAAGTATCCCAACTAGGATTTGATAATCTTGGTGGTCGTATTGATCCATTATACCTCGATAAAATCAATGTAATCAAACCAAAGGCATCGAACGATGGACGTTGGCTAAGCGCAGATAGTTACAGAGTTCTTTAATATAAGTTTATTGGTATTACAATATCGTAAATGCCTGTAAAAATAATAATTTAATATGAATATTCTCTCGGGCTGGAGTGTCGATTGCTCCGACCGTGACTGTGGTGATAGTTTGGCCGGTCTTTTTGGACGAAAGCAAAAAGAGAGAGTAGCGAAAGAATGAGAACATGGACACGAACCATTGTATCATGAGTGGGAGCACTTGTTCGACTGACCCTAAACAACATCCCTCGGAGCTACCTAGCGATACAGAATTACCGAGTCTCTTGACACCATGGTAAAAAAATAAAAGTTTGCTTTTTCTAGTTCTTTCAGATAGCAAGAACATAATATATATATATAAGTTGCTTTCGTTTATATATAAATCTGTAATTAATGTCCCAATCTATACTAAATTACATTGTTTTAGGCAAACAGAGGATTATGAAAATTCCATCAAGACTGCATTGGTACAACCTAATGATTGCAGTCAGTTTCGGATTGATGGTCAGGTCCCACGCCAAAACTCAATGTTGGCACATTCACACCAAGTGTATTTACAGCAAAACGAACAAAAGCGTGCTGGTCCAGGAAGGCGCCGACTAGAAGGCCAAAAAGGGTTATTGATGGGACTAATTGATCACTGCTATCCACCGCCAATTTGTCCTTCCTGCTACTACACAGGATCTAGTTTATCTGATATCCATATGCACTATAAACTACATAGTGGAGTTAAGGCATACAGATGTATTCATCCAACCTGTAACCATGCGTATAGCTCACGCCCTGGACTGCGTTATCATCTTGAGCATGCTCACACTGTGACTATGATATCTGATTCAAGGTACAAAAACGCAATTTATTATAATGGAGGGCGTTGAAACCAAATCTAACTCACAAAGATACAATTAAATCTGGTTCGATTTTATCCGATTTTCATTGTATATCATCGTAATTTTCTTTTATATATTTTTACAAGTGTTCAACTCGTTGCTTCAAAGAAATCGGTTACAATTTCCAAACGGCCGGCTCCTACACGCATGAAAAAGTCTCAGATATCAGCCTCTCTGCAGACCTTGTTAGACAATGCCTACCATCCTACACTTTGTCCTGCCTGTCAAATGAGCTTCAAGCGAAAAACTCATGTTGTCCATCATATTGTTAGTGCCCATAGAGGTGATGAGATTTACAAGTGTGTTGTTTCAGGCTGCAAGCGAAACAAAGCCTATGCCACTCGCGAAGGATTAGTGTATCATCTAGCCAATTATCATTCTTAAATCTCATGTACCTTTATTCAATTCATATACAACACTCTCACTCACTCACTCACTCACTCACTCACTCACGCACTTACGCACGCACTTACGAACTCACTCACTCATATACATATATATACATATGTTTGTATGCTTGTATGTATATACGTATATACGTATATAAGTAACATACGCACACACATAACACGCATCATCCTCTATTTAGCCACATTTGTGCTCTTTATATATATAATTGTGTGTGTGTATGTATGTATACATATATACAAGCAAAATAAATAAATAAATAATATTAATATATATATACGCGCGCGCGTGTGTGTGTGTGTACTTGTGTATATGTATGTGCTTGTGTATTTAGGTACATATTTATGTTTGTATGTAAAGTAACCAGGATTAAGTTGTAAATCGCGGTTGTAATAGTCTCCTTTTATCCTCACCGTATTTCTACTTTGAATTTAGACGTTGTCAGTTTTTTTCTGGGCGAATCAAAATTAATTTTTTGGACAATTTGGTTACCTTTTTTAGACAAAATAGAAATACTGTAGGCTGCAAAGTGCCAAGACAAAACACTCCTCAACTACTTCCCGACAACTACGGTTGTGTGACTCACCCTTTTATGCCTTGCATGTCTATTTATTCTGATATTTTTACCCCCCTTTTCCTTTGATCTACTTTCTCTTATATACATACATACATATATACATAGTCTTGCTTTATTTTTCACCATGTACAACCCACAACAGCCAGGTAATTATCGCTATCTAATATAGATATTTGAAGGCTGTTTTATTTCTACGCGTATAATACAGACAAGCTTACCTATATCTTCAATTGCAGGCGGATGGAAAGCTCCACAATCGTCTGATAACAAGCAGTGAGTTTATGCTTTTCTTAAGAATAAAAAATAAAAATAAAGAGAAAAAAAGGCAACCCAACGAGGTGCAGAATCTAGTAGACTGAATTGATTGGTATGTAGAGATGGTCAGTATGGAAATCCTGGTCAATACGGACAACCCCCACCTCAATCCCAGTATGGTCCTCCTCCAGGTCAATATGGTCCTCCTCCAGGTCAATATGGTCCTCCTCCAGGTCAATATGGCCCTCCCCCAGGCCAATATGGTCCTCCCCCAGGCCAGGCTCCTCCTAGTTACGAAGGGCAAGGATACCAAGCTCAACAAGAAAAACAAACCCCTCCCAGTTATGGTGGACAAGGTGCCTATCCTCCTCCGCAGGGATACCCAGCTCCACAACAACAATACCAGGGCGGTGTTAGCTATCCAGATCCTCAGAGATATCCTGCTCCTCAGGGCTACCCTGCTCCCCAAAGCTATCCTGGCCCTCAGCAGCAACAACAGAATGGTTACCCAGCTCCTCCAGCTCAGCAGACTCAGCAGACTCAGCAGCCAGAGGCCAAGGCGGGTGGAATTGGTTCGTTCTTTTCAGGATCAAACACTGGTCTAAAATTGGCTGGTGCAGCGGCTGCAGTTGGGTTGACTGGATTCGCTATTCATGAGGTGGTTGATCACCACAAGGAACATAACCATCACAACCAGTCCAACCATAACCACAATCAAAATCAAAATCATCACCAAAAACATGACAAGAATTGGTAGATAGTGTAACCATTAAATTTCATATTAGTATATTAAAAAGTCTACCTAAAGTACCTTTCTTTTTTATTAAAAAAACTGCTTATAGAGAAAGCGGAAAATACAGAGAAAAGACTGTAAAGAACAATAATGGGCTATATGTGTATATATGATAAATTGAGAAAGATTGAGAAAAAGCAGTTGACGATAATTGGTGGTAGGAAGAATAATAATAATAAATGAAAAGAAAAGGGGAGAAGGAGAAAAGAAAAAAGAAAGAGGTTTTGGTATGAGCCAGACTTCTTGAATTCTTTCCCCGTGATCGATACTTTGAAATACGATTGTTCATCAAATATTCACTTTTCTTAATCCATTCCTTCTTCTTGACCCCAGAATAGAGAAAGGAAATAATATCTTTAAAGTACTTGTTTATTCTTCTTCACATTCCTCTCCTTCCTCTTCTTTTTCTATTCTTTTGTTGCTTCTTACTTGAAGCAATGCCTACTGTTATCTATCATTCCAGTCCTACCACAACAACGCCTGGTCTTTTGATAGAAAATGATCCTGCCCTTGGATACCAGCCGCTCAGTTACTCCACTGGTCATGAAAAGATTATTCTTACCAATCCTCTACTAAAGACGACTCGGTCAAGCCAACCACTCGTGGCTACAACAACCGAAAATAGTTCAAAACACTACTTCCAAATGTCTACCATCCAAAATCCTAATAGCTCTTCGGATATCCTTCCTTCACCTAAAAACCAAACCTTGCTGATTAAACAGCTCGAAAAGCGTGGTTCTTTGACTCATAATCGGGGTGGACCTACAGGTGTCGTAAAAAAACGCAAGCATCAAACAAATGACCCAAGGCACTCGGTTGTCTCTTCTTCTTCAATATCGCCACAGTCCACGGTAACTACTCAACTCAGTTATCCTACAGTTGATCTGGGAACAATGAGTTTTGAAGAACGAGAAGCATTAAAGATCGAAATCACATCAAGACGTGTGACGCGTCGGACGGTCCAACGTAGAAAGGATAGTGATGAACTTCAAAAGTCTATGAATCAGGACGAGATGTCCGAGAATCGAATGCGGTTTGGAACACGAGTCGCTGAAGGGCATCGCAACTACATACTCATGTAAGTCTATAGATCTAACTTAAATGTAACTCAACACAAGCAAAAAAATAAAATAAAAAAAGCGCGCACACACACACACATGAAGAGGTATTAAAGGTTTTATCTATATATTGCTCTCTTTACATTACCAAAAAAAATCAAAATGAAATAAAGGTATGATATGCTGACAGGTATTCGAATTGCGGTAAGTTTGCAGTAGTTTGATCACTCTTTGCTTTGGGTATACATATAAAGAAATGCGAAACAAGGAAACGAAAACGAATGAATGAATGACTGACATGTAAGAGAATGAAAATGGTTACAGGTTGGGCGAGTTTCTGCAAAATTGAAAAGGGAAATTATCCAAGAAGATTTTAAGGCTGCTCATAAGCTAGTATTTGATGTGTAAGTCAACTAGTTCAATACCTTTCTATTTGTTTCGTCAAATGCTTATAAACATATGTATATATTATAGAACGGGAAATGAACTGACCCCAGGCGTGAAATATGATTTCAAGTTCAAAGATTATGCACCTTGGGTGTTTCGAAATATACGTGAAAGATTCCATGTTGATGCTGGTGATTATCTAGTAAGTTTAATAAACGATTATGAGATCAAATATATATATATATATATATATATCAAATAAGCGTTGCTGTGTTTTATTTTAATAGATGTCTCTTACAAGTAAATACATTCTATCTGAATTGGGGTCGCCAGGAAAGAGTGGTAGCTTCTTTTACTATTCCCGCGATTATCGTTTTATCATCAAGACCATCAATGTTACAGAGCATAAATTTATGCGCAGAATTCTCAAGGACTATTACAAAGTAATATTATTATTATTATTAGCATTCTGTTAAAGTTGATGATTTACTCACAAATAGATATGTTTATTAGCACATCTGTCAAAACCCAAACACCTTATTGTGTCGTTTATATGGTCTTCATCGAATAAAACTACCTCACGATAGAAAGATTCATTTTGTAGTGATGGAAAACATATTCCCGTCAAATCTAGATGTCCATCAGATATTTGATCTCAAAGGGTCGTTGTTTGGGCGATGGACACCTAATGAAGAAGTAGCAAAGAATCCTCATGCTGTCATGAAAGATCAAAATTGGATTGAGCATAATTGTCGACTACAGCTTGGCCCAGAGAAACGGACGGCATTTTTAACACAGCTTGAACATGATGTTACGGTATGTGGATTGAAGAAAGTGAATATTAAGATCAAGCGACGCTGATTCCATTAATTTTATGATTCACTGCATAAAGTTTCTAAAGAAGCTGAACATTATGGACTATAGTCTTTTGATAGGTGTGCATGATCTTAAAAGAGGTAATTCAGAGGGCATTCGAGATAATCAGCTACAGATTGTTAAGGTAAGAAGAAAAGAGGGTGCACAAAGAGAGAGAAAAAATGACCCGTTCACATTTTGGCGAAGATTTAACTTTGTTTATTTTTAGCCTCTTGAACCTCAAAAGGTATCAATTCGTCGTGATAAGGCCGCTGTTGTCAGACAAGCTTTGAAGAAAGCTAATCCAAAGCAATTGGATCCTTCTGAGCTGCCTGAAACCCCTTCAAAAAAGTAAAGTAAAGTCAAGCGAGAGTAAAAAAAAAATTAAAAAATTAAGAATTGACTTATAAACATTAGTGTTCAATTTTATCTTTAAATAATTAAATAACGATAATATTAATAAAAGTAGGCAATCACAATGCGTCTTTTACGCAGACAACGGTGGCTATTGCTCGAGTGACAAGGATGATCGTGATTTGGATATTCTGTACTTTATCGGGATCATTGACATCCTAACACCATACAATATTGTCAAGAAGACGGAACATATTTGGAAAAGCATGACTCAAAACAAGGTGAATATAATATACATAATATCAAGAGTTTTAACTAGTATTGATAATCAGATACTTTATTATGTGTTGGTGTTTTCTTTGTACGAATACATAGGCAACAATATCATCTGTCCCACCAACAACATATGGTGAAAGATTTTCAGAGTTCATTCGCAAGGCAGTCTCTGTAGCCAATGGTTCTTGAATACCTTTCTTATATTATTATTATTCTTTTCCCTCGGCTCTATTCTAAATCGCTGCAGGTTCAGACGAAATATGGAGTTGATATCCCTTGATCGACTTTAGACATTTACACGATTGATTTGAGTGTGTGTGTTTGTGTGCGATTATACTATATATATTTCAAGAATTTTTTATTTTAAAAAATATTCCGTGTACATTAGAGGGATAGTAAAGAGTATATGTTTATGTTTTTTAAGAGTAAAAGTATTAGATGATTTTTATCAGTATAAAGTAGATTAATATGGTCTTGGGTCCTTAGTGCAGCTAATCTGATCAGCTACAACAGAACCAAAGACTCTTCTTCTTCTTGGGCACTTGTGTTTTTTTCTGTGCTTGAGCCGGAGCTGTATTAAGATTGGATTGATTATTAGCAACAATCGGTTTCTCTCTAGTAGCAGCCTCGGTAGGTTGAGGTCCAACAGTAGATGGTTTTTTGCCTATAGGCTCTGCGATTCGATCAGCAGGAGAAATATGATCGGCTGAAGAGGACTGTCCGGGATTCTCGATGGTATCTGCTTTATTATTAGTTGGTTTAATTCCTGTGTCTGTCTTGGTTGGTGCTGTGCCATTTCCATTTCCATTTCCATTTCCATTTCCATTTCCATTTTTTAATACAGTCCCATCAGTAGCCTTTGTAGTTGGATCATTGGCATTATCCAAAGAGGTTGTGGCGTTTTCTGGCTTTGGATTTCCTTGCGAGGTGGTCATGTTGGTCGTTTTGGTGTTGTTTTCTGGAGGAACGCGAGGGATGTGATCATCAATTGAGCGTACACCCTTCTTTTTTGTATCTGACATGGGTGTTTGCTCAGCTGTCTCGGGAGATGCGCCATTTGATGTTGTTACAGATTCTTTTTTGGCTAATGAAGCTGCTCCATAACCTGCTCCTGCTCCTGCTCCTGCTCCTGCTCCTGCTCCTGCTCCTGCTCCTGCTCCTGCTCCTGCTCCTGCTCCTGCTCCTGCTCCTGCTACTGCTCCTGCTACTGCTACTGCGACGGCGGCGGCTGCTCCTGTTGCTGCTGTTGCACCAGTAGCCCCAGACGATCCAAAAGATGCATTGCGAGTTCTACCTTCGGGGTTTGTTGTAACAATAACAGGAGGAGTTTCGGGGTCAGCTGCATTATCGCTTTTCTGTTCAGCTACTGGGGATAGGTTCTGACCATTGGTTTGAGCGGATACGAGGTCTGTTCCAATTGAGGGAGAACCGACTGAACTATCCGAGTGATGATCGCTGTTGACGAGTGGTGTGTTGGGGCGAGATTCATTGATACTAAACCCTTTAATAGATTTAATTGAGGCATCTGTGTCTGCACCACTGGCATGTTTACCCTTCATATATGTATTTAGGATCTTTGCAAAATTTTCACCTTGGTTCTTAGCGATGGCCAATTCTTTTTCGGATGGCTGCCGAGTACCATCCCCATTAGTGATTGTTCCAGCACCGTATGGAGATCCACCAATGACCTCACTATTATCAAATAATCCAGAGTTGGCAAATCCAAATGGGACATAAATCATTCCGTGATGAGCAAAATATGTTATTGTAGTCAATGCGGTTGTTTCTTGGCCACCATGCTGGGATGCGGTTGAAAAGAATGTTGCAGCGAATTTGCCAATTAAGCTACCTGCTGCCCAGAGCTGGCCTGTAGCATCCAAAAGTCTGGTATTGGTATTTAGGGATGCAATTAGGAACAATTTGTAGTACTTTATATAGTACACTTACGTCTTTATTTGCTCTGGAACCATACCAAAACGTGTGGGGATTCCAAAGATAATTCCATCTGCTTCTACAAGCTGACTTGGGGTTGCGATGGGTAGATTTGGTCTAGGCGGAGCGTGCATAGTGCGAAGAACATCCTCTGAAAGCGATTCCTCTACCTGAAAAATCTTTGCGTCTATGCCTTTGGATTCAAGACCTGTAGATTGTGTTGTTAATTGACATATACATATATAGCTTATAAAATGTTATTGAATCTCAACATATACCTTCTAATACCGAAAGTGCTAATGTGTGAACATGATGATAGAGCGAATAGATTACTATATAGACCTTGGGTTGGGACATTGTCGCCACTTTGAAGACAAAAGTAGAAGAAGAAATTAAAAAGTTCAAGCGAGATTATCGGTGGAATAAAATATGGAATTATTAACCCAGAGAAAAGTTGACGGCTTTTATTATAACGCACAAGCAACGTTGTGTGGGTGGGTTATATTTATTTTGTTTTTCAAATCTGAGACAAGATCCGAGGAAACAATTCGACTTTAGTATTTTAGCCGTGATAATGATGTGCTATCGACTAAACTTATGACATGTCTTAGACATAAATAACCCGAACTTAAATCTGGCGGGAAGCTAAAAACATTTGTATACACACCAATAAAGAAAAAGAAAAAGAAACATTCCTATCAAATACACACACAATTAGACATACATACATACATATATATATATATATATATATATATATATGCTTGTAGATTCATTGCTCCATTATTCTTCTTTTCTTCTTTTACCGTAGACCATTCTATAAACATGACCGGAACTGTCTATATTGTCATTTACTCTCTGTACCATCATATATACAAGTTAGCAATTGATGTCCAAAAGGGTCTTGAGGCTGCTGGTGTAGAATCGAAGATCTTTCAAAGTAAGTAGTACAGATTATAACCTCTTACTAATAAAATTATAGCAATGATAATAATTGGTTTTCTCTTTTAAAGTTGAGGAAACATTATCCGAAGAAATTCTTAAAAAGATGCACGCTCCTCCTAAGCTAGATCTTCCTATCATTACTGTCCAACAGCTCACTGAGCCTGATGGTATAATCTTTGGTATTCCTACCAGGTAAATAAACTTGAATGTTTATTATCTTACTTAGTATATAGACACCTAATACTAACCGACTGCTCTTACACAACTATTATAGATTCGGAAGTATGCCTGCACAGATGAAGGCGTAAGTACCCAACTGACCCACTATTTCATAACTAATAAATGAATTCTTTTAGTCTCTTGGATGCTACTGGAAAGTTATGGGCTACAGGTGCTCTGTCTGGTAAATTTGCCGCTACCTTTTTCTCAACTGGAGGCCAGCATGGTGGCCAGGAAACCACTGCTTTAACAACCGTGCCATATTTTGCTCACCATGGGATGATCTATGTTCCTTTTGGTTATGCCAATCCTCATTTGTTTGACAATTCAGAAATCATTGGTGGCTCTCCTTATGGTGCTGGCACGATAGTAAATGGAGATGGATCACGCCAGGTTTCATCCAAGGAACTAGAGATTGCTCGAAACCAGGGTGAAAACTTTGGAAAGATCATTAGTACTTTTGTCAAGGGAAAAGCCATCTAATATATAGGATATATCATATCATAATATCTTTGCTTAATAATTATAATCATACGATTATATATTGTAATAAATTCAAACATAAAGCTTTAATGACTTTATCTAATACTTGTTTTGAAGAAGATGAAGGATATCAATTGTATATTGCTAAAATTTAAAGAGTACAACTTTAAAGAAAGATTATTATTATGTTTGGTTTTTTTTTGGTTATTTACTTAATTTTTAATTTGTTTATATAACAAAGAGAATGTCAATTTGAATATAGCAAGGAATTGTTTTCAGCCGAGATTTTGTTGATTGTCATTAAAGGCTAGAATTCAAAGCTAGGGATCATTATCATTAACTTTAAAGAGTATGATGTTTATTAGGTGAATAAGAATATATATATACGTGTGTATAGGATTATAGGTAGTTGTACAAGTGAATTAATAGTGTCTATCAGAGTGCGCAAGTATCATTAAGCTTCCTCTATTTCACGCACATGTTTGCCCGGTCCAAATATGCAAGTAACGCAGTACATAAGAGATGCAAGCATGAGTCCAGCAAATGCCCCAAGTGTCATCCATGTGGATGGTCCCAGATTACCTGAGGCATTTTTATCCATCCCTTTGGCTTCGTTGATACCGCGTAATGAGACTACCAATGTCATAATAAATATGACTAACATCAGTAGAAAGGAAAGAAATGTAGAAAACGAGGCCAAAAAATCAGGTCCACGACGGAAGTGTGATAGGATGGTTATGGTTATTGCAAACAGAGTGAGACCAAATGTTACCCAGTAAAGGATGAAGATTACTAGAAACAGATTGCTCATTCCATGCAAGGCGTCGGCTATATTTGATAATTCATCTGCTTTGGCTTTATACATATTTAATTTAATTGTAATTAGTTATATGCATTCAATAGATATCAAACTTACTCCAATCAAAGGCAGCAACAGGAGAACTGCAGTGTGTCACCTCATTGCCATTTCCGATACAATAATTCCTTTAAGAGGATCAATATTACTCAGTATACATAACCTATAGGATCCTTTGATCCAACTTACCAAAGGCCGAATTGTATAAATTGATCTGGCAAGGTTAACCGAGCGAAGTAAAGGCTTTTTAGAAATGGCTGGTTGTGAGTATTTCCAAGTAGTGTAAAGACCTCTAGCAAAAGCGCACAAAAAGTAAAGAATGTTGCAATATAGGCAAATACAGTCATATAGGAGGGTGTAAAATAAGAGAGTAATAAGGAATACAATCGAATAGATCAGGATAATATTATATATACCATTGTTTTTTTTTTAAATATATATATATATTATTATTATTATTATTATTATTATTCTTGTGTCTATTTAAGAAACAAGCTTTAACATATAAGACATTAAGAAATAACAGGTACCCAAAAGAAGCAGTCAAGAAAACAAAGCAACACTTGTGCTTTAATAATGTAGACCTTTATAGCCTGTATAAACCCATTTACCTCCCCACAAACATAACCAAGGTTATTTAGACTTTATACGTTCTGCATTCTATAAATAGATTAAACACAATTACTACTTTAATACAGTGAGTTTTGCTTTTGTTTTTTGGTGTGCAAATCTTTAATACGTATGAGTTGAGGTAGTGCGACAAACAATTAAAGCAAGTTGTTGTTATTGTTATTGTTGTTGCTACTACTACTACTACTACTACTACTACTATCAGCGTTGCTTTATTTCGTCTCATGTGGTTGAGAATTATACACTAAAAAGAAATCACCCAAAGTTTGCTGGACTGTTGATATACTTTATTTATTATGTCTTAATTATTATTATTTTAGAGTTATCTAAAATCTATATAGGGATCCCACACTTTGGGTTGCCATATAGACTTGTGCGGTTGTTTTGAACTATGGTGTTCGACAGCATATAGAATGTGCTCCCAGAGTGATTTCTTGAGAGACTAATTTGGAAGAGTCTTGAGCGTAAAAACAGGGTTTTGTATTTAAAAATGAAATTCCATCTTTGAGAAATCTAATCCGTAATGCCCAAACTGGAGTGCCTTTATTTCCCACAAAACATTGGCAGTCACTTTTTTTTTAAAAAGAAAAAAAAAGATGATAATAGCCAGTTTGCCATCTAAGCCGTTAAACCATCAGCGTAGGCGTAGGCTAAGTGAATTCCCAAATTTGTGAAAACATTGTAACTCCGATATTTCACTTCCCTTTAAAGCTATCCGCTGAAGATTTAACGGCTATCTAAGCCTTTAAAGCTGAACCTTATCCTCTGGATTCTTGAAGACATATTCACCTCATATTTTTCAAATTCCATAGCATAAAATATAGAAGGAGGCCCTTGGCTAACATGTACTACAATGTCAATCAGAAATATAAATTAGTTCTTTGTAAAACTCATTATACTTGACATGATATCAATTATTAGCATAACACATCAAAGAGTGTAGTGTAAATAAGGACATTTGTCTTTCGCATTCTTGCTAAATTTCTTCCATTTCACCTATTTCACTCTTATATACAAGCTAGTATGATCTTCATCACTCTCAAAAACACTCTCATAATTAGTAAAAGGAAGTTAATCTTCAAAATTTACACTTCTCCATATGAAAAAGACACGTAGTCAACTGCGAGAAGGTTGCATGGTATAACATTAAAGCCAAAGAAAGAATATAAAAAGTAAACTACCAAAAATAAGCTTGCTCTAATACAAGAGTACTCGGACCTCTACACAACTGTTTGTCCAGAGTATCTGTCCTAAAGTATTGGGATACAATTATCAAAAGGGTAAACTCGTGTGTTAAACTGTGTCTGTTATTTGGCTATATAATTTAAAATGTTCTCCATACCTCTGCAAACTCTTACTTATGACGAATCTTATGTATATGTTTTCTTAAGCGCATTATTGAAGTGGTAAGCATATTAGGTTGTTCTTTGAATATGTTTATTTTAATAAAATAAGCTCAAATACAAGTAAATATAACTTAAATCTTCTTAAATAGCAGTAAAACCTTGGAAACAAAACATAATATATAAAGAAAATATTAATATAGATATTGTATTGGCCAACTATTCGTAAAAATGTATGTTAACAAGGTCATTATGGTTGTTTTTTCTCTTTCATCACAACCATCGTCTCCCTATTCTAAGTCGATGAATAATTTAAACACAGATATAAGAATTTTGCTACTTTTGGTATACAGTATTTAAATCCAGATAGCAAGCTCTCTAATAAGGAGTTCATAAGTTTTATTTTCATGTCTAAGTATCCAAATATCACCATTTCGATACTTGAACTGAGCCCATTCAATTTTCACTGAAAACCGAAAGTTTGCAAAAAAAAGCTCATTTGGGTCCGAAAACCCAGTATTTCTAACTAATTAAAAGACACTTTGTATAAAGCAAGCCGAAAAACTATAACAATAACTGAAAGGCGTTTAACCTATACATAAATAAAAAGAAGAAAGAAAGAAAAAAATTAGTATTTGCATTCTGAAAGAATTTATTTCAAATAGCATACAATTGGTATTGAATGAGCATAAAATAATACAAGCCTTTATATTTGATGGTTTCTACACTTTACTCATACTTTCATTTTGGGCATTTATACCTTTAATAGTTTAGAAGATTCGAGCCTAATTATGATCAAAATGAAGTTTGATTAGTAATTTACCATTAAAATCTATTAACATTGATATATTTACCCCAATATTCATATATACATAGCAGCATTATTCTATAACAATATTATTTAGTATAAGAATTACTAAATGTACCATTGATTTTATGATCTTGATTAAAGAAAAGGAAAAAATGTTAGTGTAGTTAAAAAGCACTTGTTGTTTACTTTTGAAAAGAGAAAAATCTAAGCCTCAGTACAATAACTGAATATCAGTATAAAAACATAATAAATTCTGCAAAGTCGTTTTTTACTACTTGGATTGGATTGATTGCATTGATTTCATTTATGAATGTTTATACGTCACAGCATGCCTTATAAAGGTGCTTTATTTTCTAAAAAAAAAAGGGCGGCGTGATATTCAATTATCAATGGTTTTACCGGACCAATAATAAAGATTATGAGTTCTTGACTTCTTAATATAGCTTTAAGAGTCTTCTGTGATAAACTTTTATTTCAATATCAGTATTCATATGCCTAATTAAGCTGCAAACAACCTAAACATGGTAAAGCTGGTAGGAGATTAAACAAGTTGCCAGGTTTGCCAGGTTTTAGGGACCTTGGACACATCATATAATTTTTTTTGAAACATTTAACCATATATGTAATTTTATACGGTCTCATGTTTCACATCCAAGGCTTCCATATACAATGAAAATGTGTGATATTGCATTTATTGGCCATGTTAATTTACTAAACTCACGAACTTAAAATCATGTAATTAGTGCGAACCAAAGTTTGTTACTTTTTACCCTCAAACTGTAATAGCTGTTTAATTTTTTAGACATTAAAGCTAATAGATATTAATTAATATTTGTATGCGTAGAATGCTTGCGCAAATAAAGGGGAAAAAACCTAATGCTGGGGCTATATGGACTTCTTTATATGCTTACTTGAAAACATAATTTGTTCTTTATTTCAAGTTTTATGTCATCGTTAGTTTAACAACATAAAATATCGAAAGATGATTGGTCAACACATTTTATATCATATAAAATAACGCGATTTTGAAAGACACTATTCTTTTTTAAGAGAACAATCTCCGTCTAAATAAATTTTATATGATGTGTCCAAGGTCCCTTTTTTAAGAAAACCTGGCATTTTTTTCTTACAGTGCTCTCCACATTCGGTGTTTCAATACTGCTTAATTGCACGTGAGTCACGTCACAAAATCAACTTGCGGATTAGGACATGACGAAGAGTTGGAAGGTTTAATAAAAAAAAAAACCTGACCTTTTTGCCAAGGTTGCTTATTGTGTCTGCATTTTTTTTTATCATCTATACAATGGTTCTTGCACGGAAACAGGCAAGTAATTATACATCCTTTTTGAATCTGCATTCTCATTATTTATTTAGGTTGATCAAGCAACGATTGATGAGTTTTTCAAGGAGAGAAAGCCAGAAGGTGGAGCATATAACATCTGGCATCATCGCTACCAAGGGCTTGATAGAGACTGGAGCAAGAAAGGGTAAAATCAAGAAGCAAACGAAAAACAGAAAAGAAGATCTATATATACTTCAAGGAATCAAATACGGACCGTTTCAGAACTTTTTTTTGTATTCATTCATTTATTTATTTTTCCTTGCTGATAGATTACGGTCCAAGTTCAGATGCAAAGTTGCACGAGATGCAGGCGACACAGCTGGCACTAGTAATCCTCATGCTTACTTCTGCCTTTACTTTGCCAAAGGAATGTGTGCGCAAGGACACAAGTGTGCAATGTGGCATCGAATTCCCACCGAAAAGGATGAACAAGAGACAACTATTGATTGTTTTGGGCGTGATAAATTTGCGTAAGTGGATTGAAATGGTTGGTAAAAAAATACAGGCGAGCATACTTAAAATTATGTTAGTGAGTTTCGTCAAGATATGGGTGGTGTAGGTTCTTTCAACACATTGAACCGTACACTCTATGTGGGTCGAATTGCAGTAACACCTGACATTGAGGAAGTGGTAACAAGAAACTTTGAAGAGTGGGGTCGATTGGAAAGAGGTAAATGTCCTGGGTCTTGTTATATTTATATTCTAGACTTTATCCAAAATCAACCAAATAATGATGATGGTGATAATAATAAAATAACATGTAACAAACCTAGTGCGTGTATTGAAGAACAGGGGTGTTGCATTTGTTACATATGCGACGCGATCAAATGCAGAATTCGCAAGAGAAGCTATGATGAACCAAAATCTGGATCACAACGAAATTATCAACGTCAGGTAATCATGTCTGAATTAAAGTTAAATGGAAAGGGGGAGGTTTTTTTTTACTGACAAAGTTAGAATGTGTTTAGATGGGCTACAGTGGATCCAAATTCAATTGGCAATCGTATGGATAGCGATGAAGAAGAAACAGAGAGAAAGCAGACAGAAGATGTATATCAGTATCAGGCATCACAATCCGAACTTCCGGCTGAGTTTACACAAACCAAGCGAGATGTAGATGAGGATGGTTTTAGTAATATGGAAATGCGTGTTAAACGACAGAGAGCAGAAGAAGCCGGAGATTTTCGCGGCCCTTATTATGATACCGAATCAGCTATGGCTATATATGGTTATACTCAACCGATTGCAACCGCAGATGCTTCTTCTTACTGTACTCAACCTGCAACAGACGAAGTTTCTCAATCCACAGACCATAATCCACCCGACCAAAACCATGTTCTTGCCTACCAAACTCCAGCTTCACTTGCGTCTGCACCTACACATACACTTAAGGCCGGGGGGATTATTCCGATTAATGTTTTAAATTCACTTAAATCATTATCCAATCAAGGAAAAGGCGTTGCTCCTTCAGTACAGCCCAAACAAAATATACTCAGTAGTCTTACAAACTACAATAGTGGCAGCGAGAGCGAGAGCGATGACTAGAGAAAGAGGAACCAAACAAAACTTACAAATTTCATCTCTTTATGCATTTATATATATATATATACATGTATGTATGTAAATCCATTGTTTATGAGATGGGGATCCCAATTTTATTTTATTTTCTTTTTCTTTTTTTTTTTTAAATAATCATCACTCAGAATTCTTTGATGCTAGGCATCGGCCACATACAATTGACTGTCTTTGCAAAAACCTGCACTTCCAAGGAAATACACTATTTACTCCAGAACAAGGATGAAGAATCATCATAGTGATGTTATTTCGCAGTACTTTTTCAATACATTGAAATAATTTTTGAAAAATAAAAGAGTTTCAAAGGTTTATATTGATAACTGATTAAAAAATGACGTAATCAAAAAGTGACATCAACGAATATTCTGCTCAATATTTAAAAGTGTTTGGTATGGACAAACTGAAAAGTTCAAAAAAAAAGTTCAAACGACTCTTATTGGCTAGTGTTCTTCCTTTGCCAATTGGATTGAGAAGAAAATCATGTTTAGATGAAAGACATATGTCTCCCCAGGCCCTTCAAATTACCTAGTATGTTTTAAAATTAGTTTCTGTACCTGCTTGTATTGCTCTGCGGTATTGTTTTGTATTATGGATCTATAAATCGATCACCCGAGTTTCTAAAGTGAATCCTTCTTTAGAGTTCATATTCCTGCTGAAATCTGTTCCCAATTCTGGTGCCATCAGTACCTAATTACTTATTCTTGATTCTCTCATGGCATATATTACTTCTTATATAGATATATATATTTATTTTTCTTGTATTCTTACCAGCTGTATTATCTCGCATAGAGTTAAAATTACTCCAGTAGCACATATATAAAAGTATATTGGAGCTGGAAGTAACTTGGTTGAAGATTCAAATGTTCTCTTGTCTTTCTTTATCAGCTTAACTATAACCAGCTAGCGATTAAAGAAGATTGACCAATCAAGCGATATATTACAGAAGATATAACTACGCCTTATTTTTGCAGGGATAGTTACAGATGCTCTAACTTGACATTATTGTTATATATGGTGAGTTTCCTATTACTAAACATACTAAGGATAAGAGAAGCTTGAAAATATAAAATTTTGTATTTGTGTCCAGTAGATTTGCCAATTCTTTTGATACTCTTATGTTTATATTTATGTATAATAGTAATGCTATTTGGAGTGTGCTAGATTCATACAAATATCCGAGAAGAGTCTTAGTTGTGCTTCTTTTGATGTAATACCCGTATAGAATATAGTATGACCGACTTTCTGGAAGGTCGATGTGTATTTTGTGCAACTATATTTCTCACGCTTTCTCTGGCTGTTTGGCAGAAACACGCGTTATGTTGGCGATCCGAATACAAGCCAAAAATAATGGAGCTCAAACCCTTTCTCGGTCAGATCTCCATCAAATCAAACTGTCCTGGGCCTTTAATAAAAGGGCGATGACATGGTATCACAGAATATAAGAAGATTTTTTTTCCCATAATTCGAGCTTACCCCCAACGATGGTTGGTTCTTGGACACGATGGTGTTACAGAGCTGTAAAACTTTTGGCAGCCAAGTAAAAAACTCTTGTTTAATTTGAAATCTAAACCACCAAGAATTTAATTATTAACCTTTTTTTTTTCTTTGAGAAAAAAGACACGCACATACACAATATGCCAATTTAAAGCTACTCTCCAGAGCATAAAATGCTAAAATGATACCAGTTATAGTCCACACACATACACACGTTCGGCAGATTTTATATTTACTGCTTTTCTTTTCTATTTATCTAACAAATTTGTATAGCTTATATTATTAGGCTCACTTATATAAAAGAAATATATTATCTTAGCTATAGAACACTTAATAGTCTAGTCTTATTGAATACTTTTAATTTTTGAAACTTTCACTTTGTTTGAATCAATTGGTTTTCTTTGATAACAAGTATCGGTACTCAACCTCACCAGCTGTCTCGGTGAGTGACACCAAAGAAGCTAGATTGGTGTCCAGAGTAGGAATATATATATATATATATAATAAAAACCCTACACAAAGCCTAATACCTCTAGAATATACCATTCCCAGAAATTGATAATTTAAGGTTAATCAGAATACGTCAAATAATATTTAGTACTTTTATACGAGCTAGAAGTGCTTGGGATTTGATTGGATAACATTTGTGCGATTAACTCTTGATTATTTCTTTCTTTTGAGCATAAAAAAAAATCGTTTATCTGGATCCAATGAATAGGGTGGTCAATCTAGACAGATCTAATAGCTTGGTCATCCTAGCCCAGAAAGAGAAAACTATAACACTGTAGCACTATACTCTGGAATACAGTATGCTCTTTATCCTTAATTGTAAGTTCTGTCATAGATCGTATATGCATCGCTAATAATTTATTATCGATCGTGTTGAATTGAAATATATTTATTACACTCCTTTACATAATTGCTGTGTTACTCATCCATATACCATTTACCACTACTTCCCCGACCATATTTGTGGAAAATTTCTTCCTAATTGACGGTACATTTAAGTAAAATTAAAAATTATATATTGTTGTTTGAGGTTGTGCCAAGCCATTTTATTATTATTATTATTATTATTATTATTATTATTATTATTTATGAAATTACACCTAACCCAATAATAACCAGAAAGATTATGTTAATTAAACGCTTTGAAGTTTTCAGAAATCTTTCATATTGGAAAAATTGGCGATGATGATGATATATATATGCTTATAATCAATAATTGTTATGACAGTTAGAATATTACAAAAGCCCAAAGAGAATATTAAATAGTGTTTCCGATTTATTTTATATTGTCTATCGAAAATAATATTGTTGAGAATACACAATATAGCATCTCTCTCTCTCTCTCTCTTAATTGTCATGGTCTCATTTGTTCCTAGAATCTATGTTGAGAAAGTCCTAGGTTTTTTCGAGCCAATTTTTTTTAAAATATATAAAATATATTCATTTGAACTTCCAGAATATATTTTGCAGTTACATATTTGAAGAGTATTCCTTTTACAGTTGGATATTAAGCTACATTGATAAGCATTTTATTATCTACATATGTGTGTTATTTGTTTACTTGGCTTAATATGACCATTTCCTTTTCTTTGGTTTACTTGTGGTATCATTTATATACTTAATTAATGTCACTTTATCGAGACTTTTATACGTATAGTCTGGCCATATATATATATATGTGTGTGTGTGGTAAAAATAATAATATAACTACTCTAAAAATTCTTAAAACTACCCATCGAGAGTACTGATAGCTCTAAAATGGCATTTCCGTCATTTTTTTATATAAATATACACACTGTATTCCAAAAGCGCTGATACCAAGCGTATGGTTGGTCTTAATATATGCCAATCTTGAAATTTCGTGCACTTTGCGCATACCTTTTTGAGCAATAATATATATATTCCATCGAATTTGTGTTCAATTGGTCCAGAACGACACACCCCGAATTAAAAGGGAACACAAACTGTTGCACCCCAGATAAAATCACCTGTTATCCATATGGCTTCAATACCCATCAGTGCTCTCAGACTCCCGTTCGACCGGTCCATTAAATGAACAGTAGCGTATTATATACTTGGATAATATGACATTTATAGAAGTTAAAAAAATTAGAGTGAGAAGGAAGATTTTGGTCCTTATCGTTTTGTAATCTGTTGGCTTAATTCTGTCACAAAATAAAATTATAGTAACTAAATTATAAGTGATACTTAACAATTATATAAAGCAGTGCACATACCCCATCAGCCAATGCACGCTGTTTGCGGTATTTGTTTTGCAAATATTTCACAGCTGCGAGTTTTTATGTTCGTTTGTTTTTTGGAAGTTGAAATATTACAACGGAAGCTATTTACCGTATCCGATGTATTTTACGTATAGAGAATAAGAGGGCATTTTGTGCAATTTCCATGTCACACTATGTTAAATAGGAACAATAGAAGTGGTTTGGACTCAGGTCGGAATACACAAGCACTGCCTTATTCAATTGACAGCCGAGCTAGCTAGGGCACTGTTGTGAAAGGCGACACTAAGTTTTAAGATGTTTTATGACAATCTTTACCAAATAACAATGTGTTTGCCGATTGGCTGTATGTCAAAATAAAATGAATATTAAACTAGAGCAAATAAAATTATATAAAATGATATATATATACTCGTATAAAAAGCAAATTTACAAATCTCATTCAATACTCATCCTTTTGTTTTTTTTTCCTTTTGTTTTTGGTGGTCTATAATTCTAGTATACCTAAACCCACGCATTCTTTTGTATCTTTTCTTATTTTACTTTATTTTACTTTAGTTTATTTAATAAATATGCCCAATACTCCTCCCTTAATTTCCAACATATCTATGCCTGAAATTACTTCTGTAAACAGATCATCTAAAGATACCACAATTACAAGCCCTCAATATATCAAACAAACGATTGAAAATCTTCGCGCTCGTCTGGAAAATCTTGTCGAAGTTTTGAACGACACCGTTGATCAAAACCAAAACCTAAACCAAAGCGAAGACCAAGACCAAGACCATAAAAACAATTATCAGAAGACGATTCACATTTCCATCTCTGAAGCACAGCATGATCTGGAGATTCTTGAATCAATTCAAGCCAAACTTAACCATACTTATATGCTTCAATCTCATTCAAAAGAAGAGCTCGGCTGTCCTATACCTACCAACACTCCATATATCCAACCTGATGTTACCAGTCTAGTACACGGAGAAAACGATGTATTCTTTTCAATAGATGAGTTTCTGGATCAATTTGAAGCCATAGTTCTTGCCAATGGTCAGTCGCTTGATACTTGTTGGAGTACACTTTTCCCTATGTCAATTGCAAAAGTGCAGCTACCAGTCTTGAATTCATTTCTCCGCAATGATCCTATATTGCCTTGGTCAATCGTTCGTAGCACACTTGTGCGTATGTACAGTGTTAATACTGCCAGACAGCAGGTCCTTCTTACTATGAAATTAATGAAAATGACGATGAATAAGGACGAATCAGTTGCGGCTTATACTGACCGATTTCAGAAGGCTCGTAGGGAAGCAGGTGCTCCCGACAACCTCATGACATATACACTGTACATTCGATCTCTGCCTACTGACGTGGCCCATCAAGTGCGACTTGCCCAAACAAAATTATCGGCCGAAGACAGGTGTAGCTTAAGTCAAATAAGCACAATTGCCCACATGCTCCACAACAACTACTTGATAAATCAATCTGCCGGTTTCCATAATGAAGCTACATCCTTACCTCAGGGTCCCCAATGTGCTCCTCCTAGCTGTAACACAATCTGCAGACATGTTTATAAGTACGACAACGGATCTCACCATTCATTCAATATTTCCGAAGAATGCCGACTGACAAAAACAACACTATGCACTGTTCACTCCGGAAAGGTAATCAAGATGTCCTCTCAAAATGGCTATGGTTATGGCTCGCATGCTGGTAGTTCCCGGGTATGTTTACGGTCTCACACTCAGCGTCAGGGACAGTATTGTGATAGGGAAAAACTCCAGCCACATTTGCCCTTGCGCTCCATCCATAATGCTTTTGCCGATGCCAGCTCAGCCTTTGATCTTCGGAGCGGATCTCTGCATGACGACGATGTAACAATGAATGGAACCTACACAGCCCCATCTAGTTGATCTGCGCCTGATTTTAAATCTCAGACACACACAATATATTTATAAAAAAAAAAGAATGGAGGAGAAAATATGCCCAACTCAGGGATATTGTTATTTTATATCCCTATTTGTTTATATGTTACTATGCATAAGCCATAGCTTTTATCCACTCCCTTTTATTACAGCATTAATAAAATAAAATTGTGACTTCAAGATATGTATACATACATACCTACATACAAATAAGGGTACTCGTGGCTGTAACTGACGTGCCACTTCTTATTTCGTAAATTGAAACTTTGGATGATTGTATATGTTACCGTTATTTTTTAGCTTTGAATTTATATATATATATATCATCATCATCATCATCATCATCATCATCATCATCATCATTTTCATCATCATACATATTATTAAAATCAACCGGCCCTGTATATCACATGACTTACGATCGCACTTTTAAAACAGTTAAAAAGAAAGGAAGTTATAAATCACATGACTTACATCAAACCATTAAAAAGAAAGAGAGGTACTCTGCACGTGAGTTATATGGAATCTAATCATCTTTCAGCGATCTTAGGGGACGGGGGGTTTTTGGCTATGGGGACGGGGGGTAACTGCACCGCACAATTTAAGGTGACTGCTGGTCTGAGGCCTGGATATAACCTGTCTTGAGGAACCCCCCGTCCCCATCCTTTATAAGCACACCCCTCGCATCATCACCAAGTTCTTCCGTCAAGTCGACAACCATTCCGTTCTTTTACAACCTTTCTTCTTCCGCTCTCTTCTCCCACATTCCTTGCTTGATGGTCTCCTTCCTCCACCTTCCTCTCCCATTGTGTCGCATGTGGACCCCAGCCCCTTCTTCACCAGTATGTTTCCCATAATACCTCGCAAACCATTCTCACCCAAAACGTTCCGCACCCTTTGCACCCCGTCCCCAGACAACCCTGTCCCTCCTCTCCACACCCACCAATGGCGCACGTTCTGGTCCGCTCCCATCCACCATTCTGTCCGTTCTTTATGGTTCCGCGCTCTTCACAACAAGCTGTCGTGTCGCTCCGTTCTACACCAAACTGTCCCTACCATCTTTCCTGACGGGTCCTGCCCCATATGCGGTGACATCAAGGAATCTACATCTCACTTTCTGTTCACTTGTCCCCCAAAGTTCTCCGCCTGGACTATTTTTTGGTCAACCCATTTTGGCAACGTGCCCTCCACGCAAGACATTCATTCTGCTCTTTTTTCCTTCCGTCTCCCGCCATCCCTCACTCCAGACATTCCCGCCGTTTCTCTTGTCAGCTGTATCCTCCTCGCAATCTGGCGCCATCACTGGTCCTTTGTGTTTGACGATGCTCCTTTCCTGAGTACATCAGTCCTTGTCACTGCTGCTTCTCTTGTCACCCGTTTTCATGCGGAACTATCCCTGCCTCTTTCAGACTAGCTACTCACTCATTTTACATATAATTTAAAAACCCAAAAACACATAGAAAATATGAAACCCAAAAACAGGATTGTGACTTCCTCTTCCTCTTAGAATTGTTAAGCTCAATAAAATTTCTGAGGCCCAGCCTCCTTACAAAAAAAAAAAAATTATAAGCACACCCTTGTCCCCATCATTTATAAGCACACCTTGCTCCATCGTTATAAGCACACCCCTGTCCCCATCTTTAGATCATTCCAATTTCCCGGGAAAAATAAAAACACCCCCTTTTTTAAAGTCATTAACATTTAGTTGTAAGAATAAAAAATAATATTTCCAAATAACGAGATATGATGTCTTTTTTACGTTGTGTACATTGCATACATTGCGTACATTGCGTACATGAATCAATAAAAATACTTATATAACTACAGTGCTCTTTTATTAAATATGAACACCAACTTCGCTATCCCCATTGACAAGATGTATTCTGTTAAAACAACCCTCTCATTCCCAGAGAATGGTTATCCCGACAAACAAAGCGTTTTGGAGGCCGTAAACGAGTACGCCCTTTCTAACAACTTTACCGTCAAAATTAAGGATGGAAAGTTTCCAACACTTCACCTTGCTTGTTCAAAGGCTGGTGCCTATCGTGATAAGCGTAACATCAGCGAGGATAAAAGAAAGAAGGCCCCTAACTCTTCCCTCACTGGATGCCCCTTCCTATTGAGATTTTCTTTTAAAAATAAGAGTCAGAGATACCTTCCCTTGCCTGCCCGCGGTGACAATGAACATTGTCATAACCACCCCATCACCCCAAACAACTTGGCGTCTTCTCACCAGGGAAGAATGTCTCTCCTGACTTCGGAAGATGCAATTATCGCAAAGACAATGCTAGAAAACCATGCCAAGTCTCGCGATATTCAGAAAGCTACAAGAGATAAGGTCACGGGAATGAGAAAGCTGAGAATTAGCGATATCAACAACCTGAAGTATAGCTCTTCTCGTGGTGGTGAATCATCAATTCATGGCGCTACTGGGCTCATAAGAACTATGGAAGCAAAGGGATTTTCCATCCTTTATCAATTCAATGAGAGAAAAAGCCTCACGCACATTTTCTTTACAAATGAGACGATGATAAAAAAAGCCCGTCGTTTTCCTGAGGTTCTTATTGTGGATGCCACTTACAAGACAAACTGCGCGAAGATGCCTTTAGTCTGTGTAGAGGGTGTCAGCAACCTTGGTGGAGAAAGATTGAAGAGCTTTCCTGTTGCATTTGCGTAGGTTTCTGATGAGACAGAGACAAGCTATGCCTGGTTCGCAAGATCGCTGAAATCAATCGTGTTGGAGGGAATCGAGGACAGCCCTATCTTTGTTACAGACAAGTGCAAGGCATTGATGAATGCCCTTGATTCCGAGTTCCCCGTGAACAAAAAGCTTCTCTGTGGTTGGCACATGATAAATAACATTGCCAAGATGACAAAGAAGACTATGAAGGCAGGCGAAGACAGGAATACGTGCACCAACTTGATAAACAGCATGATATTTGGAGACGATGCTGGCAAGTTTATGCAGAAAAGAGAACTTTTCAGATTGTTGGCTTCTTGTGAAGATCTCAAGACTGAATGACTGTCTGAAGATGGTAAAAACGGTGCAGTGAAAAGTTTTGAGGAGTACCTTAAGAAGGAGTGGATGAGCTGCAAAGAGAAGTGGGCTGGCTACCTCACCAATAAGCTAAAGCACTTTGACTGTGTGACAACACAGCGTGTTGAGAGTGGCCATCATGCCCTGAAAAGGAGTATCTCGGCTCTCCAGTCTTTGGACTCCTCGTTTGAGCAAATATGCTCATATCTCTTGCAATTTGAGGGTGACTACCAAGATCGTAGACTGGATGAGGAGTTGGTGACCGATGCAAGAATCCTTGCTGATGAGCGCCTTCGTGGATTGGTCCACTCGGTTTCCAGAATGGCATTGTTCACGATTCGCGCTGAACTTCTTGAAGAGGTTATTATTGGTGAAGCTTGTTACTGCAGAGTAAAGACTATGTTTGGTCTCCCTTGCCGCCATACTCTGCCACGAAATCGGGCCCTCACACTTGCAGACATTCCTGAAAGATGGGTTCTCTCTTCTGCCCTCCCATTCCATAATAAGGAAGTAGAAAAATTGGAAAGTATAAGTACTGTGGCAATTGAGAAACAAGTTCCGTGGATGAAATCAATTGCACAACTTGAGCAGTTGTTTAGACGATGTGAAGGAGAACAACAAATCTGTAACCTGATGGCAAAGGTAAACGATCTTATAAATAATGCCGGTAATTTAAAGGATTACTGAGAGGTTGCCTTTCCTTTGTCAAGTGAGATCAAAGCTTCTGGAAGACCTAAGCACGTCAAAAGAAAAACTGCTCTCCCAAAGGATTTTGTTCATCACAAGCACAGGCATCTCCTTATCCAAAAAAAATAAGGTAATAAGATAACATACACACAATAGCACAATCTAATACATATTCTGTCTTGTTTATCTAGAGTGAAATTAGAAAAACCTTAAAAGAAGGAATTATAGATGTAATGAAGGAACCTTTAGAGGAGAAACCTCTTAAAAAAAGTATGTATTATTGATTTTTACAAAGTTACAAATAATATCTAATGCTTACTATTTCCAGCCATTAAAAATATCAAAAAAGAAACCCAATTCACTGAAAAGCAAAAGCCTCTCAAAGAAGGTAACTGATATAATATTTTACTGAAAGTAAATGCTAAATCTTACATTGTTTTTTGTTTCTTCTTAGCTGAAAAGTATTCCTCTGGAATTAAAAGACCTAACCACCTCCCAGATGACTACTGGTATGATATTCCCAGTCCAAAAAAAAATGAAGAAAAATGTGCACGACTTTGCTCTGCCAGATCAAATCGATCAAGCCGCCATTTTGTTGGCATTTAACCCCAAGTCCGATGATTGGTGCGGTTTCTATGTATTTGCACATCTGAAAGAGAGTGGAGAGAATCAGTTCCCTTTGGTGAAGAAGAAAATGTTAGTCACAATGACTACTCACTGTGAGCTCTATAAGCAAAACTTTGGAATGGATATTGCTGCGGTAACAAAGGTTATTGCATTTGGCTCTGAAATTGACCCAGTCATTGCCAAAAACATCCCTTACTGTCCTTCTTCCATGTGGTTCTCTGCATCAGACTGTGCTCAAATAATAGCTGACACTTATAATGAGCCTGTTTGTGTATACTCGGATGATAGGAGCGTCTTGCCCATAACTTTCCTTTCCCTCCATGATCAGAAGCTTCTCAAAAGAAAGCCATTGCCGATGGTCTTGCACCATGTACATGGGTGCCACTGGACAACAATTAAAGTGAAGCCTCATGTACATCGGTCCTGGCCTGAGGTAAATGCGCTGTATTTTGATGCTATCCGTAGAGGGAGTATCATTGACTGCTTTTCCACAAGTTGGAATCATTGGGGTCAGTTCCCAAAGAACAAGTCTTATATTTTACCCTCCACTACTATCACTAACTCTCCTACAAATTCTCTCGTAAATTCTTCCAATATTATTGACCTCACACATATATAACTTATCTATCTTTCTATC